CTAACACCCTAACACCCTAACACCACCCTAACACCCTAACACCCTAACACCCTAACACCCTAACACCCTAACACCCTAACACCCTAACACCCTAACACCCTAACACCCTAACACCCTAACACCCTAACACCCTAACACCCTAACACCCTAACACCCTAACACCCTAACACCCTAACACCCTAACACCCTAACACCCTAACACCCTAACACCCTAACACCCTAACACCCTAACACCCTAACACCCTAACACCCTAACACCCTAACACCCTAACACCCTAACACCCTAACACCCTAACACCCTAACACCCTAACACCCTAACACCCTAACACCCTAACCACACCCTAACACCCTAACACCCTAACACCCTAACACCCTAACACCCTAACACCCTAACACCCTAACACCCTAACACCCTAACACCCTAACACCCTAACACCCTAACACCCTAACACCCTAACACCCTAACACCCTAACACCCTAACCCTAACACCCTAACACCCTAACACCCTAACACCCTAACACCCTAACACCCTAACACACCCTAACACCCTAACACCCTAACACCCTAACACCCTAACACCCTAACACCCTAACACCCTAACACCCTAACACCCTAACACCCTAACACCCTAACACCCTAACACCCTAACACCCTAACACCCTAACACCCTAACACCCTAACACCCTAACACCCTAACACCCTAACACCCTAACACCCTAACACCCTAACACCCTAACACCCTAACACCCTAACACCCTAACACCCTAACACCCTAACACCCTAACACCCTAACACCCTAACACCCTAACACCCTAACACCTACACCTAACACCCTAACACCCTAACACCCTAACACCCTAACACCCTAACACCCTAACACCCTAACACCCTAACACCCTAACACCCTAACACCCTAACACCCTAACACCCTAACACCCTAACACCCTAACACCCTAACACCCTAACACCTAACACCCTAACACCCTAACACCCTAACACCCTAACACCCTAACACCTAACACCCTAACACCCTAACACCCTAACACCCTAACACCCTAACACCCTAACACCCTAACACCCTAACACCCTAACACCCTAACACCCTAACACCCTAACACCCTAACACCCTAACACCCTAACACCCTAACACCCTAACACCCTAACACCCTAACACCCTAACACCCTAACACCCTAACACCCTAACACCCTAACACCCTAACACCCTAACACCCTAACACCCTAACACCCTAACACCCTAACACCCTAACACCCTAACACCCTAACACCCTAACACCCTAACACCCTAACACCCTAACACCCTAACACCCTAACACCCTAACACCCTAACACCCTAACACCCTAACACCCTAACACCCTAACACCCTAACACCCTAACACCCTACACCCTAACACCCTAACACCCTAACACCCTAACACCCTAACACCCTAACACCCTAACACCCTAACACCCTAACACCCTAACACCCTAACACCCTAACACCCTAACACCCTAACACCCTAACACCCTAACACCCTAACACCCTAACACCCTAACACCCTAACACCCTAACACCCTAACACCCTAACACCCTAACACCCTAACACCCTAACACCCTAACACCCTAACACCCTAACACCCTAACACCCTAACACCCTAACACCCTAACACCCTAACACCTAACACCCTAACACCCTAACACCCTAACACCCTAACACCCTAACACCCTAACACCCTAACACCCTAACACCCTAACACCTAACACCCTAACACCCTAACACCCTAACACCTAACACCCTAACACCCTAACACCCTAACACCCTAACACCCTAACACCCTAACACCCTAACACCCTAACACCCTAACACCCTAACACCCTAACACCCTAACACCCTAACACCCTAACACCCTAACACCCTAACACCCTAACACCCTAACACCCTAACACCCTAACACCCTAACACCCTAACACCCTAACACCCTAACACCCTAACACCCTAACACCCTAACACCCTAACACCCTAACACCCTAACACCCTAACACCCTAACACCCTAACACCCTAACACCCTAACACCCTAACACCCTAACACCCTAACACCCTAACACCCTAACACCCTAACACCCTAACACCCTAACACCCTAACACCCTAACACCCTTACAGCGAATACAAATTAAACCAAATGGAGCTAAGGGCAAAACTTGTCTGTGCAGTTACCATCTATTGTGGGCTTTATTATTTAATGGGATCATTAAGCACTCCAGCAAGTATAGGAATTGCCCGAGGATGGCGCAAGATAGCGCCATCCTCGGGCAATTTAAAAAAATGACCCCACACCGGGAATTGAACCCACGTGGTGGGGCCATTTTTGAATTGCCCGAGGATGCACAAGATAGCGCCATCTTCGGGCAATTACTATATCCTTTTTCTTTATAGTGATTGCTATAGCAAATATTTATTTTTTAGTTTATTGGGCATATTATTTACTAAAATCTCTATTTTCTGCGATATTTAAGAAGGTAGGCAATTTAAGAACTAGAAGAAAAGTTCAAAGTCAGTCTGCAGTTAGAAGTCTAAGAAGCAGCCTTGAAGAATCAAGATTAGTATCAAGGAGTGTTAATCTGTCGATTATATCTAATGATAATCTATTGAGTGAAAGTCAAGCCCCTGTTAGCACTGCTAAAAATGATAAAGAAAACTTTGAAGAAAGCTCTAAAATTATCAGTGTTTAGAGAAATGAATTAGCTTAATATAAAAAATTTTAAACTTTAGCTATAAAAATATATAAATAATAGTAATAAAAGGGGTTTAGTAATTAGGGTCAACAATACCCATTTTGAAATTGCATTCTAAATTATTTATAAAATTATTTGTTTATTTCATTGTAAATTGCTAAAAAAGTAACGTATTCAGTCTTAATTATTAAAACCATATGCATAATATTTTTAAAATGATAAAGAAAGTCTCGATTGAAGTACTTAATTATTAATTTTATGTAATTTTATTTACTCCCCCCATCCTTGATCGAACGGCTCGCCATCGTTTGATAAAGGATGGGGATTAAAAAAAAATTTTTTGTTTTTTTATTTGCTTTTAAATAAGAGGGTTAAGAGTATTTAATAATTATTTTTACAGCAAAAAATTGAATTAATTTTATAAAAATACCAATTTTTAATATTTTTATTTATTAGTTACCCCTTTAAACTGTATAAATTTTAATTTGTTCCTTATTAAATTAATTTTGTTTTTTTAAACTATAAAGAATCTCTATTTTTTAGATTATTGAGGTTTTAAGCCTAGGCTGATGACTAAATCACTTCTGATGGTTGATTCCGTAGCTTTCTGTCGTCTCAAAGTCTCTGAAAATAACTTCATTAGGTACATCTTCCCAAGCTTTTGATAACTAGTATATTTTATATATATAAAAATTTGCATGTTATGAAAATCATTCGATCAAGGATGGGGGTTAATTTTCCCAATTTTAGGAATTTTTACAGTCAATCGTTCGATCAAGGATGAGGGGGGAGTTATAAAAATTAAATTGAAATGTAATTTTTTCGTTTCATTGCATAATAATGAATTACTTAATCTTCCAACCAATGATGCTATACTACGAAATAAACTTAAAATTATCCTAATTTATAAACTTCATATAAAATTTTGGGATTATTTTCAATTATCATAATAGTAAATATTTAGATATTTCAGAAAAGTTTTTTTATTAATAAAATTCATGATAAATAGAAAAAATCAACTATTTTTGTGATTATTAAATGAAGGAAGCTAATAGTCTTCCTTATTTTATTGGCAACTAAGGGTAAAGACCTCGAATGCCATCTATCTGTTTGCCCAGATATTAGAGTAATTTTAATTTAGAAAGGGAATCACAAATGTGATCCTGGGTGCATGACTTCATGCTGCAACTTTGACTCAATGCTAAGTACTGATGGAAAAATTAACAAAGAAAATTCAGACTGCTATGAGACTTGCACAAATTTTGACGGCTGTAGCCCAGAAAAACTTGGAAATGGGATATGTGATGATTCTTGTAATACAGAAAACTGCGGATTTGATTGAGGAGATTGCACTTGTGCTCCTGGCTGTTTAGACTCTATGCTCGGAGATGGAAACTGTGATGAAGCTTGCAATAATTGAGACTGCGACCTTGATAATCACGATTGTGGGCTTTGCGCAGATGGATGCTTTCCAATTATGCTTGGAAATGGAGTTTGCAACCCAGAATGCAATAATGAAGGTTGTTTATATGATTACAAAGATTGTCAATGCGCAGAAAATTGCTTATGGACTGATTATGGAAACTGCAAACCCGAATGCATGGTAGCAAGCTGCAACTATGGCAATATGACTCAATATCCAGATAATCAATGCCAAAACACCTCTTTAGCTATTTTTTCTTCTTATCAACAGATTATACGTAACAACTTTTCTTATATTGTGCATCTAGAAGACTGCTATGAAGCGTCAAACCACGAATGCACTCTCGAAAAAGCTTTTGATTTTGAAAATTGTTATCAAGAATGTTATAGCGCCTTCCTATAGATGGCGCGCAATGCACCATCACCGGGCCATGTCGGGAGAGGGTTCTCCACGAGGAATGGTTCCACGTGTGGAACCTCTTTTTCTACGAGCCAAAAAGAGGGTTCCACACGTGGAACCATTCCTCGTGGAGAACCTTCTCCCGACATGGCCCGGTGATGGTGCATTGCGCGCCATCTAATAGAATTCACTATATATTTTTGAGTGCAACTATGCAAATGGAAACTGTGATTATGCCTGATACTCTTCATGATGCAAAGGCGTGCTTCTGAATTCTGAGGATTTTTGATGTATATCTTGTATAAGAGAATGGTTTGATACACCTTATACTAACACCTGATTTGATGGTAAATGCGCGTTGGCTCCATCAGCATATACCGTTCCATCACTTTTTCCAGATAACACTTTTGTAGTTGTTTCTTTTATTGATATAGAAATAAAATAGTGACTTTGATGGAAATAGGGCTTCGAGGCCACTACCTATGAGTAGGTAGGACTTATCCTGATGAAGCTGAAAGCAAGAGCATCTGTTCCTCTTATAGTAAGTCTTCAGGCTTCGAGATACCCTGCCAGGAAGTATGGCATCATTATAATCTTTTTCTGGAGCTGCCCTGGAGCCGAGACATAAATAAATGTTCATGTAAGCATACTCGGCCGAAATAGAGTACTTAAATTAAGTTATTATTTCTCTAAGGTAAGATTTTGGGCCTGGGATAGGATGGCTGGCGAGACAGACTGGCATCAAGAATAATGGGGCGAAGACTGGGCAGTGTAAGCTGCACAATCTCTGCGTCATTCAGAGTTGGCAGAGAGGTGGATTGTAAAGGCAATGGAAGCAATTCTACAGCTCATCAGTCTCCGACAGAGTAGATGCATGTTAATTGGTTGTAATCGTATTGAAGGCGGGTGACAACCGGCTTGAGTAGCGAAAATAAATTACCATGTTTTCTCTAAGGGTGGATCAAGACCTTAAGATCTAGCACGGTTAGCTTTGGCTCCGCCATAAAATGGTCTTAGAACCCCTAAATAAGCATATATGTATATCCTAGATCTGAGGCAGGGCGTACGGCTAGTGTGTTGCTAAAATGGTCAAATTCTTATTTAATTTAATTTTATTGATACTTCTTCAGCGAAAATTCCTCATATTTACTTTGTATGTCCTATTGCAAACTCAGACCCTGATTCTGGAGATGGAAGCTACTACTCCCCCTTTAGATCCTTTTCCTTTGCTACAAATAGAATTTCACATAAATATTCAATTGTTTATTTATTGGAATGTGATGGATACAATTTAACGATTCCCTATAATGGGTTTTCAGCTGACTTTCTTGTATTTTATGATGCATATACTTTTGATGGAAAAATTGTAAAGTTTACCCCATTAAATAACTCAAAAATAACTTTAAGAAGAAATCTAGATGATAGGGACAGTAATAACAATGACCCTTTTGGATTTTTATTTATAAAACCCTTGAGAATCGAAATAAGTAACATAATTTTCGATTGAAGCAATACTGTTTCAACTTGCAATAATGAGAGGTATTGTGATTATTGCCCTTATGTGACATATAATTTAGAATTAAATATTAAATATAGTGATCAAGGCGAAATTATTGATGATTTCCTTCCTTCAGACTGATGCAAAAGAGATGAAGCCCTGAATTTTATAGAACTTCGAAATGGCAATCTCATACTTAAAAATGTATCTTTTGTGAACTTCCGGAATGGCTTTAACTCTATTTTATATATAACAAATGACAGCAATGTCACTTTTAGTGATGTGACCTTTGATAATATAAAAGTAAGCGATAATTATAATTCGTGAGCTATATGATGGGATGGGGCAAGTAAAGGAAATTTTAAATTTGAAAATGGAGTGGTAAGTAGGCTTAATAATGGATATGAGCTAAATGATCCTATAAATACAAAGGGGTTTATGAATGCGACTAACATTAACTCGATTGTTTTAAGGAATATAGAATTTAGAAATAACGCAGTATTCAAAAACTATATAGAAGGTGTGAGAGTTGCCTCACTATTTTTCATAAATTCATTGCAAGTTCTTTGAGTAGAATCTTGCAATTTTATATATAATTATTGTGACTTAGGAATATTTAATATCAAACAGCAATTGGACAATTGACCAATGGAAATTGATGATTCTGGGATTTTTATTTACTCGAAACAAAATCACATACATATTTTCAACTCGAATTTTTCATCAAATTATGGAATTACTGCTGGAGTTCTATATGCTTTATATGAGTTTGAAGGCCAGAATGTTGTCATTGAAAATTGCTCATTTACTTTAAATGGGATTGAAAGTGGAGCTTTAATACACATTGAGAGCAATTATGCTGATGAAAGCTATTTAATAGATCGAAAAGTTAGTGTATCTATGTCTGATGGAAGCATTATTGAAGGAGACTACTTAGCGAAAAGAGTAAAGCTTTCAAATTTAAATTTTACAAAAAACTATTCTGGAGAAAACGGAGTAATCGAAATTTTAAAAATGGTGAATATCGAATGAGTTAATATCAGGATAGAGTCAAATGGGCTCATTTTATCGGAGGCGATGAATGCCAACTCAATCCTATTAAAATATTATATAGATAATCCAAATATGTATGCTAAACACAATGTCAGTAATCCTACTGATTTGAACTGTCAGTCCCTTTCAATGGTATCAGATTCTATTCATTTCACCATTGAGAAAGTAAACATTATTAATAACGTTTGCATGTACTCTTCTCCAAGTATCATTGTTTCTAATACAACCAAGAGTACAGTTAGGTCCACATCTTTTTATGATAATAAAGGAGCAGGAAATTATGGCATTTGTTTAGCATTTCTTGGAGACTCACTTTACGAAATTATGAATTCTGAGTTTTATACAAACATTAATTATCAATCAGGGAGTCCTGGAGTGATTAGTTGCCTCTCTAGCTTGTCAATAAAAAATTGCACATTTTCAAATAATATTGGCACTTTATATTTTGGAGGCCAAAATCTTAGCATTTTTTCTTCCAATTTTGATTCTAATAGTTCTCCTACATCAAATGGTGGCGCTATTTCTCTCTCAAGCGCCCAAGACAGCATATATAATTCGATGCTTTTTATTTCAAATACAACTTTTGCAAATAATTCTTGCTCTTTTAGTGGAGGTGCGATTTATATTGACAGAACCATTTATTTGGATTTGCTATTAGCTTTAAATATTGAAGACACAACTTTTTATCATAATAAAGCCATCGATGGCTCTTGCATCTATATAGATAATATCGTGGCACTTACTTTAGATTCTTCAATTAAGAATTGCTCTTTTTGAGCAAATGAAGCAAGCTTTTCAGGCACTATTTCTGCCTCTTATATATATGGAATATTGATTTTTGACACTTGCAATTTTGTTAGAAACTCAGGAGTTGATAGTTCAGGATTTAATATAGCTATAGGTGAAAATAAAGAAGAAAACCCTTCAAAATTAATTCTAAATTCCTGTATTTTCCAGTTTAATTCTGGAAATAGAACTATTTCTATGGATGATGGCAATATAAACTCTACCTTAGAGGTTAATGATTGCTTGTTTGAATATAATATTGGCTCGATATTTACACTTGATAATGACTATGCAATTGTCGAAAACTCGAAAATTCAGCACAATTATTCTCCTAATTCTGGTTTATTCTCCTAATTCTGGTGGGGTTTTAAGTCTTAAAAACTTAGGAATTTTTATTTCTAAAGGTACGACTTATTTAAATTGTAGCAGTGATGTGAATGGAGGAGTTGCTTCCATAAGTCTGAAATCTCAATTTTTTTGTTTTTCATGTTTTTTTAGTTATAATTATGCTAGTTTGTCAGGAGGTGTAATTTATGCCGACTCGGATGCTCGGTTTTATATAGATGATTCCATTATTAGCCAAAATTCATGCAAAAATAAAGGATCAGCCATATTTATGGCCAGTTCTTTAACTAATTCGTCAATAAACAACACAGAAATATTTGAAAATCATGCATTTAGTGATGGAACGATATTTATTTTATCTTCCTTATTGTCTATATTTTCCTCAAAAGTTTATAAAAATAAAGCTGATGAAAAAAATCCAGGATTATATATTGAGGATTCAATTGCTATAATAACTGATACTCATTTTTATCAGCAAAGTGGAAATGAAGGATGCTTTATTTATCTGGGTTCAAGCTACCTAAAAATTACTGGCTCAGCCTTTTATGAAGGTTTTTCTAACAATTCTGGAATAGCGATTCATGCAACTTCTAGTAGTGTGGAAATTTCTTCCTCAGCATTTTCTAATTTATTTTCTAATAATGAAGGCGGAACAATTTATTTATATGAAGATAGCACTCTTTCTATCTATGACTCAGAGTTTTTAAATTCTGGATCATCAATTGATTCATATTCAAGCTCAATTTTAATAGAAAGTACTCTATTTAAGAATCATTCAAATACTGCTATATATGCAAACCAAATTGAAGGTCTGCAAATATTAAGCTCAGAATTTTCAGACAATTATGGAAGCAATGGTGGAGCTGTATACTGCACCCAATGTCATATTATTTTAGTGACTTCGTCAACTTTTGCTAGCAACAATGGAAAAAATGGAGGAGCAATTTACGTTTCAAACTTATCAGATCATCCTGAAACCTCCCAAATTATTATTGCTTCTTCAAATTTTAATTCAAATGTAGCTGACAATGGCGGAGCAGTCTGAACGAACAATATTAATTTAATAGTTTCCTCATCAATTTTTATAGAAAACAGAGCTGAGTTATTTCAATCAAAGAGCCTTAAAGAAATATCAGACGGTCTAGGGGGTGCGATTAAAATAAGCTGTCAAGACTCAAATACTATTTGCAATTTTAATTTTTCATCCAATTCATTTATAAATAATAGTGCTACTTATAATGGCGGGGCCATTAACTGAGACGATTCAAAACCAACTATTGAAAATAATATTTTTGAAAATAACAAAGCATCATACGGCCCTGATATTGCATCTTTTCCTATAATGATGATTTCTCTAAGTAATAATTCAAGAAATTTAGAAAGAAAAGTTGCTTCAGAAGATAGCAATCTAACATTAAATAATATTGCTTCAGGCCAGAATAATAATCCTCCTTTGGCTTTTATTTTAGTTGACGATCTTAACCAAATAGTTACAACAGATACTACAAGCCAAGCGCAGATAAATGCAGGAAATATTGATACAATTATATCTGGCACAACAATGGTTTATGCAAAAAATGGGATTTATTATTTTGATGACTATATAATTTCAGCTAAGCCAGGCTCTTCTGTATATATTGATATAGTTTCTTCAGCAATAGATATCCGAAAAATGAATACATCAAGAGAGAACCTCCCCATGTCATCGAGTTTTTCTTTTAATGTGAATTTGCGTTTATGCGAAGTAGGAGAAGCCACTGTTGGCTTAATTTGTGAAATTTGTCCAGAATATTATTATAATATTGATGTTAAAGTGTCTAAGTGTTTAGACTGCCCGTCCTCTGCGATTTGCTATGGAAATTCTACAATGGTTCCAAAATCAGGATATTGAAGAGACAATAAGTTCACAGACAAGTTTTGGAAATGCCCTTATCCTCCTGCTTGCTTAGGATCTCCTAATATTTCAGATCTGGCTTTAACTGGTGTATGCAAAAAAGGATATGAAAATAACATGTGCCACTCGTGTGAAAATGGATACTCAAGGTTATACACAGATGAATGCCAAGCTTGTCCTGATACAGTGAGCAATATTTTTAGATGAATCGGAATTTCTGCTTTTTTGATTTTTATCTTAGTATTTATTTTAAAAACAACAAGAGACTCATGATATAAGCAAAAGTCTTTTTCTGCAGTTTATCTAAAAATCTTTTGGAATTATTTGCAAATCATGCTCATATTAGCAACTTATAACTTAAATTGGCCATACGAAGTAATTGAATTGTTTTACATTCAGACTTCTATCGATTATATAGGAGGACAGCTCTTTTCTTTTGATTGCTTTTTACAATTATCGAATTCTAAAAGCAAGATTTATTATCTAAAAATTTTGATCACAAGCTTGACTCCTTTCGTAATGGCATTTTTATGTATGGCTATATGAATTTTAATTTATAAAATCAAATCAAAACGAATTAAAGAAATGAAAGACGATTATATTTCTACTTGCATTGTATTACTATTCTTAATGCATCCAAGTATAATAAACACAATGTTCAGCGCTTTTAGTTGCAGAGAAATAAATTCCGGAGAGTTTTGGCTTAATGCAGACCTTGGAATTCGATGCTGAGATGAAAATCATCTATTTTATAGCTTAATACTCGCTCTGCCTACAATAATTATATGAATTATTGTAGTACCTTTACTTGCCTTTATAAATTTAATAAAATATCAGGAGCACTTACTATTCTTCGTAAATAAAACTATTACAATAGAAAAATCTATAATTTTTTAAGGTATTATACCTTTTTATTTTTATCAATTAATAATTATCACTTTTTAAAAAGCTCTAAAAACTTAAATTTACACTTTTCAGCAATGAATATAAATTTATACAGCTATATCCTTATGATATCAATTGAAATTGTCAAAAATTCAAAAAAATTTAATAAATTAGGAATTAAAAAAAAAACTCATATAGAGTGCTAGAAGAAATATGAATGAAAAAGAGATATTCATTTCTATGCAACGGCTATAACTCAAAACATTATTATTGAGAATTCTTAATTTTATACTACAAAGTGATATTAATCAGTTGCTCACTCCCTCCATTCGTGGGTAACAAAAATATTTTGTTTGCTCAAGGCTTAATTTCTTTTAGAAATTTAAAATAATCCTAATTCACTAATATTGAAACCTAATATTTATGTAATTTCTAAAATTTATGTTTTAAAATGCAATTTGTTTAAAATTAAATAGAATTAGCTAGAGATTTCATTATGCTAATTATCACTTGCATATCAAAATATTTGTTTCATAATAAATTATATTAAAATGTATTGTTTGTTCATGATGGTGGGTTTTTGGGCAAAAACAAATTTTTTTTTTCCAAAGGTTTTGTTTGCTCAAGGAGGGGGAGTCAGTATTTTTGTCAAATATCTCTGCAAATATTCAAGCGCTTACAGCAGGACTGTTTTTTGTGCTATTTCTTTATTTTCATACCAGAAACGAACCATTTAATGAAGCATTTTTCAATAAAACAGAAACATTTTCTAGACTTGCGTCTCTAATATCAATACTTATTGGCCTTTGCTTTTTAACAAATGATTTGAGGGCTACTGCTAGTTATTTTTTAGTTGCCGTCTTTATAATTGCAAATTTATTATTTATATTTTACATCTTGATAAACTTCTTGCTACAATTTGCTATTACAAATATATTTATGGCCATAATAAAAAGAATTTTCAGTTCCAAGGAGGAAAAATATATTATCAGCATTGCTCCTTATGATGAAAGTGGCCAATCTCAAAGCTACGAAGATGAAAAACATCATACAGGAAAACTTGCCAACACTATAGTATATTCTGGCCAGACACAAATTGAAAATATAAAGATGATTAGAGAAGATTTAGGTAGTTCAAATGAAATTGACCCTTTTGCTTCAGAGCAAAGCATATCCGCTTTTTAATTAATTCTTATATTATTACAGTAATTAAAGGTGCATAAAAATAAGCATTTTATCTGTAATAGAATCTAATATTGAAATATAATAAATTAATTAAAATTAGTTAAATATTAAATAGCATTCGCTATTATAAAATAATTTTATTTCTTAGTAGAATTCCATTATTTGGGCTGAGGATTAAGAGAATAGAATGCAAAAAATAGTAAGAGTCAAAGAATTCACAAACTCGCCCCTTACAATATTTTAAATTATTCGTAATATTAAATAATTTTTTAATTTAATTGCTAAAAAAGTAACGTATTCAGTCTTAATTATTAAAACCATATGCATAATATTTTTAAAATCATAAAGAATGTCTGGATTGAAGTGCTTAATTATTAATTTCATGTAATTTTACTTATAAAAATTAAATTTAATCTTAATTGTTTAATTTCATTGCATAATAATGAATTACTTAATAGTCTTCTTTACCTTACTGGTAGCTAAGGGTAAAGACCTCGAATGCCATCTATCTGTTTGCCCAGATATTAGAGTAATTTTAATTTAGAAAGGGAATCACAAATGTGATCCTGGGTGCATGATTTCATACTGCAACTTTGACACAATGCTAAGTATTGATGGAAAAATTAACAAAGAAAATTCAGACTGCTATGAGATTTGCGCAAATTTTGACGGCTGTAGCCCAGAAAAACTTGGAAATGGGATATGTGATGATTCTTGTAATACAGAAAACTGCGGATTTGATTGAGGAGATTGCACTTGTGCTCCTGGCTGTTTAGACTCTATGCTCGGAGATGGAAACTGTGATGAAGCTTGCAATAATTGAGACTGCGACCTTGATAATCACGATTGTGGGCTTTGCGCAGATGGATGCTTTCCAATTATGCTTGGAAATGGAGCTTGTAACCCAGAATGCAATAATGAAGGTTGTTTATATGATTACAAAGATTGTCAATGCGCAGAAAATTGCTTATGGACTGATTATGGAAGCTGCAAGCCCGAATGCATGGTAGCAAGCTGCAACTATGGCAATATGACTCAATATCCAGATAATCAATGCCAAAACACCTCTTTAGCTATTTTTTCTTCTTATCAACAGATTATACGTAACAACTTTTCTTATATTGTGCATCTAGAAGACTGCTATGAAGCGTCAAACCACGAATGCACTCTCGAAAAAGCTTTTAATTTTGAAAATTGTTATCAAGAATGCCACATTCTTGAGTGCAACTATGCAAATGGAAACTGTGATTATGCTTGATACTCCCCATGATGCAAAGGCGTGTTTCCGGATTCTGAGGATTTTTGATGTATATCTTGTATAAGAAAATGGTTTGATACTCCTTATACTAAGACCTGAATGAATGGCAAATGCGCCTTAGCGCCATCAGTACATATCATCCCATCACTTTTTCCAGACGACACTTTTGCAGTCGTTCCTTTTATTGATACTTCTTCAGCGAAAATTCCTCATATTTACTTTGTATGTCCTATTGCAAACTCAAGTCCTGATTCTGGAGATGGAAGTTACTACTCCCCCTTTAGATCCTTTTCCTTTGCTACAAATAGAATTTCACATAAATATTCAATTGTTTATTTATTGGAATGTGATGGATACAATTTAACGATTCCCTATAATGGGTTTTCAGCTGACTTTCTTGTATTTTATGATGCATATACTTTTGATGGAAAAAGTGTAAAGTTTACCCCATTAAATAACTCAAAAATAACTTTAAGAAGAAATCTAGATGATAGGGACAGTAATAACAATGACCCTTTTGGATTTTTATTTATAAAACCCTTGAGAATCGAAATAAGTAACATAATTTTCGATTGAAGCAATACTGTTTCAACTTGCAATAATGAGAGGTATTGTGATTATTGCCCTTATGTGACATATAATTTAGAATTAAATATTAAATATAGTGATCAAGGCGAAATTATTGATGATTTCCTTCCTTCAGACTGATGCAAAAGAGATGAAGCCCTGAATTTTATAGAACTTCGAAATGGCAATCTCATACTTAAAAATGTATCTTTTGTAAACTTCCGGAATGGCTTTAAAACTATTTTATATATAACAACTGACAGCAATGTCACTTTTAGTGATGTGACCTTTGATAATATAAAAGTAAGCGATAATTATAATTCGTGAGTTATATGATGGGATGGGGCAAGTAAAGGAAATTTTAAATTTGAAAATGGAGTGGTAAGTAGGCTTAATAATGGATATGAGCTAAATGATCCTATAAATACAAAGGGGTTTATGAACGCGACTAACATTAACTCGATCGTTTTAAGGAATGTGGAATTTAGAAATAATGCAATATTCAAAAACTATGTAGATGGTGTGAGAGTTGCCTCGCTATTTTTCATAAATCCGTTTCAAGTTCTTTGAGTAGAATCTTGCAATTTTATATATAATTATTGCGACTTAGGAATATTTAATATCAAACAGCAATTGGACAATTGACCAATGGAAATTGATGATTCTGGGATCTTTATTCACTCGAAACAAAATCACATACATATTTTCAACTCGAATTTTTCATCAAATTATGGAATTACTGCTGGAGTTCTATATGTTTTATATGAGTTTGAAGGCCAGAATGTTGTCATTGAAAACTGCTCATTTACTTTAAATGGGATTGAAAGTGGAGCTTTAATACACATTGAGAGCAATTATGCTGATGAAAGCTATTTAATAGATCGAAAAGTTAGTGTATCTATGTCTGATGGAAGCATTATTGAAGGAGACTACTTAGCGAAAAGAGTAAAGCTTTCAAATTTAAATTTTACAAAAAACTATTCTGGAGAAAACGGAGTAATCGAAATTTTAAAAATGGTGAATATCGAATGAGTTAATATCAGGATAGAGTCAAATGGGCTCATTTTATCGGAGGCGATGAATGTCAATTCAATCCTTTTAAAATATTATATAGATAATCCACAAATGTATGCTAAGCACAATATCAGTAATCCTAATGATTTGAACTGCCAATCCCTTTCAATGGTATCAAATTCTATTCATTTCAGCATTGAGAAAGTAAATATTATTAATAACGTTTGCATGTACTCTTCTCCAAGTATCATTGTTTCTAATACAACCAAGAGTGCAATAAGGTCTGCATCTTTTTATGATAATAAAGGAGCTGGAAGTTATGGTATTTGTTTAGCATTTCTTGGAGATATACTTTACGAAATTATGAATTCTGAGTTTTATACAAATATTAATTACCAATCAGGGAGTCCTGGAGCTATTAGTTGCCTCTCAAGCTTGTCAATAAAAAATTGCACATTTTCGGATAATATTGGTACTTTATATTTCGGAGGCCAAAATCTCACTCCCCCTTTAAATTGGATTAAAATATCCATTTTTTAATACTTTTGCCCTCATCTAACAGAAAAAAAAAATTAATTGAGAAAATTTCATACTAATCTTTTATTAAATTTATTTTTGACCTAATTAGAATACCTTTAAATATTAAAAATTATTAAAGTGGTCAATTTAAATTTTTAGTATTTAAATATTTACAAAACAATTAACCCATTTTAAATTATCCAGGATTTTTTGCTCAAAATTTAAAAGGGAAAGCCAGCATTTTTTCTTCCAATTTTGATTCTAATATTTCTCCTTCATCAAATGGTGGCGCTATTTCTCTCTCAATCGCCCAAGACAATATATATAATTCAATGCTTTTTATTTCAAATACAACTTTTGCAAATAACTCTTGCTCTTTTAGTGGAGGTGCGATTTATATTGACAGAACCATTTATTTGAATTTGCTATTAGCATTAAATATTGAAGACACAAATTTTTATCATAATAAAGCCATTGATGGTTCTTGCATCTATATAGATAATACCGTGGCACTTACTTTAGATTCTTCAATTAAGAATTGCTCTTTTTGAGCAAATGAAGCAAGCTTTTCAGGCACTATTTCTGCCTCTTATATATATGGAATATTGATTTTTGACACTTGCAATTTTGTTAGAAACACAGGAGTTTATAGTTCAGGATTTAATATAGCTATAGGTGAAAATAAAGAAGAAAACCCTTCAAAATTATTTCTAAATTCCTGTATTTTCCAGTTTAATTCTGGAAATAGAACAATTTCTATGGATGATGGCAATATAAACTCTACCTTAGAGGTTAATGATTGCTTGCTTGAATATAATATTGGCTCGATATTTACACTTGATAATGACTATGCAGTTGTCGAAAACTCAAAAATTCAGCACAATTATTCCCCTAATTCTGGTGGGGCTTTAAGCCTTAAAAACTTAGGAATTTTTATATCTAAAGATACGACTTTTTTAAATTGTAGCAGTGATTTGAATGGCGGAGTTGCTTCTATCAGCCTGAAATCTCAATTCTTTTGTTTTTCATGCTTCTTTAGTTATAATTATGCTAATTTTTCAGGAGGTGTAATTTATGCCGACTCGGATGCTCGGTTTTATATAGATGATTCCATTATTAGTCAAAACTCATGCAAAGATAAAGGATCAGCCATATTTATGGCCAGTTCTTTAGCTAATTCGTCAATAAGCAATACAGAAATATTTGAAAATCATGCATATAGTGATGGAACGATGTTTATTTTATCGTCATCATTGTCTATATTTTCCTCAAAAGTTTATAAAAATAAAGCTGATGAAAAAAATCCAGGATTATATATTGACGATTCAATCGCTATAATAACTGATACTCATTTTTATCAGCAAAGTGGAAATGAAGGATGCTTTATTTATATGGGTACAAGCTACGTACAAATTACTGGCTCAGCCTTTTATGAAGGTTTTTCAAACAATTCTGGAATAGCGATACATGCAACCTCTAGTAGTGTAGAAATTTCTTCTTCGGCATTTTCTAATTTATTTTCTAATAATACTGGCGGAACAATTTATTTATATGAAGATAGCACTCTTTCTATAGATAATTCAGAGTTTTTGAATTCTGGTTCATCAATTGATTCATATTCAAGCTCGATTTTAATAGAAAGTACTCTATTTAAGAATCATTCAAATACGGCTATATATGCAAACCAAATTGAAGTGCTGCAAATATTAAGCTCAGAATTTTTAGACAATTATGGAAGCAATGGTGGAGCTGTATACTGCACTCAATGTCATATTATTGCAGTTATTTCATCAAATTTTGCCAGTAACTATGGAAGAAATGGTGGAGCAATTTATGTTACAAACTTATCAGATCATCCTGAAACCTCCCAACTTATTATTGCATCTTCAAACTTTAATTCAAATGCAGCTAGCAATGGCGGAGCAGTCTGAACGAACAATATTAATTTAATAGTTTCCTCATCAATTTTTATAGAAAACAGAGCTGAGTTATTTCAATCAAAGAACCTTAAAGAAATATCAGATGGTCTAGGAGGTGCGATAAAAATAAGCTGTCAAGGCTCAAATGTTATTTGCAATTTTAATTTTTTATCCAATTCGTTTATAAATAATAGTGCAACTCATAATGGTGGGGCCATTAACTGAGACGATTCAAAACCAACTATTGAAAATAATATTTTTGAAAATAACAAAGCATCATACGGCCCTGATATTGCATCTTTTCCTATAATGATGATTTTTCTAAGTAATAACTCAAGAAATTTAGAAAGAAAAGTTGCTTCAGAAGATAGCAAGCTAACATTAAATAATATTGCTTCAGGCCAGAATAATAATCCTCCTTTGGCTTTTATTTTAGTTGACGATCTTAACCAAATAGTTACAACAGATACTACAAGTCAAGCACAGATAAATGCAGCAAATGGTGGCACAATTATATCTGGCACAACAATGGTCTACGCAAAAAATGGGATTTATTATTTTGATGACTATATAATTTCAGCTGAGCCAGGCTCTTCTGTGTATATTGATATAGTTTCTTCAGGAATAGATACACGAAAAATGAATACATCAAGAGAAAGCCTCCGAATGTCATCGAGCTTTTCTATAAATGTGAATTTGCGTTTATGTGAAGTAGGAGAAGCTACTGTTGGCTTAATTTGTGAAATTTGTCCAAAATTTTATTATAATATTGATGTCAGAGTGTCTAAGTGTTTAGACTGCCCATCCTCTGCGATTTGTTATGGAAATTTTACAATGGTTCCAAAATCAGGATATTGAAGAGACAATGAGTTCACAGACAAGTTTTGGAAGTGCCCTTATCCTCCTGCCTGCTTAGGATCTCCGAATATTTCAGATTTGGCTTTAACTGGTGTTTGCAAAAAAGGATATGAAAATAACATGTGCCACTCGTGTGAAAATGGATACTCAAGGTTATACACAGATGAATGCCAAGTTTGTCCTGATACAGTGAGCAATGTTTTTAGATGAATCGGAATTTCTGCTTTTTTGATTTTTACCTTAGTATTTATTTTAAAAACAACAAGAGACTCATGATATAAGCAAAAGTCTTTTTCTGCAGTTTATTTAAAAATCTTTTGGAATTATTTGCAAATCATGCTCATATTAGCAACTTATAACTTAAATTGGCCATACGAAGTAATTGAATTGTTTTACATTCAGACTTCTATCGATTATATAGGAGCACAGCTCTTTTCTTTTGATTGTTTTTTACAATTATCGAATTCAAAAAGCAAGATTTATTATCTAAAAATTTTGATCACGAGCTTGACTCCTTTCGTTATGGCATTTTTATGTATGGCTATATGAATTTTAATTTATAAAATCAAAAAAGAGCGAATTAAAGAAATAAAAGATGATTATATTTCTACTTGCATTGTATTGCTATTCTTAATACATCCAAGTATAATAGACACAATGTTCAGCGCTTTTAGTTGCAGAGAAATAAATTCCGGAGAGCTTTGGCTTAATGCAGACCTTGGAATTCGATGCTGAGATGACAACCATCTTTTCTATGGCTTTATACTTGCTCTGCCTACAATAATTATATGAGTTATTGCAGTGCCATTACTTGCCTTTTTAAATTTAATAAAAAATAAGAAGCACTTACTATCCTTCATAAATAAAACTGATTACAATAGAAAAATCTATAATTTTTAGGGCATTATACGTTTTTTGTATAATATTTTTATAAATTAATAATTCTGACTTTTTAAAAATGTAAATTTACACTTTCCAAATTTGAATATAAATTTATTAAATATAAACAGTTATATATCCTTATGATATCAATTGAAATTTCCAAAATTATAATAAATTTAGGAATTAAAAAATAAATCTTACTCGCTCTCAAATAGAGCGCTAGAAGAAATATGGATGAAAAAGAGATATTCATTTCTATGCGACGGCTATAATTCAAAACATTATTATTGAGAATTCTTAATTTTATACTACAAAGTGATATTAATCAGTTGCTCACTCCCTCCTTCGTGAAAGAACCAACATATTTTGCTCGCTTGAAGGTTAATCTAAAATTAATAATAAATATTTTTTTAAATTTAAAAAAATCACGATTCACAAAAAATTGAAACCTAATATTTATTTAATTTGTAAATTATATATTTTAAATTGCTTTTTGTTTAAAATTAAACAGAATTAGTCAGAGATTTCATTATGTTAATTATCACTTCCACATCAAAATATTTTGTTTCATAAAAAAATTTATATTAAAAAGTTTTATTTGTTCATGAGGGTGGGCTTAGGCAAAATAACAAAGATTTTTCCAAAGCTTTTGTTTGCTCACGGAGGGGGAGTCAGTATTTTTGTCAAATATCTCGACCAATATTCAAGCGCTTACAGCAGCACTGTTTTTTGTGCTATTTCTTTATCTTCATACTAGAAACGAACCATTTAGTGAAGCATTTTTCAATAAAACAGAAACATTTTCTAGACTTGCGTCTCTAATATCAATACTTATTGGCCTTTGCTTTTTAACAAATGATTTAGGTGCTGCTGCTAATTATTTTTTAGTTGCCGTCTTTATAATTGCAAATGCTTTATTTATATTTTACATCTTGATAAACTTCTTGTTACAATTTGCTATTACAAATAGATTTATGACTATAATAAAAAGAATTTTCAATTCAAAGGAGGAAAAATACATTATAAGCATTGTTCCTTGTGATAAAAGTGGCCAATCTCAAAGCTATGAAGATGAGAAAAATCATACAGGAAAACTTGCCAGCACTATGGTTTATTCTGGTCACACAAAAATTGAAAATATAAAGATGATTAGAGAAGATTTAGGTAGTTCAAATGAAATTGACCCTTTTGCTTCAGAACAAAGCATATCCGCTTTTAATTAATTCTTATATTCTTGTATTAATTGAAATTGCATAAAAATTGGCATTTTATCAGGAATAATCTATATGGAAATATAATTAATTAAAATTAGTTAAATATTAAATAGCATTCTCTATTGAATAATAATTTTATTTCTTAGAAAAATTATTGAAAATTCTTAAATTAAGAGTTTTTATCTTTTCTTCAAAGAAAATACTATTAATTTTTATATAAAAAAAGATTAAATAAGAGCAAATTCTGGGGTACAACCCCTTGATTTTACTTGTTTAATACAATTTGAAAATTATTTCCTTTTTAATAGTTAAAAAAGTAAAGTATTCAGTCTTAATTATTAAGACCATATGTATACTATTTTTAAAATGATAAAAATAAGTCTCGATTGAAGCGCTTAATTATTAATTTCATGAAATTTTACTTATAAAAATTAAATTGAATCTTAACTTTTTTATTTCATTTAATAATAATGAATTACTTAATAGTCTTCTTTACCTTACTGGTAGCTAAGGGTAAAGACCTCGAATGCCATCTATCCGTTTGCCCAGATATTAGAGTAATTTTAATTTAGAAAGGGAATCACAAATGCGATCCTGGGTGCATGACTTCATACTGCAACTTTGACTCAATGCTAAGCACTGATGGAAAAATTAACAAAGAAAATTCAGATTGCTATGAGATTTGTACAAATTTTGACGGCTGCAACCCAGAAAAACTTGGAAATGGAATATGTGACGATTCTTGTAATACGCAAAACTGCGGATTTGATTGAGGAGATTGCACTTGTGCTCCAGGCTGTTTAGACTCGATGCTAGGAGATGGAAATTGTGATGAAGCTTGCGATAACTGAGACTGTGACCTTGATAATCACGATTGTGGGCTTTGCGAAGATGGATGCTTTCCAATTATGCTTGGAAATGGAGTTTGCAACCCAGAATGCAACAATGAAGGTTGCTTATATGATTACAAAGATTGCCAATGCGCAGAAAATTGCTTATGGACTGATTATGGAAGCTGCAAGCCCGAATGCATGGTAGCAAGCTGCAACTATGACAATATGACTCAATATCCAAACAATCATTGCCAAAACACCTCTTTAGCTATTTTTTCTTCTTATCAACAGATTATACGTAACAATTTTTCTTATATTGTGCATCTAGAAGACTGCTATGAAGCGTCAAACAACGAATGCACTCTCGAAAAAGCTTTAGATTTTGAAAATTGTTATCAAGAATGTCACATTCTTGAGTGTAACTATGCAAATGGAAACTGTGATGACCCCTGAAGCACCCCTTGATGCAAAGGCGTGAGTCTGGATTCTGACTCCTCCCTCCGTGAGCGAGCAACATATAAATTTTATATAATTTTTGTTTTCTTCGAAATCCGCTTCACAAATATTAATTTAATATGTTTTAAAAGTAATTTGTTTAAAATTAAACAGAGATTTCATTATACTAATTATAGCTCATGCACCTTAATAGATCTCTATACCCCAGCAGAATACCGACCAGAAAAAATATGGTACAGGGCACCTTCCTTATACAGTATAAGTCTGATTAGGTACCTTAAAACCATAAACGGAGACTTTTCGTTTTCGTTTTTACTTTTCAAACATGTTGACAAATACAAATTAATTTTGGAAATTAAAATGGATGGCCAATAACGATCTAAATAATTTCAGGGGCTATATCACTTATACATCAAAATATTTTTCATAAAAAATTTTTGTTCACGGAGGATGGGGTTTGGGCAAAAAGGAATTTTTCTAATGGTTATTCGCTCACAGAGGGGAGTGGGGTTTTTTTATGCATATCTTGTATGAGAAAATGGGCTGATTCATTTTATACTAAGACCTGAATGAATGGCAAATGCGCCATGTTTCCACAAGTAAATATCGTCCCATCTGTTTTTCCAGACAATACTTTTGCAGTCGTTCCTTTTATTGATACCTCTTCAGCGAAAATTCCCCATATTTATTTCGTATGCCCTATTGCAAAATCAAACCCTAATTCTGGAGAAGGAAACTACTACTCCCCCTTTAGATCACTTTCCTTTGCTGCAAATAGAATTTTACATAAATATTCAATCGTTTATTTATTGGAATGCGATGGATATAATTTAACAACCTCCTATCCGATGATTTCAGCTGACTTTGTAGTAATTTTTGACGATTATACTTTTGGTGGGAAAAACGTAAAGTTTACCCCATTAAATAAATCAAAAATAACTTTAAGAAGAGTTCTAGATGATAGAAAAAAAAATAACTATTCCCCTTTTAGATTTTTATTTATAAATCCTTTGAACATCGAGATAAATAACATAATTTTCGATTGAAGCAATACTGTTTCAACGTGTACCAATAAGAATTATTGTGATTATTGCCCTTATTTGACATATGATTCAAAATTAAATATTTACTATAGTGACCAAGGCGAAATTATTGATCATTTCCTTTCGTCAGACTGATGCAAAAAAGATGGATCAGTGAATTTTATAGAACTTCGAAATGCCAATCTCATACTTAAAAATGTATCTTTTGTAAACTTTCGGAGTGGCTTTAACTCTATTTTATATATAAAAACTGATAGCAATGTCACTTTTAGTGATGTGACCTTTGATAATATAAAAGTATATGATAATTATAATTCATGAGTTATATGATGGAATGGGGCAAGTAAAGGAAATTTTAAATTTGAAAATGGAGTGGTAAGTAGGCTTAATAATGGATATGAGCTAAATGATCCTATAAATACAAAGGGGTTTATGAATGCGACTAACATTAACTCGATCATTTTAAGGAATATAGAATTTAGAAATAATGCAGTATTCAAAAACAATAATGATGGCGTAAGAGTTGCCTCATTATTTTTCATAAATTCATTACAAGTTCTTTGAGTAGAATCTTGCACTTTTATATATAATTATTGTGACTTAGGAATATTTAATATCAAACAGCAATTGTACAATTGGCCAATGGAAATTGATGATTCTGGGATCTTTATTCACTCGAAACAAAATCACATCCATATTTTCAACTCGAATTTTTCATCAAATTATGGAATTACTGCTGGAGTTCTATATGCTTTATATGAGTTTGAAAGCCAGAATGTTTTCATTGAAAACTGCTCATTTACTTTAAATGGGATTGAAAATGGAGTTTTAATACACATTGAGAGCAATTATGCTGATGAAAGCTATTTAATAGATAGAAAAATCAATGTATCTATGCCTGATAGTAGTATCGTTGAAGGAGACTACTTAGCGAAAAGAGTAAAGCTTTCAAATTTAAATTTTACAAAAAACTACTCTGGAGAAAATGGGGTAATCGAAATTTTAAAAATGGTGAATATCGAATGAGTTAATATCAGGATAGAGTCAAATGGATTCATTTTATCGGAGGCGATTAATGTCAATTCAATCCTTTTAAATTATTATATAGATAATCCAAAAATGTATGCTAAACACAACATCAGTAATCCTATTGATTTGAACTGTCAGTCCCTTTCAATGGTATCAGATTCTATTCATTTCAACATTGAGAAAGTAAATATTATTAATAACGTTTGCATGCACTCTTCTCCAAGTATCATTGTTTCTAATACAACCAAGAGTACAATAAAGTCCGCATCTTTTTATGATAATAAAGGAGCAGGAAGTTATGGCATTTGTTTAGCATTTCTTGGAGACATACTTTACGAAGTTATGAATTCTGAGTTTTATACAAATATTAATTACCAATCAGGGATTCCTGGAGCTATTAGTTGTCTCTCAAACTTGTCAATAAAAAATTGCACATTTTCGGATAATATTGGTACTTTATATTTCGGAGGCCAAAATCTCAGCATTTTTTCTTCTAACTTTGATTCTAATAGTTCTCCTGCATCAAATGGTGGAGCTATTTCTCTAAGAATCACCCAAGACAGTATATATAATTCAATGCTTTTTATTTCAAACACAACTTTCTCAAATAACTCTTGCTCTTTTAGTGGAGGTGCAATTTATATTGATAAAACCATTTCTTTGAATTTGTTATTAGCATTAAAAATTGAAGACACAAATTTTTATCATAGTCAAGCCATCGATGGTTCTTGTATCTATATAGAAAATAGCGTGGCACTTACTTTAGATTCTTCAATAAAGCATTCCTCTTTTCAAGCAAATGAAGCAAGCTTTTCAGGAACTATTTCTGCCTCTTACATACACGGAATATTAGTATTTGACACATGCAATTTTGTTAGAAACACAGGAGTTTATAGTTCAGGATTTAATATAGCTATAGGTGAAAATAATGAAGAAAACCCCTCAAAATTAATTCTACGTTCTTGTATTTTCCAGTTTAATTCTGGAAATAGAACGTTTTCTATGGATAATGGCAATATAAACTCTACCTTAGAGGTGAATGATTGCTTGTTTGAATATAATGTTGGCTCGATATTTACACTTGATAATGACTATGCAATTGTTGAAAACTCGAAAATTCAACACAATTACTCTCCTAATCCTGGTGGGGCTTTAAGTCTTAAAAACTTAGGAATTTTTTTATCTAAAGGTACGACTTATTTAAATTGTAGTAGTGATATGAATGGTGGAGTTGCTTCCATCAGCATGAAATCTCAATTTTTTTGTTTTTCATGTCTTTTTAGTTATAATTATGCTAGTTTGTCAGGAGGTGTAATTTATGCCGACTCTGATGCTCGGTTCGATATAGATGATTCCATCATTAGCAAAAACTCATGCAAAGATAAAGGATCAGCCATATTTATGGCCAGTTCTTTGGCTAATTCGTCAATAAAGAATACAGAAATATTTAAAAATCATGCAAATAGAGATGGGACGATATTTATTTTATCGTCATCATTGTCTATATTTTCCTCAAAAGTTTATAAAAATAAAGCTGGTGAAAAAAATCCAGGATTATATATTGACGATTCAATTGCTATAATAACTGATACTCATTTTTATCAGCAAAGTGGAAATGAAGGATGCTTTATTTATATGGGTACAAGCTACGTACAAATTACTGGCTCAGCCTTTTATGAAGGATTTTCAAACAATTCTGGAATAGCGATACATGCAACCTCTAGTAGTGTAGAAATTTCTTCTTCGGCATTTTCTAATTTATTTTCTAATAATACAGGCGGAGCAATATATTTATATGAAGGTAGCAGTATTTCTATTGATGACTCAGAATTTTTGGATTCTGGCTCATCAATTGATTCATATTCAAGCTCGATTTTAATAAAAAGCACTCTATTTAAGAATCATTCAAATACTGCTATACATGCAAACCAAATTGAAAAGCTGCAAATATTAAGCTCAGAGTTTTTAGACAATTATGGAAGCAATGGTGGAGCTGTATACTGCGCTCAATGTCATATTATTTTAGTGACTTCTTCAACTTTTTCCAGTAACTATGGAAGAAATGGTGGAGCAATTTACGTTACAAACTTATCAGATCATCCTGAAACCTCCCAACTTATTATTGCTTCTTCAAATTTTAATTCAAATGCAGCTAGCAATGGCGGAGCAGTCTGAACGAACAATATTAATATAATAGTTTCCTCATCAATTTTTATAAAAAATAGAGCTGAGTTATTTCAATCAAAGAACCTTAAAGAAATATCAGATGGTCTAGGAGGTGCGATAAAAATAAGCTGTCAAGGCTCAAATGTTATTTGCAATTTTAATTTTTTATCCAATTCGTTTATAAATAATAGCGCTACTTATAATGGCGGGGCCATTAACTGAGACGATTCAAAACCAACTATTGAAAATAATATTTTTGAAAATAACATAGCATCATATGGCCCTGATATTGCATCTTTTCCTATAACGATGATTTTTCTAAGTAATAATTCAAGAAATTTAGAAAGAAAAGTTGCTTCCGAAGATAGTAGGCTAACATTAAATAATATTGCTTCAGGTCAGAATAATAATCCTCCTTTGGCTTTTATTTTAGTTGACGATCTTAACCAAATAGTTACAACAGATACTACAAGTCAAGCGCAGATAAATGCAGCAAATAGTGACACAATTATATCTGGCACAACAATGGTCTACGCAAAAAATGGGATTTATTATTTTGATGACTATATAATTTCAGCTGAGCCAGGCTCTTCTGTATATATTGATATAGTTTCTTCAGCAATAGATACCCGAAAAATGAATACATCAAGAGAGAGCCTCCAAATGTCATCGAGTTTTTCTATAAATGTGAATTTGCGTTTATGCAAAGTAGGAGAAGCTACTGTTGGCTTAATTTGTGAAATTTGTCCAAAATTTTATTATAATATTGATGTTAGAATGCCTAAGTGTTTAGACTGCCCATCCTCTGCGATTTGTTATGGAAATTTTACAATGGTTCCAAAATCAGGATATTGAAGAGACAATAAGTTCACAGACAAGTTTTGGAAGTGCCCTTATCCTCCTGCCTGCTTAGGATCTCCGAATATTTCAGATCTGGCTTTAACTGGTGCTTGCAAAAAAGGATATGAAAATAACATGTGCCACTCGTGTGAAAATGGCTACTCAAGGTTATACACAGATGAGTGCCAAGCTTGTCCTGATACAGTGAGCAATGTTTTTAGATGAATCGGAATTTCTGCTTTTTTGATTTTTATCTTAGTGTTTATTTTAAAAACAACAAGGGACTCATGATATAAGCAAAAGTCTTTTTTTGCAGTTTATCTAAAAGTCTTTTGGAATTATTTACAAATCATGCTAATATTAGCAACTTATAACTTAAATTGGCCATACGAAGTAATTGAATTTTTTTACATTCAGACTTCTATCGACTATATAGGAGGACAGCTCTTTTCTTTTGATTGCTTTTTACAATTATCGAATTCTAAAAGCAAGATTTATTATTTAAAAATTTTGATCACAAGCTTGACTCCTTTCGTTATGGCATTTTTATGTATGGCTATATGAATTTTAATTTATAAAATCAAATCCAAACGAATTACAGAAATAAAAGATGATTATATTTCTACTTGCATTGTATTGCTATTCTTAATACATCCAAGTATAATAAACACAATGTTCAGCGCTTTTAGTTGCAGGGAAATAAATTCCGGAGAGCGTTGGCTTAATGCAGACCTTGGAATTCGATGCTGAGATGAGAATCATCTTTTTTATGGTTTTATACTTGCTCTGCCTACAATAATTATATGATTTATTGCAGTGCCTTTACTTGCTTTTATAAATTTAATAAAAAATAGGAAGCACTTAGAAGAATTGTGGATGAAAAAGAGATATTCATTTCTATGCAACGGCTATAACTCAAAGCATTATTATTGAGAATTCTTGATTTTATTCTACAAAGTGATATTAATCAGCTGCTCAGTATTTTTGTCAAATATCTCGGCAAATATTCAAGCGCTTACAGCAGCATTGTTTTTTGTGCTATTTCTTTATCTTCATACAAAAAACGAGCCATTTAGTGAAGCATTTTTCAATAAAACAGAAACGTTTTCTAGACTTGCATCTCTAATATCAATACTTATTGGCCTTTGCTTTTTAACAAACGATTTAGGCACTGCTGCAAATTATTTTTTAGTTGCCGTCTTTATAATTGCAAATTTATTATTTATATTTTACATCTTGATAAACTTCTTGCTACATTTTGCTATTACAAATAGATTTATGTCCATAATAAGAAGAATTTTCAGTTCAAAGGAGGAAAAATATATTATCGGCATTGCTCCTTGTGATGAAAGTGGCCAATCACAAAGCTACGATGATGAGAAAAATCATACAGGAAAACTTGCCAGCACTATGGTTTATTCTGGTCATACAAAAATTGAAAATATAAAGATGTTTAGAGAAGATTTAGGTAGTTCAAATGAAATTGACCCTTTTGCTTCAGAACAAAGCATATCCGCTTTTAATTAATTTTATAGGGTTCTTATATTCTTTCATTAATTAAGATTGCATAAAAATAGGCATTTTATCTGTAATAGAATCTAATATCGAAATATAATTAATAAATTAAAATTAGTTAAATATTGAATAACATTCATGATTGAATAATAATTTATTTCTTAGAAAATTTTTGAAATTAAGAGTTGTTAAATGTTTGTCTATTAAGAAACAGAACATTTAAAGATAGGTATATTATTTAATATTTTCCCTAGCCAACAAATTCTTCTATATATAATAACTAAGGCTTAAAATATATTAAGGAAGTTGGTTTTAAAACCTATAATTATAATTCACTAATAAAATTAATTTTATTGTATTTATGAAGAGATAAATATTTTTAAGTTTATTTTTCATTGTTTTCTGCTTCTCTTGCTATCTCCTGATAACTGGCATCTTTGTCTGAATTTAAAGCTTGATTTTCAATTAATAAATTTTCATTTGACGCTATTGAAGAATTTATATTCTGTAGATTTTGGCTATCAGCATACTTTCTATCTGGATCTTCTCCTTCAATTTCACTTCTAACCTTATTTTTATTTCGCCAGCTGCTAAATTTTTTTTTAACGGCAGTCAAAATTAATTTAAGAAGATAAAATGCCCAGTATATTAAAAAATAGAGATTTGCGATAATAATAATAATAACATAGAAAAAAATACTTGCTCCAGAGCTTAAAGAGCCCATTAAATAATAAAGCCCACTATATATTGTAACAACACAAACTAGCTTTGAGCGCAATTTCATTTGGTTTAATTTATGCTCTGTATAAGGATTATTTGAATATTGCAAACGCAAATAAATTGAGTAAATAATAGCTACTATAAGTGCTTGGAGCTTCAAAGATATTTTTGTTAAAAAAACTGAGAAGCAAATCAAGATGATTTTGCTATAAAGAATAATAAATTCCCAATAAAAATGTTCAGTTTTGAATCCATTGAAAAGAAATCCATAAGTAAGGCGGACATTTATATTGTCAAGTTTTTTGCGATTTCTAATAATATTCACCAAACAAATAGTTGGCAAAATGATACCCCATAAAATAATAGTTGGTAGAGAAAAGGTCAACATATAAAAAATATGCTCATAATTTCAGCACTTGATGTCAAGATCTTCTTCAAGCCAATATTCGCCAGAATTAATTTCTGTACAATTCATTGATGCAAACATCTTTTTCACAATGCTTGGGTGAATCAAAAATAATAAGATAATGCATGTTGAAATAAAATCATCGCGAAAAGTTTGGTATGAGGATTTAGCTAGCTTAATAGTATACCAAAATAGGAAAGATAAAAGTAGCATCAAAAAGGGAATAGAAGCAATCATAGTAAGAGTCCTAAAATAAATCAAACTTGTGGAATCTTCGTATTTGAAGAGACACTGAAATGAATAAATTTGTTGGTAAACATAGTCAGCGTTATTTTGGATACTGAAAAATTCTACAACTTCTGATGATCAATTCAATTTGAAGCTAGAGGCTAAAATAACTGTTTTGATATAATTCAAAAATATTTTTATATATGCAATTTACTTTGAAATTAGTTTGGTAGGATGACTTTAAAGAGCCCTTATGGATTACTAGCAAGATAATATTATAAAGATCTATTTATTGTTAGATGTTATAGATTGAAACATGTGATTTTGATTTAAAAGCAGATTTTCTTGTTATATTTACCATAATAGATAATAATATAATAAGAAAAAGTGTAATTCCTAATAATATCAAGAAATAAAATGGTGACGCTCAGAGACCCACTTCTTATCAAGATGGTAGGACCAATCCTGATGAAGCTGAAAGCAGGGCCTCTGTCACTTTTGAAGTAGGCCTTTAGGCCTGGGGATGCTTTGCTGAAGAGGGAAGCTTTGCTTCCCCCCAAATGTTTTCTGTTCTCTTCTAAATAGGCTAGATAGGCTTTGTCCGTATGTTTTTCCTTGCTGGGACTATCGGGGGGCTCTACAGATGATGGCTCTAATCTTGAAGGCTGATCCCTTGGAAAAGTGGTTCAGGTCGGAAATCCAATATGAAGACTGCTATTCTTGGGCTGAGACGAGGCAAAGTCTCGTAGGCTTGCCCGCTTATGGCCAGTTTAACAATTTCATAATATCAAGATATTTTCTTTAGTAGCAGGACATTCTTCACATTTATTACTAGATGTATGAGAATATCCAACTTTGCAAGATTGGCATTTATTGCCCTTATATGCAATCCCGCATTGCCCTGTATAAGAAATATTAATTATATCAGGTGAGCCCAGGCAAGCTTCAGCATGCGGACATTTCCAAAATTTATCCGTATACATATTGTCCCTTCAATATCCAGGCTTTGGAACCATTGTATAATTTCCATAGCATACCACATTATCTGGACAAGCCAGACATGAAATTAAATTTGGGTTTAGACTATAAAATTCTGCAGGGCAAACCTCACAGTTTTTCCCTGATTTGACTTCTCCTATTTCACACTCTCTCATTTTTATGTCCAAAGCCAAGTTTTCGCTGTAAAAAGACTCCCCTGATTTTTTTATTTTATCTATAGCGATTGCTGGAGAATTAACCATTATTTGTATAGAAAATCCAGGCTCTTCTGATATAGTGAATTTGGAAAAATTAAAAATTCCTCTTAAAGCAGTAACTTTGGTTGTTCCTGAAATTTGGGTTGATGAATTAACAGCTCGTAGGCTGGCTTCACTTGAATTGTCAGTTCTTACGATATTATTCAAATTGTCAACTAAAGCAATAAGTAATGGAACTTTTATTGTTTGTCCAGAAGCTACTTCAGTTGCGTTTAAGAATGATATTGGAATATCTAAATTTCTTCTTTTATAGTCAATTAAGCTACCGTCTTCTTTTACTTGCATCAGCTTGACAGGGAAAGAAGCAATGCTCTGCCCATACTCAGCAATATTGTTTTTGTAGCAATTATTGGAGAGTTCAGGTATTCTGTCATCTCAGCTAATGGCTCCTCCATTAAATGTTGCAATATTTTCAGTAAAATTAGTATTTTTTATAATAAAATTGCATTTTCTTGTCTCAGGGCAACTCATTCGAATTCCTCCGCCACTTCCGTATTCTGCTTTATTAAAACAATGATGGAGAGCCAACCTAACCTCTTAGCTTCTGTCTCCAGCTGGTAGTCTAGGGCCTTGTGGAAGGAGAACAGCGTGAGGTGAAGAGTGTCCGGCTGGGTTTTACTTGGTTTGGTGGAGCGCAATGTCGGGCTGGCCGACGGGCTCTAATCCAGGGCAAGGATATAAGTCGAGGGAGGATGGAATTTGGAGATTGAAAGTAATAGTCCAGTAAGGCTGGAGGTGTTTGCTTGGCTAATTAAGCAGTTTCCTAGCGCTATATGAGGAGTTGTGCTTTGGACTACAAATTTCATCTCGATCGATAGCCTGGTAAGAAAATTCGCTTTTCAAATTTTCGGAAATGGTAGCCCCGTTGGCGTACGACAAGGTGCCAAGCGTCCTTAATCTCGGGCTACAAGCAGGAGCAACGCATACCCAAACTGGCAAGTAAAAGGGTGGAATGAAGCAATGGGCGTGAAAAGTCGACATGGCTGGCCACTACTCTAAAATATTCTAAGTTAAAAGCTTTATTATTTTTGCTCAGAGTTGCTTTATTCTTTTCAAAAGTAGATAAATGAATATTTATACCTACGCTGCTTATTCAGATTGCACCTCCATTTTGAGCACTATTAGTATCAAATATACACTTATTCCCCACAACATAAAAAATCACTCTAAAAATTTTTTTTAAAATAAAAATATGAGTCTAACCAATATTTTTTTGAATTATTAATTTATTTATACAGAGTTGATTCAAAAAATTATTCTATTCAGTTTGAAAACAGTTTGAATAATATTTTACTTTAATTTTTACAATAGATTAAGCCGAATATAATTTTATAAAATTAGTGTATTTAAATTTCCCCTATTAAAAAATATTTTATTTCAATTTAAAGAAGGTTAAACTGCCCAAAAAATAGAAATTTAACTTCTATCTATATTTTTCTCCAATATAAATTAAATCAGGGAGTTAGAAACATTATAGGCATCACTGATTTCATTACTAGTTGTAAAAAATAGCGCACCTCCATTTAAAGATGCCCCATTACTCGTGAAAACGCTCGATTCAATACTAATTACGCTGCACGGGTCGCAATATATAGCTCCGCCATTAATCCCAGTGCCACTGCTAAATATTGCATTTATTATTTCCAAACTTTTTAGTTGTGTCCCATATATACCAGATAAAGCAAAGCTCGAAAAGAACGAATTCTCAATCAAAATATCTGACTGATCAGCATTTATGACACCTCCTGCAGAATTGCCACTTAAATCATGAAATTCAGAGTTATTTATACTTACTATACTTTCAAAAGTTGCATAAATTGCACCTCCTTTAGAGGAAGACAATTGACGAAACTCCGAAGAATTTATTAAAAGTGTACTAGAGCTTAAGTATATTGCCCCTCCACTTTCAGAGGAACTGCCTTTATAAAATGTCGTATTTTGTATGTTTACAAAACTCTGGGAAAATAAATATATAAAGCTTCCAGAAACACTTTGCTGGTTTTCAAAGGTCAAATTACTGATATCCGCTATAGAAAATGTTAATTTGATTCCAGAAGCATACCCTTTTGCAAAATTCTCATTAATAGTTAATGACAATAGTGAGATTTTAGAGCTAACCAAGGTAATTAATCCAGATCCATCAGCATGGTTATTTATAAATTCTGTAAACTCTATATATGAAGTCGTTGTGTTACAATTAAACACAGAAATGGCAGATCCATCTTTTCCGCATGAATTTTGAGAGAATCTTGAATTTGATATGAAAAATTGTGATTCTTGCTCGGAGTCTAGTACACCACCTTTACCATTCGCTGCTCTATTTTGTGTAAAAATGCAGTTATCACAATGAAAAACTGATTTAAAGCTGATTGCTATAACTCCACCATATTTTTCGCTTGTATTATTAAGAAATTGTGAACTAGCATATAGATGAATAAAATGGCTTTGATAAAATTCATGGTGTGAATTCTTTTTTCCTCACCCAACTTTTATTATTATAGGGTTAAGTTTTTACATGTGGATTTCTGCACAAGAGCAGAAATTTGAGAGGAATTGTATACTTCGCCTACCTTATGTATCGTGTTTTACCTTGTGTATAGTGTTTTACCTTTTTCCCTACTGATATAAAAGGCAAAGCTCTTAGGCAGAGCAGGTGCTAGAGAAAAGTCAAATAGAGCAAGGCAACACGCCAAGCCACTAGTGTTTTCCCATACTTCTGGGTTCCCAAATGGCTTCAAGGGGACGAGTAGGAGTGAGACAGGCTGTGACGGCATGGGTTCGAGAGTAGCAATAAAATGAAGAAAAAAGATGTCTCATGCATGCTGCACAACTAAAGGACTAAATAGAAGTTAATTAAATTGAGCTAATTATTTGCTTGCGCTAGCATATAGAATAGCTGAGTTCTGAAGGAAAAAGCAGGACCCAAAACTAGCAGATTGTATTGAAATACTGATCCGCTATCAGAAAAATAGTCAAAATTTAAAGAAGCTATGATCCCTTTGTTGAATTCAAATAAACAATTTTTTGTCACAACTGTTGAGTTCCTGTTCTGGTTGTCTAAATTAATAATAGAGCTCCCAGTGTTGTTTCTGAAAGTAGATAACTCAATAATTGCTTTTGAGTGAAGCTCATCGGTATCATCATTTATATCAATGTGAAAAACTGCTCCAAAATTAGAAGAATTCTCGCTGAACTCACATGATTTAAATGATAAAATTCCACTATAAAAATATAATGCAATAGTTCCTGATTTGTGAGAGTTATTTTCTTTAAATTTTGAAGTAATTATAGTTGAGCTTTGAGATAAAGAAACAGAGCGATCCAAATATAAAGCTGATCCATAGTCCGCATAGTTCTCACTCCCCCCCCGTGAGTGAACAAAAAAATTTTTTTCACTCACGGGGGGGTTAATTTTGTTTTTTAAAACTTTTTTATATATAAATTTCATAAAAAAAAATTTTTGTTCGAAATTTAAAAAAATCCTAATTTGCAAAAATTGGAAAGCAAAAATTAATTTAATTTATAAAATTTATGTTTTAAAAAGCAATTCGTTTAAAATTAAACAGAATTAGCTCTAGATTTCATTATACTAATTATCATTTATATATCAAAATTTTTTTCCATAAAAAAATTTTTCTATTAAAAACATTTTTGTTCACTCACGAAGGGTGGGTTTTTGGACAAAAAATGGCGATTTTTCTATTGGTTTTGTTCACTCACGGAGGGGGGGAGTCAGTAAAATTAGTCTGGGAAATGATTAAATCAAGCCCTAAAGGTACTGTTGATTTTGCTTCTATATAAATTCCTCCACCATTCGTTTGAGCAGAATTATTGCGAAAACTGCTTGAGGAAATGATTATTGCTCCTTTATTATTTGCAGAGCCCAAAATAAAATAAATTGCTCCCCCACTGCCTAGTTTTGATTCATTTGATTCGAATTTAGATTATTAAAGTTATCCGTTAGCCATATTGGTGATGCAGTCAACAAAAGATCTCCTGCACGGAGGTTCAACTGCTTTTCAACTCCTACCAGAGGGTATTTCCCCCAAAAGTGGATGCCACTTCGGCACCTTCTGTCTCTCCTTGAGGCTTCTATGAATTTCTGTGGTTCTCCTACGAGCACTTAGAGTAGCTTGATTCCATGGATCAGCCCTTTGGTGCCGATGTGCCTTCTTTAAATAGCTTCAGAAAAAAGACTACTCTGTGGTCTGGGCTAAAACCCCCCGTTTCTCAGTAGAGGAATGCCTATGTGTCCTCGGATCCAAAAGGATGTTGTTGAGCACCTCCATTTTCCAACCACAGAAAAATAGCTAAATGCACATCTCTTGAGCCTGCACTTGATTCTATGCTCGGAGTCCATCCCAGTTCACCGCACCATAAGGTCCGGACTATCGCACCAAGATGGCAGGTTGACACACGTCACCATTTTAATTTATTCAAATTTAGAGGAATCAACATAAAGATTTTTACCTTTAAAATAAATTGCAGGAGCAAAGTCAGCAGAGTTATCTAAAAATGAGCAATTTCTGACATACAAATTATTTTCACTTTCTATTTGGATTGCTCCATTTCCAGAGATGTGATAATTTTTATTCCCTATAAATGTTGAATCCTTTATACTTCTATCATAATACCCTGTAAAATAAAAGCATGCTGGTAAAGGTCCATTTCCTGTATTCTCTATGCAGCTAATTGGCGATAAATCAGGAATATCTAAATTATAAACAATATAAGTTGGTGAAGAGTGCCTACACGTATTATTAACAAGTGTAAAAGGAATGATATCCAAATTATAAGAGCCTGACAAAGACACCATATAATTGCAGCCTATCGTGTGTGTATTATTTTTTCTCTTGCTGATGTATAAATTCTCAATATCTCGATTTTCAATAAAATAATCCAAGAGCAAGCTATTAATATTTTTATCTTCTTCAAAAGACCCATTGGAGTCAATGACTAAATCCTTCAAATCAAAATTGACTAAATTATTTGTAGTTATCATGGCTTTAGCATGGTTGGTTTTAAAAGTAATATTCGTCATTTTGCATCATCTTGGCAATAAATATGCAGTAAATATGTTACCATTTGGCGTTGAAATACTGCTTGTTGTTTGAATTTTATATTCATCTAATATTTTCGGATTACTAATAAATATTAAAGAGTCGTTTTCTGCTCTATTTGATTCAAAAGTCAAATTTTGAAAATAAATGTTTAAAAGTTTTCCTAGAAAATTGATATGGATTAATCCTTGATTTCCATAATTTGATGTAAAGATATATGTGCAAGCTTTAAATAAGATAAAAAGGAAGATTCATTACGACTAGTCCCATAGGTCGTAATATCAATTTGTGTATAAAATAAACCTGTTTGGAAATAATTATACATAAAAGTGCAATTTTGTATTTCAATATTTTGCATTTTGCTGATGTATATTAATGAAGCACTTGATAGAGAGCTTTGCTGTTTTAGATAAACTAAATTGTATTTAAAATCCACATTTTTTATTACGATGGATAGCGAATTTTCAGAATACAAAAACCCTCTAAAATAAAAAGAATCGCCAAACTCATACCCATTGTTTAACCTTTTTACAAAGCCTTGGTTGCAAAAAATATCTAATCCAGTGCTTCTTATGACTGCATTTTTTCTTGGCCTTTTATAGCCTGAGCCTTCTTTTGGCTCTGCTATGCGATACTTTCTGATGTCGACTGGTGGGTTGGAAAGTAAATATTTGCTGGTAAACCCTCTATAGATGGCAAATTTTCAGTAGTAAGCAGATTTGTGATTTTTGGAGGGTTTAATCAAGAAATATTGGCTTTCCAGCCACCAGTTGGCATGAGAAGGTATCAGCATAGCTTGTGCTAAAATAAGGCTTGGGCTATAGCCTGATATTATCAAAGTTAACATTAATTAGTTTCAAAGACCCTGAGCCAGTTATAATTGAGTCATAATTAAATCTCAAGTTTTTTATTTCCACATTTTTCAAAATTAAATTAGAATTTTCCTATTTAAAAAGACTTTGATCAGTAGTTTGATCAGTTCTGCAATAATCATTTGGCAAATTTTGCGAAATAGGCTCATTCCTATCACTGTAATAGTATCCGTCTGTTTCATTATAAGTATTGTATGCACAATATTCGCAATATTCTTCATGATCGCATGCAATATATTGCTCTTTGCCATCAAAAATCACATTTTCAAATTTAACTGAGCCATTAATTATAAAAGATCCCATTGACCATCCATTGATCTTTACTGTAATAATTTAATATGAAGTCTCAGCTCTTCGCGATCGGCTATACTAACTCTTTCGAGCGCATATTGAATTATATACGACAAAGTTTTGCCATCCAGAAATGGACATAAACAATTCTTGATTTTCCAAAGCCTAGCCCAAGTCCGCTTTCAAAGATGGATTTTACCTTTGGGAAGGGTGGCAGAGAAGTTGGAAAGGGGTCGCCCACGGTGTCTACAGGCAATAATAGACCCATCGGGTACTAGACCAGCGCGAAATCAAAAGTTACATCCTGGCCTATGTGTTTTCTTTTTTTGCCAAGAGTCCCATTTTTTGGGATTTTGTGTGGACAACCCTTGCTCCCTACTCATCAGCCTTAAGCAAGGCCGGACAAATCCGAAGACTGATGACACGGTCACAAAGTGACTGAATCTCCTTACTCGGTGAAGCTTAAAAATTAGGGCGAGAGTCTGTCTATAAATAAGTTTAGTTAAGATCTTTATTGTTATTTTATTTTCATCATATACCATAAGCGTTAAGCCTCTAAAAGATAAAGATAAATTCGGATTAGATAAGTTATAATTCCATCGTTTGCCAAAATCTTAGTCTTAGTCTTAGTTAAATTTATAGAGTAGCTCTCGGCCAGGACCGAAGGTCCTTTTCTTCCACCTTTTGGACGCCTCGCTTGCTTTCCTTGCCCTGCTCCCAGTGTGCACCTAAGTGCCACAGGCTACCACTCAGCTCCTTTCGGTCATGGGGCTTGGTCATGCTAACCCGGAAGGGTCACCGTGCTTCACGTCGCCAGACTAGGGTTAGAGCTAAGGATTAACTCCTTAGCTCTTGTCGACTCCTGCTATGCCCTCCAAAATGGCACTAGCGGTCCCTAGAGGAAAAACCCTTTTTGCCGCGTGTCCTATCGGGACGACCCTAGGATCATCGTTGCTGGACTGAGAGGGAAACCTAGCCGGACACAAACTACCAGTACCCATTCCAGACCTTTCCCTGGGCGGATTGGCTTCAGGCCGCAGCAAGGTCCCCAATCTCGCCACAGTCCCGGGAGAGGACGGGTCGGTGTCGTCGCCATTTTATTTGTGTTTGCTTGCCAAAATCAAAAAAATAATTTTACTCGATAAATTTCCAATGGACTGCAGAGCATATTCAAGGGTTTCAAAAGGAGAGTCAAAGCTCCCATCTCCAGATGGAGAAGTATCTTTTTGAGTCGAAATTACATGATATATATAGAAATCTGAATCCTTATAGCTGTTAGTGTAGCCTATTTGAATTCCAAATATATCTGCCTTCATTTGATAATTATTATCACTGTAATATGAGCACGATTTATTAAAAATGCAGTACCTGCAATAATTTCAGGAAGGCAAAGAGCAAGTTGTCTCAGTAACATTGCATAAGCCCCAATTACAATTCTCAATATAGCACCCAGGATAGCATTCGCTATTGCTAAGAGACATTTCTAAAGTACAAGTATTATTAGAATCTAAAAAGCAATTTTCAAAATCAACCGAATGATTCAACTCTGTTATTATGACTTGGTGAAAAAGGGTATATAAAAATAAATCTCTGTTCTTGCATTTTTTTTCAGGATTGATACTTATTTGATCCCATTTGCAGTCAGCTATTAAGCATTCTGGTTTGCAGTTTCCATAGTCTTCAGCTTTGCAATCATTAGAGCATCCACATACATAATAGTCATATTGGCAATCAAAATTATTGCAGGCTTCGTCACATTTATCATTTCAAAGCATTTCTAAGCATTTCTAAGCATTTCTAAGAAGCAGCCACTTGCGCAATATCCACAGTACCCTTCGTCAAAATTGCAAGCTTTATTATTGCAAGCTTGATCGCATATTTGGTTTTCTAATAAAGAATCGGAGCATCCAGGAGCACAATCGCAGTCATTTCCATCAAAATTGCATTCCTCCACATAGCACGCTTCATCACATATAGAGTTATTAACCATTCAGGTATTACAATTAGGAGCACAAGTGGAATTTAAACAGTCAAAATTGTCAAATTTGCATTCTGGGTTATCACTTTCTTTATTGCATATAAGGATCCCCCCTCATTTGTCCAATTTTCTAGTCTTTTTTTTCTAACTCCCCCCATCCTTGATCGAGCGATTGACTGTAAAAATTGCCCATCATTGATCGAACGATTTTTATATCATGCAAATTTTTATATATAAAAATATATTAGTTATCAAAAGCTAGGAAGATGTACCTAATGAAGTTGTTTTCAGAGCTTTGAGACGACAGAAAGTTGCGGAATAAACCATCCGAAGCGATTTAGTCATCAACCTAGGCTTAAAAACTCAATAATCTAATAAAATAGAGATTCTTTTAAAATTAAAAAAAAAAAAATTTAATTCAATAAGGAACAAATTAAAATTTATGCAGTTTAAAGGGTAAACTAATAAATCAAAACATTAAAAAATTGGTATTTTATGAAATTAATTCAATTTTTTGCTGTAAAAATAATTATTAAATACTCTTAGCCCTCTTATTTAATAGTAAATAAAAACAAATATATATATATTTTTTATTTTATATAAAAATTATTTTCCCAAAAAAAATTTTTTAACCCCCATCCTTGATCGAACGATGGCAAGTCGTTCGATCAAGGATGGGGGGGAGTAAGAAAAAATTTTTTTTCATGACCTCATTTGTCCAAAAATCTAGTCAGAAATGATTTGTCCCATTTTCTAGTCATTTTTGGATTTTTTCGAATGTCCTGAAAATTTTTTTTTACAATCAAAATTTTGATAGAAAATTGGACAAATGAGATCCTAAAAAAATTGTTTTTTTTTGGAAAAATAGACAAATGATAAAAGACTAGAAAATTGGACAAATGAGGGGGGGATCCTTACCATCTCCTCATATGGTAGAATTGCATCCAAGCACTGAGCAAGCTTCACACAATCAAGGACGATAAAAGCATGAATACCAGTTGCATTCTTGATTACAAAAGCTATAGCCTCATTTTACATAATCGCCTGAATATTAAATACATGATGGAGCACAATATGGACATAATCCGAAAGCGAACCCACAAATTGGAATATAGCAATCATCAAAGCAATAAGTAGGAATTCAGAGCATGCAGTTAGTGCTTGTTTAGCATGGCTCATAGCAATCTGATTTTAGACGATCATCAAAGCTTTGAAAAACACTTCCTGAGTCATAATTGCAATAAGGACTCATGCAGTTTAAATCGCAATTACCATCACCTTGCTGCTTAATCTTTTAGACTTATAATTATTTGGAATAGTTTTTTGGGTATAATATTGATTAAAAAATATAAGAAAATAATTAAAGGGGTTAGAAGTTACAATCACTGGAGGGCATTCGTGCAAATTGCAAGCAATATCTGCGCCAAAAGCCTGAATAATAAAGAATAATGATAAATAAATCATTTATATTCAATTTTATATTAGATTAATTTATCTAAGTCTTGATATATATATATATATATACAGTTAGGAAACATTAAGAACAAAGTAAAAATCCTTCTTTTTGGAAAATGAGCCTTAAAAACATTTCAGATAAAATAAATTTAATTATTTTAATTTAAGCGTTTTTGGAATATAATGCCTAAATTAATTTATTAATGGTTCTGCAAGCCAAAATGAAATTTCATGTGCAAAAATCCTAAAATTTTATATGAAAAACTTTTGGTTTTTAGAAAATATTAATAAATTAAAGCAGCAGATGATATATTCTTTATAAAAATAAATCAGCTATTTACTAATTTTATGGACAATTACCTTTTATTTGAGCTATATTCATATCACTATTTCTGCATAGCTAATTTTGTAATTACTTATAGGAAAAATCTAACCAAATTGAAATCTTTCAAAGTTTGCTTTTTGATGTAGTTTTTTGCAGATTCTATCTAGCTATAATTTGGAAGACTTTCAACGGTAAAACTGTGTGTTTTCTTGGAATGATCTGGGAAAATTATATATTTTAACATATTTACTGATTAAAATAATTTGAAAAGTCGAAGTTGAATTTTATATAAAATTAAGGGCATAGAGAAATAGAATAAAATTATGAATTATTAAGAAGATTCAAATAAGAGTCAAAGAACAGGAATAAATAATAATGGTATCTTGAAGATGCTTCAGTTGAAGAAAAACTGTATTTAAAATATGAAGATGAAGGTGTATAGCTGGAAATTTAGAGTTAAACTAAATAAAAATCAATGAGAAATGTTTTAATTTGGCAAATTATTTTGAAGTTTTAAAATTATTTTAATAGTCATTATTTTTTGGGCTGTCTAGAGAAATATACAATCAAATATATTTATTTTGGAGAACTAAGATACTTTCCAGCAAGAAATTCTGGAATATTTACTATAAATAATGATAAGCTATATAAATCTAGATTTATTTATATTATATTTCCTTATGATATTAATTCTACGCATGAAGTAATTCTTGGCAAGCAATTAATTTTAATGAAGATAAGCCATTTATAGGATTGGCTTATTACTCCAAATTTTTTATAAAGTAATATTAATAAATTCAAAGATATTATTTCACGTCAATTTACGCTGATTTCAGGCATTATCTCTTTAATACATAAGTAAAATCTTTATTAAATTGCCAATTTCCATCTACCTTTCCTTTTTGCTCATCTTATATCTAACTCTATAATTTTTCTGTATAAAGAAGAATTTTATGGGTCCTTAACTATATAAAATTACAACTTTTTCGATTCCTCTTATATATTACACCCTAAATTCTTCATGTGCATAGCACTCATCAATAAGTAGTGTCTCATATTCATCCATCCGCACTGCTTAGGCATCTTAAATCCATAAACTGAGATTTGTAATTTTAATTTTTACTTTCAAAAAGCTGACAAGCACAAATTAATTTTGAAAATTTAAATCGACGGTCAATAATAATCTAAAATATTTCATGACTATATCTAATAAAATTTCCGTTAACAAATAATTTTTGATCATTGATATAAGTTGGTTCGTTTAGAAAATCTTAAATTAAAGCTTTTCTAAAATTAACCTCCAATTTGCTATAATGCTGGATAGCAGTAAAATCATAAAATAAATGAATTACATGGTGATTTTATTATCTCTATGGCTTGCTAAAGGCATAGACCCTATATGCAGTGCATCACAGTGCCCAGACATAAGAGTAATTTTAAAATAGAAAGGGAATCATAAATGTGATCCTGAATGCATGACCTCATACTGCAATTATGACAGCTTGCTTATATTTGATGGACAAACTGTCAAAGAAAGCTCTGATTGTTATGAGAATTGCCTTAATTTTGGCAGCTGTGACCCAAAAAAGCTTGGAAATGGGATATGCGACGATTCTTGTAATACTCAAAACTGTGGGTTTGATTGAGGAGATTGCACTTGCGCTCCAGGCTGTTTAAATTCTATGCTGGGAGATGATAAATGTGATGAAGCCTGCGATAATTGAGACTGTGATCTCGATAATCATGATTGCGGAGCATGTGCTGATGGATGCTTTCCAACTATGCTTGGAAATGGCATATGTGATCCTGAGTGTGATAATGAGGACTGTCTTTATGACTATAAGGACTGTCAATGTGCAGAAGATTGCTTATGGGAAGATTATGGAAAATGTATAGTCTGAACAACCTTATGATCTTGCTTTCCCAAATTTTTGAGGAATTATGTAGTTTATTAGGTGATTTTCAAAGTGAATTAATAAACTGATATAGAGATTCTAATTTGCTGACATAAGTTGGAAGTCAACTCTCCCAGCTTCTCGAGGACTAAAAATAAATTAGACCCATAAGGCGTTTTATAGTATAAGCCAGAATGCATGATAGCAAACTGCAACTATGATAATTTAGCCCCGGTTAGGTTTTATTGTTGTTCCTGTGGTTGGAAAGAGTTAGCCTAGCAGCGCCTTCTGGATCTGAAGAAAAAATTCACCGCGATATCAGGCCTGTTCAGGTCTTTTTCCTGTAGCTGCTGAGGGCGGCACCCACACAACCCCTTATACTCTAGCTTTTCCTCTCTGGATCAACTACTCCAATGGCGCTTGATGCAGGGCCACAGAAGTCTATAGTCCGCCCTCTCAACACTATAGCTTTTGGCAAGGAGAAAAGAGAAGGTAGTATTGATGCTTTTCTTGCTTGTGAAGCCATACTTGACCGATCAAGTGTTTGATAGAGGATGCCGCAAAGCAAAAGTCCTTGGCAACTGCGAACCAATACAGCCAAGCCCATCTTTTAATTAAGATTAAGATAATCTAGCCCAATATCCAAATAATCAATGCCAAAATATTTCTTTGGCAATATTTTCTTCTTATCAACAAATTATTCGTCAAAATTTTTCATATGTCGTTCATCTTGAAGACTGTTATGAAGCTTCAAATTACGAATGCACTTTAGAAAAAGCATTAAAATTTAGTTATGAAAATTGATATGAAGAATGTAATTATCTTGAATGCAATTATGGAAATGGATATCAAGGCGAATATTTCGATTATTGTGCTCGCTTCTACAATGATCCATATCACACCGGATGCTTATCTTGCCCCAATTTTATTGAGGTCCCATATCTTGCTTTATTAGATTGAAGTTGCCAAAGTAGAGTACTTTTAGAATGAAGCCCATCTGTATTTCCAGACACATCTTATGTAATTGTGCCTTTCAATGATACCTCCACATCTAAAAATCCTCACATTTATTTCATATGCCCAAATGCACACTCAAATCCTGAAAGTGGGGATGGAACTTATTCTTCTCCTTTTCAATCTCTTTTTTATGCTCTATACAATATTAAATACAAAAACTCAATTGTCTATTTATTAGATTGCGATGGTTATAACTTAACATCATATCTAACGATGATATCAAATGCAAATATATATGTCAATAGAGAAGTCGCATTTGCGGGGAAACATGTTAAATTTACCACCCTGAATAACTCAAAAATAACTATACAAAGAGTAATAAATGATCTAGATAGCGTAGATCACTGGGGTTTTGGTTTTCTTTTTGAAAATGCTTTAAGCATTGAGATAAATAATGTAATTTTTGATTGAAAAAATACTGTTAGCGCTTGCAAGGATGACACTTATTGTGATTATTGCCCTTTTGTGAGATATGAATTAAAAGAGAATTATTACTTTAATGACAGAGGAGAAATTATAAATGATTTTCTGTCACCTAACTGATGCGAGCTTAATAAAGATCAGATATTTATGCAAATCACATCAAGTAATTTATTACTGAGAAATGTCACTTTTGCTAACTTTAGGACTGACTTTGACTCTATTTTCTTTATAAATGGAGATTCAAATGTAACATTTTATGATGTTACTTTTGACAATATTAAGGTTAATGATGATTATGAGTCCTGGGTAATAAGATGGGATGGCAATAGCTATGGGAATTTTAAATTTGAAAATGGAAAGGTAAGCAGACTAAATAATGGGTTTGAACTATATGATCCTATTAATACTAAGGGTTTTTTAAATGCTACTGGCATCAACTCAATAGTTTTTAGAAATGTTGAATTTCGAAACAATGCTGTATTTAAGCAATCTGTAAGTGGACATAATATTGCCTCATTGATTTTTTTAAACTTATTTCAAGCCTTTTGAATTGACTCTTGCAGCTTTTTATATAATTTGTGCGATTATGGAATAATATATATTCAGGAGCAATTAAGCAACTTTCCAATAGAAATTGACAATGACAGGTGGCTAAGCATAAATGACACCTAGATATTTCTAACTCCAATTTTACATCAAATTATGGAAGAACTGGTGGAGTTCTTTATGCTTTATATGAATATGAAAGTCAAAATTTTCTTATTGAGAATTCATCATTTACTCTAAATGGGATTGAAAGTGGTTCTTTAATACATATAGAAAGCAATTATGTACATGAAAATTACTTAGTAGATACCATATTAAATATAACTTTATCTGATGGAAGTATCGTAGGAGGAAAATATTTAGCTAAATGAATGAAGTTTCAAAATTCAAATTTTACAAGAAATTATTCAGGAGGCGCTGGGATAATTGAAATTATAAAAATTGCTAACCTTCAATGAGAGGGCTTGGAATTAGACTCAAATGGCTTAATTATATCTGAATCCATGAACATAAACACAATGTTTATGAAACATTATATAGAAAACCCTTTAATTTATGCTAGATCCAGCATAAATAATCCTAAGGATTTGAATTGTGAATCCCTATCAATTATATCAAACTCAAATAATTTCAATATAAAATCAATAAATGTTTACAATAATTATTGCAAGTATTCTTCTCCTAGTATCATAATTTCAAATACAACTAGTGTCGTAAAATCAGCTTATTTTAATAATAACAAAGGAGCAGGAAGTTATGGCATTTGCTTAGCGTTTCTTTGAGACTCACATTCTGAAATTATGAATTCTAGCTTTTATTCTAATATCAACTATAAATATGGTAACCCTGCAGCTATAAGTAGCTATTCAAGTTTACTAATACAAAACTGTACGTTCTCTAATAATACTGGTACTTTTTATTTTGGAGGGCAAAATCTGACTATTTTTTCCTCTCATTTTGATTCCAACAGCTCACCTGAATCAAATGGTGGAGCTATTTCTGTTTCAATATCATCAGGCAATATAGAATCATCTATAATTTTTATATCTAGCACGATTTTTGAAAATAATTCCTGCTCTTTTAGTGGAGGAGCTATATATATTGAAAAAGCTACTCCTCTAGATTTACTTTTGACATTAAAAATAGATAATACAGATTTTTTTTATAATCAAGCTTTAGACGGTTCTTGCATTTATATAGATCAAAATTTGGAGCTTAGTTCTGATTCTTCAGTTAGTGACTGCTCTTTTCAAGAAAACATAGCAGGCTTTTCAGGCACTATTTTGGTTTATTATCTCTATGGAATATTGGCTTTTGACCATTGCAATTTTATAAAAAATAAAGGAATTTATAGCTCTACATTGAATATAGCTACAGGTGAAAATACTAAAGAAAGGCCTTCAAAAATAATTTTAAATTATTGTGTTTTTCAATATAACTCTGGAAATATAACAGTTTCGATGGACAATACAAATATAAACTCTAACTTAGAAGTTTATGAATCTTTATTTGAATATAACATTGGCTCAATATTTGGGCTTGATTATGATTATGCAGTAGTAAAAAACACGAGGATTCAGCATAATATATCTCCTATTTCTGGTGGGGCGTTGAATCTTAAGAATTCAGCAATTTTTGAATCCACAAATACAAGCTATTTAAATTGCAGCAGCAAAAATAATGGTGGAGCTGCTTCTCTTAGTTTGAAATCCCAGTTTATCTGTTTTTCATGTCTTTTTAGCACTAACTATGCCTATTCTTCAGGAGGCGCTATTTATGCTGACTCAGATGCTCAGTTTTACATTTTTAATTCCACAATTAATAAAAACTCATGTAAAAGTAAAGGATCAGCTATATTTATGGCAAGCTCATTAGATTTTTCGTCAATATATAGTAGTGAAATATCTGAAAACTTCGCTTATAATGACGGTACAATTTTCATTTTATCATCACAGATTTCAATATTTTCGTCAATGATTTATAAAAATTCAGCTTATGGAAAAAATCCAGGTTTATATATTGATGACTCAAATGCTATAATTGATGATACTAAATTTTTTAGCCAGCATGGAAACCAAGGATGTTTTATTTATATGAGCACAAGCTATGCAAATGTAACTAACTCAGCCTTTTATGATGGATTTTCTAATAGTTCAGGTATAGCAATACATGCAACATCTAGTCTTGTAGAAATTTCTTCATCAAAATTTTCTGATCTTTTTTCGAATGATACAGGAGGATCAATTTACCTTTATGAAGGCAGCAATCTATTTATCAAAGGAACGAAGTTCTTGAACTCTGCCACATCAATAGACTCATATTCTAGCTCTGTTTTTATAGAAAGCTCATTGTTTAAAAATCACACAAGAGCAGCTATATTTTCAAGCCAAGTCGATGAGCTTCAAATTTCAAGGTCAACATTTATTAATGGTGTCGGAGCTGTATACTGTATACAATGCAATATTATTTCAATCACTGAATCTTGATTTGTCGGTAATTTAGGAGAATATGGAGGAGCAATTAATATTGTAAATGAAGCTGAGCATCTAGAAACATCCCAAATTACTATTTATTCTTCTGTATTTAAATTGAACGTAGCTAGAAATGGTGGAGCAATTTGAACAAATAATATTAACTTGCAGATTCTGTCATCAATTTTTATTGAAAATAAGGCTGAAGCATTGCTTGCAAATAATTCTCAAAATATAGAAGACGGAGTCGGAGGTGCATTAAAAATAAGTTGCAAAGACTCAATGTTTCTTTGTAATTTTAATATTACATCAAACTCTTTTAGTAATAATAGCGCAACCTACAACGGTGGAGCTGTGAGCTGAGATGACTCAAAACCATATTTTCATAATAATTACTTTGAAAATAATTCAGCATTTTATGGGCCTGACATAGCTTCTTTTCCTACAATGATGATTTTTCTAAATAACGAAACTAGAAGACTACAAAGTAAAGCTATATTTAAGGATAGAAGTATCTTAGTATTAAACAATGTTGCATCAGGTCAACGAAATAACCCTTTATTAGCTTTTGCGCTTGTTGATGACCTTTATCAAATAGTTACTACAGATACTACAAGCCAAGCACAGATGAAAGCAATAGTAGCTAGTACAGTTATATCAGGCTCAACAATTGTTTATGCAAAAAATGGAATTTATTACTTTGATAATTACATAATTTCTGCAAAGCCAGGCTCTTCCATTTATATTGATATAGTTTCTTCAGCAATAAATACACAAAAATCTAACACATCAAGCGAAATTTTGCCAATGTCATCAAATTTCTCTATGCAAATTGATTTGCGTTTATGCGAAATGGGGGAAGCTACAGTTGGACTTATTTGTGAGATTTGCCCTAAAGGCTATTATAATATTGATGCCAACAATTCTAAGTGCTTGGAGTGCCCATCAAATGCAATTTGCTATGGAAATTTTTCAATAGTTCCAAAATCAGGGTACTGAAGGGATACTGAGAATTATCTTAAATTGCCTAGGGTTAAATAGCTTGAAGTTCCTATTAGACAATCTATGGAAAACATTATAGCAAGTTCACAAATAATTTTTGAAAATGCCCTTATTCGTCAGCTTGCTTGGGCTCTCCCGATAACTCTAGTTTATCTTTAACTGGGACTTGCAATAAAGGCTATGAAAATAATATGTGTCACTCGTGCGAATATGGCTATTCAAGGTTATGATATATATTCAATTAATTAAACATAAACATTTATATAGATGAAAAAATATAATTTTATTATTTAGCATAATAATAAAAATGCAGCGCTCTTTGAATATTCTGTTCTTTTAAACAGAAGTTCTCCTTTTGGCCAATTTCGATTATGAGGTTTGGCTTCATCCAGTGAATCTATCCTGGCAATGATAGCGCAACAAGCCTAAGGGCGGGCAACCTTGGACACCTATCCCCTAGGGGAATTCGAATTTTCTGGAGTGCTTCACCAACTCCAGGCTGTCGAGACTGAGAATTTTAGCGTGCCAGATCGACACAAGTTGATTTTTGCCCAAGAGCTGAAAAACAGCCGAATGCCGAAACCGAGAGATCATCGAGATCAAGACCAAGTGGTAGAAGACGCGTGGCTGGTGGGAAACCCCGAAGTAGGAGCAGAAGTTTGTCCAGATGATGTGGTATTGGATGCTTAACAAACTAATTAAGATTGTTATTTGGCATAAAAGAATCATTCCAAAAAAGTTTTTCTTAAAGCGTAATATAACAAAATATATATAGAAATGAGTGTCAAATTTGCCCTGACTCTGCTACTAATATTTTTAGGTGGCTGGGAATTTCTGCCTTACTTATTTTTATCACAATAATTATTTTAAAAACAACAAGACATTCTTGATACAAGCCAAACTCTTTCTCATCAATTTACATAAGAATATTTTGGAATTATTTACAGATTATTATCATAATAGCGACTTATAATTTAAATTGGCCATTTGAAGTAACCGAATTTTTCTTTGTCCAGACATCTATGGATTATATTGGAGGACAGCTATTTTCTTTTGATTGCTTCTTACAATCATCGTACTCTAAAAGCGGAATGATAAATAAGCTTTAAATTATTTTCAAAAGAAATAATAAAAACATTGAAATTTTTTCTAAAAGCAACATTTATTATATAAAAATTTTGGTAACAAGTCTGACTCCATTTCTTATAGGTCTGCTTTGTCTATTATTTTGAATTTTAGTGTGTATTATTAAAAAGAAACATATAAAAGAAATAAAAGATGACTTTATATCAACATCTGTGGTTTTGTTATTTTTAATCCATCCAAGTATTATTGACACCATGTTTAATGCATTTAGCTGCAAAGAAATTAATTCTGGAGAATATTGGCTTAACGTAGACTTGGGAATCAGGTGTTGGAACCATGATCATCTTTTTTATGCATTTTTGTTTGCTATGCCTACAATAATTATATGAGTTGTGGCAATACCTTTGATTTGTCTTATAAATTTAATTAAGAATAAAAGTTATTTACCCCATTTGAATAATTGAAAAACATTTAAAGAGAGTGTTTGTTGAAAAATTAGAGTTGAAATAGCGTTTAAAAATAAAATAAATATAAAAAATATTATTGGTGCTTGTAAAAAGATAAAAATTACGAAAAGCAGGCCCTTTCGAATTTTAAGCTGCCCCCTATTTATTACAATTAAAATGAGTAGGAAAGCTAGGAGAATTGTGAATGAAAAAGAGATATGGGTTTCTCTGTAATGGATATAGAGTAGACTTCTACTATTGGGAATTTGCTGTTTTATTTTATAAACTATTTTTAATTGGCTGCTCCGCTTTCCTATCAAATATCTCTGCCAATATTCAGGCCCTTACAGCAACTCTTTTCTTAGTGCTATTTCTTCATCTTCATTCAAGGAATCAGCCATTTAATGAAACATTTTTTAATCAGGCTGAAATTTTTTCAAGATTAGCATCATTGATCACAATTCTATCTGGCCTTTGCTTTTTAACTAGCAGTTTAGGCACTGTTGCTACATATATTTTACTTGTCATCTTAATATTTATAAATGCTGTATTTATCGCTTACATTTTAACTAAGTTTTTATTGCAATTTGCAATAATACACAGCATAATTATGAGGGTTTGAAAAATGCTATATTTCAGAGGGAAAAAATATGCAGCAGAGATTGCTCCTGCCAGCGAAAATGAACTTGATAAGAATTCTATAGAGGTTCAAAAAGAGAGCACAAAAATAGGAAGCACTGCAGTACTGTCTGATAATACAAAAATTGGAATTTTTGTGGAGGATTTGAGCAATTCAGTAGAATTAGACCCTTTTTCATCAATGAAAAGTATATATGCTTCGAACTAAGTTTAAAGGTTTTTATATAAGCTTTGCTGCTCTTCTTGATGTGTTTGCAAACAAGTCTAAAGATTATTTTAATAAAATATAGCTATAATGCCCTAAAAAATTTGATTATTTAATTTATAGTTAATATTTGGTGCCATAATTTTCCAAGACTTTTTACCTTTAAGATCAGAACAATTTTATTTTATAATTCTAGGTTAAAAGAAATCTAATATATTTTATAGGTCACAATCCCAAGTAATACCTAAAACAATAGCTCGCTATTCGATATAGGTAGTAAAATAAAAAAAATAAACACTTCAAAAATCTGTAAATAATTTTAATTTAAATTTTTGAAGATCTATTTATTTCAAATATCAATTTTTTAAGACTGAAGTAATTTTAAATCATATATCTCTGAGTATATAGTAAAAAATTTATCACATTAGTTACAAGCCATTAAATATAACATCAGATTTGATGATTAAATTTTTATTGCATATAAAACAATAAGCTAATTTAATAATTTATTCAATTTAAGAATTGATATGATCATATTCAGAAACTCATATTTATATAAATGATTTAATATCATTTATTGTTTTTGAGTAATTTTGCTGCATATTAGATTGAGGTTGTGATATATTTTAATTATTTTTCAGTAATTTTTTGTAATAAAAAGATTTTATTAATTTGATTCTTAAACTAGAATATTAATTCTCTCATCATATCAATTAAATAGTGATAAAAAACTATTGAAAAGTTAATCAGATAAAATTAAATAATGCATATCTCCTTCATAAAAAATCAGTTTTTGTTGATCAATTAATTTTTTTCAAAAAACATATATTATCATAATAATTTTAAAATTTATTAATAAATGAACTATATGATGATTTTATTAAAACTTTGGTTGGTAGAGAGCATAGACCTTATATGCAGTGCGTCACAATGTCCGGATATTTGAGTAATTTTAATTTAGAAAGGAAACCGCAAATGTGACCCTGAATGCATGACTCCATATTGCAACTACGACACTTTACTTACTCTTGATGGACAAGCCCTCAAAGAAAGCTCTGATTGCTATAGTTCTTGTATTAATTTCAGCGGGTGTGACCCGAAAAACCTTGGAAATGGAGTATGTGATGATTCTTGTAATACTCAAAATTGCGGTTTTGACTGAGGAGATTGTACTTGCGCTCCAGGATGTCTGAATTCAATGCTAGGAGATGGAAACTGTGATGAATCTTGCAACAATTGAGACTGCGACCTTGACAATCATGATTGTGGAGCATGTGCTGATGGATGCTTTCCGGCTATGCTTGGAAATGGCATATGCGATCAAGAATGCAATAATGAAGACTGCTTATATGATTATAAAGACTGCCAATGCTCAGAAGGTTGCTTATGGGAAGATTATGGGTCATGCAAGCCAGAATGCATGGTAGCGAACTGCAATTATGATAACATAACTCAATACCCAAATAATCAATGCCAAAATACCTCTTTAGCACTCTTTTCTTCTTATCAACAAATCATCCGCAAAGATTTTTTATATGTGACTCATCTTGAGGATTGTTATAAAGCCTCAAATTATGAATGCACTCTAGAAAAAGCATTAAATTTTGATTCATACAGTGAACAAGAAGAATGCAATTATCTTGAGTGCAACTATGGAAATGGGCATCTTGGAACATCATCTGATGATTGCTGACGATTTTACAATGGTACAAGATGCTTATCTTGCCAGAAAATCTGGCTTTGAATTTACCTTGCTTTGGCAGATGAAAAATGCGTTGATTATTCATATTTATCTTCAAGCCCATCGGTATTTCCAGATGGATCTGTTGTAGTTGTCCCAGTAAATGATACTTCTTCATCTAAAAATCCTCATATTTATTTCATATGCCCAGAAGCAGCTTGGGATCCTGAAAGCGGGGAAGGAACTTATTTTTCTCCTTTTCAGTCTCTTACTTATGCTCTTCGTAATATTAATTACAAGTACTCAATTATTTATTTATTAGATTGTGATGGATATAACTTAACAACATATCATTCAAGTTTGAATCCTGGGATTGAAATGACTCAAGATGTTGCATTTGCAGGAAAACATGTTATAATTACCCCGCTCTACAGCTCAAAAATAACGATAGAAAGAGCTATGAATGATGCATATGAAGAAAATTATAGTTTTAGATTGTACTTCAAAGATACTCTAAGTATTGAGATAAGGAATGTGATTTTCGATTGAAAAAATACTGCTCCCACTTGCAATGATGATGCTTATTGTGATTATTGCCCTTATGTAGTTTATGATTCAAAAGATAATACTCCCTATAACGACAGAGGAGATATCTTAAGTGATTTTTTATCATCTGAATGATGTGAGTATGATAAAAATCTGATTTTTATAGAAATCAAATCAAGCAATTTATTGCTAAAAAATGTCAGTTTTATTAACTTTAGGACAGGCTTTAACTCCCTATTCATGATAAGAAATGATACAAATGTAACATTTTATGATGTTACTTTTGAGAATATTAAGGTTAGTGACGATTATGAATCCTGGGTTATCCGATGAAATGGAAATGGCTATGGGAATTTTAAGTTTGAAAATGGAGTGGTAAGCAGACTTAACAATGGATATGAACTATATGATCCTATTAATACTAAAGGATTCTTGAATGCTACTGGAATTAATGCAGTAGTTTTTAGAAATGTTGAGTTTCGAGATAATGTTGTATTTAAGCAGTCTGTAGCCGGACTAAATGTTGCCTCATTGATATATTTGAATTTATTTCAAGCTCTTTGAATTGAGACTTGCACATTTTTGCATAATTTATGTGATTTTGCAATAATTAATATTCAGCAGCAGTCTAGCAACTTTCCAGTAGAAATTGACGATGATGGGATTATTCTTTACTCGAAACTCAACAATATTTATATTTTTAACTCCATTTTTGAATCAAATTATGGAAGAATTGGTGGAGTGCTCCATGCTTTATATGAGTATGAAAGTCAGAATTTTCTGATTGAGAACTCATCATTTACTTTAAATGGGGTAGAAAGAGGCTCTTTAATACACATTGAGAGTGATTATATAAATAATGATTACTTAGTCGATAGTACATTGAGTGTAATATCGCCTGATGGAAATACTGTAATAGGGAAATATTTAGCTAAGTGAGGGAGATTTCAAAATTCAAATTTTACAAGAAATTACTCAGGAGGAGCTGGAATAATTGAAACAATAAGAATGATTAACATTAAATGAGAGAAATTGAATATAGACTCAAATGGTTTACTTTTATCTGAAGCTATGAACATAAACTCAATTTTTATGAAATTATATATAGAAAATCCTTTGGTTTATGCTAAATTCAATATAACTAATCCTACTGATCTAAATTGCAAATCTCTATCAATAGTATCAGACTCAGTCAATTTCAATATAGAAGCATCAAGTATAGAAAAAAATTACTGTATGCACTCCTCTCCTAGTATTATTATTTCAAACGCACTTAGTATATTAAAATCAGTTTATTTCGACGATAATAAAGGAACAGGAAGTAATGGTATTTGTTTAGCATTTCTTGAAGATGCACATTCTGAAATTCTAGATTCTGAATTTAATTCTAATATAAACTATCAATCTGGTAGTCCCGGAGGTATAAGTAGCCTATCGAGCGTACTTATACAAAACTGCTCATTTTTTAACAACATAGGCACACTTTTGTTTAAAGGCAAAAATCTTAGTATAATGAAATCTAGAGCTAATTCTGTTTAATTTTAAACAAATTGCGTTTTTAAAACAAAAATTTTGCAAATTAAATTAATATTTGCTTCCCAAATTTTTGCAAATTAGGATTTTTTTTAAATTTCGAAAAAAAAATATTTTTTATAAAATTTATATATAAATTTTTTTTTAAAAAAAAAAATTAACCCCCCTCCGTGAGTGAACAAAATTTTTTTGTTCGCTCACGGAGGGGGGGGGGGGAGTTAGTAATTTTTTTTAACTATAAAAAATTAAATTGATTATTTGCAATATTTACGTAATAAATTAAAAAAAAAAAAATCCATATGTGAGTGAAGGGGAGTTAGTATTTTTTTCCTCTAATTTTGATTCCAATAGCTCACCCAGGTCAAATGGGGGTGCTATTTCTGTTTCATCATCAATAGATAGCATAGAATCCTCTACATTTTTTATTTCAAATGCAACTTTCACAAATAATTCCTGCTCTTTTAGCGGAGGAGCAATTTATATAGAAAAAGTAAGTCCATTAGATTCGCCGTTGAAACTGCAAATATATAGCACTAATTTTTTGAATAATCAAGCTTTAGATGGCTCTTGTATTTATATAGATAACAGCTTAGGGCTTTATTCTAATTCTTCAGTTAGTGATTGCTCTTTTCAAGAAAATATAGCAAGCTTCTCAGGCACTATTTTGGCTTATTATCTCTATGGAATCCTGGTTTTTGATAACTGCGAATTTGTTAAAAATAAAGCAATTTATAGCTCCGGACTTAATATAGCTATAGGGGAAAATACTGATATAAAAAACTCAAAAATAATTCTAAATTCTTGTACTTTTCGGTATAATTCTGGACATACAACAGTTTTTATGGATAATTCCAATATAAACTCTACCTTAGAAGTTTATGAGTCTTTATTTGAATATAATTACGGCTCAACATTTTTACTTGACAATGACTATGCAGTTGTAAAGGACTCCAAGGTTCAGCACAATTTTTCTCCTAGCTCTGGTGGGGCATTAAATCTTAAGAACTCAGCAATATTTGAATCAAAAAGTACGATTTATTTAAACTGCAGTAGCAGCGTTAATGGCGGAGTTGCTTCTATTAGTTTAAACTCTAAATTTATCTGTTTTTCATGTGTTTTTAGCACAAACAATGCTGATTCTTCAGGAGGTGCTATATATGCTGACTCAGATGCTGAATTTTACATTTCAGATTCCATCATTAATAAAAATTCATGTAAAAATAAAGGATCAGCCATATTTATGGCTAGCTCATCAGCTGGTTCAACAATATACAATACTGAAATTTCAGAAAACTACGCATATAATGACGGAGCTATATTTATATTATCATCATATATTTATATGCTTTCATCAAAAATTTACAAAAATACTGCCTATGGAAAAAATCCAGGCTTATATATTGATGACTCAAGTGCTATGATTTCTAATACATCGTTTTTTGACCAAAGTGGAAACCAAGGGTGTTTTATTTATATGAGCACGAGCTATGCTAATATAATTAACTCAGCCTTTTATGAAGGTTTTTCTAATAGTTCTGGTATTGCAATACATGCGACATCTAGCAGTATCGAAATTTCTTCTTCAGGATTTTCTAATCTTTTTTCTAATGATACTGGAGGATCAATTTACTTGTATGGAGGCAATATTCTTTCTATCAAAGACTCAGAGTTCTTGAACTCGAGCTCATCAATAGACTCGTATTCAAGCTCTGTTTTTATAGAAAATACATTATTTAAGAATCATACAAATACAGCTATATATTTAAGCCAAATTGAGGAACTAAAAATATCAGGCTCGAAATTTATTAATGGTTTTGGAATTAATGGTGGGGCTGTATATTGCACACAATGCAATATTATTTTAGTCGTGGAGTCTTTATTTAATAGCAATTTAGGGATAGATGGAGGAGCAATTTATGTTGAAAATGAAGCTGATCATTCAGAAATATCTCAAATCACTATTAATTCTTCTAATTTTCAGCATAATTCAGCTAGTAATGGAGGTGCAATTTGAGCAAATAACATTAATTTGCAAATTTTATTATACTTCGAGAGCAGGCATGGCTCAACTTTGACTCCTCTCTCGCCTCTCCTTGCTTTGAGACATATTTATTTTTAATGAAACAAGTAAAAGAAAAAGAAAAGTCAAATTATAAAAATTTGGCATGTCAAATTGATTTTGTCATCTCATCCATACTAAAATCATCAGAGATGGGGAGGAGAGGAGAGGGAAGTCTATATCGGAAGATAAATGTGCTTGTGCTATATCAGTTTTCAACGGAAACAAAGTTGAAACATTGCTTCAATATAGCCTACAAGACATAGAAGATGGGATTGGAGGAGCAATAAAGATAGGCTGCAAAGAATCAAACTCTGTCTGCCACTTTAATATTTCATCAAGCACTTTTAATAATAATAGTGCAAGCTATAAAGGTGGAGCAATAAGTTGGGATGATTCGAAGCCATTTTTTTACAATAATTACTTTGAAAATAATTCAGCACAGTATGGACCAGATATCTCTTCTTTTCCAACAATGATGATTTTTCTAACTCTCTTTGCAGATTTATCTTGATAATTATTTATAAAAATTTAATTTTTAAAAGTATTGTGCGTTGTAAATATTTGAATACCAGTAAACGCGTCTTAAAGGTCGAAATCAGTCTGCTATTCGCTAAATAGCACACTTGTTGGTGTTCAAATATTTAGAATGCACAATATTAATTTGCATTTCCCGAGATTAAACAATGAAACAAGAAACCTTCAAAGCAAAACTATATCAAATAATGGAAGCATTATAACAATTAACAATGTTGCATCAGGCCAAACAAATAACCCTTTATTAGCTTTTGCTCTGGTTGATGATCTTTATCAAATAATTACTACAGATACTTCAAGTCAAGCACAGATTCAAGCAATAACTGCTGATACAGTTATATCAGGCTCTACACTTACTTATGCAAAAAATGGGATTTATTATTTTGATGACTATATAATTTCAGCAAAGCCAGGCTCTTCAACTTATATTAATATAGTTTCTTCAGCAATTGATACACAAAAAATAGGCACATCGAGTGAAATTCTTGAAATGTCATCAAATTTCTCTATAGGAGTTAATTTGCGCTTATGTGAAATGGGGGAAGCTACAGTTGGACTTATTTGTGAAATTTGTCCTAAGCACTACTATAATATTGATGCTAGTAATTCTAAGTGTTTAGAATGCCCATCGAATGCAATTTGCTATGGAAATTTTTCAATAGTCCCCAAATCAGGCTACTGAAGGGATAATATTTTGACAGATAAATTTTGGAAATGCCCGCATCCACCAGCGTGTTTGGGCTCCCCTAGTGCTTCTAATTTATCTTTAACTGGAATTTGTGATAAAGGCTATGAAAATAATATGTGCCATTCGTGCGAATATGGTTATTCACGATTATATAGAAATGAATGTCAAATTTGCCCTGACTATGCTACTAATATTTTTAGATGGATAGGGATTTCTTTATTTTTAGTATTTATCACAATTGTTATCTTTAAAACAACAAGAAATTCCTGATTCGAGCCGAAACATTTCTCTTCAATTTACATAAAAATATTTTGAAATTATTCACAGATAATCATCATTATAGCAACTTATAATTTAAATTGGCCACAAGAAGTAACAGAATTTTTTTATGCCCAGACATCTTTAGATTATATTAGTCGGCAGCTGTTTTCATTTGATTGTTTCTTACAATTATCAAATTCAAAAAGCAATATTTATTATATAAAAATTTTGATAACTAGTATAACTCCATTTGCTGTAGGTTTGCTCTGTCTGGGATTTTGAGTTATAATATATATCATAAAAAAGAAAAGCATAAAAGAAGTTAAAGATGAGTTTATATCTACTTCAATCATTTTGCTATTTTTAATACAGCCAAGTATAATTGATACCATTTTAAATGCTTTTAGCTGTAAAGAAATTAATTCTGGAGAATATTGGCTTAATGTAGATTTAGGAATTAGATGTTGGGATCATAATCATCTTTTTTATACTCTTTTAGTGGCTTTACCTACAATATCTATATGAGTTTTTATAGTACCTTTGCTTTGCCTTATAAATTTGATAAAAAATAAAAATCACTTAGGAGAAACATGGATGAAAAAGAGATATGGATTTTTTTGCATTGGTTATAAGCTAAAATATTATTATTGGGAATTCGTTATTTTATTTTATAAAGTCATTTTAATTGGTATTTCCGTATTTCTATCAAATATTTCAGCAAATATTCAAGCCCTAACAGCAGTTCTTTTCTTTGCACTATTTCTCCATATTCACTATAGGAATGAACCATTCAATGAAACATTTTTTAATAAAGCAGAAACTTTATCAAGATTAGTCTTATTAATAACAATTCTGGGTGGCCTTTGTTTTTTAACTAGTGATTGGGGTACTGCGATTACATATTTTTTACTTGTCCTTTTAATATTTCTCAATTCACTATTTATCGCATACATTTTAGCTAAGTTTTTTTTGCAATTTGAAATATTTGGCCTTATAATGATGAGGATATGGAGATTTTTCTATTCTAGAGGGAAAAAATATATAGTTGGGGTTGACTCTGCTGATGAAAGCGAGCTAGATCAGTGCCAATCTCAAAAAGATAGCGGAAAAATAGGAAACGCTTCGACAATTTCAGATAACACAAAAATTGGAATAGTTTTCAAGGAAGATTTAAGAAATTCAATAGAATTAGACCCTTTTTGCTCAATGGAAAGCATCTATACCTCAAAATAAATTTAAAAATTATCATAATAAAATTATTTCTTCATCAATAAATATAATAAAATAACATAAAACAGTGCATATTGACATTAGAGCAAGCAACTTTTAGTTAAATATTAATGATTAATTTGTTAATCCCCAATTACTTCAGAGCTAATTTAATTTAATTTTGTTTTAAATATAAAAGATAAACAATTTTTATGATATAATTCTTTTTATGAGGCTCATAGCATTCCTCTTTTTATTTCAAGTTTTAGGAATCAACATAACTTGTAACATGAATGAATGCTCCCCAATCTTCGTAGATCCTAAATAGAGAGGTGATGGCTCATGTGATACCCGCTGCATGCTCCCATATTGTAATTTCGACTCAAAAGAATATTACCATTCAGATCCTGAAAAATCTGATTGCATTGAAACCTGCAAATCTTTTTGCTTTTACGATCAGCCTGGTGATGGAATTTGCAAGGAAGAATGCAATAAACCATCATGTGGGTTTGATTTTGGTAATTGTGGGTATTGCGCTCCATCATGTAATCAATATTTAGGCTTTCAGTGACAATTAGGAGGAACCTGCGATCCTGACCCCCACCTTTAAATTGGAACAAAAACCAGGCAAAATATTCGGTTTTTTATATTAAACAATGCTAATTTTTATATATAGCTTGACTTATTAAATAACATTTTAAAGGGGAGTGAGTGTAATACAACTTCGTGCTATTATGATTATGGAGCTTGCTTAGATTGTGCAATTGATTGTAAGTCAAATATATGAGGAGATGGAAATTGTGATGAGGAATGCAATAACAAGGAATGCAATTTTGACAATGGAGACTGTTTAAATGTGACTTGTGCTGCTGGATGTTATAAGTGGATGATAGGAAACTCAATTTGTGATGAAGCATGCTATGTGGAAGAGTGCAATTTTGATGATTATGATTGTGATTGCTCTCCAGGCTGTGATTCTTCATTATTAGAAAATGGGGAATGTAATGAAGTTTGTAATAATGATGCCTGCGATTATGATAAAGGAGACTGTGGATACTGTGCACGTGGTTGCTTTTTAGATATGCTAATGAATGATGTTTGTGATGATATTTGCAATACTTTTCGATGCAAATATGATTATTATGCTTGCAAATGCACAGATGGCTGTTTAGCGGAAGACTATGGAAAATGCAAACCAGAATGTTTAGTGGTTGATTGTAAGTACGACCAAATAAGCAAAGATACCCAAAAGTGATGCAATAATACAGAACTCGTCAAGTATTCCTTTTATCAACAAATTATGACTATAGATTTTGATAGTCCAGTTAGTTTTGATCGCTGCTTAGAAGCATCTTCCCAATGCAGCTTAGCTATGTCTTTAGATTCAGAATCATGCTACCCTGAGTGCTATTATAAAGAATGCAATTTTGGCTTATGCAATTTTACATATGAATGCATGGAACGTAATAATCCAGATTTTTGAGAATTATGCATGCCTTGCGAAGGCTATATATGGGAGGGTGAATGCTATACATTAGGCAAAACTCAATCTGTATTTATATTTGGCATTGGAGTTAGATACCCAAGCAAATTATTAGCTGCAGGGTATCCAGATTTCAGCATATTCTATGCCACTTCTACACAAGCTGGAGACCAGTCTTCTGGGGATGGAAGTGCTGATTATCCTTACGAAACCTTAGACTATGCTCTGTCATCTATGTATAAATTACAAAAAAGAACAAGTTTTTTATATTTAGCTGATGATGGAGATTATTACTTAAACGATTGCAGTGCTTTTAGAGATGGCGGTATACATTTTGTAATAAAGGGATATGAAGGTGGCAAAGCAACTATTAAAGTAAATGGCTGAAGTAAATTTACTTGTTTTATTATGGGAGGAGCTACTTTTGAAAATATAATTTTTGATGGGTCAAGGCAATATATTACATGCAGCGACTCAGAGTATTGCGAATATTGCTCTTATAGTACCTATAATGAAAGTGACGGTAATTACTATAATGATAGAAATCAAAATATTTCTCAGAATTTACCTATTCAGGATTGTATCAATAATCAAGGTTCTTCCCTTAGTCTTTTTTTAATGAGCCAATGCACTCTAACTCTAAAAAATGTTGAAATAAAAAATTTCCGATATAATTATGATCACATTATAAGTGGTGATAAACTTTTGAGATTATTAAATGTTAGCTTTGACAATATACAGCTAAATGGGATGGAGAGTAGTGCAGTTATATATATGGATATTCCTGAACCAGATGGATTTCTTCAGATAACTTACAAAGAAGGCTCTGTAACAAGGCTAAATAATGGATATAACCCATGACTCCTTATTGATTTCTGAGGGAAAAACCTACTACCCCCCCCCCCCTCCGTGAGCGAACAAAACCATTAGAAAAATCGCCATTTTTTGACCAAAAACCCACCCTCCGTGAGTGAACAAAAATTTTTTTAATAGAAAAAAATTTTAATGGAAAAAAATTTTGATATATAAGTGATAATTAGTATAATGAAATCTAGAGCTAATTCTGTTTAATTTTAAACAAATTGCGTTTTTAAAACAAAAATTTTGCAATTAAATTAATATTTGCTTCCCAATTTTTGCAAATTAGGATTTTTTTAAATTTCGAAAAAAATATTTTTTATAAAATTTATATATATAAATTTTTTTTAAAAAAAAAAATTAACCCCCCTCCGTGAGCGAACAAAATTTTTTGTTCGCTCACGGGAGGGGGGGGGGGAGTTAAAGAGAAATTTACTTTTGGCATTCTGAAAAGTCAAATTTAAAACTGAAAATAGGAGATATAAGGTGAAATTTTTTTAAATTAATTTTACTTTTTATATAGTGAACTACACTGACTGGCACGGGATGCTTTTGGCTCAGTTTCGAGCCAAAAGCACCCGTGCTAGTCAGTGTAGTTAACTATATTTTTTTCTTTTAAAATTCATTATCCTTAAAGATCTATTAAGGGGCACACGCTATATGAAATTGATGACCCAATTGACTTTAGGGGATTTTTATATGTATCCCATTCTATTTCAGTCTTGATAAAAGACGTGGAGTTCAAGTACAATTTAGTCTCTAGAAAGCCAAAAAGCACTTTAGCAAGCGCTTCATTAATTTACCTCAAAACTATAAAAGACATTGAAATAGACAATTGCACTTTTATATATAACTATTGTGAAACTGGCATTTTCTATGCTAAATTAGAAGTTAGTGAATATGAAACTATTTTTAACGAAACAAACTACTTGACATTCTTAACTTTACCTCATATCAATATTCATGATTCTAGATTTATCTCAAATTTTGGAATTTTTGGGATTATTCATATAGAGTTTTTATATAAGCTACTCAATATCAATTTAATCAATACCACATTTGAATCAAATGGTGCAGAGAGTGATTCTTTGCTTTATATATACAATCCTGCAATTATTGACGAATATAAAAATGAGACTACTATCAATATAATAAACTCTGGCCAAGGAGAACAGCTTATAATCCTATTGCCAAGATGATGCAAAATGACCAGTCTTACATTTTTGGATAATCATGCATTGAGCCTTATTAATACTACTAATTTAGTGAATTTAGATATAGAAGGCTTAAATATTGAGTTCAATGGGTCTCCGACAGATGATAAAAATGCTAACACTTTGCTATTTAATTATTTTATTGAAAATCGAGATATTAATAAATTATATATCAGTAGCATGAAGCCCGACCCTAATCCTATTGATTGCAATTTCATGGTTTTGATAGAAAGTCCTTACAATTTTAAATTGAGGGAAATTACATTGGTGAATAATATATGTAGAAATTCATCTCCAACCTTTAAAATTGTTAATTCAAATATCAGAGATTTGGATTTAATTAACTGCTCTGGCAATATTGGGCATGGACAGCTGCCTGTATGCTTATATTTTATAGGACTTTTTGATAGAAACATTAAAAATTCGAATTTTAGTGAAAATATAAATTATCATGCATCCGGAAATGGAGTAATAAAAATAGAAGGCGAAAATAATTTATATATAACCAATTGCTTATTTTTCAACAATTCTGCAAGTTTAGCACCTTTATATTTATCAGGCAAAAGTCTTTATATTGAATTTTCGACATTTGAATCCAATGAATCAATTTATGGGAAAGGAGCAGGCTTATATTTTATTTTGGTTGATGAAGAGACATCAGCGTCAGTAATAATTTCGTCAAGCTATTTTAATAGCAATTCGGCCAACTCAAATGGAGGAGGTATATACATAGAGCAAAAGTCAACTTCTGCTATGAAGCTAGCGCTAATGATTTTTCAAACTATTTTTACCGGAAATAAAGCAAAATATGGCTCAGCCATGCATATTGATAGCTCAATTATATTAACCAAAGACTCTGCGATAGTTAGCTCTAAGTTCATAGAAAATGAGTCTACGATATCAGGAGCTATATCTTTGTATTATTATAGTGGCATTTTATCATTTCTATCATGCGATTTTATTGAAAATACTTCACTTAAGATGGGAGCTGCTTTTCACATTGATATCTCACAAGATACTCAAAATTCCCGCTCAAAGGTTATTATTGAATCATCGATTTTCAGAAATAATATTGGAAAATATATCATTTATGCTGATAGCCAGAACAGAAACTCGTCAATTGAAACCAAAAATTGCTTATATGAATACAATAGTGGCGTTTTAGTATCACTAGACAATGATTTTTTTATTGATAATGGCTCTGTTTTTCAATATAACTCTGCCCCTTTTGGTTCTTGCTTTAATCTTCAAAACTCAGCTATTTTATATGCAAGCTCACAGTTTTTAAATAATACCAGTTATAAATATGGAGGGGTTATTACTATGAGCTTTAAATCAATTTTTAATTGTGATAGCTGCATTTTTAGCCAGAACTCAGCTATTGGAGGTAAAGGTGGAGTTTTAGTCTCTGAGCAAGATTCTGACTCCCCCCCCCCCCTCCGTGAGCGAACAAAAAAATTTTGTTCGCTCACGGAGGGGGGTTAATTTTTTTTTTTTAAAAAAAATTTTTATATATAAATTTTATAAAAAATATTTTTTTCGAAATTTAAAAAAATCCTAATTTGCAAAAATTGGGAAGCAAATATTAATTTAATTTGCAAAATTTATGTTTTAAAACGCAATTTGTTTTAAAATTAAACAGAATTAGCTCTAGATTTCATTATACTAATTATCACTAATTATATATCAAAATTTTTTTTCCATTAAAATTTTTTCTATTAAAAAAATTTTTGTTCACTCACGGAGGGTGGGTTTTTGGTCAAAAAATGGCGATTTTTCTAATGGTTTTGTTCGCTCACGGAGGGGGGGGGGAGTGAGTTTTTTATATCAAATTCAAGCTTTGATGAAAATTTTAGTGGCAATGATGGCTCAACTATTTTTACTTTTAACTGCAATTCTGCAACTTCTTCGATAGTAAACTCAATTTTTTTTCGAAATCGTGCATCAGGTGCAGGCGTAGTTACATTCATAAACTCTAAAATATCTATTGTGGATTCTACATTTAAAGAAAATTCAAATGATGGACTAACATCAGGAATTAAATTAACATCCACAAATGCCAAAATTTCTAATTCAAAGTTTTTAAACCAGTCAAGCATTTCAGGGAACTTCATTTATGCTATTGCTGATAGTAATGTGGAAATACAAAATACCAGCTTTTCTAATGGAAATTCAGAAGATAGTGGAGGAGCAATTTTCTCAAGCGCGAGTCTTATGTCTATAAATTCTTCAGTTTTTACTAATTTGTCATCTCAAAAAGGAGGTGCTATTTATTCTGTATTTGAAAGTACACTGATTATAAATAACTCTGAGTTTTCTGACCTAAAAGCTTCAGTTATAGGAGGCATTATCAATGCTAACCAAGCTTCTTTGATTATAGAAAACTCGAACTTTGATGAATTTTCTTTGACAGGAATATAGCTTATCTGTTTTTTGGATAGTTATGGAACACTAACTAATAGGTAAAGTAATGCTTTGAGCTGTTGGACTGACAATTTGTCTAATTTATTTCTACTTAATAGGAAAATGATATTTCTCATTATCACTTTGGCCTGTCGCATGGATACTTTACCTTTTAAGGTATTGCTTCCCACTCCCCCCATCCTTGATCTAACGACTCGCCATCGTTCGATCAAGGATGGGGGTTCAAAAAAATTTTTTGGGAAAAGTTTTTTTTACATATAAAATAAAAAATATACGTTTTTTCTTTTTTATATATATTTTTAAATAAGAGGATTAAGCGTACTTAATAATTATTTTTACAGCAAAAAATTGAATTAATTTCATAAGAATACCAATTTTTAATATTTTGATTTTATGCTTACCCTTTTAAACTAAATAAATTTTAATTTGTTCTTTATTGAAATTAAAAATTTTAAATTTTAAAGAATCTCTATTTTTTTAAATTATTGAGTTTTTAAGCCCAGGTTGATGACTAAAGCACTTCGGATGGTTGATTCCGTAGCTTTCTGTCGTCTCAAAGCCTCTGACAACAACTTCATTAGACACATCTTCCCAAGCTTTTGATAACTAATATATTTTTATAAAAATTTGCATGAAAATCGTTCGGGTTAATTTTCCCAATTTTTTTAGGAATTTTTACAGTCAATCGTTCGATCAAGGAGGGGGGAGTCAGCGGTTTAAATGAGTTTTAGAGCTATATATGGGAAAGAGATGAAAAAATTAAATATCGCGAATTCAGGGTTTAGCAATGGCTTTGGATCCAATGGCGGGGCAGTATATTGTGAATCTTGCAATAAAATTACTATAAATCAATCCAAATTTAATAATAACAGTGCAGCTTTATATGGTGGTGCGCTATTTTTTACAACAATAAATGAAATAAAACAAGTTCAAAATATATCTTCATGCAAATTTTCTAATAATAGTGCACAAAATGGAGGAGCAATAAACTCAATCGATGTAAATTTACATGTTAGCTTATCAGGTTTTGAACAAAATAAAGCTGCTTCTAACTCAGTAAGAGACACACAAACCATTGGAAAATCCATACATTTTGGAAAAATAACTCTATTTGAAAGCAAAATTTTGATGTAAAATATATAATTGATAATTATTTAATGGAATATAGCTAATTCTACAGAATCCAAACAGCCCGCAATCTAAAAATAAATTTTACAAATTAAATAATTGAGACCTTTTTTTAAATTTCGAAGAAAAAAAAAATAAAAAAACTTAACCCCCTAATTAGCAAAAATTTGTGTTCATCAAGAGAAGCAGGAGCAAGCAAGAGAATTTAAATTATGGAAATGGAGGGGGAATCTGAATTAGCTGTCCAAATATTCAGACATGCAAGTTTAAAATTCATTCAAATAACTTTGTTGAAAATACTGCAAAATACAATGGTGGAGCTATCAGTTGGGATAATACTTTGCCTGAATTTATAAATAATTCATATAAAAATAATGCTGCTGAGTATGGAGAAAATATTGCTTCTTATCCTATTAAGCTAATGCAAGCCAATAAAGATGGATCATTAGAAGGCTATAAAAGCAGAATACTAGCTGATTTTACATCTAATTCTAGCTTGACAGAAATAGCATCTGGACAAAATATCAAAAATAAATTATTAGTAGCCCTAGTAGACAATATGAATAATATCATACGAACTGATAATACAAGTGAAGCAGAGCTGAAATCAACCAATTTAACTGCCCAAGTGTCAGGGAAAATTAAAGCGATAGCCAACAAAGGAATTTTTAATTTTTCTGATTTTGTTATTTCAGAAGAGCCTGGTACTGATATTCAAATTATTGTTACCTCATCTGCAATTGATATAAATAAAATAAAAAAATCTGGAGAAACTATTTTTAGCAAAAGCTTAATTTTTGATGTGAAAATTCGAGAATGCGAAATAGGAGAGGTTAAATCAGGAAAAAATTGCGAAGTATGTCCTATAGGATTTTATAGCTTAAACCCTGAATTAATTTCATGCTTATCTTGCCCTGATGTAGCTGAATGCTATGGAAATTATACAATAGTTCCTAAACCTGGCTATTGGAGAGACAATATGTATACAGACAAATTTTGGAAATGCCCACATTCTCCTGCTTGTCTAGGCTCTCCTGATAAAAATAATATTTCCTTAACAGGAGAATGCGAGAAAGCTTACAAAGGCAATAAATGTCAATCATGCCTAATTGGATATGTGCATACTGTGGAAAACAAGTGTGAGGAATGCCCAGATACAGCATATAATATTTTGACTATAACAGGCATAACTTTTGGACTTATGATAATTTCATTTGCAATTGTAAAAACTACCAGGGAAGCTGCTTTTAGGCCAAAGTCAGTGATTTCAATATACTTAAAAATATACATAAAATGGCCACCCTCTCATGGGTGGTTACCCGTGTATATCCGGGCATGGTTTTTTGGAGCCAGGAGTTGGCCCAGCAATGCTTGGGACCTCGAAGCGAGAGGCCTAATCACAGAGAGACCGCTGCTTTTGCGACCAAACTCCTTCGCAGTTACTCGTGACTAATTTTTGCCAGCAGCGTCCAGCCTAGTGGGTGCCCGAAATGAGGGCAGGGGGACTTACCTACCTATGCTATTTTTGCGATTTTCCCCGAATGGTGGAAGCTGTGAGTTCGTTCTCGGCTCACCGGGAAAGAGGGAAGGCAAACTAGACGCCTAAACAGGGGTCTCTCCAGCTAAGGCGCTCTCAGTGAGCGGATCTGGCGTTGTCATGGACAGATTCGGCATAAAAATAGGGTGACGTGACAAGTTGGAAATGGAGGCGGTCAGCGATGACAGTATGAGCTGTCCCTTTGACCATCACATCTACGGAGAAACTGGGGTTTCGGCCGGGCTTGAAGCGGTTTGCGCCTCTGCCACCCTATGGGATAAACCCGTAGAACGTTACAACGACAAAGTGGGGGCTTTAAAGACACAGCAAAATCTAATCTAATATACTTAAAAATATTTTTTTAATTACACACAAATGATCATTTTGGCCTCTAACTTTAAGATGAGCTGACCAGAAGAAGTTATAAAGCTCTTTTTAGTCCAATTAAAATCAGACTATGTCTATCAGGAAATTTATTCTCTTAGTTGTCTTTTTCAAGGCGAAAATTCGCAAGATTTAGCATATTTCAGAACTCTTATCGTTGTAGCAGTAATTCCAGTTTCAATGATAATTTTATCGCTTACTCCCACTTCCGTGAGCGAACAAAATAAATTTTTATTTGCTCATGGAGGTTGGTTAATTTTTTTTAAAACTTAAAAAATCTATATTCGAAATAATTTAAAGCAAATATTAATTTAATTTGTAAAATTTATGTCTTAAAATGCAAGCCTTTTTAAAATTAAACAGAATTTGCTTTAGATTTCATTATAATAATTATTAATTATATAAAAAAAAATTTTATTTGCTCATGGAGGTTGGGTCTTTGGGCAAAAAATAGGGATTTTCCAATCGTTTTGTTCGCTCACGGAGGGGGAGGTAGCTTTTGGGCTATTTTTAAATGGATTAAAAAAGCATATAAAAATTTTTGGGATGATTTTATATCGACGTGCATAATATTGCTGTTTTTAATACATCCAAACATAGTAAAAACTATGTTTGCATCTATGAATTGTACAGAAATAAATGATGGAGAATACTGATTGGAAATAGATCTTGATATTATGTGTTGGGACTATGATCATATTTTTTATGTGCTTGCAGTTTCTTTGCCTTCTATTATTTTATGGGGAATTCTTTTGCCTACAATTTGTTTGATAAATCTTACGAAGAATAAAAAAAAATTAGATAACATTAGCCTTCGTCTGAGATATGGATTTCTTTTTAATGGATACAAAGAAAAGCATTTTACTGGGTTAGGCTCCATTATTAAAGACAGGCGTTAGCCATATTGTTGACGCAATCGCCAAAGACTTCCATACGAGGTGTTCATCCGCTTTTCGACCCCAGCCCAGAGGGTCAATCACCCAATAATTGCTTTCACTTTCGGTGCCTTCTGTCTCTTCCTTGCCTTGCAACTCTTGAATTGGCTTATGGATTTCTATAGTCCTGCTACGGGCGATTGGAGTAGCTTGATTCCAAGGATCCTTGGAGTCTGTCGGGTGACGAAGTGTCTTTTATTCGACAGTTACAGGAAAAAGACTACTCCCCATGGCCTGGGCCAAAGTCATCAGTTTCTCAGCAGAGAATGCTCATGGATCCTTTGATCCAAAGGGAGGTTGTAAAGCCCTCCATTTCCAACCACAGGAAAGCAGCCAAACTACCAGATACACATCTCTTGAGCCTACACATGATTTTCAGCTCGAAGTCCGTCCCAGTTCGCAGTGGCCATAAAGTCTGAACTTCAGCGCCAAGAGGATAGGTTGGATCATATCGCTATTTTAATTTATTATGCGCTTTTACTGGGAGTTTATAATTTTATACAGTAAAATCATTCTAATTTGCTGCTCAGTATTTTTAACTAGAATCTCTTTAATACTTCAAGCCCTTATTGTATCTATTTTATACTCAATTTATCTGCATCTACAATATTTCAATAATCCTTATAATGAACCCAACTTAAATCAGATGGAATTAAGAGCAAAGTGCGTTTGTGCAATTACTATATATTGTGGGCTTTATTATTTAATGGGCTCTGTGGGCTATATAACAAGGTATATTTTATTTATATTAATAGTCTCAGCAAATTTGTATTTTTTAATTTACTGGGCTTGGTATCTCTTAAAAGAAGTTTTAGCAAAAATAAATAAATTTATTAGGAGTTGGATAAATAAAAGCAGAATAAGCAGTCAAGGAAAAGAAAGTCACTTAAATAATAAAGACCTAGAAGACTCGAAAAATATTTTTAGCCAAAGAGAAAATATATCAATTTCATCAAATGATAACTTTTTATGGGAAAACCAAATTTTGAGTAAAGATCCGGTTGAATACAGTCAAATTGAAACAAGAAAAAATTTCGAGCTAGTTTCTGAGGAGCTAAGTAGCTAAGTATTAAAATAAAATTGATTTTTTATTAGAAATAAAAATTAATCTGATTTTGGCTGAGGATTTCTCAAAATTAGTTGAGGAGGTTTAAGAATTTGATGGATTGGTGTTACTTGAGATTTCGATTTTTTAATAGGATTTGCAGAATCGCTTTTTGCACGTTTAATTGGCAGATTTTCCATGATTTTTATTATTCTTGCCTCATTTCTCAATGCTGAAAACATATTCCTATTAAAAAATAATTTAGAATCTGCAATTTTTACTTATGCTTGTTGCTTCTTTATATAAAGCTAGATGCTGGGCTGTCTTAGGAGCTTTTGTACCAATATTTTAGACTTTATAAATTTGCATAGTCATAGCTCAAGACTTGGAAATTTAGTTAATTTCAAGCTAATTGAAGTAAGCAAATTTAATACTGATCTTGTTTGTGTATAATCCATATGGATTGCTCAAACATTTGGCTCCACAGCCAAGGTGGGCAACTTGCAATTCAACTTCAGTCGGCAAGTGAAGTCTCAATTTGGAAATTCTTCAGGATATCGCAGATTTGCCAACTGAGTTTAGACTTGTCAATTGGGTTGACTTTGCAAGTTCCCCACTTGGCCGGTGGAGCCAAAAGCTTGGGCAATCCATGTGGATGCTCAAACTATAAAAATGGCAAATCGACCGACCAAGAGCTACCATTTAAGTTAATTTTTCTCCCCAGACGAGTGTTTTGTTCAATTGATAGATAGCTTCTCCTCAAGCTAAACTCTCTCTCGAGCTAATAGACCTTGAGCTCCTGCGATAGAACGGACCAGCATCAAGGCATGTGGAAGAAGGCCATAAGAGTCTCTTCATAATTCAAATCGACAAAGAAAAAGGATTTTCAGAGGTAAAGCCTGAAGTTCATTGGACTCCAATTGAGGAGATGTAAGTTAATTGAGTGTAATCGCACCGAACACAGATATTTTTACGAAGAGAAACGGGCAAGAGATGCGAAAATAAATAGTATTATGCCATTAGTGGTGGAAAATAAAAGCTTTAAGGTCCAGCACTGTGAACTTTTGCTTCCGCGACAATTGCTTTACGACCTCTAAATAAATTCGGTTTGGATCAGCCAAATTGCATCAGTTTTTAACGATAATTTACTGTAAGATTGGGATATTGAGCTTTAATTTAAGGTTGATTTTTTTTATATTTTGCTATTTTGAGTATAATCCATAATTCAAAATCTCTCGAAGTTATGTCATTTGTGGAAATAAAATTCAATATAAAATTAAATATAAGTTCATCTGGACAATATCTTTTGATTCTGCATATCATCTAAGCAATTGCTAATTATTTTGAATTGTTGCAATGTGTATAATAGCCACTTTTCTCTAAAACTATTTGCCTAGATTTTCAATTTAAAATATTAAATAAGTAAAATTCACAAATTCAGATAAATTTAATAGCTGGAATAGAGTCAAATAAGAAGTCAGAAGAAAAGCTTCGGCAAAAATGTGTTCAATATAAGATGCTACTGAGTGCTGCAAACAAAATTTAAATTTTTAAATGATTTTAGTAATAAGCGAAATAATTGCTGATTGAGCTAAAAAAAACAAATTCATTTAAATAGCAGCAATTTAAATTAATAACATATTTTATTTTACCACACAGATGTATGATTTCATATTTTTCCTAATTCTCAATCAATTCTCTGCAAATATTATAATTTTGGCATTTTTCAATTTTGATGAAAGAAAAACGATGAAAATATTTTTTACTCTGGCCGTCAATCAGAAAAGTTATTTTAACTATGACAATGGCCAAGCTAATTAAAATTTCAATAAATTAAGAAATGTTAATGAAATTATTTCAGCTAAATTTTTTCAATTAAAACGTGCAGTTCATCCTCCCCAACTATATTTTAATATTAAATTTTGCTAACTCACAGTTCGTCAATGAACAAAATTTTTGTTCATTCATTGTAAGCATTATCAAATGCTTGATATATTATCTTATCTTATATTATTCAGCAATGCTCACTTATTACTCTCTATTACTTAAAGAGCTTATGTTCTTAGCAAGCCGTTAATAATAATAAATTACGGTTATCGCTCATCTTACTGAGCCAATTTTTGTTCTAAAACTTAGCAAGCCGTTAAGGGCTTTTTAGAATAGCCTTCCTTCTTCAAGCTGTTTGCCTGCAAAAATTAAGTCTTTGTGATCTGGTGGAATCCTTTATGTCTTTCTTGGGTTTTGGCTTTAACGTTGTACGTGGTGTCTGAGGATTCATCAAAGGCCAATTATTTTTCCAGTTTAGGTCTTAAAAAAATTGCATGCCTCCTCAAAGTCTGATGATCAAGTGGAGGATTGATTCTTTTTTAATGCTGTAGTCAGCAAGAGTTCTTTCATCTTCCAATTATTTGCTTCCGAAAATGAGTCTTTGCTGGTTTTGAGGAATTTCTTCCACGTGTCTTGTTTCTCCTCTCGTTTTGACCCAGCTTTCAAAATTGCCCGTAAAGAGCAACCTCAATCAGCCTTACCTCTCTCCTGTTGCAATTGCAGCTTCTAGTACCAGAACGAACAAGCTATAGACATGATTCTTATCTTATCTTTAAGTTTAAAGCGGAAGATTCCGCACTTCTCTCGTTTAAAATCAAAAAATCTAAAACTTCAAACACTTCAAAAACAACAAAACAACAAAACTCTAACTTCTGTGATAAAAACCTTAATAGAATTTCAGAAACAGCGCCAGCAACATCAGTTGAAGCATCAATGATGAACCACCCACTCGATCCTCCGATGTGAGCCACCAAACAATGCAGACTCTACCACACCAAGTCCTCCAGTTCCCACAAACTCCATAAGCTTCATCAAATTTCCTCAAACTCTCACAAAACTCCTTCAAACTTTTGGCACGAAAATGCGCCCTGCTAAAAATTTAATTATTAGACATGATTCTTAAGCTCATTCCTCTCTTTCTCTGTTCCTCCTCTCACAATTTTCGAAATGTAGAATTTCAGCGTCTGATCCATTAGCTCGCTTCTTCAAAAACAGGCAGATGCTGAGTTCTTCCATCTATATAGCCATTTATTTCTCTATTGATCAAGGAGTGGAGGTAGATTGCACAATGCGGACTTATTTGAGGAGTATCATTGCGTGTTTAAGAGACAATAGAACCATCACTTTTTAAATTAACTCCCCCCGCTCCTTGAGGGAACAAAACCATTAGAAAATCCCTATTTTTGCTTAAAAACCCACCCTCCGTGAGTGAACAAAAATTATTTTAATAGAAAAGTTTTTATCGAAAAAAAAATTGATATATAAGTGATAATTAGTATCATGAAATCTCGAGCTAACTCTGTTTAATTGTAAACAAATTATGTTTAACATAAATTTTACAAATTAAGTTAATATTTGTTTTCCAATTTTCGAGAAGTGGGATTTTTTAAATTTCGAGAAAAAAAAAATTAACCCTCCTCTGCGAGCGAACAAGTTTTTTTGTTCGCTTACGGAAGGGGGAGTAAGCAAATTTACAATTTAAGTTTAGTTCTTCTAATTATTTTTATCTATTTTAGTTGAATTTAAGTAGCTTCAATTAGTTTTCCAATCTCATCTTTCCTTCTTTCCAAACGCCTTTGCACGCTTCTCCTTGCTCATTATAAAGTGTTCCTTCTCCATGCTGTTTCCCATTCACCCAATGTCCTTCATATCTCTATCCATTAGTCCAAACAAAAATACCATATCCTTCTTTTTTGTCATCTGCATAATCTCCTTCATAATGTCTTCCATCTGGTCATGCAAACTTTCCTTTTCCATGCATTTTGCAGGATTTCCATTCCCCTTTATATTTATTTCCATTAGGCCACACGTATTCGCCTATGCCTTCAATTTCGCTATTCACGAGCCCGCCTTCATAGTGGCTCCCATCAGCCCATACGAATTTTCCTTGTCCATTTCTGGCACCATCTTTGTAGTTTCCTTCGAACTTTGACCCATCTGGCCATTTGTCAGAGCCAAAACCTTCCTGTTTGCCATTAATCCATTCTCCTTCGTAGATGTGATTATCTACAGAGTATTCCATACGTCCGCTGCCATTCATTTTCCCCTCAACCCAGTCTCCTAACACCTTCTTGAGAGAACAAAAAATTTCTTATTAAAAAATATTTGGATATATAAGTGACAATTATTATAATGAGATATCTAGCGAAATTTGTTTAATTTTAAACAGCTTGCATTTAAAACATAAATTTTACTTTCCAATTTTTGGGAATTGGGATTTTTTTAAATATTAAAAAAATTACTATAAAATTTATATTTAAATTTGTTAAGAACTAACCCCCTTTAGCGAACAAAATTTTTTGTTCACTCATTTTGGAGGAGGATAGTAAGTACATATCTCCCACTGAATTGATCCTTCTGCCTTTACCATGAAGTTTTCCAGTTTTTCAACTGCCTTCACAAATTCCTCCATCTGCACAATACATCATGCCTCTTCCTTCAGGTTGGCCTCTATCGTTCCATTCTCCTACATATAAACTGCCATCTGGCAGCTTTCTTGGACCTCTCCAAGTAACCTCAACCAGCTGATCAGCATCAAATTCATAAGGGCCCACTCTTTCATAGACTTCTTTTACCTTAGTGGTTAAGATGTTTGCAGGAACTTCATTTAATTCTTGATAATTCATTGAAGTTTGAGCTGCTTCTGAAGGATTAAGAGCGATAGCAGGTTCAATTAATGCTATTTTAGGAGAAGATGAAAGCTCTGCAGCTTCTACGTTTGCATTTATTATGCTGTTTAAGCGAGCTATTTCTTCTTTAAGCGACTCAATTTCCTGATTTTGGATCATATTTTCTTTTCTGTATTCAGATATTTTTTTTTTCAAGCAGTTCATTTCTTTCCATTTATTTATCAAGTAGAATTTGGCAAATAGCTGTATAGCAGATATTTGTGGAATTGAAATGCCTAACTTAGAGTTTTTTCGACTATAAACTCATGAGTTAAGATATCAACTAGTGTTGGCCTTTCTGTTTACTGCTGTTTTAGGCACCAATCAATGAAATTCCTCAGTTCAATCGAGTATTCGCTTCTTATTGGCATATGAGGCATATCTTTAATTTTATTCTCATTATCGCCAAAAGGATGCTCAAGGTTGCAGAGATATATAAAATGCAGCCGACTGCCCAAACATTACTTTCTTTAGCTTGTATTTCTCCACTATGAGTCCTAGGAGACTGGTAACTGGCAACTCCTTGAATTGTATTTGTCGGTAAAGAGCAACCAAAATCAGCTATTTTAATATCTTTATTTTCGTCTAAAAGGATATTTTGTGGAAGAAGCTCTCGATGAATAAATCCGTTGCAGTGCAAAGACTCAAGCCCAAAGCAGATCTGGAAAAAATATTTTCAGATTTCGCCTTAGTTCATGGCCTTCAAATTTGTCAAATATAGCTTTAAGAAAATCGCCATTTCCACAATAATCTATGACGATGAAGAAAGTATTGTCGCTCACAAAAAAGGAGTCTAAGCGAAGCTTATATGGATTGGCATATAAGAGTATTTGCACCTCAGCTGCAATGTCCTTTCAGCTTAACCCTGTGCTAGTTCTGGCTACAGCCTTTATTGCGTGCATTTTTCCGTTGCCTGGATAAAAATTACTCCTCTTTATGGCTCGATAGATAGTTCCATAAGCTTCACCATTGAAGTGATCTTTAACTTGAAAAACGTTTGTTAACTCTTCAGGAAACAGTGCCATCCTTATTATAGAAATTATGGTTCTAGCTAATTTACATTTTTCTAGTCTTAGTTTATACAATACTTTATGTTATTTTATTCATACTTTCAATTTGTATCAGTGAACAGATGCAGAGATAGAGCTTTCTATTATAAAGTAAAATGCGATATGCATTGCTTAGGAAGGTATTATACTTATTAGAGTATTTAATTTTCCTTTGCAAAAGCATAAGGAACTGAATATGCTGATCTCAATTGAATATTGAAAAAGATTTCAATTTCAAGTCCAGAAATTAATATATTTCCATTAAAGACCACAATTTTTCAATCAATTTTTGTTATTGGAATAAATTTATTCACCAATTACATCTAAATCAAAACTTTTAGAAAAGGCTAGAATATTTAAACACTTATTAATAATAATATTAATAAAATTATTTTAGCGCTGCATAGCAGCATTTCTCCCTCTTTTCATCATAACTCTATAGGTAAAAGATTTTATTTCGTTATCTACTCCTTCAAATCCTCCGCATGTTCCCCCTTCATCCAATAACAAATTTCTCCGCATATAGCACAACCTCATGTAGCATGAATTTTCTTCTGATCACCCACCCCCTCTAGTCCTCCATTTTTCTCTAACCCCATAGTTCTTTCATCTTCATGCAAAAAACAATCATTAATCAAATGAATTTCATCCTCATTTATTCAATTACTTTCTCACATTTGGTACTCTGTCTCAAATGCCTTAAATTCTGTGAATACAACGTTGCATTAAAACCAGCCTTAACTTGAAGATACCCATAATATTTTGTCTTCTATGCGAGTTCAAATATATATATTGGCTCTCCTCAGTTACATTTTTCCCTTCATTTAATGCCATAAATAATCGTGTCGTTTGTTCTCACTTCGGTTTCATTTCTCCCTCGATACTGACCCCATGCATGTGTTCTAATCTTGGATTCAATCTCTCCTGTGGATTCCCTTCAATTCTATTATCTAAGACCGCTAAAATTTACAAGATCAGTCCATCTAGAGCAGGTCCTTACCCACGTCAGTCCTTTCTGCTTGTTCATTAAATACAAATTACCCAGCATCGTCCCCTTTTTGGCCTCTCCCTCTAGTTTTAGCCGATAGTTTAGGGATCTTAAAGCTAGCTGGTGTTCTAAGCCCAGCATACCGCTATCCATATAGAGTTTCTCATTTGCAATCCCCTGTGGCGCACCCAACAGCCATCTCATCTATCTCCTCTGAACTCTCTTTAATTGCTCCACAAGTTATCTTGCGCCTTCAGTGAAGCAAGTTGCCTCTATTCCATATAGTCCTACTGAGTTAGCGCATGCCTTCAAGATCATCATCTTTTTCTGCAATTGCAAGTATTTCAAGGGTTGTAGTCTGCCTAGAGTCGATCCCAGCGCCAACTTCATCTTTTTCACTCTCTCCTTTAAATGCCCAGAACTTCTAATCCTCTTCCCTAGTCATATCCAAGGTGTCTATATCCCTTCACAATGCTGACTCCCCCCCCCCCCCCTCCGTGAGCGAACAAAACCATTAGAAAAAATCGCCATTTTTTGACCAAAAACCCACCCTCCGTGAGTGAACAAAAATTTTTTTAATAGAAAAAATTTTAATGGGAAAAAAAATTTTGATATATAAGTGATAATTAGTATAATGAAATCTAGAGCTAATTCTGTTTAATTTTAAACAAATTGCGTTTTAAAACATAAAAATTTTTGCAAATTAAATTAATATTTGCTTCCCAATTTTTGCAAATTAGGATTTTTTTAAATTTCGAAAAAAATATTTTTTTATAAAATTTATATATAAATTGTTTTTAAAAAAAAAAATTAACCCCCCTCCGTGAGCGAACAAAATTTTTTTTGTTCGCTCACGGAGGGGGGGGGGGGAGTGAGCATTTTTCTATTAATCCTAATTTTTAAATTTCTTTCTGCTTTTCCAAAAACTACTATTTCAGACTTCTCATGATTTATTTCTATTTTGTATTTTTCTGATTACTTTTATGCAACACCAACCAACTCCTTTAGATTTTCGCATTTTCTGCTATCAAAACAATATCATCAGCATAAAGCAGCACTCCAACTCTTATGCCCTCTCCAATATCTGTACCTAGGCCTAGCTCTTCAATCTCCCAGGCGAGTTCATTCGGGATAAAATTGAATCATACTGGTGAAGAACAACCACCTTGGATGAGTCAAAGGCCTTTCTGAGATCCATGAATGCGCAGTACGCTCTTTTATTCTCCCTTTCCCTACTTTCTATGATGGTCCTTAGAATGAATCAAAACAAACTTAATAATCGATTTTTCCATCAGAGATCTCAAAAAATACAATCATTGATGTTGAGTTAATTCAGATTTGTCATTGCTCGCTCTTTTGAATCCATCGATTCATAAAATAAAAAGTGCTTGATATATTATCAATTTATTATTATTAAAAATCAAAACGTCTAAATAATGCATAATTTCTTAGACTCTTCATGCTTCCTTTTATAATTTAAATAATCACGCTTTTTTTAATAAATAATTTCATAGAAATGCCAGATTTTATAGGTTCTTTCATAATAAATTTCTTTAATAATTCTAATACTTAAGATCAACCTTGGGCATTTATTAATTTTTTGTGTCAGCGCTTCACTTTAGATTAGATTAGAATAGGTTAACGCTAGGTATTTAAGGTCCCCACTACGTCCGAGGAAGCATTCTATGGTTTCCCGTATGGTGGCAGAGCGTTCACCAAGCCCGGGCCGAAACCCCCGGTTTCTCGGTAGAGGCATTGTCAAGGGCCGTCTCATACCGGCTTTGCTGACCGCCTCCATTTCCAACTTGGATCGTCGCCTAAGTTTTACGCCAACACTGCCGCGTCGTCCGCCAGATCTGCCCATTGAAGGGCACCTTTTCAACTGGAGAGACCCCCGTTTAGTCATCTAACTCGCCTTCCCCTCTTTTCCGGTCATCCCGAGAAAGAACTCAACAGCTTTCGCCATTCGGGGCGAGCCACAAAAGCAGCTTAGGCAGGTAAGTCGCCCTGCCTCATTTCGGGCACTCACTGGGCTGAGCGCAGCTGGCAAAAAGAAGTCACGAGTAACTGCCCATGGGTCTGGTCACAAAAACAGCGGCTTTTGCGCTTAGGTCTCTCGCTTCGAGGTCCCAGACGTTGTTGGGCTAACTCCTGGCTCCAAAAAACCATGCCGGATATACATGGGTAACCACCACTGAGAGGGTGAGTCGGTCGCCGTCCGCCATTTTATGTATATTCCAGCGCTTCACTTTAATACAAGGCTAGCAGCAGGGCATTGATTGAGACATGGGAAAGGACTGGAGGCTAGAGATGATGAATGGAGGTCTGCTGATGCTACGGAGTTCAAGGTGGAGGAAGTTTCAGGAAAAATACTTTTTTCTTCTGCTATATCAGATGAGTTCAAGATAAATTATAAGGCCATAAGCATATCAACCTCTAGCTTGCCTATCCGGCGTAAACCCACATAGCCTAAGAATTAGCGCCTAGGTTAGAGCTAATGTTTTATTTGCTCAAGGGGTTATATAAATTTATAAATTTTGGCCTAGCTTCCTACACATAGCCGCTGGTTAATTTTTATCGAAAAATCCTTTCTCAGATAGGCAAATCGGTTAGCTTGTCCATGAGTATTCAAGCTCTTAAAAAATTTTTGTTAATTGTATATGCTCACATATTTTTTATATAAAATAGCAAAGTATTTAAGAACAAAAATTTTTTTTGTCACTTTCAAATGCAAAAAGCAATTAAGTAATCTTAGACTTCATCCAAGTTAAATCTATATTAAATAACAACATATATAGTATTAATTATCCAATTTTGGCTGAGGATTTCTCAAAATTAGTTGAGGAGGCTTGAGGATTTGATGAATAGGTGTAACTTGATTTTTTGCTCTTTTAACAGCATTGCCAGACTCATTCTTTCCGCGCTTAACAGGCAAGTTATCCATAGTTTTATTATTCTAGGCCTATTATTTAATTAGCACAATCTCTTGATATGTCCAAATAATCAGCTTTATCCTCGATTGCATTGCTTCTTCCTATGAGCTTTACTATTACAGTTTTTATGATTTTTCTATGCTAATAGCTCTTCAAATATCATTTGTTTGCACAATCTGATTTAAGATTCTATAAATTTTTTATCCTTAAAATTATTTGCATTAATTATTTTTACTTACTGCAAGCTACCTATAATTTTATTATTCTAAGTCTATTACTTAATAAACGCAATCTCTTGCAATATGTCCGAATAATTGACAGATTTGGCATCTCTGTCCACGAGTGCATTGCTTCTTCATATGTAGCTTGCTGTTGCAGTTTTCGCATGATTTTTCTACCCTAACACCTCTTCCAATATTCCCAGTTTCTCCAATATGGCTTAAAGTCTTATAAATTTCTATTAAAATATGTGCATCTAAGGCAGCATAATGCATTTGTGATAATTTCAAAGGTCTTCTTTCCCAATTCGACATTTGTTCTCCTTTACATAAGCTTCTCCCTAAAACTAGCTCACATAGCCCTGCTAATCCTCCAGCACTTTCTCCATAAATATTCATATAAAGATCAAGCAGCTCTACATAAGGTCTAAATTCTACTTTAAAACTTGTCAAATTTGGGTAGCTTTTCAGAACATTTTTAATGTCCCCTGAAAAGCTGATCCCTAATTTCACAATTTCTTCATTTAAAAATAATTCCTCCAGCTTAGCATTCAGCAATTCACTTGTATTCAGCTTAATCATATCAATTAAATACACAACATCTTCAAAAGCGATTTGTAATAAGGCGACTTTATTTTCAGAAAACTTTACCATTGAAGGCTTCCATTCACAGTCCAAGCCTACAAATCTTCCGGCCCATACTAATTCTTGGACTTGATCTTCATTTTCAATGAATTTTATTTGTTCTTGAGGTAAATTAATAGAAATGCTGAATTCAGGCTGCAATGGTCCAAACCTATCTGAGCTATTTTTTGCTCTGGGAGGAATTTTCCTCAGTCTTTCTACAGTTTCTGGCCTTATTTGGCTTGCAACTCCAGGATAGCATAGGAATAATTCTGCAGCGAGTGGGCCCATCCACTCGATATTTTTTTTCATAAATTTGAATTCTAAATCTTCAATTAAAATTGATAATAATTCTAAATCATTGGAAACTATATCAGCCAAATTATAAACACCAATTTCTCCTGACTGAATGTGATATCTCATAGCAACTTTTTTCAGTCTGCTCATCATATCAGGAAACTCAGTCGGATCCATGCCTGCTTTTTGTACTAATTTTCCGGCATATTTTATATGTTTGTTTGTGCACATCAATTCAACAGCTTGTCTAACTAAATCATGGTCAGTTCCAACTAAAATGTTTATTAGCTCGATATCACTCTTTTGGACTAAGGTAGGGATTGCTTTTTCTATTTGATCAAGTTCTCTCTATATAGAATTTACGGAAATTCCTAATTCACGGCTCATTTTTACAGCTTTTTGGAAATTTTTTTGTTTCCATAGCTGACTGGCATAACTTATCAGTCTAATTTTGAGTTACTCTTCTTTTTGAACAGAAACGCTAGAAATTTCAAATAAAAGTGATAAGCACTCGGGGTCAAATTCTCGCCATTGACCAGCCACATATAACCCAAGTGAAGATTTATTGCAAGGTTGTGGGTGTGAAACCTCTATTAAGGCTTTTATCAGTTTTTTTGATATTATTGCCTGGGCATTTTTTGAGTATAAAGACTTTAATAGAGAAATTGCTTGAGATGTTATATCTTGTGTGGAAAATGTGAATGCAAGATAAAATTGATTAAAAAGGTCATCTGGGGTCGTTTCTTTGTTTTTCAGCAGGTTAATCAAATAAGTGGCTGCTTCTTCTGGATTGCTGCTGACTATTTAGAAATCACTTTTCTCATAAAACTCTTCATCAAGGTTTTCTCGCAAATCTTCCATTTTTTAATTATTCATTAGTCCCAATGAATAATTTATTCCTTCAGAAATATTTTGCTAAATTATTTATTGCATTTTATCTAAACAAACATAATCCCTTCTATATATTTAATAAATCAAGATTTATTTAAGTTTCATTACTTAAAAGGAGTTATGAAATAGAGAACTTCAATAACACCTTGAAGATATAAGCAAGATCGAACCCAGCTTGATAAGAGTTCTTCTGCTCAATAGCTTGAATCATTGCATTGAAGTGATTTTCTATATCAACTTTCTTGGTAAAGAAGGTGAAAAGCACCTGTGAGAAGTACTCTGGCTGCTTGAGGTCCTTAATGTCAGTAATAAGTAATTGGATCTTGCAGTCATTATAAATGCTGGACACAGCGGTATTGAAGATGGTCAAGTAAGCTGGAACAACATTACAGGCTGTGAAGTTCAGGTGGCTGCATTTCTTGATTTGGGCAAGAGCGTTATGGAATGATGGGACTATCATTGTGGTGGTATTGTAGCATTTGCTGAGTGGGGTTGATTTTGCTTGGAATCCCATTGCCATACCTTCGAGGAATAAGGTAAGGTTTCCTGAAAATGAGTAAAGGTTGCTTTGTTGAAGCTGGAATTCTCCAATTGGGATCATGAGTTTCATCATATTTCCGAATTGTTCTCCAGCAAGTTTAAACTCTCCAGCTGCAAGTTGGCTTTGCATATCAGCATGAATTGCTTTGATGGTGGTATATTCTTGGGAAACTCTTGCGAAAAGCTCTTCTCCATTAGCTTCAATGCTTTCTGCAATGGTGTTGACAAAAGTTGCAATTCCGCAGTTCTCGAAGACGGATGACAGTTCTGGAAGAGCAAGAAGCACGTGGTTGAAGAAGACGTGGAGTGGCTCGTCTTGAGCGAAATCGTACAAAAGGTTGTCTAAGGTGTCGTGGAGGCTGTTTTGGGTTTCTTCATCAAGGCAGCTTGGGTTTTCTAATGGTTCACCTGTGAATGAAAGGTAAGCACCTTCCAGGAAGTCTTTGGCATTGTCAAAGGACTGAGTATGGGAGAGGACTCCGATGGAAAGCATAAGAACTAGACAGACAGCTCTCATTTTATAATTATAAATGGAGGAGAGTTTATTCAATTAATCATATGAAAAGGAAAATGCTTCAGATTTTTAATTAATAAAATAAAATTACTGGAGATTTAAAATTATCAAAGAAAATGAAGGAAATGTTTTACCTCTACAGGATTTGGGTGTATTTATAATTCACAGTTTAAATAAATAGCGAGATAGATGGCAAATACTGGACTGAACTGGACATTTGAATTTAATTTCATTGTGCATTCACCAAATCCAAAGCTATTAGACATCATGCTTAATTTATTTTTACTATGATTTAATAAAGATCAATATCAATATGCAGATTGGCTGGATTTTTGAATTATTTGAAAACAAAAATAAACAGAAAAGTTTAGTTTTGAGTTTTCCAATGATTTTTGAAAGAATCTTGCATCATAAATTTAAAATTAACGTTAATTTTTATATATTTAGTCATATTGCTTATTTAAATTAAGATAAAAGCTATCAGAACATTGCTCATCTTATTGATTAATTATGAAAATTTATAAACAAAATTTATTGGTGGCTCTATGATTTATTTAAGAGATTTTCTGGAGAAATTACTAAAATTATGTTGAAATTGCCCATTTTTAACTGGCATTTAGACCGCCATTCTTTAATTGTGAAACCTAATTAACTTAAAAAATAAAGTTTCAACAAGTTAAAATAACTCCCTGCATTTATGCTAAAAGGTGAAAACTGACTATTAAAGTTTAAATTCTTCAAATTAAGATTTCCGAGTTTATTTTCAAGCATTGAGAAATTTATCTCTTTTCAAAAAAAATTTCTTTATGACTTATGCAATCAGAAACTAATTTTATTAACCAGAATTTTGAATAATTAAAAATTTTACATGCAATTATAATATTCATAATTTAAATTATTTATAGAGAACTCAGGCAGACCATTAGGTCTTACTCGCCTCTGCATAATGCTCCACCGCTTGCTTGTCAATCCTACACGGCCTTCCATTGTGCTACTCTTCACAGATGAGGATTGCACTCGCTACCCAAGAGTCAGAGACGCTAAGCTACCATGCTGAGCCAAAAATTGAATTTTCTGGTTAGATTGCCGACGAATGTAACCCGGAGCCCAGGATGCAACTCCTAATATCACACAAGGGACTCTGCCCAATTAACTTGACATCATCAGTCTTGCTAGGTGTTCCCTTTCTAGCTCGGCGAGCAATCTCCCTATGGCGAAAACCTTAACCTTGGTGTGAATAGGCAGTCGGTCAAAAAACAACATCTCTTAATACTATCCTATGTTCTACAAGGGGTTTTTTGCCATCCCACCGACTACGGGTGATAATGGGTCCACGTCATTTAATGCGTTTTTTATTATAATAGTCAAAATTCACAGCATGCTAAAACCTAATCCACCCTCCATGATTGAACAAAAAAGCTTTGCTCACTAACAGAGGGGTTTAATTTTTTTAGAAATTTATATAGTAAATTTTTTTTTTAAATTTAAAAAAAATCCATATTCGCATAAATTGGTAAGCAATTATAATTTAATTTGCAAAAATTTATGTTTTAAATGCATCTTGTTTAAAATTAAACAGAATTAGCTTGAGATTTCATTGTAATAATTACCACTTATATATAGCCAGATCCTTGCTTTGGATCGGGCTATATCATAATTTTTTTATATTTAAACGCTCATGAAGGGTGGGCTTTTCCAATATTTTTACGCTTACAGGGGAATTGGAGAGTTAGTGCATAGCCTTTTTATTTCTCTGCATATTTATCAGTCAAGATATATAAATGGAATTTCAAAATTTGTTGGAAGGCATTGAACAATTTCCCATCAACAAAACAATCTCTTTAAGCTCTGACAAAAAAGTCCTGGCTTATATAAAGGAATCTGACCAGGTTCTAGAAGCTTGTTTTGCTACAAATCAGGAAGCTCTCATTCTTCACTGGGGAATTGGAATAAAACATCCAACAGAATGAGTTTGTCCTATTGACATAGAAGGTATCATCCCTCCTGAAAATTCTCTCAAATTCGATACAAAAGCTGCTCAATCCCCCTTCGCTGAAGTTTCTGAGTCTCTTTATCAATTGAATATTCTCATTGACAAAGCTCATCTCCCTAAAAGGATAAATTATGTATTCAAGACCGAAAACCAATGGTTCAATAACAATGGAAATAATTATGAATTATTGCTTTTCAGAGACAAATCATTGCCTGTTGGTGAAGAAGGCGAATTAGTAGAAAATATTATTAAAGTAGAAACAGTGAATAATTCATGATGCCTAATGCACAGATTTAACCTCTGCAAAGACTGAATCAGAAGGCTTGGAAATGGCAATGTCCATCACTTAGCCTGGATTTACGTATGGATGAGATACTCAGAACTGAGAAAATTAGACTGGGCGCGAAATTATGGAACAAGGCCAGCCTTACTAGCTGCAAGCCAAAAAGAACTCACTTTAACAATAACTGAGCAAGCTTTATCAGCTTCTAAAGAAGGCTTACTTAATCCTTTGATACTTCTAAGGAGCACTTTAAGCACCTTCGGCAAAGGAGGAGACAATGGTCAAAGAATCCGTGACCAGATTTTAGAAATTATGCATAGACATAAAATAGGTGAAACCTATGGAACTTATATGGAACAATGGCACCAGAAATTGCACAATAATACCACTCCTGATGACATTGGGATTTGTGAAGCCACAATTGCCTTTAATGAGACAAACAATATGGGAAAATTCTGGGAAGTTTTAAACAAGCATGGAATCACCAGGGAAAGATTAGCTTCATTTGACAGGCCAATTACAACTCAGCCTTCTTATATGCCGTTTTTGATATAGCGCTTTCCTGAGGATGGCGCGGAATGGCGCCATCCTCGGGAAAGCCAGGAAGGCATCCACACGGGAACTGGGAGTTCCACGTGTGGATGCCATTTTGACATGTGGAAGTTTGGATCCCACATGTCAAAAATGGCATCCACACGTGGAACTCCCAGTTCCCGTGTGGATGCTTAGTTGACTTTCCCGAGGATGGCGCCATTCCGGTCCATCCTCGGGAAAGCGCTATACCTGATTTGCATAATTACTTAGCTTTACTTAAATCTGTCCATTCAGGGACTGATTTAAATACAAGCATTGATGCTGCGAGGCAATTTCTAAATGATGAAATAAACCAAAAATTAAATGAAATTATGGGAAACTTAAATCACTGGGACAAAATCCCTCAGATTGAAAGAGCTATACAAGCTAGAATTGGTATCAACAGATCTTTTGACAGAAGAAACCTTTTTACGTGCAGGGAATTATTATATTGTGATATGGCTCTTGAAGCTTATATAAGGCAAATTGTTGAGTCAATTCTTCATTGTAGTATTGGTACAAAGCACCTGATGAGAGAGCTAAATTTATTATTAGAAAATTCTTTATTAACCTGTGAAAACCAAGAATTTGTTGTGGCTAGTAATGATTGGAAAAGCATAATGGGGAGATTTTCAGAATCATTTGAAAATAATGTAGATCAAGTACTTAAACTTAAAGCGGCAGCTGATAGACTGTCAAGAGTTTTAGGGTTATCTGTTGACGCTTATAATCAAATTATTGACCCTAAAGCTAAATATTTAGGAAATAATTTTGGGGTTGATGAAGATACTGTAGACATTTTTACTGAAGAAATGATAAGAGGCTCCAATTTATCACCATTGTCAGTTATCTTGAAAAAAATTGATATACAGTTTAGAGCTTTAGCAAAGCTAAAACCTTGGCAAATTATCAGTCCTGGACAAAATTCTCAAGGAAGGCTGCTCCAAGTAGAATCCTTGCATGAAGTTTCATATGAAGTATATAAAGAGCCGATAATTTTGCTAGCTCATAAGGTAACGGGAGAAGAAGAAATTCCTGAAGGAGTAAAAGGGATTATTTCGTGCACTGAATTAGATGGATTAGCCCATGTTTCGGTTCGTGCTAGAAATGTCAAGGTATTGTTACCCTATTATTTTTATTTTTTTTAAAAATATATACTAATTTATAATTTTGAAAAAAATTGGCTGGAGGATTTAGCCATTTGTTATGATGAAAATGAAATCAGAAGAATCCAAGAATTTGCTGGGAATCCTGTAAATGTAGCCTTGACAAGTGGTGGAGTTAATATTACTAGAATTGACCATCTAGTTGTAGAAGAAAAAGTCAATATAGAAAGACCAGACGTTAAAAAGCCAAACCAGCTTAGAAAAATTGCAATCAGTGCAAATGAATTTGGAGATGGCAAAACAGGAGCAAAGGGCAATAACTGTCAATTTTTAAGACAATCTTTGCCAGAAAGAATAGGAGTCCCTCGCCAAGTTGCTCTTCCATTTGGGGTTTGTGAATATGTTTTATCGCTACCTATAAACTCAGAAAGACTTATCAATCATAATACTTTGAGTGACCAGCTTGACGAAGTCGGTCTTGACAAGTCAGCAGAAGAAATTTTATCAAAATTACGAGAAATTATTTTAAGTTTAGAAATTGATGAAGAAAATGCAGGAATCATCCAAGAGCAATTAGCATCAATAAACTTGCCAAGAAATCAATGGCAAGATGCATTTTCCGCTATAAAAAAGGTATGGGCTAGCAAATATAATGAAAGGGCTTATTTAAGCACCTTGAAGGCAAAAATTTCTTTGAGAGACGTATATATGTCAGTTTTATGCCAAGAGGTGATAGAAGGCCAATATGCTTATGTTCTCCATACAAAAGACCCGTTTACTAATGATTCAACTCATATTTATGGAGAAATTGTATTAGGGCTTGGGGAAACTCTTGTTGGGGCTTATGAAGGCAGAGCATTTTCTTTTAAAGTCAATAAAGCAGCATCAGAATTTACTATTGAAAACTACCCTAATAAATCTGTAGCTTTATGTGGGGCTGGATTTATATTTAGATCAGATTCTAATAGCGAAGACTTGCCTGGCTTTGCAGGGGCAGGACTTTTTGATAGCCATATTATGAATAAGCCAGTGGAAAGAGTCGTTTCATATGGAGAGGAAAAATTATACCATGATGAAGAATTTGTAAGGGAAATTGTTTTTAAGCTGAGGGAGTTAGGGAATGTAATAGAGACTGCATTTAGTGGGGTTGCACAGGATATAGAAGGTGTAATTTCTGATGGAAGAATTTACGTTGTGCAGTCAAGACCACAAGTTTAGAATAAGTTTAATCTTAGCTATCTGAATATCAGTTTCCAATAATGAAAAAATCAAAAATTATTTAAATAATTTTACATAAAACTATGGAAGATTTACCTTATCAATAGTAAAGCATAATCAGCAAGTTTTCTTTAGTTTTTAAGACAGAAAGAGAAGCCCAAATTGTCGTAAACACTTTATCTGTAGATGAAGAGCCTTCAGGAAGAGTAACAAGAAATTTTGCAGTAATTGGCAATAAAATGACTGGAGAATGGACATGTGCCGACGCAAAGCTATTGAGGACTTGCCTTCGGTCATTTTTCGTAAATCTTTCCCTTGTGGTCGAAACTCTGCAAAAATTCAGCAAGCCTGAACAATAAATTTCACAATTACTTAAATTTAAAAGGTAATTTGATTCTTTATCAGCTGATCATGGATAATTTATCTCGAAATCATATATGGAAGGTGCAATAAAAACTGGTTGGATTGAGAAGAAGTCACATTACCTCAAAAAATGAAGAAAGCGGTGGCTTGTCCTCGACGAAAATTATTTACGAACTTATAAGTTTCCTTACCAATTCGATAAATCAACAGCAACAATTCGAGTTTCTGCAATAACTGATGCATCTCCCTACCTGAACGAGACTTCAAAAGATTTTTGCTTCAAAATTTCAACCCCGACACGTCAGTATTTGATTTCTGCGACATCTGACGTTGATATGATAGGCTGGCTTAATTTAATCAACCATGCAAGAAAAAGCCCACAAGTGCCGAACTTTTCGTCTTTTAATTGCTTGTATGAGCGAAAAGCCCTGAGCGAGGTATCACTAATATAGAAAATTTTGCCTTATTTTGCCTGCTTATTATTTATTATTTAAATCTTATTGAAAATCAAGGAAAAAGGCTATATCATCTTTTTCAAAATTCAAAGAAATTCTCAATAATCGGGAACAAGAATTGATAGACGTTCTAGATGAAGCTTATCAGTCAACAATTGAAGAAGCGAAAATAGAGAGTTGCCATTTAGATAAAATTTTGCAAAAAGAAACAGAAAGCTACCAAGCTTTTCAAGGAATTTTGTCTTCAAATGACTCCATTGTAAATAAAATAAGAGCAATTCAAAAAATTCCTGCTCAGAATTTAAATTTCAAAAAATTCGACTACATCGAAGGGGTGCCTTATTTTTTTAAAAAAATTATTTTAAAAATGCAATAAATAATTAAAATAATTTTTATGACCAAGGGGTTGATATCAAAGTATCCGTCCACGAAGAAAACCTAAAAAAAGTGATTTCTAGCAATATCGAAGTCTGTTGAGAAAACCCACAAGAAGTAAAAGTAAGAAGAACCACCATAACCCGAGCATTAAAATGGAGGTACACTGGAGAAAGAATGGACTCTTTAAGCTTCTCAGTATCAGAAGACGTCATGCTCACTGGAGTCGGAATTTGTATGCCTTATAAGTTTGGAGGATTAACCCAAGTTAAAGACTTCCAAGTACTAAAAGGGAACTCTTCAGCTTCTGCTGTTGCTTATAAACACCCTCATAAGTTTTCAATGCAGTTTAGCCCTGATGAGTCTGTGTTTAAAGTTTCTATGGAAAGACCAGTAAATCTTGTGAAGGGAAATAAATATACCGTCATGTTTTGTATTGAAGGGTCACATACATTTAAATGCGTAGATTGCATGCAAATTGTGGTGGGGCCTGGAAATGTTAATTGGGAATTCGAAAATACGGTTTTTGCGCAGAATCATCAAAGTAATAGATGTGATACAGTATGTGGGCCAATTGCTGATTTTTATTATGTATCAGCTGGATATATGAATAATTATTAAAATAAATAGCATAAAGATTTATTTTACAGAAAATTGTGCATTTGCCAAAAAATATGAGAAATATTAAAAATAAACAGAATAGCTGGAAATAGAAGAAATAGCTAAAAATTAACAATTTTTTTGAATTATAAAGAAATTATTTTTATTTATCTTGATAAAGAATTGGATACAAAAATTCAGTGCACACAATCCATGGAAATGCTCTCAATGGAGGATCTGAAGTATGAGACACATGATAGCATGCGACTGCCAACTGGAAGCTAGCTTTTTCGTTGAATTTCTCCCTATATTTCTCTATCAGTTCGTTTGCTATCTGTGTGACTGATTCCCTCATGTCTTCAGCTTTAATACCAGTTTTTTGGTATATAGAAATATTCACTGGCTGGCCTATTAATAGCTCAATTTCTCGTTCAAGCCCAAATTGGTTAAGCAAAAGATTCAGCTCAACTCTGTAGCCATTAAAAAGCTCTGCAGCTTGTGGCATATATGCTTCATATCTGTCATAGCTGTATTTAATATTAAACTGTGGGATATCTTCGTCTACAATTTCAGTGATTCTTTCATATAAACAAATTGCCTTAAATTTCCTATAAAAATTTAGAATCAATCTATATTCCTGACCAATTAAAACTAAAAGCCATACAATTTTCCAATTATTTTTTCTGATTTATAACTTCTCCCTTTTCTTTCCATAAATGTCGGATATTCTTTTGGTATTAAATCCTTATCGATCTCCACCTTTATCCCATTTTTCGAAAAATCTACAGCAATTGCATGCAATTTGCATAATTCAAGACATTTATCATCATTTGCATTTAATGGGCTTTGGTCTGCAATAGCAACGTGAGCGTTATCAATAAGCCCGAGTTTTTCGTTTTTTGCGTATTTTAAGAAAAATTTAATAAGGGTATTTTGCCCAAAAATTTCTTCTTTTGTTTTTGGCTTTACAGTGTCATACTCCATTGGTGCAACAGGCTCAGGAATTAAGCGATTATCCCAAGAAACAAAATATAAGTCTCCATCTAGGTCAGAACCGCTGCATTCATTAGTGTGAGGACGAGGACCTTTTTGTGGGAAAACTAAGACATCGAATAAATGCATTAATTCAGGAGCTTCAACTGCATATAACACTCGGATATCGCCTGGGTGTAAGCAAGGGTTTTTACCCACTATGACTGGCCCTGTAATTACTCCGAGACCTTGAATTTGTACAAAAACTTGGCCATATTCAAGGACTTTTTTTTCATCTAAAACTCCCATAAGTAGTCCTGAGTTTTCAACCCAAATTCTTTGCTTTAATTTAAGTTCTTGAAGGACACTAGATTTTAATAAATTTCTCATCTCAACCACAATTGGTTCATAAGGGTGATCTAAAACTTGTTGCAGCCTTTGTATAGCAATGCTTTTATAATTAAGTTTCCTTACATATTCTTTGCAGTTTTTATCAAGATGAATTAGTGCTTCATCCAAAAGATCATTAAAAATATCATCCTGAATCCCAAGCGTGTTTAATAACAATATAAGCTGCCTATTTAAATGTCCATAACGAAATTCAGACTGGTCTAATAAATCAAAACCAGTTTTATCTGATTTAAATTTCTTTTGACTTTTCCTTAAAGCCAGCTGTCTTCCAGGCAACCTATCGTCGACCGCTACAACACCTTTATAGCCACCAAGCCTAAATTGAAAAGCTGAAGAGAATTGGCCTGTTTTTTTATTAATTTCGTTAGCGAGATCTTTTGAAATCATCCCTATGCCGTCACTAAAATTGTATTTTCCGACCTCAATGTCAGGGATACGCTTAATTTGGGAATTGTCGAGGTTAAACATATGCCGAGATGTGGCTAAGCTTTGTCCGACTCTTGCGGAGTATTTTCCTGGAATTTTGATTTTTGAGAAATCGCCTAGTCAGTCTCTTATATATTCTGGGGTGATTTGGCCTTGTGGGGATAAAAGCCAGGCTGAGGTTTCTTTTAACTGTGAGTTGCTATAACCAAGTAAGTAAAAAGTTTTCCCAGCCAAATGAAATTGTGATAAATTATCCCTAATAATATTTACCAAAGCTTCTGACTTATTTATATAAAGTTTGTCTAGATCTTCGTCTGCAAAAGAAATCCTTAATAGATTTTCTTTGTTTATTTCTGGATTTCGAGTGACGCGATTTGAGTTTCCAGGCTCACCTATAAGGACATAAAAAGTAGCAGGAGTTACTATGACTCTGTTTATTCTTAAATAATTGTCTTTTGGAAAATCATACCCACTATGTACCAAATTTCAAAATTCCGTTATAAAATCAGGAATTGTTTCGAATGGAAAATCTCGGTTATTGCTGATAACCCATTGTAAGCCAGAACAAATTTGTTCTTGATTTTGTCCTATTAGTTCTTTAAGAAAATCTTTATTCAAGTCAAATACTGATATGTAGCCTAAACTTATGATTGAATAAAGCATGAACTTAGTTTGATAACAAATTTCTAGCTTGTCTAAGTCTTTAAAGGTAACAAGATCTTCTGGAAGGTCTATGCTTTTCGGGACATTTTCTTTAAATTTTACCTTTTCTCTTAAAAATTTCAAAAAATCATAACTTCCACTTTTCAGCACTTTTAGTTTTATTCCTATTTTTTTGGGTGAGGTTAATTAAAGTACACTGTACTTTTTTAAACCCCCTCCGAAAACCTACAAAAATGACTATGTACTTTAAAAATGGTCGTTTAGTGTGAAAAAAGTACAAACGGTACTTTTCGATTTTTTAAAAACAGGGGGGTGAAAAAAGTAAACGGTGAAAAAAACCAGCCAAAAACAGAGGAAAAAAGTACATATAAAAATCAATATTCTATCAAGACTAAGTAAATTTAAGCAAAGAAAGGCCAAGGTTAAATTGCATAATAAGCAGCTTGTATTGCATTATAATAAATACTAAACAATATTGCTGGAAAGAATGCAAGAGCTGCATGATAAACAATAAAAAAATATTTGGCTCTCAAAATAAGAGAAAAAAAAGTACGCTGCAAAATATAAAATGATTAAAGTGACGTAGAATAATCTAATATAAAAGACTAATAATAAGCACAGGAAATTCCCTTAGAAAGTTCAACTTAATTTGTTAAATAAAAGACCAAAAGTTACAAAGAAATATAAGAAAAGTGATTATGGAGAAAATTTTAAAAAAATGGATGAAAAAAGTACATTTTTTTTTCATATGCAAAAAAAAAGAGTGAAAAAAGTACTCATAAAATTTTTAACAGTGCAAAATTTTGGATGAAAAAAGTACAAAGGGAAAAAAAAACAGAGGAAAAAAGTACATTGACTTTTTATATGAAAATACTAATTTTTTAAATATGTTTTACCTTAAAATGAGAAGAACGCATCAATTTAATTTTGCTGATATATTAATTCTCACTCCACCCCCTTTAAATTGGAACAAAAAATTTTTTTTTTGTTAGAAAAAAATATCACTTAACTTAACTTAAACAGACGGGCTCGTGCCTTTAATTTTAACGCAATCACAATGATCCCTTGTGGGATTCATCCGCTTTGCGACATCACTCCCACATAAAGCGGGAGTACTGATGCCTCCTCCTTGTCTCTTGTAAAAGACTCCAGTGTTGAGTGGGCAGACTACGGGTTTGTGAGGCTTCCTGAGGCTGAGGGAATACAAGTTGGCATTCCGAAATTCCAAAAAATGGAATTTCTGGTAGCCTGTCGGCAAAAGGGTAAAGTCCAGATCCTGGAACGTAACGCCCAGTCTCACGCTAGGCAGTTGCCCAATTGTCTAGCTATTATCTGTAGACTCTGATGGGCTTGCCCTTTCCAAATCTAACCCTCCTTTCCTTAGAGGTAAAAAACCAGTCTCGAATTTGGACTTGGGCTAGGTTCTACGCTCCTGCAGAATTAGTTGCTAGCATTGCTGTCCATTTCAAGCTGGAAAAACCTTGCCGGATACAATTAAAATATGAGTCGAAGGCTGTATGTCGTGAGGCCATACCTAAACGAAGACGCCATATTTTAACTATCTAGAAAAAAAATATCAATATAAAATTTTTTATAAAAATAAAATTTCAAAAATTTATCGAATTAGATTAATAAATTTGTTTAATAAAATACTATTTACTCTTTTTCCTTTAAAACAAAGCAATATATAACTAAATTTGCATTATTAGTTAATACGCCCACTATTAATTGGCATCAAAATTATTTACACAAAAATTATTATTTTTATTAATAAAAAAAAAATTTTAGAAAATTTATCGATCAAAGTGCTAATTTTGTTTATATAAGATGCTATTTATACTCTATACTTTTTAAAATAAAGCAAGAAATAAGTAAATTTTTATATTTTATAAAGAATTCCTATTGAATTTATATCAAAACTATTTAAATAAAAAATTTAGCAATTAAGGATAATAAATTTTATTTAAATAAGATGCTCTTTATACTCTCTTCTTTAAACAAGAGCAAGACATAACTAAATTTTTATTTTAGTTAAGAAGAAGCATTTAACTTATATCAAAACTTTTTTAGATAAAAAATTATATATAATTTTTTATTATAAAATTAAATATATAATTTTTTTATTATAAAATTAAATTTTGTTCCAATTGAAGGAGCTAATTTATCAAAAAAAGGGGAAATTTTACCTATATTTGTTCCAATTTTAAAGGGGGTGGAGTGAGAATTAATATATCAGCAAAATTAAATTGATGCGTTCTTCTCATTTTAAGGTAAACATATTTTAAAAAATTAGTATTTTCATATAAAAAGTCAATGTACTTTTTTTCCTCTGTTTTTTTTTTCCCTTTGTACTTTTTTCATCCAAAATTTGCACTGTTAAAAATTTTATGAGTACTTTTTTCACTCTTTTTTTGCATATGAAAAAAAATGTACTTTTTTCATCCATTTTTTTAAAATTTTCTCCATAATCACTTTTCTTATATTTCTTTGTAACTTTTGGTCTTTTATTTAACAAATTAAGTTGAACTTTCTAAGGGAATTTCCTGTGCTTATTATTAGTCTTTTATATTAGATTATTCTACGTCACTTTAATCATTTTATATTTTGCAGCGTACTTTTTTCCTCTTATTTTGAGAGCCAAATATTTTTTATTGTTTATCATGCAGCTCTTGCATTCTTTCCAGCAATATTGTTTAGTATTTATTATAATGCAATACAAGCTGCTTATTATGCAATTTAACCTTGGCCTTTCTTTGCTTAAATTTACTTAGTCTTGATAGAATATTGATTTTTATATGTACTTTTTTCCTCTGTTTTGGCTGGTTTTTTTTCACCGTTTACTTTTTTCACCCCCCTGTTTTTAAAAAATCGAAAAGTACCGTTTGTACTTTTTTCACACTAAATGACCATTTTTTAAAGTACATAGTCATTTTTGTAGGTTTTCGGAGGGGGTTTAAAAAAGTACAGTGTACTTTAATTAACCTCACCCTATTTTTTTGGACTCAAAAATCAAAAAATCATTAAAACCTTTGAAAAAATTTCCTGTCCTCCACCATCCTTTTCCTGCATGGTCTATTGTTCACAGCTCTTTTCTTTTTCTTTGAGAAGCTTGCCAGTAAAACATTGGTGGTTTATTAAATTGCAAAAAGATTTTGTATTTATTACCTTTGTCTTCATAAGCCCAGTATAAAATTCATTCTAAGCTTATAGTCAGCTTAAAGTTCATTTTGTTAGTCTCACACAAAATCTCAAGTTTTTCTTTTGATGGGTAAATTTTACAAACTACCAATCCTTTGTATTTGGCAATAGAGTATTGTGTATTTTCAGAGTGGAAATTAGGGATCCCTGAGTTAAGTTTAGTGCTATAGCAGTGAGGGATAGACTCTCTTAGCCTAAAATTGCCTCGGATTTCTTGAATATCAATCACTCTATTTTCCCACATTATCCCATTACTGAAGATATCACGATTCAAGCCTCTCTCATCAAAGGTCACAAATGCAGCATTTGTCCCGTTCATTTTGACCCTAATAACATCCCCATAAGGTGTTAGGAAATCTTTTATATCCACCGCGTCCCAATTTTCGGGAAAATCTTTAACAATGGTTTCACTGAATTTTTTTCTAAAAAACAATTACTATATATATATTTCCAACTAAAAGCCAATTACGGACATAAAATATTGAGAGACATTCCCTGCTAAGCTTTTTCTAATAATTAACTTAAGCTTCACTGTAATTAAGCATTATAGATCTCTACAAATTTATATTATTTAAGCATTTTAAGAGACCCTAGCAAAAAGTTTTTCGACTGTAAATACCCAGGAGATAGGAGTTTCAGCTGTTGGTGAGGCTCGTCAACTTCTACAACATGGACGACTCCACAGATGGAGGATCTTAAGACGTCTGTGTCTGTTAAAACTCCCATGACTGAGTTTCATAATGCTTCTTGTGTAGGAGCGACCTGTGAAACCAATAAGCCTTCACCTTGAGGAAGAGCGCCATAAGTTAAAGCAGACTGTGGGGTTGACGGAACACTAATTTTAAATACCTTAATTTCTGCAAAAGTTAGTGTAATTTGATGAATCTGATGTTTTGAAAAATAAGAATTCAGCGCATGCAGCTGCAGTCTGTTCTTATACTCGTTTTCTAAAGGTACAACCCCACCTGATTTTCCAAGCCGCATTGGTTCAAGTCCTCTATGCTGAAGGGAAGATACAAGTCTTTCTTGGTCTATCACAAGCACAATGTCAGTTTGAAATTTATCAATCACAAAATTAATTATACTGATAATAATAATTTATAATTTTTTTTAAATAATCATTTTATTAAAAAACACGCATAAAATAGTATATGTTTTCACATAAATTAAGATCTAAAAACCCTGGGAAGTTTATAATGCATCCACTTGCATAGGCATTGTTTCTAGGAGCATAAGAATCTTTATGGTTCTCTTTAGAATACTGCAGCTCATTCTCTATTCTTGTTTTTACTTGGCTTAGCAGCTCCCCTAATAGTGATTTAAACAGTTCTGTATTGTGTGACTGGATTGACGTATGCCCATAAAAATAAGCCAAAACTGGATCCCATGTGTTCTGATAGTAAGAAGCTGCAGAAATACACCCAGGAAGATACATATCGTTATTTGTGACATCAAGTTCCACAAAAAGCGGCCTCCAGCCACATTTATTAGCATAATTTAATAAAATCTTGCAGAGACTTGATTTTCCACAGCAGCTTCCTCCGACAACCAAAATTTTGGGACCGACACGTCGATCTCGGCAGGCTTCATAGCGGAGACGGTTTATTTGGCCGTGAGCAAGCAGATAATCAGGCATTGGGGTTTCTGTAGTACTTGTGTAGACGTTAAGAAAGGTTCCTGCGACTTTTAGCTTGCAGCCATGCCATGTAAAGATTGCAAATCGGTTTGGGCCTGAAAAATTTCTCCATGTGCCTGCTGGAAGTTCTTCACCAAAGCGCTCAGCTCTGCCGATTTCGAGTAAAATGCTGAGGACCTGTTCAAAACCTATTTCTATACGAAGTTCTTGTCCGACTTGAAGATCATATTCTCTTTCTTCCATTTTATGAGAAATTAGGTACAAATAAGCAATTTCTAATGAGAGGCTTATCTTTAAATAATATCTGCTGCGATTATTCCTACTCCCCCCATCCTTGATCGAGCACCTCGCCATCGTTCGATCAAGGATGGGGGTTAAAAAAAAATTTATATATAAAATAAAAAAATATATTTTTTTTTTATATATTTTTAAAATAAGAGGGTTGAGAGTATTTAATAATTATTTTTACAGCAAAAAATTGAATTAATTTTATAAGAATACATTTTTTAATATTTCGATTTTTTGATTACCCTTTTAAACTGTATAAATTTTAATTTGCTTCTTATTGAATTAAAAATTTTAAATTTTTATGATCTCTATTTTTTAGATTATTGAGTTTTAAAGCCTAGGTTGATGACTAAACCACTTAGGATGGCTGATTTCGTAGCTTTTTGTCGTCTCAAAACCTCTGAAAACAACTTCATTAGGCACATCTCCCAAGCTTTTTGATAACTAATATATTTTTATATATAGAATTTTCCATAGATGGCGCTGCTTGCCCTTGATTTGCCCACTGTGGAAATTTTTTTGGTTCGACCAGTACCATATGGTTTGGTCAAACCAAAAAATTTTTCCTCATGGGCAAATCAAGGGCAAGCAGCGCCATCTATCGGAAATTTCTATATAAAAATTTGCATGATATGAAAATCGTCCGATCAAGGATGGGGGTTAATTTCCCCAATTTTTAGGAATTTTTACAGTGAATCGTTCGATCAAGGATGGGGGGGAGTTATAATCATTAAAATTATTGAATTTTGGATTTTCTTTTTAATAGCTAAAAAACGTATATAAGTTTTATAAACTATGCTTTTAAAAATTATTTTTGCGATATCATGCACTTCTCTTGCTACTTCTAGCTCGACATCAGCAGACCAAAATGCTCAGCTTTTCAAATCATCTTTAAATCAAGCACCAATTTTCGTACAAGGAACACTAGAGATATCACTTATACATAATTACAATAAATATAAACATTCCTATTAGTAGCCAATACATATTTTGCCGTAATGGCGAAGTGTGTATATGATGGGGAGCAACTTGGAGATGGAGAAATGCAGATGGTTTCATGGAGATATGCAGGTGAAATTGATGAAGACTCTTGAAGCCAAAGCGGAATCACAGAAGATGTGTTACAGTTCGTCAGTCTTTGGGGAAATGAGTTCTTTTGAAATTTTATCAGAATTTTACATCAGAATCAGTTACGTTTTATTTTATCAGAATTTAAATTTCAGATCAGAATCAGTTATAATGGTCAGATTGAAAAATCTTATGGCCGTAATTTCATTAAGTAAGTTAAGTATTAGTAGCCAGAAATAAAATAGTGACGTTGACGGAAATAGGACTCCGAGGCGCACCTCCTATGGAGCTGGTAGGACCCATTTCTGATGAAGCTGAAATATAGGGCCTCGTTCCCTGTCTTAAGTAGGCCTTCAGAGGTGGGGAAGCCGTGCCGAAAAGGAAGTTTTTATTTCTCCCCCGAAGGTTTTCCTGTCCCTGCCAGATGGGCTAGACAGGTTTTTGCCTACCACATGGTCTTCCCTCACCAGGACAATCGGGGCACTCCTCCAAGAGTGGTTCTGCCAAAGGAGCTGATCCTCTGGACAGGTGGTTCAGACCAGAAATCAAGATGGCGTCGGGCCTGGGAGTATGGTCGCATCAGAACCCGACCTGAAGTTGTCTTTCGAGCTGAGGTGTTGTGGTCCGCTGGTTCGCACGTATGGCCATTTTAAAACTAACTAGCTAACTAACTATTAGTAGCCTTATCCTATTTATTCTTATTAGTTATAATTCTCAAGCATCAATCGAATCTCAAAACTCCCCAGAGTCTTCACTGTCTTTTCTGCAACAAGATGAAGCTTCTTCAGAGTCTTCTTCAGAAACTTCGACAGAGTCTTCTTCAGAATCCTCAACAGATGAGACAAACCCTTTGGATCGTGACACAGATGACCATCAGCTCCCGGAAGACTCAGACGATGGCGGTGACGAGTACTCTGGTGGTGACACAGACTATCCTATTATTTATAAATAATTTTTTATTATAAATTTATTATCAAAAATAGCAGATTTACTATAAAAAATATCCCTATTGATAATTCTAGCCAATATTTGTCATCTCTAAATAATAAAAGCATTTTTTATATAATGAAGGATATATATTCTTGCTACTAGTTTTACTGATAATGAAGAAGGGACTGGAAAAGTCTGGTTAATTCCAATGAAATCTGAAGAAGATTCTTCATATGAAATTTTAGGAGGCCTCGAAAAGCCTGTAGGAGTTTGCTTTGATATCAATAACAATTTTATGTATGTAGCCGATGCTGGTTTTGGAAGTGATACTGGGTATATATACCAATACGAAATTTCTTGGGATGAGGAAAACAGCTTTTCTTTGTCAAGAAATATATATGCAGTTGTATATGAAGGGGAGTCACCATATGATTGCAAGGTTGATATATATGGAAATTTATATTTTGTAGACTCAGTTACCAACCAAATAAACGCAATCAGCTATACAGACCTTTATTCAGGCTCCAAAAACCAACAATACACCTTATACCAAGCAGACGAGACTAATACCGATATTAGTGCCCCATGCTCTTTAGATCTATACAAAAGTGAAGGGATTTATTTTGTGAATAATGAAAATTTTGATACCTCAGGGACTGTGAATTATGCAATAATCAACTCGACCTCAATTAATTATAATGATATCCAGCAGTGCGCAATTCATGACGTAGCACCTTGGGGTGTTACGTATAGTGAAGATGATAAGGTTTTCTATTCATTAGATAGCGGAGAAGTCCAGGGGTTTGATATATACTAGTAAACCTAATGGTAATATAAATAATTTATTAATTTTTATAATTATTTATATTAATTAATGTAGGATAGAAAATGCAGCCAACTCGTTTGTAAAGGTAAGCAAACTTAGTGAGCCTAGAGGACTTTGCTATGGAGATGGGAAAGTCTATATTGCAGATCACTATGATGGGAAAATATATAAGGTGAGTGATAGCGATGAAGAAGAAACGCCAAGTGTTATTATTAACTTGCAAGGGGTTTATGCAGTGTTTTGTGTGAATGAAGGAGATTTTGCAAGAGCGATAGTGGTAGTTTGGGTAGCATTAATTAGTTATCTAATAATATAAATGTGCGATGAATTAAATATCTATAATTCTACTGTAGGTATATATAAAAATATGTTTTTATGTGTTATCATTGTAAGCAATCATGCCTAAAAGGCTGTTATAATGAAAATTATAAAAATTTTCACAACTGCATTATAAGCAGAAGAAAGTGTGCCAGAAGGCTTCAAAGTGTATCCAGACTCTGTGCTGCTTGATGAGCCATTAGAAGACGAGCTACTCCCAGATGAGCTACCCCCAGATGAGCTACTTCCAGACGAGCTACTTCCAGATGAGCTACTCCCTGACGAGCTACTCCCAGACGAGCTACTCCCAGAACTTGAGCTCCCAGACGAGCTATTGGTAGTATTTGTACTAGACGAGCACTCAGGCAAAAATCGATTGCTGCCAGAGCTCCCTGATGTCGTGCTATTAGTAGAATTGTTTGTTGAAGTGCTTGTTTCGTTAGCTGAAGAAGTTGTATTGTTTGAGGTCTCTGTGCTATTTGCAGATGATGTTTGGTTCGTTGTAGAAGTGCTGTTTGTTGATGTAGATGTTGAACTTGTCGTGCATGTGCTGTTGGTGCTACCAGAGCTAGACCCTGATGAAGTGCTATTAGTAGAGTTTGAGGACCCACTTGAGCTTGAACCACTACTTGAGGACCCACTAGAGCTTGAACTACTGCCTGAAGAGCCGCTAGATGAAGATCCGCTTGAAGATCCACTTGAACCACCACTTGACGATCCGCTAGAGCTTGATCCACTAGACCCACTTGATGAAGATCCACTGCTTGAGGATCCACTGCTAGAAGATCCACTAGAACTTGACCCACTAGATCCAGAGCTTCCAGGAGCCACAGTATCAGCTTTTAATGTGAAGCTTGTGGTACCTTTTCCAGAGTGCATTTTAATATCCCCACTATAAGGCCCATTGCAATAAATCAAGCCGTAACTCTTCCCTCCTACTAAGTCTATATGATGTGAAACCCCACCAGCGCTTAAATTTCGTGTCCACTGATATACTGTATTTGTGCCATTCACAAAGGAAGTAATCCCAGTCAGAGAAAAAGTGTCTGTAGGTGTGTAATAGTCTCCTGAACAAGTTCGGCTTTCAACTGCTGGCGAATTTGTTATAATTGCTACGCAGTCAGAGTTTTTCATCTTTGCATTGCCTGATGCAAATCCTAAGCCGAAGTATCCTCAATTTTTGCTTGTTTTCAAAGATGTGGGGAAAATCAAGTAGAATGTAACAGTTGTGGATGAAGGGAAATACCACCCAAGTGAAATGCCATTTGTTAATGATTTTGTGGTAAAGCCGAAGCATAGTGTACTTAAAGTAAGTAATAAAATCTTGAAACTCATTGTTTTTTTATAAAGATGGAATGCCAATTTTTAAGGCTCATAAGAATAAAAAAATTGAAGCTCTGCAAGCGAAAATGAAAATTCGTTTCTTAGATTTCAGTATAAATGGAAATTAATTATAGAAATTTCCCATAGATGGCGCTGTTTGCCCTTGATTTGCCCATGAGAAAAATTTTTTGGTTTGACCAAACCATATGGGACTGGTCGAACCAAAAAAATTTCCCCAGTGGGCAAATCAAGAGCAAACAGCGCCATCTATGGGAAAATTTCTATACTATTAAAATGATAATAAATTTGTTTTTCTCCAAATCTGGAGCACTTTTTGAGACATGGTAGTTCCATTTATGTCTATAAGTACTGGATAAAATACTGGATAAGCAAATAAGATCTTGGAAAAGAATTTTTTAATTTACATCCTATAACATTTACAATAGAAAATATCCATAGACTGAAGAAATATTTAAAAGCTTGAATTTTACATATTATTTCATTTTATTGGCTTTCCAGTTCAGAAATCAAATCTTTTAGCTTTTTCAGCATGCTCTCTTCGTATCTTCACACGACGACTATTTTTTTTTGGCCTATTTTTTTTTTGGCCTATTTTTTTTTGGCCTATTTTTTTTTGGCCTATTTTTTTGGCCTATTTTTTAACTATTTTTTACTAATATTTGGGCATAATTCCATACTAATTGTTTTAATCTAATTTTTAATGTGTTTTAAACGATTTAACCAACAAAAAATGCACCCTTAACAGATTTCTTACTCCATGAATACTAATTCATTGCTTTTAAAATTTCGAGAATTTTAGGTTTAATTAGGAGTTTTTAACTTAATTTACTCAATATTAATCGCGTAAGGAAAGGTCTCTGTTTCTCAATAAGGTTGTAGTCCTCTCAGCAGCTTCATGAATGAGGCTAGGCAAAAAAAATAGGCCAAAAAAAATAGGCCAAAAAAAATAGGCCCAAAAAAAAAAATAGGCCAAAAAAAAATAGGCCAAAAAAAAATAGGCCAAAAAAAATAGGCCAAAAAAAAATAGGCCAAAAAAAATAGGCCAAAAAAAAATAGGCCAAAAAAAAATAGGCCAAAAAAAAATAGGCCAAAAAAAAATAGGCCAAAAAAAAATAGGTGAAAAAAAAATAGGCTAAAAAAAAATAGGCCAAAAAAAAAAATAGGCCAAAAAAAAATAGTCGTTATGAAATAGTCGTCGTGTGAAGGAACCGCTCTCTTGTGTTCTTTCCATTTCTAATAGCATATTGCTTGCACCTTCTAAGTTTCTTTCAGCAATCTCTTCACTTTCATTTAATCCATGCAAAATGCTCCTAAGGTCACCAGTTTCTGACTCAATCCTACTATTATCCCTCGAAAAATGTGCTGAATCGTCATGAATTTCAAAATTTTTTGAATCCTGTCCTATTTTTAGTCTCTCATTCAGTGATTTTACCTTAAAATTTGTAGGTGAAAATACAATTGACGAAACAATAGGTGTGCTAGAAGTGCTGAACGTAAAAGGTGAGCTTGCATTATGCTGTAAAATGGTATCCAGGGATGGCGGCTTACTCCTTGGAGTACTATCCAGCTCCAATCTTTTGCTTGCAATTTTTCCTAAATGATCTTTATCATGAAAAGGCCCATCAGAAGCCTGGGTTTCCCCAATTTTTGACAAAATTAATTTATCTTCACTATCACTATGTGGTTTAGTTTTTTTCTTTTTTTTGACAATAAAAGAGTCATCAGATTCAGAATTTAAGACACTATCAATGGCATCTTTATATTTAGTTTCCCTTACGTCTGCTGTAGCTTTAACTTCTTTGGCGATATTTGTGAACTCTTTCATAAAATTCATTAAATCTCTTTTTGAGAGAACTAAAAAATTTCCTGTTTGTGAGGCTACTTGTGCAGTATAGCTTCTAAGCTTGTTGTTTAGGACGTCAACTTCTCCGAAGTATGAGCCCTGTGAATATGTTTTAAAAACGATGCCATTTTTCTTGAAATTGACTCTTCCTTTTACCAAAAAATATATTTCTTCAGCATAATCGTCATCTTTAAACAAAATTTCTCCGCTCTGCATATGTACATTTTTCAACTTTGGCACGATAAGTGATATAAACTGTGGGTCTTTATCTTGAAAAAATGCAATTTTTTCAACGATTCTTTTATGCATATGGATAGAAATTTCTCGTCGTAAAGATGCAGGCAGCTCTTTAAGCAGCGCGTCTTTGTCGAACCATGTGTATACGTTTTCTTGGTGGTTATGAATAATATGTTTTCTTATTTTGACTCTGAGTTCTTCAGGAAGTTTTGTAAATTTCGCAAATTCAGCGAGAGCTGACAGCCTATTTTTCAGGTTGGTCGACCTGATATCTAAAGTCGCCATAATGGTAGATAAGTTACTAACTGTATATGAATAAAACCCAACCCCAATGCCCATAAGGACTAAAGCGAAAATTCTTTCCCCAGATGTTAATGGGACTATATCCCCAAAACCTACAGTCGCTATAGTTTGGGCGACATAATAAATAGAGGTTAAATACAGCTCTCCTTTAGAGTCATCTAAAAAACCATAGCGGTATACCCATGTATTATAAGAAAAATCGTCAACTCTTGCTATATAATATCATAGACAGCTTACTATATGTATAACAATCAGCATGATAAATATAAATTTTATCATTCTCAGCAGCCCTGTGGTCACGCGCAAGGTGTTTATTAAAGTTGTGATAAATTCGCTGTTTTTAGCCCATTTAAATACTTTGAAAAGGCGGGATACACGGACAAGTCTATACATTCTTAATAGTCTGAGGACTCTAGCAAGCCGTTGGAAGCCGTAGTTTTTATTTCCATCTGCGTTAAAATTATTCATAAGGTTAGGGAAAGGTATGTTTTTTAAGCTTAAAATTAATTTTTTTATTTCATATAAATTAAAATGCTAATTTTATATAAAATAATATATACAAGCAATAAGGTCAATTAAAAATCAGGTTGTTAAATACCGCTTGGCTATTGATTTTCTATTTGTTATTATTTTTCCTTCGTCATCTACATAAGCAGTATTAAAGTTAATGATAATATCAATAATAAACAGTCCATCAATAGTCAAGTCTATAGATAGTCACATATAATTGTCATCTAAATAACAAACCTCATAAGGCACTACTGTGGCTGTTCAGATCAATAAAAATGCTATCACAAGTGACCAATATTTTTTAAATGAAGAATTTGGCAAAAGTATCCATTTATGTATACTTTTTTTTCGATAAATTTTCAAATTTTTATATATTTTAACTTATTAATGCCTATTTATAGCCAAATATATACAATTTCTTCTTCATCTTCTTCAAAACTTTCTTTCCAAGCTATGGTGCTTGCATAATGGTTCCTTGATCCTCCATAAATTTGAATATCTCGCCAGACCTTTATTAGCCTTGCAACTGTTTTTCCTTTGCATTTTGCTCTGCGTCACAAATAAGCGATTCTTTGTGGAGATGGATCATGTGAAGGCTGGGTGACTGATTGCTTGCCTGTTCTAAGGACCATGATTTCTTGTATGAGGTCTTCTTGGTTATAGCTTTGGTCATTAGAAATATTCATAGAAGAATTAAGCGGAGTTTTCTCATTTACAATGTCAATACGAGAACTGTGTAAAGCCATTTTTATATTAATATATAAAAATAAGTAGACTAATATACATTATAGATCCTATACGATTTATTTTTTATTTATAAAATCCTTTTTTCTTAAAGAAATATATGATTTTCTGTGATTAAAAAAACAGATACTCTTTTTCACTACCTTATAAATTAAGAAAAATATTTTATGATCTATTTGCTTCTATTGCTGACAAATTAACCACATTACTTGACGCAAATCTTTGCCTTCTATAAAACAGAATATAAGCCTTACTCGTCACAATTTCATTCTCTATATCTCCTGTGACCTCAAAAACCAAGTTATCATCATAATAAAGCCACCGTTTCTCATTTTCTGTATTTAAACAAAAACAAGTATAATGCCCAGCTTCCACGCTTCCAGTATGATTAACAACTGCATATAAATCATACATATAATTTTCCTTTGCAGTAGAAACGGTTACTCCTGCTTTATTTTCAGTAATTGACATTATGGATGATAAGTCAAGATAAGTGAGAGGGAAGGTCACTAAATTTGTAAGCTTTTTGAACCGTCTGCCGTTAAAGCTGAAGCGCTTGAGGTGGATAATTAAAATGTCTGGGACTCTTCAGATCTCGGTTTGGGACTGCTTTTTGTCGAAATTGCATTTTTCACATTTGGCTTCAAGAGTTTCGGTTTCTGTGAATTTTTCAAGGCATTGATAAATTGTTAAAGCAGCGAGGTCCTCGATTTCTTTTGCAATAGTGAATTTATACTATTTTTTAATTATATAGATTTTATTAGGAAATGCTAAAATAGATAATTATTTAGTATAAAAAAGTATATAAAGCTCAGGATTTCTCCAAAAAATACATATAAAAACTCCCCTCTGGTTCTGTTCAAGCCATTTCAATTTTCCATTATTTTTCGGAAATTCGCATCCCTGGCAATTTTCCTTTGAGCATAAAGCACATTTCATATCTTTTGTGAACAAATAAATCGACAAATTTGAAGATTTTGGAGTAAAATACGTCCTTATTGTAACTTCTTTGCAGAGAGTTTCTATTTGGTCTCTTAGATCTCTCCACGTATACCAATTTCCAATAGAAATCACTTGTGGAATCCCAAAAAAGTCATAGGCAAGTATAGCTTTTCTTGAATGCAGCATTAGGAGATGAACCATTTTATTGTTATTTGTGGTGTGGCTTCTTAAAGGTGATAAAGATTCGTCATATCTAGAAAAGCTTGCAACGCTAGGAATTTCAGTATTTAATACAATTTCTACATTCATACCTCGAATATCAGAGATTTGGCCTTCAATTCAGCCGAATTCTGCTGAATTTACGTCAACTTGTTGGCCTCTTACTAATTGCTGCCTTCATGTTACTGGGGCTTCTCTTTGTAGAGTAAATCTGCCAGCGTTTTCAGCTTGTTCTATATCTCAGACTACTTCAAAAGCGTAGATTTCAGAATCTTCAGTTGCAAAACACTCTTGAAGGGATTTTGGGAAAAATAGTTCGTAAGAAAAGCAGTGGTTTACGTGAGCAAATAAGAAATTTTGATGAGAAATTCCACTAAATGTTTGCAGTTTTTCAAAAAAATCTTGAATTTCGCTGTTTTTTTTTAGTTTTATAGAAAATCTTACAATAGGGTTAGGTGATTTTGAAACTATTACGATTTTTAATGGGACTTCAGATTGTTCATTTGGTAAAGGAATGCTTAAATCCATAAACATTTCAAATAGAGTTGTTATATTTTCACATTTCTCACATTTTAGCACATTTCGAGTTTGCCCTCCACAAAGGTCTGATATAACAGAACCTCTATATCCTTGCAATAATTCTCATTGTTCTTGGCTTACTTTTTTTTCTTCTTCTAAAGTTGGGTTATTTAATGAAAGTATTTGTGACTGTTCAGCATTTTCAGTCCTTCTGTTTAAATCTTCATGTAAACTGTCTAGCAAAATTCTTAAAAATTCATGACTATCATGTTGCTCATAGCCTTGAAATTCTGGGTAAATTTGAGAGAAAGTATGCTTTAAATGATAAATTTTGAATAAAAATGAGGGATTTTTGATAGGAAATTTATTTAAATAAATTTATGTTATAGAGTATATTTTAAAAAGGAGATTGGACGATAAGAAGGTTCAGTCCCGTTAAGAATTTCTTGGAGAATTAATTGGAGCTCAGCAGAAATCTTACCTTTTGAGCCGTTTGGGTTTTTAAGATTTATATGCTTTATGTGAGCTTGTGAAGAGAAAAAATGGTTAAGTAATGGAGTGTATCTAATAGCTTGCAAAATAGAGTTCATAAAGCAAGTGTTTCCTATATTATTAAGCCCTGCTGCACCTTTAATTGCATTGTTGTCCACTTGAATTCTATTAGGCTTCCTAATTCTGCATTTTTCACAATGCGGGATAGATACAGATTTTTTCATCCACCCAGCGCCTATTATATACTCATCATTTTTTATTTCATTTAAAGTCCCAGACATCCAATATCCATGATCATAATACTCTACAGGATCCCCTATTGAAAATTCATTGTCATCTTCTTCAAAAAGTGTTGAATTTCTGATTTCTCCTAGTTCAAGCACACATTGACTTATAGAAGGAAGCGTAATATCTTCAATTCTCCATTGAGGATTTAGCAGTTGTCGTGCTTCTCCATCAATAAGGATTAAACTCATATTATCTTCAATGAAATTTGCTTTAAAAATATCCAAAACATCCCTAATTGTTTTCTTTTTTGATATAGCAATATAATTTGGTTTTTTATTTATTGATAATCCAGCTTTTTTTACAGTGACTTTAAAAATTTGTGGATACAGCTCAATTTCTAAATTTTCGTAATTTGATATAACTTCTCTATTAAACTCAGGGCCACCGCCATATCAGCTTAGCAGCTCTTTCCAAGCAGGATTTGGAATTACTTTAAAATGCTCACCTCTTAATTCGTCTAATAATTTCAGCTCACAATTTGGGTCTTGTAAATCATAATTGTCAATTTCAATAGGCCTTGACCCTTGGACAACACTTTTTGACCTTATCATTCTTAGACTTGGGATTTTTTCTAGTTCTTGCTCATTATGGTCCTCACAAGAAAAATTCACATACTTTTTCCAAGCATCAAGCCACCTGCTGGAAATCACATTCCAAATATCCCCTTCTTTAAGCCCATTTTTTTCTGCTTCTGCAAATAGTGTTTTAATTACCTCCCTTTCACTTATAGGTGATGGAATAATTTCAAAAGGCTGCAATATTAAATGTAGTTCTAAATTCTCAAGTGCCCAAGTCCTGAATTCTTGAAATCCTAATAATTTTTTTTGATTTATACAATTTTCAAATAAATTTTCATTATTTTTACTAAAATCAATATCTTCCCTTACTCCCCCCCTCCGTGAGTGAACAAAAAAATTTTGTTCACTCACTTAAGTTTTTTTTAAAAAACATTTATATATAAATTTTCTAAAAAATTTTTTTTTCGAAATTTAAAAAAATCCTAATTTGCAAAAATTTGAAAGCAAATATTAATTTAATTTATAAAATTTATGTTTTAAAAAGCAATTCATCATTTAAATTAAACAGAATTAGCTCTAGATTTCATTATATTAATTATCATTTATATATCAAATTTTTTTTACATAAAAAATTTTTGTATTTAAAAAATTTTTGTTCACTCTCGGAGGGTGGTTTTTGGGCAAAAAATAGCGATTTTTCTAATGGTTTTGTTCACTCACGGAGGGGGGGGAGTTAGGAAATTTTCGCAATAATTTTGAAGCAGTTTTATTTCTTCAGTGTCTAATTTTTCTGTATTTTTTAAGTCAAAAGTTTTGAATAAAAACTTGCATTTTTCGTCTCTGTGACCTACAAAGTATTGTGACACGGTCAAGCATAAGTTATATCAGGAGATGTAACCGAAAGAGTCTATATCGAAGATTTTAAATGATGATTTAATGATTTCTTCTGGCAGGTCTTTGAGGAGTGGTAGGAGTTTTTTGAAGCCTTTTAGGTCTATTCCGGAATCGGTTTGGGCTTCTCTGAATTTTGATTTTAGAAGTTCAAGTTGTGCGGATCCGAGCCGATCAAGCTTGGTGTTATATTCAATTATATTTGTCTTTTTTGGGACTACAGTAGATTTTTCTCTTGCTTTTGATTTGCTGCCGATGCATGAACCCATTATAAAGAAATCCTTTAGATAATAGATACTTACTCTGTCTCTTTAAATTAGAACAAAACATCTATAAGTTTGCATTTTGGATACTTTAATCCCACTTTGAATTGGAAAAAAATTTATTTCTCAATAGGAAAATTTTTATGGTGAAAATACTAATTTTTATAAAATTAGATTTTGACCTAATTTAATAGGTAAAATGTTATTTAAACAGTTTTCACACTGAATCAATTAATTTTTAAGTAAATTCTTTATAAAATAAATTAAAATTCAAAGTGTTATACTCAATATAATGTTTTTTTAAAAAACGCAATCCCCTTTTATATTGGAAAAGGATTTTTTTTATTCCAATTCAAAAGCGGGGAGTTAAATAATATTTTTTATTTATAATTTGGGTTAATAATATGTTTGAAATTTTTTATTTTGCGAAAGCTTATTAGGCTTTATGATTTTCTTTTCTTTATGTAGCACAAAAATTATAAATTTGACCGATTTTCTTGTCGGCAATAATGAAAAGGAGTGTCGGGTTTGAAAACGATTTTTGGATCCAAATTTATGAATTCAGACAAGGACATAAGGTATACGCAAGAGCATTTGTCATTATTGTGGGACTGGAAATTAATATAAGATGCATGCTATATATAAGGAGGACAAGACAAAAATTATTGATTTTTTAATTGAAATAATGGAGGAAGATTTTAGTAGAGTAAGTTTTAATAGAAGCAGTGTTGCATATCTGAAATTTGAGACGATGTATAAGAAAAATTATAACTCAGATTGAAATCATAATTCGAAATTTATTAAGAAATTTATTAGGTTAAGACAAATTAATAATCAATTCATCTAATAATTATGGGTATAATTATAAGTTTAAGTCCGAAATAAGACAAGTTCTCTGAGCATAGGGCGTACTAGACGAAAATATTAATATACTCTGCCTATTTATTTTATGTTAGTGTCTTGCATCCCTCCGTGTTTACTGAAGGTAGTGAATTTAAAAATAAATTTAATATATAAAATATATTTTAATGTACAAGCTGTTTAAAATTTAATAGACTTAGCTCTTATATTTGAAATTTTTTTATTAATTAAGTTTTACTCGCTCAAGTTGGTGGCATTTTCCCCAGAGTTAGTAATATTCACCCCACAAATTTATAAAATATACATTTTTAAATGCATTGAAAAGTATTGCTTCTAAAGAGCATTCTAAAGCATCACTCATAAAGTGAATTCCAAAGGAACTACCTCTAAAGTGTACTTAAGAGCATTACCTTTATATCTGCTGATATTGCATCTGTGTTCCAGTTCTTTTCTAATGTGTATTTAAGAGCATTACCTTATGTCCTAAAAAAAATTTATAGATATTGCTTTAGATTTCAATACTCTTAAGCACCACCTATCTACTCCTATTAATCGAATTTTCACTTTTCCCATCAAATACCTCCTGCATTTTTCTTTGACGCTTAATTGATTTTAATTGATTTAACCTCAAACAAGGCGTTCTGAAAAGAAAATTGTGAGGATTTAAAAATTTCGATTTCTCTTGATTGACATTTTCCTGACATAGTTTTTTTATTATGCAAATAATTTCACACCCCATTCTTTGCTTTTTGGTTTATTATCACCCAATTTCCTTCTAAAAATTCAATCGAACAGTGACGCTTACTCATTTTTTTGTCCTCGGGAAATGCAATTGAGATTGAATTTGTATCTCCTCTTCCTATTACTATTGCAGTGTTATCGTCTCAATTTCACTTATGCAAAATCTGACGACCATTTTCTTTTGTACACCTGAGCGCAATGGATTCTCCAAATTTTAAATCAAAATCAAATAATGTTGTTCCAACCCGAAACCTGTCGTGGCTTTCAATGATTTTTTTGTCCTCAATTAATATCATAGCGGTTGGCTTTACTGTTTCAGATTCTTTTATAAAAAATTTATCGTTTTTCAAAGTAATGCTTAGACGAGTTACCGCATTAATGTAAATTGTTGGATCCTTCTTTTTCTTTATATAACCGCCTAGTAATTTTGGAAAATTTTGGTTGAAATATATCGAAATTTCTGAATTAGGAATAAGTCAAGAGTTCTGAGGGGCATTTTTTACTTTTAAAGTCAAACATTTCTGGGAGTCTAAGCTTTGAGGTTTAATAGTTTTTTCGATAGATTTGCTAAGTTTATTTATTTCTGAATCTTCGCTAATAATAGTAAGGCTTTTATTTGCTCAAATGTAATTTTCTTCTAAAAAATCTTCTAAATAATTTGTGTTCTTCATGAATTCTTTTGCAAATGATCGGGCAAGCTCTACCTCAATTTCAAGAGGAGCTTGGCTTGGGGTAGTGACTCCAGTAGAACTTCTCGACTGATTAGGCATCTCTGATTGTTCATTTTTAACTCATTCGTTATCTGGACATGGCTTATATGATCTCGAATTATCAATGGGATTTGATTGATGTTCGGAATTAAAGATTTTGCTTTTTTCTTGAGTAATGTGATAATATTTAGTTGACAGGCTGTATAAAGTCTCATCTTCTCCCATAAAAAAATTTATTAAGCACAGCGTTCCTTAGTAAAGAGAAGGCTCCTAAAATAGCATTATAATAGAAAAATCAGAAAGTAATGGCTAGATTTGATCAATAATTATCTTTTGCCGCACATTTTTGGTTCAAAATATAAACCAGAAAGCGAAAGACTTAATATAATTTATTTAATTTTGACTTGAAATGAAATTCTCAATGTTTAAGCACTCAATAAGCTTATTTCTTCGTAATTAGAATTCTCTTAAAAAATTATAGAAAGAAATTTATGTAATCTTTCTATACTTTTTTTAAATATGGTACAAAAAGATATTATGCTGAGCTTTTAGGAAAAGCAAATGAAGTTATATTTCATCTCGGTTGATTAGCTTATATTAATCAACATAAAATTTTGCAATAATTTGCTAAATTATTCATGAAAGAGTTGATTGATAAATTATAACTAATTTCTTTTAAATTTATCAATTAGAGTGGTATGCTAAAAGGATTTTTAATTTTTTTAGCATTCTGTATATAGATTCAGCCTCTATTTTATATCATATTTGTATAATTTGATTAAAATATATAAGACTTTATTTTATGTGCTAATAATTTAGATTATTATTCAGGTAATGTATTTACTTTCACATTAGGTCACTCCTTAGAATATTTTATTGTTAAATGCACATTATAAAGATTTTTTCTTTAACTTTTTTAATCAGCGATATTCCCTCTATGCTAGAAATCATTAATATTTAAGAGACTGAGTTTTTAGCATATATTTATAGCTACGAAAGCGCAGGTCTATACTTTAATTGATCAAATTTCAGAATTTTATAAAAATATAGTCTAATTAAGGTGCTTTAAGAATTCTTATCATGAGATTATGCTATCATTGCAATTTGGATGAAATAGGAGATTATTTACGCATAAAATAAAAGATGCCCTTTTAGTATTAAGAGTCTGCAAAATTCATTTCGCTTTTGTGAACATATAATAAATTAACGGCATATAATTAAATAATTTGAATTTTAGGTTGAATTTATATCTAAGATTTTAAGTTTTGAGACTATTAATTTGATATTTTATGTAAAATATTGGTTACTCATAACATAAAGCAAAAAATTAAATGGAATTCCGAGGTTTAATAAGTTGTAAGCTCTTATCAAATTGCACCAAAATCCATAAGTTTCCTTTGAAAATTTCGCAACCATAATTCGTTATTTTCTCCGCTGCTCCAACTTAATTGATGTTTCCATATCCACTCATAAAGTCAAAAATATTCATTTATATATAATATACAGGCTTCTCTATTCATAGAGATAATCTGCTGCATTATTTTCAATTTATCTTATTGGCACTGAGTTTTAAATGCGATTAATCTACTTATTCTTCAGCAAACATAATTTTTTGCTTAATATTTTTATTAAAGGATTTAACTTATCAATATTATAAATTCTTTGGCCTATATAGGATAAGGAAAGGGTGAGAGGTGTTACATTGAGGGTCAAATAGTGTAGAGTAGATTACAGAATTAAAGTGATGCAGCTCGAGCATCATTGCATTAACAGACTTTTCTTCAAAGGCTATTAGCTTGAAGATTATTTTTAAGTGAAGGGGCAAGAGAAATTCTGGCTTATAGCGGAAAAGCTAATAAATAAAAGATTGCATTATAAAAATATGAATACTTCAAAATTATCCTAAATAATTTGAGGTAGAAATAAATGAAAAAGATAGTTCTTTTATATCTTATTTTTACTATTGGAAATGCAAAATCGTGTAAAGTTGACAGTGACTGTGATGACTACTACAATTGTAAGTCAGGGTCTTGTGAGCACAAAGAGCTTTTTCCAATGGAAAATTTAGAAATCATAGGAACAATTTTAATTGTAATTGTGAGCGCTCTATCTAACTCATCAGGAATTGGTGGAGGAGGACTCAATGTCTTAATCTGCATCTTATTTTTTAAATTTGAAACCTCTAAGTCAGTTCCACTATCACAAGTCATAATATTAGGTGGGAGCCTTACAACTATTATCATACAAATACCATCAAGACACCCTGTAAAAGATAGACCATTGATTGACTATGATTTAATAGCTTTTGTAATATCTCCGATGCTTCTAGGTGCTAGTATCGGGGTTATTTTAAATAAAAGTTTTCCCTCTTGGCTTATTCTTGCTCTTTTAACTTTGCTCTTAGGATTTATGCTTTATAATTCTATTAAGAAATATATTAAGCTCAGTGAAAAAGAAGCCGAACAAAGAAATAAAGAAAAAGACAATAAAAAAACAAATTTAATAGAAAATAAAGAGCAATCAAATACTGAAAATTTAATAATAAATTGCGAGATAGAAGCTGGAGGAGTAACACAGAAGATTTTGCCTGGTGAAGACAATAAAAAAGAAAAAAATAATCATATTGACGATGTTTATAAAGAAGAAAGCAGGATTATACCGGTTCGGCAGTTCACTGTGATTTTATTGATTTTAGGCTTTGCAATTATAGGGTCATTAATGAAAGGTGGAAAAGGTTCAGAGTCAATACTCGGCTTTTCGCAGTGCAGTTCTTGATATTGGGCTTTTGTCGCAATTTTTTTTATATCTCTTCTAATTTTATGTTTCTTAGCTGAGCTATTGGCTATTCATAAAGTCAATAGAAAAATTGAGCAAGGTTATAATTTTGATGATCATGACATAAAATGGGACATCAAAAATACCAACTTATTATCTGCCTTTACAATAATAGCTGGGATCACAGCTAGTTTATTAGGGTTAGGTGGAGGATTAGTTATGAATCCTATCATGCTAAATATCGGCTACAGACCAGAAGTATCGACCGCATCCTCTTCATTTTTAGTCCTTATGGCTTCTATTATAGCAGTTCTTCAATTTTCCCTTGCTGGAGAAGTAATTTTAGCTTATGGGCTATGACTATTTTTTACCTCAGTACTAGGATCAATGCTTGGAACATTTTTTATATTGAAAACAGCAAAAAGGTATAAAAGAGTATCAATTGTGGTACTAATTTTGGCGATTATTCTTTTTATGTGTATAATAGCGATTCCTACATATGGAATTATCGATATGGCGACAGGTGGCGATACACAATATGGATTTTCAGGGTTTTGCTAATCATTATTTAATTTTTTTAAGTATATTTCCTATTTATTTATTTATTTTTAGAATTTTTATTAAAATCTTATGTCTCGTTTATAGGTAAACTGAATTAAATATTTATTTTATTGCGAATATGGCTCTCGCTCTTGATTTCTCCTAAGTTTATTTATTTCTGAATCTTCGCTAAATATAGTAAGGTTTTTATTTGCTCAAATGTAATTTTCTTCTACATGCTTTGTGTTCTTAATGAATTTTTGGCAAATGATCGGGCAAGTTCTGCCTCAATTTCAAGAAGTTTGGCTTGGGGTAGTGACTCCAGTAGAAATTTTCAACTGATTAGGCATCCTTGATTGTTCGTTTTTAACTCATTCGTTATCTGGACATTGCTTACATGATCTCTAATTATCAATGGGATTTGATTGATGTTCGGAATTAAAGATTTTGCTTTTTTCTTGAGTAATGTGATAATATTTAGTTGACAGGCTGTATAAAGTCTCATCTTCTCCCATAAAAAAAATTATTAAGCTTAGCGTTCCTTAGTAAAGAGAAGGCTCCTAAAATAGCATTATAATAGAAAAATCAGAAAGTAATGGCTAGATTTGATCAATAATTATCTTTTGCCGCACATTTTTGGTTCAAAATATAAACCAGAAAGCGAAAGACTTAATATAATTTATTTAATTTTGACTTGAAATGAATATTTCAATGTTTAAGCACTCAATACACTCATTATGTCTTTTTAATTATAAAAAATTATAGAAAGAATTCAATTATTTTATTCCTTCTACACTTTTGGATTAAAAATGGTACAAAAGATATTATGCTGATTATTCCTTCTACACTTTTGGATTAAAAATGGTACAAAAGATATTATGCTGAGATTTTAGTAAAAGCAAATGAAAGTTATATTTCATCTAGGCTTATTAGCTTATATTAATCTGGATAAAATTTTGCAATAATTTGCTGAATTATTTATGAAAGAGTTGATTTATGAATTATAACTAATTTCTTTTAAACTTCGCAGTGTTAAAAGGATTTTTAATTTTTTAACATTTTGATATAATTATTTAGTTTCAACCTCTATTTTATATAATATTTGTATAATTTGATTAAAATATATAAGACTTTGTTTTATATGCTAATAATTTAGATTATAATTCAGGTAATGTATTTACTTTCACATTGCGTCGCTCCTTATAATATTTTATTGTTAAATGCGCATTAGCAAAGCTTTTTTCTTTAACTTCTTAAGCAGCGATATTCCCTCTTTGCTAAATCATTAATATTGAAGTGATTGAGTTTTTAGCGTAGATTTATAGTTGCGAAAGCGCAGGTCTATACTTTAATTAATCAAATTTCAGAATTTTATCAAGTATAGTTTAATAAATGTGCTTTAACTTCTTAAGAATTCTTATCATGAGATTATGCTATCATTGTAATTTTGATGAAATAGAAGATTATTTATGAATAAAATAAAAGATGCCCTTTTAGTATTAAGAGTTTGCAAAATTCATTTCGCTTTTGGGAGTTTATAAAAAATTAATAGCATATAATAAGATAATTTGAATTTTAGATTGAATTCATATCTAAGATTTTAAGTTTTAAGACTATTAATTTGATATTTTATGTAAAATATTGGTTACACATAGCATAAAGCAAAAAATTAAATGGAATTCCGAGTTGTAAGTTCTCATCAAATTGCACCACTATCCATAAGTTTCCTTTTGGAAATATCGCAACCATAATTCGTTATTTTTCTCAGCTGCTCCAACTTAATCGGTATTTCCATGTCTGCACATAGAGTCAATACTTACAAAGAAAAATTCATTTATATATAATAAAAGGCTCTCTATTCATAGAGATAATCTGCTACATTATTTATTGGCACTGAGCTTTAAATGTGATTAATCTACTTATTCTTCAGCTACAAAATTTTTTGCTTACCTTTCCTCATAGAGTGATTTTTTATAAAAAAATAATAATGAAGTTTAAAATAATCCCAATACGTTAAACAAAAATGCATTGAAATATTTTGCTCACTCATGAAGAGTGGATAAAAAATAGATTTTTCTGCATATATTGGATGAGCAATGGGTGAAAGGTGCTACTTTTGGGATCGAATATACAGATTGCAGATCATTGAATTAATAGACGTTTTTATAAGTTTTCTTGAAAGGTTAATTAGCTTTTGAAGTTATTTTTAAGTGAAAGGGCAAAAGAAATGCTGATTCACAGTGGAAAAGCTAATAAATAAAAGATATCCGTTATAAAAAATATTAATACTTAAAAATTATTCTAGCAGATAATTTGAGGTAGTATAAATGAAAAAGATAGTTCTTTTATATCTTATTTTTACTATTGGAAATGCAGAATCGTGTAAAGTTGACAGTGATTGTGATGACTACTACAATTGTGAGTCAGGATCTTGCGAGCGCAAAGAGCTTTTTCCAATGGAAAATTTAGAAATCATAGGAACAATTTTAATTGTAATTGTGAGTGCTCTATCTAACTCATCAGGAATTGGTGGAGGAGGACTCAATATCTTAATCTGCATCTTATTTTTTAAATTTGAACCCTCTAATTCAGTTCCACTATCACAAGTCATAATATTAGGTGGGAGCCTTACAACTATTATAATACAAATACCATCAAGACACCCTGTAAAAGATAGACCATTGATTGACTATGATTTAATATCTTTTGTAATATCTCCGATGCTTCTAGGTGCTAGTATCGGGGTTATTTTAAATGAAAGTTTTCCTTCTTGGCTTATTCTTGCTCTTTTAACTTTGCTCTTAGGATTTATGCTTTATAATTCTATTAAGAAATATATTAAGCTCAGTGAAAAAGAAGCTGAACTAAGAAATAAAGAAAAAGAGATTGAAAATACAAATTTAATAGAAAATAATGAGCAATCAAATACAGAAAATTAATAATAAAATGCGAAATAGAAGCTGGAGAAACAGAGAAGGCTTTGCCTAGTGAAGACAATAAAAAAGAAAAAAATAATAATAATATTGAAGATATTTATAAAGAAGAAAGCAGGATTTTACCAGTTCGGCAGCTCTCTATGATTTTATTTATTTTAGGCTTTGCAATTATAGGGTCATTAATAAAAGGTGGAAGAGATTCAGAGTCAATACTCGGCTTTTCGCAGTGCAGTTCTTGATATTGGGCTTTTGTCGCAATTTTTTTTATTTCTCTTCTAATTTTATTCAGCTTTCCTAATATATGCAAAAACTTTCAGTCATACAAATTTTTTATCTTATAAGAAATAGGAAGAAACCATGATATGATAGCTCACACTCTTTTTAATAAATTATATGCTTCGTAGCTGAGCTATTGGCTATTCATAAAGTCAATAGAAAAATTGAGCAAGGCTATAATTTTGATGATCATGACATAAAATGGAACATCAAAAATACCAGCTTATTATCTGCCTTTACAATAATAGCTGGGATCACAGCTAGTTTATTAGGGTTAGGTGGAGGATTAGTTATGAATCCTATCATGCTAAATATCGGCTACAGGCCAGAAGTATCGACCGCATCCTCTTCATTTTTAGTCCTTATGGCTTCTATTATAGCAGTTCTTCAATTTTCCCTTGCTGGAGAAGTAATTTTAGCTTATGGGCTATGACTATTTTTTACCTCAGTACTAGGATCAATGCTTGGAACATTTTTTATATTGAAAACAGCAAAAAGGTATAAAAGAGTGTCAATTGTGGTACTAATTTTATCGGTTATTCTTTTTATGTGCATAATAGCGATTCCTACATATGGAATTATTGATATGGCGACTGGCGGGGATACACAATATGGATTTTCAGGGTTTTGCTAATCATTATTTAATATTTTAAGTATATTTCCTATTTATTTATTTTTAGACTTTTTATTAAAATCTTATGCCTCATTTATAGGTAAACTGAATTAAATATTTATTTTATTTCGAATATGGCTCTCGCTCTTCATTTCTCCCAGATTCGCTACTTTTATTGCCCTGGTCAATTTGCTTACTTGGAGTTTGTGGCCTTGACGATCTTCTTGAGTTCGCTTGGAAGCTATTATTTGACTTCGTCATGTCAGGTTTAAAACTAATTCCTGCATCCTTCATGAACTTTTCTTTCAGGACTACTTTTTTGTCCTGAATTTCTTTAAAATTCTGATACAAATTTTCATATCTTGGGACTTCGTCGCTTTCTCCTCTAGGGACACTACCATGTCTTGCTTTTTCGAACTCTTTTTCTTGCTCTTCTCTTTGTTTTTTTAATTTTTCTTCTCTTTTTTCTTTTTCACTATAAAGACGCTCGTGCACAGGGGTTCCTGAAGATTCTCGCTTAGGTGTCATTAATTTAGGAGTAAAAGGGTGATTTTTTTCTTCTTCGATTTTCTTTTCAAGCTCTTTTTTCCGCTGCTCTTTTTGATGATCTTGATAAGAGTTGTAGAGCTTTATATAGATTGGTGGCTCGTCTTCTGATTTTCTTGACATAACAGAGACTGAAGGTTTGAATGTGCAATTTTCAAGCTCTTTATCTTTTTCAATAATTTCTTTAGTCCTTTGTTTTTGCCTCTGCACCTCAGCATCTTTATACAATTTCTCAAACGAGTGCTCCGATTTTGACGATCTTATAGAATTTACCCTCGGCTTAAAGGTGCATTCACTCAACTCTTTTTCTTCTCTTTTTAGCTTATAAAAGTCTTCTTTCAGCTTTTTATCAGACATCTGTAGCCTTTCAAAAACAGAAATGTTAGGCTGGGTGTTGCTGTAAATATCAGGCTTAAACGTGCATTCAACTAAGTCTTTGTCTTTGAACTGTTCTTGGACTTTTTCTAAGACTTCTCGTTTTTTGGCTGCTTCTTCATAGAGACGGGTAAATAATTCGCTCTTTTCTTTGTCTTTGTCTGAAATAATGTTGAGGTCAAGAGAGCCTGTTGTAGGGAATTCTTTGAAAACTGACGAGGAAACTTGTTTGGAAGAGCTTTCAAGAAGGCTCATTGCAGCTTTTTTCTGAAAATAGCTTTGGTGGATCTCAGGCTCAGAATTTCTGGGTTTTCTTTGATTTTGTTGTAAATTTTTATTTTCTTTTAACAATCTTACTATATATTCCTTCATCTTCTTAAACTGCTGCTCCAATTCAAAATTCTGTGAAATTTTCTTTCAAATCCCAAACGAAGTATTGCATTCTCTAACAGAAATCCGCCTTTTCATGAAAACAATTTTCCTTGCAGCGCATTCTTTTTGGTTTTGGACTCAGCCGCTATATATGTTTTCTGCGATATCTGAGTAAGATTTACCATTAAAATCGGAATTGAAGATATCCTGGAGATGTGAAGTTAAACTTATGATGAGGCTGTTTGGGTTTGAGGGGTCTTCATAAATTTTTGGGAAGTCAGAGTAGTTGAGGAGTCCCTGAATGGAAATTACTGCTTTGAATAAGTATTCTATATAGGTTAAAAACTAAAATATTATGTAATATATATGCTATTTTAATGCTAATTCAAAATATTTATATATTTCTTTACAAGAATTATTAGCTTTTATATGACATTTACCATCAATTTTTCTATAGAAACACTCCAAACCTTATTTTTCTAAAAATATTCCTTATTATTTATAAGATAGTTTCTAAAATCATAACTTGGCATTCCTTTACTCATTTGCTATTTTTTTATGATATTTTATACTGATGGATAGAAAAACAATAACAAAAGACACAACAAACGAAAGCGAAGACTGGAGAAGTATCAATATTACTTTAAACTCCCCAATAACCTCCTCAGTTTACCCCTCTAACGAAATTCGGTCTTCACGTTACAATTTTTGGACGTTTTTGCCTTTAAATTTATTTGACCAGTTTATGAGGCCTTCCAATATTTGGTTTCTCTATGTCTCCCTACTAGAAATCCTTGTACTTTCTGATGGGTCTGTATATTCATACTCTACAATAATTCCTCTAGTAATTCTACTGCTTTTTACAGGAGTGAAAGACGCTTTGTGTAACTACCAAAAAAATGATTGTGACAAAAAAATCAATAACGAAATGTTTTTAGTCTGAAATGGGATTTCTTTCATGCAAAAAAAAGCTAACTCCCCCCCCCCTCCGTGAGTGAACAAAACCATTAGAAAAATCGCTATTTTTTGCCCAAAAACCCACACTCCGTGAGTGAACAAAAAAATTTTATTAATAGAAAAAATTTTTTATGGAAAAAAATTTGATATATAAATGATAATTAGATAATGAAATCTAAAGCTAATTCTGTTTAATTTTGAACGAATTGCTTTTTAAAACATAAATTTTATAAATTAAATTAATTTTTGCTTTCCAATTTTTGCGAATTAGGATTTTTTTTAAATTTCGAAAAAATATTTTTTATAAAATTTATATAGAAATTTTTTTAAAAAAAAATAAAATTAACCCCCCTCCGTGAGTGAACAAAATTTTTTTGTTCACTCACGGAGGGGGGGGGGGAGTAAAGAAATTTTTGTAGGGGAGGTCGTTTTGCTACAAAATAAAGAAAAAGCCCCAGCGGATTTGGTGTTGCTGTGCTCGGGGTCACCGAATTTTAGCTGCTATTTGGATACGTCAGGAATTATTGGAGAAAAAGATTTAAAAATAAAAAAATCAATTAGGGAAGTACAGAATCTGATAAATATCGCTGATGTAAACGAGGCATCTGCATATTTAAAACGAATTGGCGGCTTTGTAAAAGTCCAGCCTCCTAATACAGATTTCAGTTCCTTTGCAGGAAAATTCATCCTAGGAAATTCCCCTAAAGCCACGAACTTGAATATAGATAATTTTATTTATCGAGAATCAAAAATATGTAACACCCCATGGATTTTCGGACTAGTAATTTATACAGGAAATGAGACCAAAATTTGGAAAACTGAGACTTACCGTATAAGAAAATCGTCAAGAATCGAAAAATGATTCAACCGTTTTGCCATCTTTTTGGTGGCTTTTATCTTATTACTATCGTTATTTGAAGCTTTAATGGCGCGATTTTATATTGACTACGACCATAAATTCCCCTTTTATGTGACTTTTTTTAGGTTTAATTCTGTTTTTAGTGAGCTTATTCCTTTGCCATTGTTTTTTATTATAGATATAGTGAAGCTAATCCGTTATTTCAGAATAAACCTAAGGAAGCAAGGAGTTCAATTTAAGACAGAGGATGCCTGCGAAAATCTATTCCTATTTAACACCTTTTTCAATTAATTTTTACTATAAAAAATTTTAGCTAAATTACTATAAATCCCTATAGGACAAATCGAATATTTATTAGCAGATAAAACAGGCACCTTGACCAGCGACAACTTAAATATAAAATTATGCCTAATTGGAGAAAACGAATATTGAGAAGAATCAGGCTCAATAGACGAGCTTAGAAGAACTAGCAACGCAGACCGAGGATTCACATATGGCACTGACCGAATGTTTATAAACAACGAAGAAGGTGAAGATTTAATTGGAACCCCAAACTCACTTCTACGAAAAAACTTTGTAGACCTTAAAGCTGATTTTTTATCTAATATCAGCAGTGAAATGATGCATTATTTCACCTGTCTTGTCCTCTGCAACATCGCAATTCCACTCGAAAACGGAGAATATTTGACCACAGCAGTCGAAGACAAAGCTTTATTAGAACTTTCTGACACAATTGGGGTAAAATTAAAAGATAGGGACACTAATAAATGCGAAATCAGTCTAAATAATGATGTAAAAGACTTTATGATATGAGGACTCAGAGATGCGACTCCTGAAAACAAACGGACAAGGATTATTGTGCAGAATATTCTGTCAGATGAAGCCTTTATATATGTAAAAGGGTCACTTGACACTATGCTAAATATAGTAAAAGACCCAAACGGGTGTCTTTTTAACCTGGAAAATGTGCTTAAAGAGTCCTCGACCTCAGGGCTGCAGTTTATTGCAGCAGGGTATAAGCCATTGAAACAGAGAGACCTTCAGGAATTTAAATCAGCTTATAGAAATGCAAAACAGTGTCCTGTAAATACTGATAGAAGAATAGAGTCAGTTTTTGAAGAATGTGAGCAAGGGATACAATATTTGGGCTGTATAGGGATACAAGAAGAAATTACTGAAGAAACGAAGGAAACGGTAGAAATTTTGAAAAATGCAGGGATTAAAATATGGATTTTGAGTGGTGACTCTGAAGATAGGACAATTTCAGCAGGGATTGGGTCTTCAGCGATACAGGAAAACTGGAATATTATAAAGCTTTCAAAAGTAAACAGCCAAAGTGAATGTTTATCGCTTCTAGAAGACACATTGAAAAGCACAATTTTTAAAGAGAATAGCTTATTAAATTCACCCACTAAAGATCCTCATGACGTAAACGGAGCATCACCGATTTTTCCTATTGTGAGTGTCCCGCTGTTTGAAAGTGATAACTCATATTCAGAAAATAATGACAGCCAAAGGCTTTTTCACTATGAGTCAGCAAGAGAAAAATCATATCCGTTGATTTCTAAAAAAATGAATAAACCCACAAATATTGACATTTCTTTAAGAAAAGATATCGAATTTAGCACTGATTAATAGAAATTTGTTATTAATAACCTTTATATTAAAATCAATTATGATTGTTATACAATAAATCCTTTAATATCAAAGCTGACAAGCTTCAGCCACATCAATTATATTGATCTCAACCAATCTATTAATCAGACAAATTTGAATTTTGTATTGTCAATTGATAATAAAATTCTTGAAATTTGTATTGAGCATTCAAATTGTAGGAAATTATTAGTGGTTTTGCTTTTTACTGCACAAAGTGTATGCTTCCATTCGTTGCTGCCTGGAGATAAAATGAAGGTTGCGAAGCTTTTAAAGCAATATTTTTCGTTTAAGCCTATATAAACTGTTATATTAATTTAGAAAAATTATTTAAATATTAAAATTAATTTTGTTTTTTTGAATATTTTGGACTATTAATGATTTTATAACATATTTTTAGCTATAGGGGACAGTGGAAGTGACGTAGGGATGATTAAAGAAGCACATATAGGCGTAGGAGTTATAGGAAAAGAAGGTACTCAGGCAGCAAGTGCAAGTGAAATTGTCATTAGCAAGTTTTCTGACCTAACTGAGCTGATTTTATGTGAGGGGCATTGTTCATATGCAAATGTCTCCAAAATTATTCTCCTTTTGTTTTATAAAAGTGTGCTGATAATCAGCTTGATTTTCTTTTTTACACCTGTGGATTATTATTCTGGGAACTTGATAAGCTCTCTCAATTTAGAGATATATTTATTACAAATAAATAGATAAAACTTAAAAAAAATATAGAATTTAATTAATTTATGATATAGGGTATATATATAATGGTCATCAACATTGTAAATATCATAGGAATTGGAGTATTTGACCAAAGACTTAATGCGAGTGAAATTTCGGAATTTCCAGAAATGCATTTATTAGGGGTTTATAGCACTTATTTTAGCAAGTATAGTATCATGAATTATACTTTTCAAGGTCTTTTGCATGCGGGGATTATATCGATTTTCCTAAATTATGGGTTTTTTGATATCATGAATGACAGAGGGTATGCCGAAAATCATCTGCTTATGGAAGGTGTAGCTTTTATAGTAGCTTCTATAATAGTCCAAGGAATAACTATATTAGAAACAAGCAGCCACAGCTATTATACAGTAGCTACTCAGATTATTTCTTTCATTATTTTTTTGATATATATTATCACGAATTCTTATACTGATACTGAGTATTATGGGTTTTTAAGAATGATTTTTTCCTCAATCTCTCCCTTTAAATTGGAACAAAAAATCCTGCTCCAATTTAATGGGGTAATTTTTTTTTAAAAAAAATTTTAAAATTGAAAAAATCAAATTAAATGCAATTTTTAGGATTTTATTTTATTTTTATGAAGAATTAATTCAAATTAATCAATTAGGTGTGTGAGAATGTTTAAATTATAAATTAGGCCAAACTAATTTATAAATATTATTTTATGACCTATAAAATTTTCCTATTACAATTTTTTTTCCAATTTAAAGAGGCTTAAAGGAATTAAAAAATGAACATTTTCCCAATATTTTGCTTGGGGAGTCAGGAAGACTTGTTATTTATATAATAAGTCTATAATTAAGTCTTTAATTTTAAAAATGGCCATTATTTCTTGAATAAATATTATTTTAGCTAAATAATAGAAAATAGCATATCTTTGTCTCGCGATTTTGTTATGTCTAGTAATTTCATATGCTATGAATGTATATTTAGAGCTGTTTTCGCCTTCCCTAATCAATTTTATTAACGCTATCAAAGTCAGGCTATTTAATTTTGAAATTATTTCAAGAATAAATCAATATGACTGCAAGCTTGAAAGTGTGTATAAGGACAAGAAAAAGTCAAAATTAGAAACAAATATTGAGTCTTTTGATATATATTGTTACTAATTAAATTATAAATCGCTATAAATGCTATAGAAAATATTAAATTTAACCTATTTTAGCATAAATCCCCTCACGCTTAATTTTAAGTCGTCTTCTAAACAGTCTGAATATAATGAAGGGAAATATTTATCAAGGCTAAAACATTATACTGGGTTTGATTAAGCTTAAATTAGAAAAAAATAGACATTTTTATTATCTATAAATAAGAAGACATAAAAACTCTATATTTTTGTTAAATTAATGCATACTTGAATACCGAATATTAGTGGTAATCACCTTATTTATATTTATATTAGCTACTACAAGTGGCTATACGAGCTCTATAGGCGCTTTAGTTGTATTTATGGTATTAAATGCCTCATTTTTGGTTTTTACCTGGACGAAATCCTTTAGAAAATTTATCAGAATTTTTGTTATGTCGTATTATGTCGCTGTACAAGTTATTGTGCTAGTTACAGTCATTTTGACAAAATTTAACTTGCTGGTCCTAACACCTTTATATCCTTTGTTATATGCTTTGGCATTTATACTTTTCCAGAATAGCTAGATTTTTATATATTGCTAATTTTTTTCTAAATTAATACCATTTTTTTATAATTTTTACTGTCAGGATTGTCAGAATAGTATAATATAGAATGGCCGGTGCAAATTGTATGCAATGTTATAAGTACCATTATAATTCTTATCAAAACGGTTATTGTTTATAATAAGTGATTTGATAATACTGACCTTGCAGTAATATCTATCCAATATTTTGACTCAATGCCATTGAGCTTTTTATGATTTATTTGGTCAAAATTTTTGATAATGAGATGTTTAGTCGATAAACCCATTAAATTTCGATCAAATTTTCACCAATAAAACTTTCGAAAAAATACCGCACGATTATGGACCTACACCAATATTTCATCCTATGGATTTCAATAGAGATTACTGCTATAATTGTGGCTTATAGCTTGGAAAATGCGAGCTTAAAAGAATTTATATTGATAAGAACAGTTCGTACTGAAATGATCAAAGCTAAAGATGTCCTAGAACTGCTACTCCCTAAATTTGTGGTAAAAAGGGTTAAAGAAGGTATCAGGTATATTTCTGACGACCAAGGGATTGTAAGTGTCCTGTTCTGCAACATCTGTGATTTTGATCAAATATTCCTATAATAGTTAGATTAAAACTTCCTATTTTTTTAATTAAAAATTTTAAAATTACTAGAAAATTGTATAATTAATGACTACACTCCTCAGGAAATTACTAACTTGCTAGACGAAGTCTATTTAAATTAAAATAGTGGTATGCATCAACCTGCCCTCTTGGCACAACGGAACCTCAAGACCATGGTGAACTGAGATGGGCGCAAAGCCGAGAATTAAATGCAGCCTCAGAAATGTGTATCCGGGTAGGTTTTTGCTACTATTCTGTGGCTGCAAATAGAGGTGCCCAGAAATTCCGGACCCTCAGGCATCTTCTACTGAGAAACCGGGATTTCGACCTAGGCCTTAGGGCAACAGTCTTTTACTTATAGTTGCCGAAGAAAGGCTTTTGAAACTCAATAACTCCAAGGAGCTAATCCTTGGAATCAATCCCCCATCTAATGGACGCATATATATAAGCCTCCCAATCAATACTGAAACCTCAAGGCAAGGTTGAAACAACTTTACCTGTTAATTCCAGATATACTTATCAGTTTGTCGCCGAGCCGATGAATCTCCCATACGGAAGATCTTTTGGTGACTGAATCACTAATATGTCTAACACCTGTCTTTAATTAATCTAGCCTAACCTCCTAGACGAAGTCTACGGAAAGCTTGACCAGCTCTGTGAACTTGTAGGTGTGACTAAAATAGAAACAGTCGGAAAAACCTATATGGCATGCGCAGGGCTGAAAGATAGCGAAACTGAGCTTGATTATTCCTTAAGATCAGTTTCCCACACAAGAAGAGTCATAGAAATGGGCATAGAAATCATCAATTACACTCAAAAAATCATGCTGAGAAGCGGTGACCCTATTCACGTACAAATTGGAATAAATAGTGGTCCAGTGACTGCAGGGGTTGTAGGTGCCCATAAGCCCCAATTTTCACTTGTAGGAGATACTGTAAACACTGCAAGCAGGATGGCATCAACTTTAAAGATTAAGGACGCTATACAGATTTCTATGTCTACTTATGAGTTATTGTCTAATAGAAAAGGACTGTCTTTTATACCACAAAATGTATATGCTAAAGGAAAAGGGAATATAGATATAGCAATTTCATATAAATTAAGCCTTGATTTATTATATAACATTAATTAAATTATAAGCTTAAGCTGGTTATTTATAGTATACATTTTTAGTAAAAGCTGATACCAGCCCTGAATCTCTTCTTCCAGACGCAACCCCAAAGCGAGACTCTTTTAGAGCTACAAATAGCTTAATGCCCACAATTAGTATGCACGTATCAAGCTTTTGTGACCCTGATATCGCAGAGTTATCCCCATCAGAACGACGAAGATTAAGCAGTGGAAGAATTTCAGACACAGGAGTTGAAGAAAGAGACAGGCTGTTTGAAAAGAAAGAAACTGAGCTGGTTGATAAAATGAAAATAATTTCGTTTAAACAGACAAATCAAGAGAAAATATGCATTTTAGATTAAATAAAAAATGGATTATTTTTTGCGTTAGTTAATGCAACTATTTAGTTTTAAATGGTATATTCAGAAAAGCAATTATGGAGGATAATTATATAAATTTGAGAATAGGCCTGCTATGGGGAATTATCGCTGGTATTTTATCTTTTATAATACAAATCGTATGAGTCGCTACAGATACTTGGAACACTCTTTTTTTCTTGATATTTTTCCCAATAGAATCAATAGGATTTTTGATATTTTTGATTTTCCTTAAAAAGTACCATACAAAACAATGGTACACTTTTACCTTGCAAGTTTGCTTTATGCTTTGCTTACTCTTTTTTACTATAAAAAAAATAGACGAGCCTTATAAAAAATAATTAATATTAAAAAATAATATAAAAATACAGGAAATATAGCAATTTTGATAATAGTCAGTATATATGTAGATTCAAACTTGCATAGCCTTATAAGTATTTGTTCATTATACCATATAATGCTGCTTACCCACGTATCATCTCTTCTATACGTCCCAACTGTAATTTTTTCAGCAATAATCATATTGGGCTGGCTGATTTCAGAAGAATTTGTAGATGTCACCAATGTTTTTTTAGATGAAACTATTTTTATGATTTTTTTTACTGTTGTTTGCTTAATCTCTCTATATTTCCGAATCAAAAGATTATGGACTTACAGCAGCCTGCGCACAAATTCTCAGAATGAGCTAAATACTATAGAAGAGCTGGTAAATAAAATGATGCCTAGACATGCTTATATGAATTTAAAAGATAAACAATCAGTGACTGACAGGTTTTCACAGGTGACTATTTTATATGCTGATATTGTTGGATTTACAGCGTGGTCGAGTGATAAATCTCCTGAAGAAATCCTTGGGATGCTTTATGAGCTGTTTTCTAGGTTTGATATTTTTTATTATGATATTTATATGGGGATTAATAAGGAAATACTTATTATTTTTTATAGAAAACTATAGCAAATATTATTTCTAAGTAGTTAAGGATTTTTAAGAAGAATAATTTGTGTGTAGCCCATAATGTATATAAAGTCCATACCATAGGAGATTGTTATGTAGCAATGGGAAATTCTGGGAATGAAGTCAGGGATCCAGGTCAAGAATGTGTCAATATGGTAGAATTCGCCATATATAAATGGCGTCGTAAGAAACTTGCACTCTTAACACCTGCAGCCGTATTGGAGTTAATTCAAGATGATAAAGGAAGCGCACTCATATCCAGGTCAAGGTTTTACATCGTTGGAGAGATGGTTCGCTGGATTCGGAAGGGAAAGCCTGCAAGCCAGAGCTGATCACTTGGCCAATCAGGTAAATATTTAGGGAGATACCAGGTGTTACATCATAGGCTCCGTGCTCGATTTTGGTCAACAACCCTATCAGAAAATTCGTCTTCAAATTTTCAGGAATGCGAATCCCATTGGTGTACAGCAGATGCCCAGCATCTCTGACTCTCGGGAGCAAAAGCCCTTTTCCCTGAGGAGCAACACAGTGGAAGGCTGTGTCCGGACTGGCAGCAAACGGTGAAGCTTTATGCAGAGGCAGTAATTCAAGCAGGGCTTTAAGGGGATTTCTCTATAATTAATTTAAGTAAAAGGTAGAATTCGCCCAATCAATGATAAAAGTGATACAAGAAGTCAACGAAATCAACGGAATCCAGCTGAATATGAGGATTGGGATGCATACCGGCGACGTTATAGGTGGAATTATTGGTGGCTACATCGTCAGATATGATATTTACGGCGCAGGAGTCTTAGTCGCTAACCTTATGGAAAGCAACGGCATCCCAGGTAAAATTGCAGTCAGCGAGGTAACCCAAATGCTCCTAAAACGATTCCGGCCCTCAAAGTATCAATATGAGCACCTAGGAGAAGTAAACGTACCAATTCTCTTGCGAAGTTTTAATATTTATGCAATTAGTGATTCTATATAACCAGCTTCTAATCTTTTTTTAATAAATTTGTAAGTTACACTATGGCAAGCCATCTACTTAATAACAAAGTTAATGAATAAAATCCCTACGCACAAAAAACAGGACCCTGATACTGAAGATTGGCGCTTAATTGAGCTGCAGTTAAAGTCCCAAATAACTTCTTCAATCTACAAGTCCAATAAAGTCACATCAGCCCGATATACATTCTTTACTTTTCTGCCTCTTAACTTATTTGATCAGTTTATGAGACCATCGAATATATGGTTCTTATATGTTTCTATACTAGAACTTTCAGTTCTTTCAGATCAAGAGAGATGATTTTATGGGACATCGATACCTTTGCTTATATAGCGCGTGCTTCCCTATAGATTTTCAAGAAAATGCCCTTCAAAGATAAAAATTATTTGAAATTCCAAAAAGTCAAATATCAATTTAAAAATGCTATAATTTATGTCTTATTTGTCAATTTGAAATTTACTTTTCAGATTTTTCATTAATTTAAAAACTTAAAATTTTTATATAAAAGCACTTGTCCTCAGGGATCTAAAATGATGCTTGTGCTATACTTTTAGTCCTAACTGCTATAAAAGACGCAATAAGCGATTATCAACGAAGTAAAGGAGATGGCAAAACAAATAATGAGCAACATTTAGTTTGAAATGGAAACTCATTCAGCCCTACAAAGAGCGAAGATATTCTAGTTGGGCAAGTTGTGCTACTACAAAACAAGGAAAAAGCGCCTGCAGATTTAATTTTGTTTTGCTCAGGGTCTCCAAATTTTTATTGCTATTTGGATACTTCAGGAATTTTATGATAATTTATTATGATTTTTGACTAAAAATTTCCTATAGGATTATCTATGAGATTATTTAATAAAAAAAGAATAGGTGAGCGAGATTTAAAAATTAAATCAGCTGTAAGAGAATTACAGACTTTAATTGACGTATCTGACGTAAACGAAGCCTCAGCATATTTAAAACTCATAAATGGCCAAATCAAAGTTCAAGCTCCTAATAAAGATTTTTCTTCCTTTTCAGGAAAACTTATACTGGAAAATTCCCCGAAAGCTTCTAATATAACTATTGATAATTTCATATTCAGAGGAGCAAAAATTTGTAACACCCCATGGATTTTTGGATTAGTGGTTTATACAGGCAGTGAAGGAAAAACTTGGAAAATGAAAAAAAGCTATATAAGAAAATCCTCGGTCATTGAAAAACAGGTCAATAAAATTGTGATAATTCTGATAGGAATTGTTTTAATTTTGTCACTTTTTGAAGCTTTAATGGCGACTTATAATTCTGATTTTGATTATGAGAATCATGGGCATTATATTTTCTTTAAATTTAATTCAATTTTCAGTCAGTTAGTTCCTTTGCCATTATTTGTAATTATTGATCTTGTAAGATGAATCAGAGGATGAAGAATTGAAAAAGAAAAAGGCGGAATTCAGTTCAAAACCAGTGATATTCATGAAAACTTAGGCCAAATAGAATACTTGCTAACTGATAAAACAGGCACTTTAACCCAAGACAATTTAACGGTCCAACTTTGCATTGTTGGAGATAATGACTACTGAGAAGGCACAGGCTCAGCAGATGAGCTTCGAAGAGTAGGAAGAGTTGAAACCCGGATCAATAATTATCAAACTGAACGCCCATTCATAGAAAATGACTCTTTTGTTAGTGCCACCCACACTTCATTTCAACGTAAAAGTATTGTCGACCTCAAAGCTGATTTTCTTGCAGACCAAACTGATGAAATGACCCATTATTTCACTTGTTTTGCTTTATGTAATATGGCATTTCCCTTACTTTCCCTTTGCAGCAAGCAAAAAATTTTTCGACTAAAGTGAAGAATCGGCTTGGGAAATTCAGGGTCAAAGATACACTAATAAATCATTAGAAATATAATATTATTTTGTTGTTAAAAGAAAAAGTTTCAGTATATATCTGATAAAACACCATATTACGCAAGTATAGTTCAAATAAAAGATTTGGCAAAAATTGGAAAAAAATGAAAATTGTACATAATGTCTTTAACAGTAATTGGATTATCTTATGGGGATTTATAAATTTTGTAAAAGATTAGAATTAATATTATTATACATTTATACTTTATATTAGGATAAATTAGATTGATTATATCTAATTAAAATTCTGTATAAAAATGATATATTAAATAATTTGTGAAGGGTCAAATGTGATAAAAGTGTTATAAAAAATTAGTTAGTTATTAAACGATTTAAATGTTAACTGCTCGAATTGTTAATTATCACTTTTAATAAAATTCAAAATTTCTTTAATTTGAAAAAGGATGTATTATTGAATGTTATATAAAGAAAGAACATAAAATACAAATTAAAGCTTAGATTGGAATATATCTTTTCATTTTAATATTTGTTTGAAGTTTATAAACTTAATGCGAGTTAATATATATGTTGAAAAGTTCAATGCAGCTTTATGAAAGAAAATTTCATATGGTCTAAATTTGATAATAATTAAGAATAAAATAGATAGAGCAGTAGAAATGAATAAAAACATTATATTAGGCTATTAAAACAGTGTGTTTGCCAATGTTTAAAAAATGAAAGTTGAGCTTTAAGGCAGATAACTTAAATACGATAGAAATTATACAGAGAGCAGCAATTAATAAATAATAAACGAAATTATTAAAGATAAATGGTGTTTACACAAAATCAATATATATAAAAAAAACTTAAAAAAACAAAATTTGACAAAATTAAAGTATTGATAAGCTAAACGGAAAAAAGGTAAATAATTAAGAAAACACGGTTAAAATTAAAATTGGCATATTAATTGAAATATAAACTATAAAAAATCTCAACTCAGGAATTTCCAAGCCTATTTTTTTTTCTCCATAAAAATATTAAGATAATTTTGGTGCTTTTAGGATATCAATAGAATTGATAGATAAATAAACAGCAGAAATTAGTTAAATCTGTTTAACAATATATATTAGGAAAAGCTCCACTTAGATAATGAATGCGATTTAAATTTTAGTAAAAGTGCTATGATTGTTTAATAAGCTAATGTTTAACAAGGCTAAAAGGGGTTATTGAGATTTCCTTCAGAGCGCTTATTATATTATGCATCTTCTGATAACAAAGATTAGGTTTAAGATTTTGTAAGTTAGTATTATTACAGAATTCTCGGTAATTCGACCGATGCGGAATATATTCTGCTGCATGGTTATTTAGACAAATAATCTGTCAAGATATATTTAGTATTCCAGAATTTTAACCTACTAACTTTGCCAAGTTTCTGTAAGAAATTAGTGCTGCTGGGTATTTCATATAGTACTTGGCTCCTTTAATGGTTGATTGCTATATTTACATTAGTTGCTCTTATCAATACTACACTTGTTATATTAGTATAAAATGCAAATAATTAATACATTGGATTTAATACACTTTCCAATTGAAATTAATATACTTTGGGCCATATTTAGGCTTACTCATCCTTGCTATTTCATTCCATAACTAGTCTTCCAAGTATCTGCAAGATTTTACAAGCATTTCTAATTCTTAAATTTTTATTGTAGAAGATGTGTATATTCAACCTAAAAACGTATATGCTTCGCTTATGCTATTTTTTAGATAGGAAAATATATTTTAAAAGGCTTATTATCTTCTCGTAATTTAGATATTTATTTATTTTATACAAAACAGACAAACTAAATAAATTTAAATAGGGGTCTTTATTTAATTAAATAAATTATGCCTGGCAGACCAAAATCTACAAGTTTTATTGTTGAAGAAGATGAATTACTGACTGACGAAGAAATATTAGCTGAAGACTGAAGACTAACTCAACTGATTGCTGAAACTACTAGAATTGAATCAACATTGCAATGATGTGCAAGGCATCGCCTAATTGCCAACCGAATGATATGTGAAAACTGTGATGATTTTGGTACTTTAAATAGACTCAGCAGAAGGCAAGATTTTTATGAATGAAGATGCAGTCATTGTAATCGCTCACATACAATTCGCAGTAAATCAATTTTTGAAAGCAGTAATCTTTCACTGCAGCAAATCCTGCTAATCATCTATTTTTGGTCCAATAACCATCTGCAACAAACTACTGTTCATGAACTTAATGTTTCTAATCACACTATAATCGAATGATTCAGTCTTTTAAGAGAACTTTGTGAAGAAAGCGTTACTCAATTTAATGAAGAACTTGGGGGAATTGATTATATGAACAATCCTATAACAGTTGAAATAGATGAGTCTTACTTCTTCCATAGAAAATATCATAGAGGGAGATTTACAGGAGGGCAATGAGTATTTTGGGGCGATTGAGCGTGGTTCAAACAAATGCCTAATAAAACAAGTTCCAGATAGAACTCGTGAAACACTGGAAGAATTAATTAACAAGTGAATACTTCCTGGAACAAATATTATCAGTGACGGCTGACCAGCTTATGCAAGAATCGACGAAATTAACGGAGGAGTCTATAGCCATGAGATAGTTATCCATCAAGAATGCTTTGTTGATCCAGTTGACCCAAGCATCCACACTCAACACATTGAAGCCACTTGAACTCATGTGAAAAGAAAGCTCAAATATCAATTTTGGAACGCAGCGAGAATTTTTTCCATCATATTTAGCAGAATATATGTGGCGCCACTCTATTTTGAATAGGAGTCCTTTGAAAATATGCTTTTATGTATTTCTCAATACTATCCAATTTAGACAATTAAAATAATTAGAAACTTAAGCATATGTTTCTTTTAAGGTATTTATTTGTGGTCTTATATAAGACTTATATTTTATTTTTTCTGAGTTTAATTTCTCTTATTAAATTAAAGTATTCAATTGCATAATTTAACTAGATTATAATTTTTAGGTGGATTCTTCAAAATTTGGTGAGGAAAAAATTAAATTTATTTGGCCTGAAGCTTCATATGATAATCTTATTTAATCAAAGTTATTTAATTCTAAATCTTCTCTTCTTGCAATTTATATGCCTAATTAATTTTGTTAATATTTGAATTTATTATATAAAATGCATTTCTATCTATCATATAAAATGCATTTCTATCAGGCCACACATTTTTTATTCTATATATAATCGTGTTATTAATTAATTAATTAATTAAAAATCGTTCGCCTTGCGGCATGGGTCGAGGATTTGCACATCTACATGCTCATCGCCTACGGGGAGGTCCCGGCAGACATCCATCCACTCCGCCTCTGAGTGGGGTTGCACCTACTGAATCGGGCTTCTGGCTCCAAAGTCCTAAGGGCAAGCGCTCTGGGCCACAACTCCCAGTATCGTGTTGGACACATGCCGTCTCTGGCCAGGTGAGGTCATCGCCATCTCCATGGGCTCAGCTAACCATGCCCTTTCCAAGCGCCTTCAGAGGAAAAACCCATGTCCCAAGGATTAGCTCCTGGGACACGAGCAAAACCCAGTTGATACACACCAAGGACTACCCTACTATTTCTCAGCTTGGTTTCCCCACCTGGGTGTTTCCTGCAGGTGTTGAGAAAATTGCGCCAAGAGGTCTGGTCGGCTGCACCACCATCATATTCATGTGTATTATATGATCGTGTTAGAAATTTGGTTTGCAGTATTAAATTCAATACATTTATTATTACATTGATTTTATTTATATATAAAATACAAAATTTTTAACTGTCATCATACTGAGTATTGATATTAGAACGTTACATCTGTATTTGGTGCGATTTGAGATATTAAAATAAATTTGAGCTATATCTTCTATTATAAAATGCTCTTTATTCTCTGAAAACCGTTGCTAAAAAAAAAAATAAATTTTTCCACTTGACAAACATTCTTAATCGTTTTTAGATTAAGATATTATCAGAGTTTCTACTGTAAAACTAGATGCAAATAATATGCTTTACAATTTATCATATATTTATATAGCTAATAACTCTTCAATAATTTCCAAGCCTATTCTTTTTTGTTACAAATTTTTAAATTTTTGATATTTCAATTACTTAAGTAAGGTATATTATTAAATTAAACATATAAATATATTCTTATTACAACAAAATAATATTATATTTCTAATGATTTATTAGTGTATCTTTGACCCTGAATTTCCAAGCCGATTCTTCACTTTAGCCAATTTTTCTCTATTTATTTTTTTTTAAAACATTCAAATTTGCAAATATTTAAAATCCGATTTTATTTATAAAATTCTTTTTAGAACGTTAATTATTAGAAATTTAATATATTCTGATTAAGATTTCATTATTTTGGTCATTATTAAATGCATTTATACTAAAAATTTCTATTAAAAAGTTTTTTTCACTGAAAATGAGATTTATTATCCCAAAAATGGGGACTTTTCTTATCTTTTTGCTCACTTTCCAACGGGGAGTTAGAATATGGAGACTACCTCACAACTGTGGCTGAGGACAAAATTTTACTCGAAATGTCAAAAATCGTCGGAGTTAGCCTCACCTCCAGAGACTCTTATAAATGTAAAATAAATATCCTTGACCAAACCAAAGAATATCTAATATGAGGCCTCCAAGATGCATCCCGAGAAAACAAAAGGACTAGAATCGTCGTACAAAATTCACGATCAGATGAAGTTTTAATTTACGTAAAAGGCTCCTTAGACGCTATGCTAGAAATTTTAAAAGACCCTCACGATAAGCTGCCATTTTTAGAAAACATTCTTAAAGAGCAGTCTACAAGCAGTTTACAATTTATAGTAGCTGGATACAGAGTACTAAAACATAGAGAAGCCCAAGAGTTTAAGCTTGGCTTAAGAAATGCCAAACAGTGCCCCGTGAACTCAGAGCGAAGAATTGAATCAGTTTTCGAAGAAATTGAAATTGGGGTAAATTACCTTGGCTGTGTCGGAATTCAAGAAGAAATTCGAGAAGACACCAAAAATACAGTCAAAATATTGCGAAATGCAGGGATAAAACTGTGAATTTTAAGTGGGGATTCTGAAGAAAGTACCATAAGCGCAGGCATAGGGTCGTCAGCTATACAAGAACACTATGAAATTATCAGGCTTTGTCAGCCGGCGTCAGAGGTGGAGTGTTATACGATGCTGCAGGAGGCATTGGATAGTACGCTATTTAAAGATAACAGTTTGAAGAAAAACAGCAGCAAAGATGTGTTTAAAGAGTCAGGGCCACTGAGGACGCCACCTGAGTCACCTATGCAGAGTGCCCAGGATTATGAGTATGAATCGTCTATGACTGATAAAGATAATGCACATTTAAAACATTTGGAGACTGCAAGGGAGCCTTCTTTACCAACACTAAACCAAAGAGCGCATAGGCTAAGTAATGAGCTGTCTCTTAAAAGAGGATCAATAAACCCACTGATATCAAAACTGACTAGCTTTTCAAATGCTCCAATTATTGATATAAATAGACCTTTTTCTGTCGGAGATTTGAGTTTTGTGCTTTCTGTTGATAAAAAAACCTTAATTCTCTGAAAAGAAAATTATTTTTTTAATAAATTTAGCAAAATATCCTAGCTAGAATTAGCCAAAATTAAAAAAAGAGTTAGATCTTTGCCTTGGAAATCCTAGTTGCAGAAAATTATTAGTTATCCTTTTATTTACATCACAGTCCGCATGCTTTCATTCACTGCTCCCTGATGACAAAACCAAAGTTGCAAAGCTACTAAAGCAAAATTTTTCATTTAAGCCAGCATTTTTAGCAATTGGGGACAGTGAAAGTGATGTAGGAATGATCCAAGAAGCACATGTAGGCATTGGGATTATGGGAAATGAAGGAGTGCAAGCAGCCAATGCAAGCGATATTGTAATAAAACAGTTTTCGGACTTGACAAGACTAATTTTATGTGAAGGGCATTGGTCTTATTCAAATATATCCAAAATTATCTTGATTATTTGGTATAAAAGTGTCTTTATTATTTCGCTGATTTTTTTCTTCTCACTTTTGGATGAATATTCTGGAGCTTTAATTGATGCTTTAAGCTTGGGGTATTATATAATGGTACTAAACATTGCAAATCTAATAGGGATGGGCGTATTTGACCAACAATTAACTGGAAATGAAATTGCTGACTCCCCCCCCTCTCCGTGAGTGAACAAAAAAATTTTGTTCACTCACGGAGGGAGGTTAATTTTTTTTTTTTAAAAAAAAATATATATAAATTTTTATAAAAAATATTTTTTTCGAAATTAAAAAAAAATCTTGATTCGCAAAAATTGGAAAGCAAATATTAATTTAATTTATAAAAATTAAACAGAATTAGCTCTAGATTTCATTATACTAATTATCATTTATATATCTAAATTTTTTTCCATAAAAATTTTTTCTATTAAAAAAATTTTTGTTCACTCACGGAGGGTGGGTTTTTGGGCAAAAAATAGCGATTTTTCTAATGGTTTTGTTCACTCACGGAGGGGGGGGGGGGGAGTGAGTACCCAGAAATGCATTCGTCTGGAGTTTATAGTACTTTTTTTAATAGTTATCCTTTTTCTTTATATATTGACTGCTTATTTCTTCATATATTGCTAATAATGGTCAATATAAGGATATTTAATATACTATATTTTTAATTATTGTCTTCAAGGTGTTGGCCATGCAGGAATTTTGACGATTTTTTTAAGATTTGGAGTAACTGATATAGTAAAAGATGCTGGGTATACAGAAAATTTATTAATCCTTAGATGTATAACCATAATATTAGCAACAATGATGGTTCAAGCACTTTCTATACTAGAAACAAATAGTTATTGCAAAAAAACTTTGGCTTTTCAAGTAGTCTCATTTGGTATTTTTGTTGTTGTTTTGATTGCTTATTCTTTTGATTCTCCAATGTTCGATTTATATGGATTTCTTTCAATGATTTTTTCATCCCCAAGATTGATTGTTAGCATGATTATGCTCTTTTTTATATTTTTTTTGATTTCTTATACAGTAAAGACATACTCCGCTCTTTTTGCGCCAACTTTGATTGATTTTATTAATGCACTTAAAATCAGGGTTTTTGATTTTGAAATTATATACAATTTAGATAGGTTGAGAATTAAAAATAAAATAAAATTAAAAATAGGAAAATTAATAAAAATAGTATATCAAGGGTAAACCAATACGAAAATAAGCTAGAAAAAGTATTCAAAGGCACAAGCAAATATAAAGCTGAAGTGGATTCAGAGCTTTTTGAAATAAATTTATTTATGCTTCACTTTAAATCACCTTTGCGAAGAGAAGAATACAATAAAGGAAAATATATGTCAAGACTAAAGCCTTACAGACTCGTAGATTTACACGACGCCTACTCCACAACGACTATTTTCTTTGGCCTATTATTTTTGCTTACTCCCCCGTTTAAAATTTGAAACAAAATATCAGTAAAATTTGCAATTTTTGGGACTTTACCCCCTTTAAATTGTTTTTTTTCCGATAGGAATTTTTATAGGTGGAAATATTAAGTTTTATAAAATTAATTTTAACCTAATTTTATGTAAAAAGCGCAAGTAGAATGCTATTTAAAAATTTTCAAGCTGAATCGATTATGTTTTAATTAATTCTTTATAAAAATGATTAAAATTCAAAGTACTGTGCTAAGTTTATATTTTTTAAAAAATATTAAAGATGAAATTTCTGATATTTATAAAATTAGTTTTTGCCCAATTTAATTGCTAAAGCACAAGTAAATTATTATTTAAAATTTTCACACCGAACCCAATTAATTTTTTTATTTAATTCTTCGTAAAATAAATTGAATTCAAAGTATTGCGCTCAATTTATATATTTTAAATAATTTATTTAATGAAAAAAATTAATTTTTATCGATTTAATGTCTAGTGCAATTAGAATACTATTTAACACTGAATCGATTTATATTTTTTAATTTTTCTTCATAAAAATAATTAAAAATTAAAGTATTGTGCTCAATGATATTTTTTTATAGCAAGGCACCATAAGATTTTAAGAGAAAATTTTTTTTTGTTAAAATATTAATTAATCCCCCTTTAAATTGGAACAGGATTTTGTTCCAATTTAAAGGGATGGGGGAGTTAATTGTTTTTGATTGTCTTATGTCCCAATTGATGTGGAAATAACTCCATATTGATTATTTGAGGTAATTTTCAATACATTTATTCTATTATTTTTACAGAAATTATGATATAATTTTTTAGAATTTAAAAAAATAGAAAAAAGGTTAACAAAAGAATAAGCCAACAAAATAGAGATTTGCAAAAATATTCTTTATGGTGTAGGCGTCATGTGAAGGAACCTTACAGACTATTTATTGCATTTATTACGATATTTGCAATAATAGCATTAATTGTTCATTTTGCAAGAGAGGAAAGCAATATAATGGTAGGCACTGAAATTATAATTACCCTTTGTCTTTCTATCGGTTATCTTATTATAAGCTGGTCAAAATATTTTATAAATAATTTGCGATGCTTCATAATTGCTTATTATCTTATCATATAACAAAGCCAAATAAGCCGAATGCACAAAATAATAGCAAGATATCTTATTCTATAGAATTTTCTGTTTCTCTTTAATATTGTCAAAATTATATTTATATTACAAGGAATACTATTTATTGCATTAACAGCTACATATGAAGTCTATGTCAAAAATGCTACAATTGAAGCTGTCTATCCTTTGACTTTTTTATTAGCTTTTAATGTTGACTGAATAATCCAAGTCGTCTGTAATTGTATAATTACTATTTTTGTCATATTAAAAGTCTCAAGGCTATTTGATTCAACTTTTAGCAGTGTAGATTTGACAGTAACTGCTGTTCAATATATGATTTTTTGGCTTACTATTGATATTGCATGCTTAATTGTAGCCTATAATATAGAACTGTCAAGCTTAAATGAATTTATTTTAATTAAAAAGGTAAGAACTGAGATGCTTAAGGCCAAAGACGTGCTGGAGCTCCTGATGCCAAAATTCGTAAGCTCATTTTTTTGTATTATTTTTTAGGAAATTAAATAAAGAAAAATGCTAAATTTAATAGAAAAAGGAATATTAAAAAGGGTAAAAGACGGAATCAGATATATTGCAGATGACCAAGGAATTGTAAGCGTTTTATTCTGCAATATATGCGATTTCGATTAAGATTAAAGATTAAGATAACTCTTTGTAGACCCCCACTTAGCACGGGATCTAATAATACAAGCCCCTTCTTCATGAATTCCATCCACTGGCTAACAGCTCTGAACAACGGTAGGTGGAATCAGCCTAACTGTCGAACCGTTACAGTAGCCTATGGCCCAGATGAGTCTCGCTTCGCTCCTTGAATGCTGTTCAAGTACACTTGGTGCTGCCGAAGCAGTCCCAACGCTAATTTCCTTCAGAAAGACTGAACTTCCCTCACTAGGACGAGTATAGGGGACGGAACCCCTAACTCATACATTCCATTTTTAATTGTGGTGATTTCGATTTAATTACTATTGATTTCACGCCTCAAGAAATTACTTCTATGCTCGATGATATTTATGGAAAATTTGACCAGCTCTGCGAATTAGTAGGAGTCACTAAAATTGAGACAGTAGGGAAAACCTATATGGCTTGTGCTGGTCTAAAGGATAGCGAGTCCGAGCTATATTTTATATATATAAATTTATATTTATTTAAAATATAGCCACCATAATTTTTATTATAAATAAGAAAAAGACATAAAAAAATAGAAAAAGGTAATAGAGCACAGAGTAGACACAAATTTCAGATCAGTCCCACATGCCAGAAGAGTTATTGAAATGGGGATAGAAATCATCAATTGTGTCCAAAAAATGACTACTAGAAACGGCGAACCCCTACACGTCCAAATCGGAATCAACAGTGGTCCAGTTACCGCAGGTGTAGTCGGAGCCCACAAGCCTCAATATTCTCTTGTCGGAGACACTGTAAACACAGCCAGCCGAATGGCAACCACCTTAAAAGACAAAAACGCTATACAAATATCAAACTCCACCTATGAGCTCCTAGGTAATAAACGCGGTCTGTTATTTATCCCTCAAATTGTATATGCAAAAGGTAAAGGAAATATGGAAACTTTTATTGTAAAAGTTGACAATATACCCCCAGAAGGACTTTTAACTGATTTTACTAGGCGAGGAGATACTGTAAAAACAACACTTTCGCTGTTTATGTCAGGGTCGATGCTGATGCCTACCATAAGTATGCACGTTTCAAGCTTCAGCGATTTGCCATCACCTGGGCTGATAACTATGGAAACTAAAAAAACTAGTGGATTATACACAAATTTGATTAATGGAGAAAAAGAAAAAGTTTTCAAGAAAAAAGAAACAAGTCTAGAAAAAATGAGCGTGATCTCTTTCAAATGCTATGAAACTGAAGAAGAAGCTGCCTTCAGAAAGCTGACTTTAGAAGATAACTATATTAATTTAAATAGTGAGCTTATATACCGTGAGCTCGGCTTTAAATCGACCTGAGAATCCCCTCCCCGATCCCTTGACGGTTTCAGCTTTATTGAAATGAATTTGACTTGTCATCTTGAATTAACAATTTCGTTCAAACTGAAACCGTCAGGGGGAGGGGGAGTTTCAGGTCGAGCCATATCTGTTCTGAAGGTATACTAGGACTTCTTTCAGATTCCTGCTCACTTATTATCCAAATTGTATGGGTTGCTACTGACAATTATAACACTTTGTTTTTTATTGTCTATTTTCCTTTTGAAATTGCTGGGTTTTTGCTTTTATTGTGGCTATTAAATGAAAATTACAAAGAAAAATGGTATGCATGATGTCTTCAGCTTTTTTTTGCTTTGGGGTCATTAAGCTTTATTTTGGCAAGTGTGTGGCTTGAAAATGATTTAAACCAATTAGTTGGGCTTGGGGCACTAATCCATATAATGCTACTTACACATGGGTCAATGATTTTTTTTGGACATATAATAGCATTTGCAGTGCTTGCAACACTTGGATGGATTGTTGCAGGAATTTTTGTGGATATTCCTGATATTGTCCTGCGCCAGACCATTTATATGGTCGGATTTGTGGTTTTATGCTTACAGTCCTTTATTAAATTGGTATAAATATAGATAAAATTTATAATTTTTTGATAAATACCCCTTCAAATTTTAATTTTTATAGGTAAAATAAATAATTATTATTTCCTGTAGTTTTTTTAGATAATAATTATAGAATTGCTTCAATTTAATGAGGGTAGTTAGTTACCTTATATTACAGGGTCAAAAAATTATGGACATATAGCCACTTGCGGACAAATTCCCAGAATGAACTAAATACTATAGAAGAGCTGGTAAATAAAATGATGCCACCTCACGCATATATGAATTTAAAAGATAAACACTCAGTGACTGATAGGTTTTCACAAGTGACTATTTTGTATGCAGATATTGTTGGGTTTACAGCGTGGTCTAGTGATAAAGCTCCTGATGAAATCCTTGGGATGCTTTATGAGCTGTTTTCTAGGTTTGATAATTTGTGCCTTGTGCATAATGTTTATAAGGTTCATACCATTGGGGATTGTTATGTAGCTATGGGGTATACAGGAAATACTAAAAATAGAGATCCAGGCCAGATAAAGATTAAGATTTATACGGCTATAAGTGAACCCCACTTGCTGGACTGCCTTGGCTTCAGGAGAGGTAGCCTAACCGGAGCATATACACCTGAGTGCAAATTGTGTAAGGCCCAACTAAAAATTCCACCTCTTGAATTTTCTGGCGAGATTCACCTAGCCTAAGGATCAGCTCACTAGGCTAGAGCCACTCTTTTTTAGGGTGGCTCAATAGACTCGATAGATGAAAACCAATCTATCCCATCTAGCAGGGACAGGAAAATCTTTGGGTGAGAAACAAAGCTTCCCTCTTTGGCAAGACTTTCCCCAAATCTGAAGCCTCCTTGAAAACTATACAGAGCTCTCAGGATGGGCCCGGCCTGCTCCATAAGGAGTGCGCTTCGGAGACCAATTTCCATCATCGTCACCATTTATTTTTAACTCAGGCCAGGAATGTGTGAATATGGTTGAATTTGCTCAGGCAATGATAAATATCATACAAGAAGTAAATGAAATAGGCTCTTCTAAATTGATTTTATCATAGAAAAATATATCATTATATATTTATTATAATAAAATCAGTTCTCGATATTAAAAATTAATTTTACATTTAAATTAACATTGAATAAATGGTATCAATTTAAATATGAGAATTGGAATGCACACTGGAGATGTAATAGGAGGAATCATTGGAAGATACATTGTAAGATATGATATTTATGGCTCTGGCGTTCTCGTTGCGAATTTAATGGAAAGTAATGGAATCCCTGGAGAAATCGCCATCAGTGAAGTCACACAAATGCTACTGAAGAGATTCCGCCCTTCAAAATACACCTTTCAGCACGTCAACGAAATAAATGTTCCAGTTTTACAAAGAAGTTATAAAATATATACAATTCACAACTCTTTATAATAAATCATGATACCTTTAATAGTTTTAATCACAGTTTTAGCATCAGTCAGCGCGACGATTGTCCATCTAATTCCTCATTCTCACCTGGATTTAGGCTGGCTACGTACAGAAGACCAATATTTTTATGGCTGTGGTGGAGATCCCAATAATGTTTATAGCAGTTTGCCCGATGATGGCGCTCAATGCGCCATCATCGAGCAACACCAAACAAGGGTCCACACGTGGAATAGGATCCACGTGTGGAGCCCTTTTTGGCTCGTGGAAATGAGGATTCTCCACGTGCTAAAAAGGGCTTCACACGTGGAATCCATTTCCACTGTGAACCCTTGTCTGGTGTTGCCCGATGATGGCGCATTGAGCGCCATCATCGGGCAACTGCTATATCTGATAATTAGTGAAATTGTTAGTGCTTTAACAGTGGACTATGAAAGAAGAGCTGTTTTAGCTGAAATTGGGTTTTTAAAAAAATGATGGGATTTGCAAACCCCTGCAATGAAAAATCAGATGAAAATTTTGATTAAAACTGGGAGATTGGAAATTGTGAATGGAGGGTGAAGCATGCCTGATGAAGCTTGTACAAATTATATGGATCTGCAGGAAAATTTTGTTATTGGGCATGAATTTATGAGAGAAGAGTTTGGAATTACTCCTAAAATTGGGTATCAGATTGATAATTTTGGCCATTCTGCAACCTTTGCAGAAATGCTTATTCCTCCCTCTGTGAGCGATAAAAAAATTTCTGGCTCACAGGGGGCTATTTTGATTTAAAATTTTATATAATTTTTTTTGTTGAAATTCTCAAAAATTGGATTTTTAAAAATTAATTTAAATTTGACAATTTATTTTTAGAGTGCAAAACTGTTTAAATTTAACAGAATTACATATTATAGATTAAAATATTTTTTATAAGTATTTTTATGTTAAAAAATTGTTGGCTTGCTCACAGAAGGTGTTTTATCCAAAAAGTAAGGATTTTCCAATGGTTTTGCTCACCCACAGGAGAGGGGGAGTTATAGAAATGGGCTATCAAGGGCTGGTTTTATCCCGAATTCATTATCATGACAAAAAAGAGCGAACAGCCAACAAAGAACTAGAATTTACATGGCACCCTTCAAGCACTGAAAAAGGGATTTTTACTCATATTCTTTACAATCATTATTCTTCCCCTAAATCCTTGCATTTTGAAGGCCTTTGAATTGACAATAGTTTTATTACAGACAAAGAAAGCAGCTGTTATACAGCAGAAATCATCATGAAAGATCTGCAAAATCACGTCAAAGGGATGGCAGAAGCTTACAAAAGTGACCATATTATGCTGTTTATAGGGGATGATTTTACATTAAGTTCTGCAGAAAGGACGTTTGGGAGCTTAGACCTTATGATAAATTATGTGAAAATTCACCCTGAATATGAGATGGAACTGAGATATAGCACAATTTCTCAGTATTTTGCAGAGATTTATAAAACAAAAGAAAGCTGGAGTTGTTATAAGGATGATTTTTTCCCGTATGCAGATTATCCTTATTCATATTGGACTGGGTATTATTCATCAAGACCTTCGCTTAAGCTGCAGATTAAGAAATTTGCTGATTATGTAAGAGCGACCGAGAGGCTGGTTGCTCATTCTTCGTTGAATTATTATCAAAATTTCACAAAGGAGATTACTCTCAATAGAGTATGCTTGATGTCTTTAATAATTTTCAATTGGGGTATGGGGAAAATTGATTTTATATAGAAAATAGCTAGGTAGATATAAGGTATATAGTGAAATTGGGCATAAATAAATTGAAGCCACTTAGGGAATATTTAGCTCTGCTTCAGCACCATGATGCGATTACTGGAACTGCGAGACTTGAAGTGTCTCGAAATTATGCGAAAAAAATTACTAAATTGGAAGACTCAGTAATCCATTTATATGAAGAATCTTTGGAAAATTCTGTTAACTCTCTTGTAAGGTGCCAATTAAATTCGACAATTTGCCCTGTCCTAAAAGACCTTGAAACTGATAAAACCCCGGTAAAATTAATTGTCTATAACCCTATTCCCATTACAAAAACCTTGCATTATTTTTTTAAATCCAAAATCCTAATAAATTTATTTCAAAAATCCATAATTACATAATAAAGGATAAATACATCCACACTTTCGAAATATTAGAAATCCCTATAAGCACCCCAAACATCCAAATAACTGACGAAGACAAAAATCTCCTCGATATACAAATTCTTCATGATCCCAGCCCATTTTTCAACACAGAAACCTCAATTGGTCGCTATTTATTGCTTCTTCCTATAAGTATTCAAGCCCTCTGTATCAGAACTTTTACAATATCCTTATCAGACTATTCATCATCAGTACTAGAATATTCCCTTATGGCAAAATCAGGAAGCATTTCTAACCAAGAGTATTTTATTGAATTTTCAACAAATAATTTTACAATAGTTCATGATAATAAAGAAATTAATATTATGATGAATTATGAGTATTATTCACCTAATATTGGGGATGAGTATGATGGGCAATCTTCAGGAATTTATATATTTAGGCCTGGATCTCCTCATTATGTAAGCACAGCACTTTGCCAGTTTAAAAATTTTAAAGTTATTAATACACAATGGGTAGAAAGAATATATTATATATTAAACTGAATCTTTTTAATTTAAATTGAGATAAGCTTTGAGAATTATTTTTAGTTAATTTAGCCTAATTAAATATACTTTAAATGCGGAAGTGAGGCAGCTACAAAGATTACACTATGGAAAATTGGTGAAAATAAGCTTCCGAATATTGAGCATTATATTAAGCCTATAACTGATTTTGAGGGGAAAGAAATAATTGTGAGATATTACACAAATTGGCTACATGATGATACTTTTTTTATTGATTCAAATGGATTGAAAAATATTAATAAAACATGAAATGTCCATGGTGGACAAAAATTTGAAACTTTAGAGCCTATTGCAGGAAATTATTATGCTATTACTTCTCATATAGGATTTGAAAGCGGAAATAGGACTTTTGGAGTTATTGTAGATAGAACACAAGGTGGGACTGCTACACAGAATTTTAAAAAATCCTCAAAACATGGATCTGATGTAGAAATCATGCTTCTCAGGAAATGTTTAAGAGAAGATGGCCGTGGAATTGTTTTCCCTTTAATTGAAGTAGCTGAAGATGGGACAAATTTATTTGTTTTATCAGTCCATAAACTTTTTATTGAAAATTCGCCTAATAAAGCTTTTGAGTTACAAAAACAGTCAGAAAATCCTCTTCAATTATTTTTTGGGAAAGGGGAAGAATATTCGAAAAGGTATGTAATGGTCAATAAAGAAAATAATTTATTGCATATGAGGCTTAAGGATGCAAATACAGTTATAGTTAGGATTAGATGTGAGAGTGAAGATCAAGATTTCAATATGGCTGAGATTCTGAAAGATATTCTGCCTAATAGTGAAACAGCTAGAATAGGGCAGCTTGATTTAGCGGAAAATAAAGGATATGGCCAAGCTGCAGAAATGGTATGGGGAGAAGGTGGAAGCTGGCCTTATGATTATTTTTCGAAAGGAGAGAAAAGGTGGCAAAACATTGAGGATTTTAAATTCAGCTGTAAAGGGTTTCCATTAAAGTCATTTGAAGTAAACTTTTAACAGAAATAAATACTTTATAAGAAAATTTATTGTTCTTTCTGATTAATATTTCTATTTTATTATAAGCATATTATAATTTTTCTTATTAATATAAGAAATCTTCAAAAATTAAATAAAATTAGCAAAAACTTCAAAAATTAAATATAGAATATTCTTTGCGATAATAATCATAAATTAAATAATAATTAAAATTTCCCTTAACACATATTTTATGAAAAAGAATATAATTTATCACTCATTTATAAAGCAGGAATCATCAAGCTCTGTGCGGCGACTCACATTATTTTCTAGCTTCACTGTAACAACGTTATCTCCAGGAGTTTGTGTAATTATCCCCATACCTTTTTCCTCTAAATAATCGTGAGGAGTTTTTCCAGCCTAATTATTATATACCTTGTTAGGAATATTTTCTAATGCCCCTGCATCTAATAATAGCTTGTATAATTCACAATCCCTTTGCACAGCAGCAATATGCAATGGAGTTTCTCCATGGTCATCTTGGATATCTGTGTCAAATCCAAATTCAATCATATATTTCGTTAAATTAATTTCTCTCATATATAATCTGAACCAAGACCTTATTTTATAGATTTATATGCTAATTTTTTAATTAAAAAATATAAAATTTAAATAAAATTATTATAGATTTCACTATTGATTTTTTTCGATTTCAAACAGCTAAATGGAGATAAGTCCAAGAATGCTGAATTTATATTACTCCTTGAAGTCGTGTGTGGATATCTTCGTTTTTAAATGAAAAATGATAATTATTTAGCAAGATTGATTCTGAGACTTCTACTATCTAGATAGATCTTACTCGATTGTGTGGCTTGGCTGTTTGGTTACATCTATTACCCATTTATAAGTAGAAACGCACGTCCAAGTGTAAAATATTTATACTTTTTATTATTATAATAATAAAAGGTTAATATTAAATTTGATTTATATTATATATAATGATTTTAGGGTATATTTGAATTTATAAGCAAACATATTGATATTTTTTATTTTAAAATTAATTGGCTTATTTTAAATATATCATTGAAAATAGAAATAATTTAAATTTTTGCAGTTACTTGTTTATTTTCTCATGTTTTTAGCTATTTATAAGAAAAGAATTTTTTAATTTTATTTATTATACATGCTGATAAGGTATTATTTGCTTACTTCACATCGCTAGTATCAAATATGCATAGAGAATCATCAAAAAACTACGCTTAAAAATTAAAAAATAAGTCAATTTTAAACTGATAAGATAAATTTATTTGCATTATACATTTTTGAAATCGATTTTATCTAAGAAAAAACACAAATTGAGCCTTTGCGATAAAACTTTTACTCTCTTTTGCTTGCAATCATATTCATTTTTGGGAGAGGCATATACTTCCATAAACCGATATTTTAAAAATTAAATAAAATAATTAACATTATTTTGCAATTGGATATTTAAGAGGAATAGGGTTTAGTGCAAAGTTGGCGATGAAAATAAGATCAAAGCTGAAAAAAATTATATAAGGGTTCAGATAGTAATTAAGCAATAAAAATTATGGAGAGTGACTGGACTCAGATTAGAGAAAATATATCAGCTGCAATTGATGCCAAAGTTGCTCCCTTAAAAGAAGAGCTAGGAAAGAACCAAGAACTCCTCGATCGTTTAGCAGGTATCATAAACAACATGTCACATGCCCCAGCCAAAGTTGGAGCTAAAACTTCCCCTAAGCCAGCTAATAAAGCCCACGCTGTTCATGAAGAAGCCAAGGTTACAAAAACCATCACAAAGACTGTAAAAACAAATGGAAAACCTAACGATAAGAGCAAAGAACACGTGGAAGCTGCATCTAAGCCTGCTGACAATGCTGGATCTGAAGAAAAGCCACATGAAGAAGAGCACGTCGAAGATGCCCATGAAGCTGAAGCTTCTGAAAGCAAACAAGAGCCTGCAGAGCCAGCTGAAGCTTCAGAAGAGTCTAAACCAGCTGAACCTGAAGCATAAACTTAATTAAACCAATAAAACTACTCATTTCTATGACACATTTTTTTAAGTTTCGAATGATTAGTTATATATTTTCCTAGCAAAAATTCAAAGTCTTAAGTCTTATAATCCAGATTTAGAGGAATTACCTATTTATTTAAATTTTTTTATCAATTCTCTCTTACTGGTTGGCATAAATTTGATAAACTGATTAAAATATGTAAATACTCATTGATTTTTTATAATTATGCTTAATTGAAAAATCTTTTGCCATTTAAGTATATTAAAATATAAACTTCAAAAACCTTTATATCTAGAAAATAACTGAAGAGAGCATCAGAAACAAAATATTATTCTTGCATAAGCTATATAAATTTTTCTTTCCATTATTATTTCTGACAGTCTTAAATATCATTATTAAAACTTTCAATAATTAGCAGTTATTGCTAACTTGTAAATGGATCTCAACCAGTCTTTATACAGAACCTTCATGCCCAAGATTATTCATTACTCCAATGATGGATCTGGCCGAGACAACTATATCTCCACAATAAACGGCGGATTAAGAAAACTCTCTGTCAAGCCTGATATATTAGAAAGAAAAGGAATCATCCTCCAACGAAAACACAATCGAAGAAGCTCGGCTAGTCCTCTTGCTACTAGTTTCCGCTATTATTCAGATGGATCAGGAAGAGATTTCTATATAACCCAAAACAGTGGAGGATTGCAGAATGGGTATATACCAGGAGGAAAAAAAGATATATTTAAAGCGTCATTAAGAATGAGCCCTGAAAGAAGTGGCTGCAGTGATGCTTTTAGCAGCACTATGCAGGGATGGCTTAGCATAAGATCAAGAAACATAGTAAAAAATATTCGACAAACTGCTGATGGTGTGACTGAAAGATTGTATCCAAAAGGAAGCCAATCTAAGCCTGGCAGTCCAAGAGCTGAGAGGTGTAGACTTTCTATTTAATGCAGATAATATTAATTTGAAAAATTTTAAGGTGAAATAAATTATGAAGTTTACAAGGATTTATTAAAATGCAAAAATAATTTTTGATGCGAAATTTGATATTAAGTAAATAATAAACGATTTTTATAAAATTAAATGAATCCTTATCTACTTCAAGTTTCTCCTCAAATGATTGAGTCTAATTCGCAAGAGTTTCTCGGTAAAAGCTTTCTGCCGACATTTCCTAAATTACCTTCACCTAAGCAAAAGTTAAAAAGACTAGCAAAAAATAAATCAGCTAAAAGCTCATTTTTCAATAGATTGTTGGTCGTCAATAGTCATAGCTTAGAAAAAATTCCGAACGACGATAACAAAGAAAAATATAAGCAGGACAGAAAATGCAGAAAAGCACATAGTTGAATGAAAGAAACTGAAAATTCTTATGAAAACGAATATTCCAGCTTTGATTCCATTCACAAAAAAGATGATGATATGATGAGTACCAAAAGTAAAAAATCTACGCACGATTCTAAGCATACACATAAAATAAGCTCTTCTTTCGAATACAAAAAGCGACTAAAATCAATAAATTCTAGTGGTCAATGATTAGAGAGCATTTCCTGCAGAAAATCGTTAATTCCTATAAAAGATTCAGGAGGCGGTTCTAGGCTTTCGTTGATGCCAGTGCTGTCAGAATCTAAACACTTACGGTCAAGGTTTATTAAATCATATTCAAGAAGTAGATTTATGAGCTTCAAATTGTAATAACGACGACTAATTTATTCGCAAGCCGCAATAGAAATTTAAATTTTATTTAATTTAAATCCATAAAATTTTTATTTTAATATAAGTTTTCTTCTTTTTGAAAGCAATTAAAGACAGTTTATTTACAATGATTAGCTTTATTTAATATATTTATATATCTACATGTGATATATATTTTAAACAGATCCTTTTCTATCGTCTCTTAAGTCAGCTAGCTCGGCATGACTATGATCTTTAAATATTCCTCGTTTTACATCTGGGATAATATAAGTAGGCAATGACCCTCTTCTTCGGTGAAGCTCCACGAAGCATTTTTGTTCTTCAGAGTCTGCTAATAGAATTCTATGTCTTCTTTTCTCATTTCTTTGAAAAATCAGCCTGGAAATTGCTGAAACGTTAGTGTCATTTGGTTTTTCTTTGTTAAATAATAAAAACCATTCATGACCTAAAGCTTCACTTGAACTTAATCTGTCCTCTGGCTCCTTTTCAGTGAGTCTGCGGACAAATTCAATTGCGTGGGAGGAGACGTTTTTCCAATGGTCTTTTTGGAACACTATCATGCATCGGCGATTTCTTATGAAAATATCTTGGGCTGTTCGGCCTGCAAAAGCTGGCCTCCCTGATAGAACAGCATAGAGGATTACTCCAGCACTGAAAACGTCGACTTTATTTCCATAAGGAACGCCTTTAAGTACTTCAGGTGCTACATATCCGGGAGATCCGCAGCTGTGAACAATGCCGTCTTTAGCAAAGCATGATAGTCCAAAGTCAATTAGCTTGAAATCACTTGGGCTATTATTTGACGACAACAAGATGAGGGATGCGTTTTTTACTAAATATTTAATAAAAAATAATTTTTTTAATTAAAAAAAAAATTCCCTATCAAGATGTTTTCAAGCTTTATGTCTCTATGTAAAACCTTTTTAAGCTCTAAATAATTCAGCACACTAAGAAACTTCTCAATGAATTTAGCTGAATATTCTTCATCAAATGGCCCAGTTCTGATTAATCTTGCAAAAAGAGTTTCTCCTTCCACATAGTCCAAAACTAGTTCCACCTTGGAATCAGACTCGTAAACTCTATGAAGTTTGACGATGTTTGGATGGTTTAGAGCTCTCATGACCTTGATTTCATTTTTTATAGCAGCAATCTCATCTTTAGTCTTTAACTTGGATTTACTAATAGATTTCACCGCATAAGTTTGATTATCACTAAGGTCAGTCGCTAAAAATACTGACGAAAATGTCCCTTGGCCAATCTGGCATTTGATCTCAAAATCTGAATTTATGTCTGTAAAAATGGAAACTGCTGATAAATGCTCAATCCAAACATCAAGGTCTTCTGGAGTGCTAGTAAAAAAATCTTTAAATATTCCAGCTTGTCGAACTCTAAATCCATATCTGGATAATTTATCTTGACTTTCTACAAAGGGCTCAATAGTTTTCCACTTCAGCTTAGACATTTTTTTTCTTTTGCCACTTTCACTTGCACAAACCAGATATGAACTGGAAAGGAGGAAAAAATAAGCCTCCTTAATTTCCCCATTGGATTTAAAATATGAGAGCTGGCCCCCATGGATCAGTTTGCCGTAATCGTGAACGAAGGGGAAATCAACTTTAATCCAGAAGGATTCTTCTGATTTTTCAGCGATATTATAAAAGGTCGACATAATTTTTTTATTATGAGATCGGTATTAACAGCAAAAAATGGTAGATTTTCTTTAAAGAGGAATGGAATTTGAATTCTGAGGGTTTATAAAGGAGTTTTTGGAATTAATTCTAATAAATAAAAATAGATTTTATTGCAATTTTTAATAATTATATTAAATTGAGAATAAAAATCGGTAAATTGGCTAGTAAACAAATGATTTTTATCGAGTAGTGCTAGATAATGAAGTATATTAATTAAATATAAACTAGTTATATCAGCATTCCAAAAATTGATTTTTTTTTGTTGGTCGTACAAAATTTGAATAAACAGTTTATAATTATAAGCTTTATTATTAGAGTTTATTTTTTGGATAAATGCAATAATCCCATTAGTTTTACTTGTCATCATTTCCCTTTTTAAATATTTTTTATTTTCCTGATCTTGACAGAAATCAACCTTGTGGATTAAAATTTTATTAGAAATATATATTTATTTTAAATATGGGTAACCAATTATAAGTAGACCATATTTAGCAGAGGCTTTTATTTAATAAGCCTATTCTCGATTAATTTTGAATAAGAATCTCTTTATAGTTATTAAAATTAATATAATGCATATTTATGATAGTTTTAATTATAAATTTAACTTGTAAACCAATTTTAATAATTAAGCATTAATTCATTTTGGTTCTGTCTCAGTTGTCATGCATATTTAAGTGATGAATTTTTGAGTTTTATTTGTTTCAAATATTTTTATAAAATTTTCCAGACTTTTCTATTTAATATTTTATAAAATTTAAGTAAAAATAAAAAATATTTGTTAATCCATTAACTAGTTTTCACTCTTACCAACACTTTTGCATTCGTTTTCCTATCTTTATATGCACTTAAAGCATCTTTTAATCTATCAATTCCTATCGTCTCCTTATAATCTATCTTAAATATCTGCTCATATAGCTCTTGAACCTTATTCCACACCTTATATTTCTTTAATGTCGACGCATTTTTCAGCCACGTATAAAGGCTCAACCCTCTTATCTTTTTCTTCGTGTCTAAAATTAAAGGACTAATCGAGCAAAAACGTTCAGAAAGAAACCCATACACATACAATTTCCCTGGCTCTTGCAAAATTTCATATATTTCCCCTGTCATTTCTCCAGCTATAGCATCAAATGCAACTGTTGCCTTCAATTCCCTAGACAATTGTCTCACCCTATCTTTCCACCCAGCTTCAGTTGTACTGACACGTTTTCTGCACCTATTGATCTTAGAATTTCTATTTGGTCGTCTCTTCTGACAATATTAATAGTTTCAATTCCATAATAGTTACAATACTTAATAACTGCTTTACCAATATAATATATCACTTTAAGTTTGTTTAAGGCTAAATATATAGGAAATTTTTTATATATAAAATAGGGATAGGATACTGCTTGCTGCTGCATTTTGTATAACTGCTCTATGGTTTCCTCTTCGGATTTTACTCATAATGTATTCTACTGTCAAAGCAGTAAACGCACTTGCGGCGTCTTCAAAAGATAGGTCGTCCCTAATTGGAAGCACAAAATTCGCATCAGTTAAAGCTAGTTCAGAAAATGACCCAATGGCATCATGGCCAAAAGACATAAATGCGACTCTTTTATTTAGCAGAGAATTAGCTAAAACACTTCCGCCGCTTTTAATTACGGTTCCACTGCCTTGTAAGCCAATAGTGCATATAAATAAAATGGCGTATCAGCCCAGGCAGATTTTATTTATATCCATAAGGTTTTGAGAGCAATACTTAGGTAAGCAATTCAGGTAATGCACAAAGCCTAGTCCTAAAGCTCTTTCAGGGTTGGATTTTACCTTGAGGGAAAAGGTGGATTCAGAGTAGAAAAGAGAACGCCAAGCAGTGTCTACAGGCAATGCATAAATTATTCAGGCATCTTCCTAGCATTAAACTTGGAGTTAGGCTTCAGACTTTTAATTTTTCTTTTTACTGAAAGCTCTATTTTTTGAGATTTTATGCGGACAACATTCAAGCCAATCAGCACACCACAGAAGTCCATAGCCTTCCTACCAAACACTGAAGTCGTTAGGTAAGGATGGAGACGCAGAACCCTACTTCGCAGGTGCCATGGTGCAAGAGCCGATCCATGCTCGGCTAGTCATCTAACTCAAAGAAGTTTTCCCTATCTTTTGTTGTGAATCCACTAGGGGATCCTTGGTGACTACTCATCAATAGGCAGAAGACAAACCTGCATTTAAGTTTAAGTAAGCCAATTGTGTTGCTTTGGAAATTATAACCAAATGTCCCTTTATATAAAAGCTCGTCACCTGGGCTTATACTTGCGAATTCAGTCCTTATTACGACAAAGTTCTCAGGGATTCTGCTGATTTCTATATCTTTTACGCCTAGGGTGTTGATATTACCAACCTGATCAATAATAGCTGCTCGTGTCCTTTCTGACATATATTATAATATAGAAAATCATAATTAGAAATGGTTGATCTGATAAGGGCTATTTTATAGCCATTTATATGTAGGCCTATATGATTAATTATATTAAATTTTCAGCCATTTTGAATTTTTAGAATCAGGAAAATATTATTTTTAAATTTTTGAATTATTTCTATTGATTTTTTCGGTATTCTTTTATTAGTAATTTTGGTCTTCTTTTGGAATCTTCTTAATATAAAGCCTAAATTGCTATAAATATTTTCTGCAAACTTTTTATATGTTCTATTTTTGATAGATCCTTAATGCATATTCCTTTTATTTTAAGCCCTTTTTTGTATTTTTATCTTAAGATCTCTAAAGCCACTTTTCATAAAGATTTTCACTAGTAATTAATTTAATTGAATTTTTATGAGAAGGATTTATTTAATATAGTTTTTTAAATAGAAAAAATTAAAAAATCAGGAATTTTATTATTAAAGACTATTTGCAATACTTGCTGTTAGTGACACAAGATCTTTAGGATCTTCAAATAGCTTTGCGGTTTCGATTGCAGCCTCAATATGATGAATAGCTAACTTTTTCGCCCATCCAACCCCATTTGCATCAGCTACCAGCTCTTTGACTAAATTTTCTTGTTTATTCTCTATAAGTTCAGATATATTGGTATGTGCGCCAGCTGCAAATAGCACAGGGAACGAATTATACCTAATTTTTCCATTTAAATAGTCCTTAATGTCCCCAACCACTCCAAGGGCCATCCCTAGATGTTTTCCATAATCATAGCTTCTTTTCATATCACTATTCCCTAAATACGCAATTCCTTGGCACCCATTAGCCATAATACTGGCTGTCTTATAAAAGCACAGTGCACAATAATTAATCAGAGCTTGGGAAACGGTTTCTCCTTTTAACGATAATATAGACCCTTTTGAAATATTCTGAATAATCAAGCAGAGAAGCTGGATTAAAGGCAAACTATTGATTCTGCAGCATTGGATTGAGCTGAATAAAAATTACGCATTAGAAATCATGTAGTCGCCACCTAAAATCATGCCGTTGTCACCTAAAAACATGTGAAGCCAGCTGGCTTCAGTTGATGTGTCCATTATTTTGCTGTGGATTGAGCTGCCGAAATGTGCCAGTTCAATAGCTTGGGTAAATATAATTTGCTTTGTGGAGATTTCTCCGAGAGCTTGGGCCATAAGTAGCATGGCGGAAGCGTGGATGTGTTTAGTTCCATATGCGTCAAAAAATTTGGTGACAATATCGGTAGCTTTGATGTCAATTTTTAGCTGATTATTTTTTACCATTTTGCTGATACTTGCATCAATGCTTGATAAATGAGACTTTATTGCATCCCTAAATGTAGGATTTGCCATTTCTTGTAATGCTGATATTTTATCTTTGCAGTATTTATCAAGTTGAGAGTCATTGATAGGATTTTTTCTCAAACATTTATCAGAAAAAATAAAAATCCCTGCATCTGGATAGTGGCCATTGGCAAAGTGATGGAATATTTGGCGTTCAGCGTATGCTGATGCTAGTCCTAACAGTTTTTCAGGAGTTCTCTGCATGCACGCAGTTGTAAAACTAGCCCCTGCTTATAGCTTACAGCATATCGTCTTCCACCTGAGCATTTTTTCTATTTATTAGCGATTATTTCAAAAATTTCAAAAAAATCAATCTACTTTGTATATAAAAAATACAAAAATTGTATAAAACCTGTGAGAAACCTCTTTTTCGTTTCCATTTAAATTTATTACGTCATTCAGCTTAACTAGTCTTTAGCAGCTATTGCATTTAACCTTTCTTCTATTTCTTGTTGGCTTAATAAGCGCAGTGCATGATGGTCAGTCGTTACAATCCCTACCTCAATATCATTAGACTTATACTCCTGGGCCATCACGCTCTGCAAACACTCAATTGCCATCTCGACCGCTTGCTCTCTATTAAGTTCTCCATTAGTCTTTTTCCATTGTTTTTCTAAATAATTGGTAGCTTCTTGCTCTTTAACGCCTGCTGCGCAGGCTTTGAAACCTTGGAACATCCCAGCAGGGTCAATTTTGTAAAGCTGAGGACCCAATTCGTCGTCAATTCCGGCAAGCATCGTGATAACTCCATATGGTCTCATAAAGGCTTGCTGGGTGTAAACCTGGGCAAGGTCTCCTGTTCTGTTCGCTAAAATATTGACAGGGCAGGGGATGCCGTTCTTAAATCTGTAGTCGCTGGCTTCATTGCGCATTCTTGTTACTAGAGCGCGGGCGTCAGGTAGTAAACCAGTCATACAGGCTCCAATGTTCTCAGCAACTGTAAATAAATGAGTTACGCTTTCAGGGACAATCATTCGGTCAGGGACTTTCTTTTCTATGCAAAGAACAACAGAGTCAGTTCCACGGACTGCAATACTTGTAAGACCTGCAGATTTGGCAGCTTTAAAAGCATATTCCACTTGATAGAGTCTTCCATCTGGGGAGAAAATTGTAATGTGTTTATCAAAGCCTGCTCCTCTACTCATAATATGGTAATCAGAATGGCGAACTGTTAGATGTTGATAAATGAGCAATTTTTTAGATTTTTGGAAAATAAATTAGTAATGAAATTATTATTTATAAGCAGCTAGAGGTGATATTTGAGATAAAAAAGTCATTTTAGATTTCATCTTGATGATGCAATTTATAACTTTTATAGCCAAAAATTATATACATAAAAATGGTGAAGACAGACCACCCGACCTCTCGACCCTATTTCTTCAACAGCAGCAGGCAACGGCCCAGTGTTGAGGATTTAGGTGGAAAGGGGCCGGTAATCCTTTATATATAGTCGGGCTGGGTTTTCCTCGGGCCCAGAGAGCTAATCCCTGGGCTTAGAGTTTTTCCTCCGGCACAACCATTGGAAAGGGCAAGGTTGGCCAATGTCTGATGGGCATTATGACCCTCAGACCCTGAAGACGGTATTTGCCTAACGAGAAACTGGGAGTTCCCACCCAGGTGGTTCGCCCTTAGACTCCAGGAGCCATGGAAGTCAAGACTGGTGCGCGAAGCCTCGTCTGCAGCGACGGGGAAGGGTGTCCGCCGGGATCCCTCAGGGATGATGAGCGTGTAGGGTGCAAATCCCGGCCCTTGCGAAAGCGAATGGCATAATCTAATTTAATCTAATCTATAGCCAAAAATTCTATAAAAAGTAGGAAATTCAAAGTATTCTAAATAAATTAGTATAAAAAATGTACTATTGAATAAATTTCCTTTTCATATAGAAAATAAAGCATTTTTTTCTATTTTTTTACTTATAATCTCTATAAATAATCTTATAATAATTTCAACCACCTCCAGTCCTTCGGAATTTCTTATTCTCCCCGCCCCAATCCCAAATCCATATTTCTAGAAGCTTCTAATCCTTATTTAATTCTTTATTTTATACACACTAATAATAATAAATGCCAAGCAAACGTGACTATTATGACGTTCTAGGTGTCCCTAAAGACGCAAATGACGACCAAATAAAGAAAGCCTATCGTAAACTCGCCTTAAAATGGCATCCAGACAAAAACCCCAACGATCGTGAAGGTGCTGAACAAAAATTCAAAGAAATCGGAGAAGCCTACGCAGTCTTATCAGACTCAAATAAACGTACAATTTATGACCGCTACGGTCACGAAGGTCTAGAACATGGCGGAGGCTCTTCTTCAAATGGATTTTCTGACGCAGATTTCCATTTCGATTTTACAGACGCTGAAGATATTTTCCGACAATTTTTCGGAGGACGAGACCCATTTGCTGGGTTTATGGAAGACGACGATTTTGGGTTTTTCGGAGGAAGCTTGTTTGGAAATAGGCAAAGAAATGCCAATAGAAATGGCAGGAGAAATGATCCATTTGGAGACTTCTTTGGAGGAGATTTCTTTGGAGGGGATTTTATGAGTGGCATGGGAGGAAGCAGCCATGTAACTTTTTCATCGAGCTCTAGTAGTGGAGGAAGAGGAGGGGTCAGCAAAAGTGTAAAAACAACGATTGTTAATGAAAATGGAAGGCAGGTAAAGAAAACTGTGACCACTATAACACATCCTGATGGGAGGAAAGAAAGAAGAGAAGAAACTGAAGAAGGAGGGGAAACAAGAAATAGACAGCCTCGACATCTGAGGAATTAAAGTGATATATTTAATACAAATTTGGTAAATTTGACTGAAAAATAAGTTGAAAATGGATTTGGGGCTATTTAAGGGTTCTGAAGAGCAAGGGCTGTCTGTAAAAGGTAGAAATGCTGCTTCTTTTAAGTTATAAAGGCTTTGCTTACTCATTGATTTTAAAAAAAAAAGTTCTGTAAAGTATTGGCTGGAGCTCATAAGTAGTCAAAGTAAATAATTTGTATAAAATAATAGCCAGACTAGACTTCTTTTTAATTTATTTTTTATAATAAAATAATTATGATACCTGCTAAATTATGATCATTTAACTTTGATTTTAGAACATTCCTTTAAATCTGCTTATAACAAAAAATATTTTCTTTCATATTTCCTATATACATAAAATGGCGTATGGCGACCGACCCACCCTCTCAGCGGTGGTTACCCATGTATATCCGGGCATGGTTTTTGGAGCCAGGAATTAGCCCAAAAACGTCTGGGACCTCGAAGCGAGAGGCCTAAGCGCGAGAGCCGCTGTTTTTGCGACCAGACCCATGGGCAGTTATTCGTGACTTCTTTTTGCCAGCAGCGCTCAGCCCAGTGAGTGCCCGAAATGAGGCAGGGTGAATTACCTGCCTAAGCTGCTTTAGTGGCTCGCCCCGAATGGCGAAAGCTGTTGAGTTCTTTCTCGGGATGACCGGAAAAGAGGGGAGGCGAGTTAGACACCAAAACGGGGGTCTCTCCAGTTGAAAAGGTGCCCTTCAATGGGCAGATCTGGCGGACGACGAAGCGGAGTTGGCGTAAACTTAGGCGACGATCCAAGTTGGAAATGGAGGTGGTCAGCAAAGCCGGTATGAGACGGCCCTTGACAATACCTCTACCGAGAAACCGGGGGTTTCGGCCCGGCTTGGTGAACGCTCTGCCACCACACGGGAAACCGTGGCATGCGACCTCGGACGTAGTAGGGACCTTAAATACCCAGCGTAATCTTAATCTTAATCTTAATCTTCTTTCATATTTCCTCATAAATTAGCCATAAAATTTTTAATTTTAAAAATTGAGATATTTTTAATATTGCCTTTAGGCATTTTTAATAGTATAATTTAAAAGGACTATTCTAGAATATGAGCTCTGAATTGGAATTTAGTGAAAATTCACAAAACAATGCAATTATCCAGGTTTTTTATCCAACATGCTCAGCTATATCTACGAATTATAATGGGCTAGAAATAAGGCCTAAAGATACCAAAAAATTTCTCAAAAAAGTAATGACTTTACTATATATTCAGCTGAGTATCACAATACTCTTATCAGCCATCATTCTATCAGTAAAAGATATACAAAAATGAATACAATCAAATAATTCGTTTCAATTAGTTAGCCTAGGTCTGTCAATTATAAGTATAGCGGCTTTACGTTATCGTAAAACCTTTGCAAAAAAAGTCCCTATAAATTACACATTGTGTGCAATCTTTAATATTGGGGTTAGCGTTATTATCGGAAACTTTGTGGGCATTCACTTCAAAAATTTAATAATATTTTTAGCAGTCTCTGCATTTACCATAGCTATACAATGGAATTTAGCTATGGTCGCTTTATTTATACAGAAAGATTTAACAAAGTGGTATGGAGCAATATTTGAATTCCTTATCGCAGGAATTTTAGCTGGTATATTTTTGCTTCCTTATTTAACAAATTTTGTAAAAATAGGATTTTGCGTATTATTTTTCTCGATTTATGTTATTGCGATTATTATTGATTTTCAAGCAATAAATGGAAATGGAGTATTCGAACTAACCAATGACGATTATATAACTGGGGCGATTTTTTTATTCGTAGAAGTGGTAGGATTTTTAGTATATGTTATTATTGTAATTTTTATCTTTTAACTCTGGCTTTTCAAAATTAAATAAAGGGTAGTATAAAAGAGTAGGAATTATGAAGGAAAAATCAAACTGATAAGTGTAAAATTAAAATATAAAGTCTAAATAGCTATATAAATTTAAATATGATAATAATAGTAATGTCTCAAAAAAATTGAATGGAAATATAGAAGTAATATTTTGCTATAGCTTGAAAATATTAAAAGGGAAAATAATAAATATTTAAAGTTCACGTATTTTATCAATGGAAATTTTTGGTGATTTTAAAGGAAATATAAGATTTTCTTAATTCATTGTCCTTAAGATAATAACTTATTATGAATCCCTATAGTATAAAAATTCATCTCTGAAATCCAAAACTCTATGAATAATTAATCAATTGAACATTAATAAAATATTTAGATAAGTAGTTACTTACCCGTACTTCCTCCAACATCAGCAGCTTATCTCTGCTTTCAATCTTTATAGATATGACAAATTTTTACATTTAAATTATAGAGCACGTTTAAAAAGTAAAATGCTATTATAATTACTCCAGCTCTGAATTAACATAAATCAACCGAGCCTTCGCAAATCCGTTGAACGTAGAAGCAGCTGCAACTGTATAAGCACCCATATTTGAGAACGAAAGCCAATCTCCAATTTCTAACTCCGGTAGCATCATTTTTGCTGTCAAGCAGTCCATTGAGTCACAAGTTGGCCCCCAGATGCTGCATTCATAAGCATTTTCATTGTTTTCCATCCTAGAGTCTTTCCTATATATATGAGGATTTGGAAGCACAGCGTGGTCAAACATGATGTTATTGAATGACCCGTATACACCGTCATTCACATAATACATGCACATTTTTTCAGCGCTTGGCTTCTTTATTTCTTTTTTTGATGTCACATTTACACTTAAGCTAAATGCGCTGGCAACGTAGTATCTTCCAGGCTCCGCGATAACTTTTACATTTCGAGGGAACAGCTCGTCAAGAACTGGCCTAATCACGCTTGCAATTTCATCAAATTTTACTAATTCACCTTGAATATTTATTATTTATAGAGAAATTATTTTTTTCGAAATTTCAGCATTACTTACTACCTCTGTGAGTGGTCAAAAGCATTTGAAAAAACCCTAATTTTTGGATAAAAACTCACCGGTGAGTGAACAAAAAAATTTGATATATAAATTATAATTATTATAATGAAATCTCTTATATAATTCTGTTGAATATTAAGCAGCTTGCATTTAAAACATAAAATTATACAAATTAAATTTCATTTTTTACAAATTGAGGATTTTTTTAAAAAATTGCTTTAAAATTTTTTAAAAAAATAATTAACCCACACGGGGGAGTTAATAATAATAAAAATAAGCTAATGGGCTGGATAATTTGAAATTCGGGAGTAAGCCAGGCTGTTCATACCCAGGGAACCCTCCACCAATATCAAGCAGAGTTGGGTTGTACCCTGCTGCTTCAATATCATTAAAAGCTTTTCTTGCTAATAAAAGTGCATCACTATAAGCTGTTGCATCAGTGCAGCCAGAGCCGACGTGGAAGCTGATACCAACAATGTTTACCCCAATTTCTTTAGCTTCTTGTACAAGCTCCGGTACAAGATCAATTGGAATCCCGAATTTTTTCCCAAGTCTGCATACAGCCTTCGAGTCGTCAGCATAAATGCGGATGACAACATCTGCGTTGGGGTTAATTTCGTGGATTTTGTGAAGTTCATCTGCACAGTCGGCAGTCATAAGGTTAACGTATTGATCTCTGGCGTATCTGATGTTGGATTTTGCCTTACATGGATTTGCAAAAATAATGTTTTCTGGCTCGACGCCTAAGCCGATAATTGCTTTGATTTCTTCTGTACTTGTAAAATTTTGAAAAGGTGGCTAGAAGAGTTAGGTATGAGTGAATGGTAAGTTGATTCAGGACAAAGGTGAGTGAATCCCATTCTTTTGGAAGGCGCAGGTGGGTTTTTGCATTATCAGGACTCCAAGACAGGCTTTTTTCTTTGTCCTACAGGCGGCAAACCGTTGACGCAAAGCCGACTCAAACTTCTAGGGAACAATTTTATACTTGATCGAGGCAGTCCAAAAGAAGGCAATAGGTATTTCCTTCTGCAATGAGCACTACTAGGGCTAAGGGAAAGTCCTCTGTCGTAGAATTAAACCAAGTATGATCGGGAGAGTCTCCCGATAGACTGCTGACGTCACCATTTTTTGGTAATGTTGACAAGAAAATGGCATGGTGGTGTGACGCCAACTCTTAGAGCCATTCAAGCCTGAAGTTGGTTTTGATGGCGATGACCTTAAATAATCCCCAAAGACCTGTTATAATTAAAGCTAATCTAATCTGTACTTGCACAGTCAAAACCAGTCCCAAGTGATGCCAAAGTTTTCAATACGGCCATATCACTATTGCATTTTACTGCATAATAAGGCTTGACCCTCGGCAAGAGGGTCATCCATTGATTATGTTTTCTCACAACATCGCCAAGATCAGCGACATAAAAAGGTTCTTCAATTTTTTGTTGATAAATCTGATGCCTGATAACTGAATCAAGCTGTTTTCCAATAAAATTTTGAATATTTTAGATTTTTTTTAAAAAAAAATCATTTTTCTTATTTCGCAAAAAAATAAATATAATAAAAGGCAAAAATATTAAAGGAAAATTATAGCCAAGTCAAGCAGAGCTTTAGGGTCAACTTCGAAATCAAAAGATGGCTCTATTACTGGTTCCTTAGAAATATTTCCAGGACTTGTTGGTGGGATATAAGGGAAATTGGGATCCGGGCTTATCGGAAGTCCAAGTCTTTGGAAATTTTTTGAGGAGTTGAAGTTTGTAGCGAATTTCATCATTGAACAAGCATTTCGAAGTCTAGATGCACTCTTAAGCATACCCTTTCCTAGGTGTCTTTATTAATGCAAGCCACAGAAAATTTCAAGCTTAAATCGTATAAAATGGCGATAAAGCTTCACTGGAAATTTTACAAGACCTTTTAGGTTGGGATGAAGAAGGGATTATAAAATTTGATGGAAGATTGAGGAAAACGGAAAAATTATGGGAAAGGAGGCTAGGGATTTGGAAAATTAAGGGAAAAAATTTGGAAAAGCCATAGACGAGATTGTGAAAAACTTGTAATTAAGGCATTTATAGTCGAAATTTAAAGAAAATTGTAAGATTATAAGGCCTTTTATAGCTATTATTTTTGAAATATTGATAATCTGACACAATTTTAAAATCAAAAAAATAAGTCTTATCTTAATTATCTATAGCACATTTAACGTCCACTACCAGGTTTCTCGATCACAGCTTCCCCCAACTCCACTCTAGAGAATATTTCGCGCCATTTTCCTCGCCCGCCAAAGGTGTGGCCCCCTCAGACTTTGCACACCAATGAAGGCGCCAGTTTTTTAGTTTGAGATTCGACGATTATTCTTTAAGCTCAAGCCCTTACTTGGGTCCGATCGGCACCTTAAAGATCCCAGTCTCCACCTAAGTTGCAGGCTTCTTGAAAATTTCATTCCTTAATGTCAGGAGTCCGTAGGAAAAACCACAAGCTCTTGCTCTCTTACATAGCTGGAATATTCACCAGGGAAACCAAACCTCATAATTAAAAATATGCAAGAGATGAACTTTAAGCATTTTAGCAATTTTTTACATAAAATAGCATTTTAATTAAAAATATCCTAAAATAATTAAATTTTTTCCATCACCAAATCTACCAAATTTCTATTAATCCCATTCTTTTTAAGCCACTTCACTGCTTTTCTCTCTATTAATGCCCATTCAGCTTTCTGTCCTTCACAATATTTATTCAAATACGCCAGTGCTATTAGTGTCCCAATAAGATTTTCAAGAGAAATCTTTCTAATTTCCTCAGAAATTTCTGGTGAAAATTTCAGCAAATTAATAACAGCAGAATCAGCCCAAAACCCATCAAAAGCTTGGATTTCTACTATTTTCATATAATTTACTATTTTTGGTTTTTGAGACACAGCTATCTCTACAGATGAATAAGAAGCTGGTTCAGTCAAAATGTCCCCAAAAAGATCTATAGCATTATTTTGAGATGAATCTGCAAAAATATCTTGCTGGGATCTTATGCACTTTTTATCATCGTTTGCTTTTTTTGGAGGGGTGGATTTTTTAGGTAAAGCTTGAGAAATAGGATCAGGATCTTGATCTTAATTAGACTTGTCGAAAAGTCCACTATATTCAGAAGCACTATCTCCTTACCTAATGCTTCCTCGCCTGATTGTCAATTCGAATTTTACGAAACGCAAAGGCTACTCCTGCTGACGGCCTGTATTCGCTAACCCATAGTCAGTAGAGTTGTGTGTTTGCCAACATAGGCTGCCTATAATAATTCAAATGGTTGAATTTTTAGGCTGACTCTCTATCAAATGAAAATCAAAAGTATAAATGGTAACTCTTGGCTCACGGTGGAAACATTCCTGATTAACCGAGAAACTCAATTCTGAAACTACTATAATCCCTCTTCAAGATCTATTTTCCATGAAGAAATTCCTGTCATTAGATTAAGCTTGACTCTGCTGCTCTATTTATTTCATAAACACCTTATCGGATTCGTTATCTCCTTTTCTAAAAATCTCGCATGCTGGCTAAATTAGTTAAGAGAATGGGCTGATTCACCATTTTAGTGCATAATAAATCTGGCTCAGGAATAGTCTCTTGTAGGTTTGCAGCTGAATACGAAGGACTTGTAGGCGAATATGATGGACTGCTAGGTGAATACGATGGGGATATTTGGGAATATATAGGTGGCAAAAATGATGGAGGAGGATTTAGTTTTGGGACTGATGCTTGGGTTTGAATTTGGCTTGAAGAAAAAGAAGAATGAGTGCTTTTAAGAGAAGCAGATTGAATATTTGAAAGAAAAGTAGGCTGATAGTAGGCTGTTTGAGGTAAACTCATAGGAGGAGGAGGAGGAGGAGGAGGGATACTCCCAGACGCGAGTAGCGGCGTACAGAAGCCAACCATTGTAGGTTTATATGCTGGCTGAGAAGGCAAGCTTGCTTGGGGAAGAAATTGAGAGGGAGGAGGAGGAGCAGATTGAGGAAGAGGAGGTGGTGGACAATTTAAATTCAAAACAGGCGGAGATGGGCAATATCCAGGCATAGGAGGAGAGTATTGGAACGCATTACTAGAGGAATTGCTGCTAAGAGTTTGCTGAGGAGAACTGCCGAATAAAATATTTTTAAATCCAGACATACCGTGATTAGTGATAGGCCGAGATTGATTAACTATCACACCTTGCATAGGTATTCTATATGATGTAGGCTCTCTATTCATAGCTTCTTTTTTCTTTAATTTTATAAACTCCATTTCTCCACTCTCAGCATTCGCCGTCAATTTTTTCGCAATAAAAACTGTATACGGTGACAGCACCTGATATTTCACAGACATCTCAATAATTTTTTCTTTCTCAGCGTTCTCCAAATCCTCAATTTTATTTTTCGCCCACAATTTCCTTATTTCTTCTCCATGTCCTATCTCATCCGAATAATTTATATTAAATTCTCGTCTAGCTCTAATTTTTGTATCAAAACAGGTTAAAATTGGGGAAGAATTTGGGACGGAATTTCCTAGCTTTGAATAAAGAATAAACCTTTCCCCATAATAAATTGTAGAAAGCCGCTGTGCTGATGGCGTAATCTCATCATTTCAATTGACAGTCCAATCAGTCAGGGCAGGCATTATGCATTTTTGTAGGGCTGCTATGACTTTTTGGTTTATTTCGCTTCTATTTTTAATAAATGCAGAAGTCCCACCTCCTGCTTTAGCTGCATTTTTGACTAAATCTTCAGACACTTCGCCACCGATTCCAAAAGTGTGGACTCTGCATTTATTAGAATTGTCTTTTATAAGCTTTATAACTGCATTAGGGTCTTCAACTTCTCCATCTGTTATTAGGAAAATCACTCTGGGGTAGTCATTTAGAGCTTGGCTATTAAAAATGTGCTTTAAAGGGTTATAAATATTAGTCGATGACATGTCGGCATGGAATTGCTTTAATTGTGATAAAGAAAGGTCGAGGGTAGCTTGGGAGTATTCAACAGATACAGGGTGCATACAGGAAAATTGAGTCCCAAAGCTGATGATGTTGAATTTTGACCTTTGTGGGAGACTTTTTAGGAGTAAGGATAAAGATTCTTTAGCCATATCAATTCTATCGCCGGCCATAGAACCACTTCGATCTAGGATAAAGAGGTATTCGCCAGAGCCTTCTAGGTCTTCGAGGTCCTCATTTTCTTCTTGGTATATAGGAAGAAATGAAAGCATGGCTGTATATTCTCCATCATGCTCTTGAATTATGCATTTTGGGATATTGGCGTCTGAGGTTTTATAAGAAATTTCGACTGACTTGTCAGGGATTATTTGGGCGTTTTTGTTTAATTTTGCAGTAAGATGCTTACTCTGCCGATTTTCCTATTAAAAATATATTTTTTTTATTTTTTTTTAAAAAATATTTATCACTATAAAGAGTTAGAATCCTCTGATAAAATCGTGTCAAATTGAAACTCCCTACAAATAAAATCAGAAATCGAATTTTCTGAAAATATTTCTAAGCCAAAATCCACATAATAATTGCATCCTCTTACGTTTGATTTAACTTCCTCAATAGATTTAGGCTTCCCTTCTTCAAAGTAAGGGAAAATATAATTATCCAGCGTAAAAACCCAGTTATCCAGCCTGCTTTGCAAAGGGAAGCAAAATTTTAATTCAACACATATAATGTCATTTGGCTGAATATTCCCAATATTAAATGTAATTGTATTTTTGTCTGATTTGGCAAGAACAGCAGTTCTGCCTGAGGAAATTGAATCTTGATAGATTTCTTGGGCTTTGGATTCTTCTTGTATTTCTGCTTTAATTTTAGTTCCATCTGAAAATTGGATGTTTAAACTTGTTATTACGGATTCTTCTTTTATTGGGAAACTGTATGCACATTCAATAGGTGAGGAATTTAAATTCATAAAGGTTTGAGTGAGCTCTACTGTTGCGAGAGATTCTTTTAGTGAAGCATTTATGTTTAAATTTCTGAGTGGTATTGAGTTTTGATTATATCTTCTATCATTTGGCTTGATCCCGAAGGCTCCCGAAGACATTTTTATACAAATATAGAATATTTTTTCATTACTAAAATGATTGAGATTTCTAATAACCAAAATTAAAAATTAAATTTATTTTCAGCTAGAATTTGTGCAAATGTTATAATTATATAAGATAAATTAATACCAAAAATTTACTATGAAAAACAAAAATTTAAATTTATATAAATCTTTTCTCATAAAGCTAATTATTATAACATCGAGCCAAAAGAAGTAGAAAAAGTTTTTAAATGTAATTAGTGAATATTTCTATGACCAAATGGTTTTTCAGGTGATAAATTACTTTGAGCTTGGAGTCTTAGAAATTGATTTGCTGGGTTGACAATTGCGCTTACTCCCCTCTCCGTGAGTGAACAAAAAAATTTTGTTCACTCATAGAGAGGGGGGTTAATTTTTTTTTTAAAGAAATTTATATATAAATTTATACAAATTTTTTTTCTAAAAATTGGGAAGCAAAATTAATTTAATTTATAAAATTTAGTTTTAAAACGGAATTTTTTTAAAATTAAACAGAATTAGCTCGAGATTTCATTATACTATTTATCACTTTATATATCATTTTTTTTCATAAAATATTTTTTCTATTAAAAAAATTTTTATTCACTCACGGAGGGTGGGTTTTTGGGAAAAAAATAAGGATTTTTCAAATGGTTTTGTTCACTCACGGAGGGGGGGTTAGTGCTTTCTTATTTTGTGGCTGTCTTTTCTTGATTGTTTCTTCTAATTCTTGCATTTCGTCTTCCACTCTCAATTCAATCCTAGTTGGCTTTCTCATCATTTCCTTCGAATAAATGCGGCAAAAATTATCCCTATTTATATCATCTGTATAAATTGTGAAATCTTCGGTCTTTTATATTAATCACTGTAAATCAGCATATAAAAATAATTCTAAAATGATGGAAAATTAGAATTTTTACTATTTTATTCTTTACTAAACATCTTCTCAGTTTTAATTAAAACCAAAATATATCTTAATAATCCAGCCTCTAATTATTTCTCATAATTTATAATTTAAACGCTATACTTTCTATTAAGCATGCTGCTAATCTGCTAATTCTTATATGCTGAGTTATTAAAAACTAGAAAAAATACCAATAAATTGCTTCAAAGAAATAAACAATAATGGAAAACACAACTTTCAAAGTAATAACCTTAGGAAATTATGGAGTTGGAAAGACATCACTATTACTACGAGCTGTCGACGAAAATCCAGTAATTTCATCAAACTATATGTGCACTATTGGGGTGCAGGCCCAATGATCGTGCACTTTTGATAGTGTGCATTTCACCGAAGTACATTTGGTTGAAATTTTTTTTAATAGTGAGACCTTTGACCGAAAAAACCCGTCAAATTTCAACCAAATGTCACGCAATTTTAAAAAATTTCGACCAAAATGCACTGTCATTAGCATGGAGCCTCACTATTGGTGTTGACTTTAAAACGAAAATGCATGTATTGAATGGTGAGCCCTATAAATTAATGATTTGGGATACAGCTGGCCAAGAACAGTTTTATCATATAAATAGGCTTTATTATAGTGGGTGTAACGGAGTTATACTTGTCTACGATATTACTAGCTTTACTTCCTTTGAAAAAATTAAACTATATTTGTTCTAATATATAAATAAATAGCCTATTTTTTATAAAAAAAGCTTTATAGCTTGCCAATTATAGCAGAATAATTTTTTTAAGGACGATTTCGAAAACTACTCAGATGGGAAAATCCCTATGGTGTTAGTAGGTAATAAATGTGACTGTAAAGATCGACAAGTAACTCCTGAGCAAGGCCATGACCTAGCTGAAAAGCTTGAAATCCCATTTTTGGAATGTTCAGCACTAACTGGCATCCACATAAACAAAGTTTTCGATGTTCTTCTACAAGAAATAGTTAAAGTGGCATCTAAAGAGGAGCCAGTTTCGAAAACGTCATTTGTAATCAATGCTATTGTAAAGCAACCGAAAAAGAAAATTAAGCAATGCTGCTTAAGCAAGTAATGCAATTTATAATTATTTTATTGAAAGTTGAGGTTAAAATTAAATAAATTAAAGAGGCTGATCAAATTGTAATACTGAAGAAATGCTGAAATATTTTAATGGAATATATAAGGGATTTTATTATATAGAAGATTCAAGTAAATTAAAAATTTTAATTGTATATTTATACCCTAAAGAATTTTTTAGACAGAATAAACTAAATAAGGACCCATTATCTTTAAGATTGTCTAATCTCTAGTCTATGCTTATATACAAAAGGTCTATATTTAATAACAATCTTATAATTTTTACGCAGCTCTTTACCATCTTTCTTAAATTCACTTTTTCTTTATTTATTCTCAATCCATATTATTAACTCATGAGACGAGGTGGAGGGACACTCAAAGGCAAAGGCAGTAAATTTGGCGCTGCTCCTCGAGTTCGTCTAAAAGAAGAATCCCGCCAAGAAGAAAGTTCTGTCCCAGAAGATGATCTTATCAGTGAAGCAGCACAAGGCCTAAAAGGTTTTGATGACGTTCCACGACTAAGTGAAAAAGACCTAGACCAAGATATCGAGCGTATATTAACTCCATCCAATCCTCAAGGATCTCAAAACATTGCTTATTTTTCTTATACTGTCTTATCTAATTATTATTAAAACAATATTGTTTTTTTAAAAAAAAAATTCAGCCTATTCAGTATACAAAGATCGTCAATTCAAAAGAGACGACTTAGTGGACCAAATGATCATTCATTTCGCCCAGGACGGCTTTTTTTTATTAAAAGACAGCAATGAAGCGAGAGACCAAGAAGAATTTATTGACTCAAAAACTCTTGAAGCAGAAGCTCAAATTAAAGCATCTTCAGTCGACACAGGAACAGTCCAGCTTTCACCTGAAGCTCTAATGAAATCTTTGAGAAACCAATTTAATTATGCTGAAAGAACAGCCCAGTCTTTCTCAATCCCTATAAAAGAACGAGGAATTTCAACTGAGCCACCTCCTACTAGAAGTTTTTCAGGGACAGTTACACAATGGGATATTTATGACAATTTTATGTCAGAACTTGATAAAAAACGACAAACAGAACATGCAGAAAAAGAGAAAGAAAAGGAAAAAGAAAAAGATACAAAAAAGAGCACAAAAAAGAGAGAGAGGAGGGAAGACCCTATGTATTCGAATGAAATGAGCTATTCACTAAAAATTATGGAAAGAATGGTGAACCAGAATGATTTGCAGAATACTTATCATATTTATAAGTATTTTGATGGAAATGCTGATAACCATAGGACAAGTGAAGGGTCACTCAGTGATTTGTGGATTTTTGGGTCAGAAAAAACGAAGAAAAAAGAAGTTACTTCATTAGTATATTTTTATAAAAAATATAATAAAAAATGCTTAAAAAAGCACCTTATTTTTTATAAAAAAATAGAAAGTATTATTTAATCAATAAATTTCACTTTTGTTATATAAAATATGAAATCCAAGATACCATGATATGTTTGCTGTTGGCTATGGCTCCTACAGCTTCATGAAAAAATCTACAGGCCTCATTTGTTGCTATTCTTTAAAAAATACCAGATACCCTGAATACTTTTTTACAACCCAGCATGGCGTTATGTGCTTAGACTGGCACCCTCAGCACCCCGCTCTCCTTGCAGTCGGACTTTATGACGGCACAGTTCTTGTATTTGACGTCCGCGCAAAACACAAAAAGCCTATATACCAAAGCACAGTCAGAACCAACAAGCATACAGACCCTGTCTGACAAGTCAAATGGCAAGACGACGACATGATGAAAAATTTAAGTTTTTTTTCCATTTCCAGCGACGGCAGAGTCACAAACTGGGTTTTAATGAAAAACAAGCTGGAAGCTGAAGAAGTCATCAAGCTAAAACTAGTCAGCGGCCAACGAGAAGGCGAAGAAGACATGGAAACTGCTTTAAGCGGCCTCGCTGGAGGCACTTGTTTCGATTTTAACCCCTTTTTTGAGCATTTATTCATAGTAGGAACCGAAGAAGGAAAAATCCACAAATGCAATAAAGCCTATTCAGGGCAATATTTAGAAACTTATGATGGGCATTTTATGGCAGTTTATAGTGTTAAATGAAATAAATTCCACCCAAAAATATTTTTAAGTGCAAGTGCTGATTGGACCGTTAAAATGTGGGACCATACCATAAAAGCGCCATTACTTACATTTGATTTAGGAATTGCAGTTGGAGATGTCGCATGGGCGCCTTATTCCTCGACGCTTTTTGCAGCTATAACAGCTGATTCTAAATGCCATATATATGATTTAGCACAAGAAAGACTATCAGAGATATGTGATAAGAGGGTAAAAAATGGGAAATGCAACCACATTGCGTTTAACCCAAGCCAGTTTATTATTCTTGTAGGGACTGATAGAGGGACTGTGTATTCGTTTAAACTGTCACCGAATTTAAGGAAAACAGTACAAGTGACTGAGGAAGATGCTGCAGCTGGTATCACTCAAAGTGCAAAAGAAGTAAAGAAACTAGAAGAAATAATAGAAACAATAGATAGGACTGTTTATTAAGAATTCTTAAAATCCATTTAAATTATGTTCGTTTCTCATCCAAAAGAACATTATGAGTCAAGATATACTCATTAAAGATATAAGCACAGAAAAAGAATTTGACCAAACTTTTACACCTGAACTAAGCTTTGGGGACGAAAGGACTAAGCCAATGAGTCCATTAAGCTGCTTTAAATGTTCATTGTCCAAACTGATCAGAAAACAACAAAAACTTACTGAGTATAATGCGTGACAATATTTTTCACAAATTTGTATTGATTTATACCCATTTAGAAAGCTGGTGGCATAAAAGTTTTATATAGTAAATAGACTAAAACTACCCTAAAAAGGTATAAAATATATGCATGATAACAAAATTATTCATATGGATATAAAACCAGAGAATATTTTTATTGATCAGAGTAATATATAGCTAATTATATAGCGCTTTCCCGAGGATGGCGCCATTCCGCGCCATCCTCGGAAAGCCAGGAAGGCATCCACACGGGAACTGGGAGTTCCACGTGGGGATGCCATTTTGACATGTGGAAGTTTGGATCCCACATGTCAAAAATGGCATCCACACGTGGAACTCCCAGTTCCCGTGTGGATGCTTAGTTGACTTTCCCGAGGATGGCGCCATTCCGCGCCATCCTCGGGAAAGCGCTATATTAAATTTGTATAAAGGCACTATTTGCCTTCACTAACTATTTTTAGATTAAAATAGTATAGCTAAAATTTGTGACCTAGGCTGGAGCGTTAAAAATGATGAAGTTAGGCTTTCATTTTGTGCAGCACTTGATTATATGGCCCCAGAAACACTAAAAGACCAAGAACACTCGTTAGAAGCAGATCTCTGAGCTATGGGAGTGCTTCTATATGAGATGCTTCATGGGTATTCTCCATTTGAAGCTGAAAAAGACTCTGAAAAATATTTACAAGTCTGTAACCCTTCTATAACCTTTGACCCCAGTGTGAGCATTGAAGCATTTAATTTAATTAAAGGGCTTATTAAGCCAGATCCAGAGAAGCGGTCTACTCTAAATCAAGTATTAAGCCATCCTTTTCTAGGAAAATTTGACACTGATATGATGATTTATTAGACATTTCATAGTGTTTTTTAATGGATTCGTATATAATTTTTTATAATAAAATAAAAGGGATAATAAAAAATAGGCAAACTTATATAGAAAATATGAAATCGGACAAAAAGTTTATAGTAAACTTTTCGGGCATGGGATCATTGAAGAAATTGAAGGTTTACTAGTTACTGTTTTTTATTCGGGAGAAAATGTTTTAGAATATTTATCAATCCCAGAAGTATCAAGCAAACTAAAAGTTTATCAAAAGAAAGAAATAAGTCATTTAGAAAAGAGAATGGATAAAACAATTCAATACGAAAAGCATATTTTCGAAAAAATAGAAAAATATATTCACACTCCAAAACACAGCTTCATAATGCAAAAAAGCAGAAAAAGTTCACGGAGGGATACGGATATTGAAGATGAAGAGATATTAAAAATGCTATGCAAGCATAAAACAAAAAACTTAAGCAACCTTAGCATTCCTCCACCTCAGCAGAAGAAATATCTTAATGATTCTTCTCACTCCCCCTTTTAAATTGGAAAAAACATGGGTAAAATTTCCATTTTTTGAGTCTTCAAACCCCATTAAATTTGTTTTTAATAAGAAAATTTTATCGATAAAAATACTAATTTTTGCAAAATTAGATTTGACATAATTTAACAGATAAATTGCTTATTAAAACATTTTTCACACTGAACCAACTAAATATTTTTTTAATTCTTTATAAAAATAAAATAAAACTATTGTGGCAATTTTATATTTTTTTGAGAAACTTTTTGTTCCAATTTAAAAGGGAGAGTCAGGAATTCTTATTTTGTGAAGAAACTGACAATCCTGCTGCTGGACTGTTTGAAAATGAACAAGAGATTAACTCTATTATAGAAGCGAGAAAAAGAAAATTATTCTGTTTTATAATAATTAAATCTAGCATGGGTATATTATACATGAAATATATTTTTTAAAATTCAATTAATTAAAAAAAGTATAAAACAAATTGAAATTGTAAGTGAACGCTGTACGATTGAAGCCCCGAGATATACAAGCGTAAGAAAAGCTCCATATTTAAGCCCACAATCTACAAAAAATAGTTTTGATGGGAGTACAAGAGCTGTATCCGAAAGAGATGAAGAAACTAAGTCACCGATGTCGACTGAACTGATCCCAAGTAGCTATCAACCGATCACAGAAATTTTGTATAAAAGACGCCATGTACGTAAGGCTGGATTTGGCAGATGGCTTGGAGATATTTTGGGCTGTGTTGAAAGAGCAACATACTAATAAATTAATTAATAACTAAATGCAAACCTCAACTCCCCCTCCGTGAGCGAACAAAACCACTGGAAAAATCCATATTTTTACCCAAAAAACCCACAAAAATTTTTTGAAGAAAATTATTTTTTATATATAATAATAATTATTATTATAATGACATCTCAGCTAATTCTGTTTAATTTTAAACAACTTGATTTTAAAACATAAATTTTACAAATTAAATTAATATTTGCTTTAAAATTATATTCGAATATGGAATTTTTAAAATTTACAATAAAATTTATATATTAAAAAAACAGTTAACCCCCTCAGTGAGCGAAAATTTTTTTTTTTCGCAAACACAAGGGGAAGTAAGTATTTTTAAAATCTAAAAACCTAGATATGGGGATACTTTTGATATAGCGTATGCACTTTTATTGCGTGCCTTGATGCAATCCTCTTCTCGTCAACTTAGATAGTTGGCACATACTGTCAAAAGACATGCTTTTTATAATTTTTAGTTAATTTATCACGTTTATATTGATCTTCAACTCTTTAAGTTGCGGAGAAGAAGATTCTTTCAAGGCTCGCAATAAGCATGCCGACGTTATATATTATTTTAAAATTTTTAATATTATGCAAATCGTTATTCTCAATGTCTATAAAGAAAATAATTTAATATTTGTCGGATTTAGCTTGTTTGCTAGCTTTTAAATGCATAGATATTATAATAAAATATATATTAGAGTTATCGAGAATTAAAGATTAAAAGTTTATAATGTTATACTCCCATAAGCGGCACCCCACTAGCCGGACTACCTTGGCTCTAGGATAATTGACTTACGCTAGGTGCGTGTACACCAGAGCGCAAATGGTATAGGGCCAACCAAAATTCCACCCTCTTGAATTTTCTGGTGAAATCACCTATAGTCAGTGTCACTAACTATACCTAAGGTTAGCTCACTAGATTAGAGCCGGGTGCCCCTATGATTCCCGATAGCTGAAGCTATGTGAGAGGCAGGCAAAGATAAGAAAACATTCAGGAGAGAAACAAAATTTCCCTCTTCAGCAAGTCATACCCAAGCCTTAAGGCGGAATCAAAAGTGACAGAGGCTCTATCAGAATTAGTCCTACCTTCTCCATAGGGAGTGATCATTGAGACCTTTTGCATCAAGATCACCATTTGATTTCTTATCGGGAATTAAAATTTGCATTTATAATACTTGATCTTAAATAACAATTTCTGTTGTTTCTTACTCTCCCTCCATGAGAGAGCTATAAATAATAATTATTTTAATAAAACTTTTAACAAATTCTATGAATTTCGGCAGCATGCATTTTAAAACATAAATTTATAAATTAAATAACATTTGATTTTTTTCTAAATCTAAAAAAATTAAATACCATTGATGGGAGCTTTTTTTTCACGATCACTGAGCGGAGAAGCCAGAAATCTTTTGAGCTTACAATTTTTAAATATTTTTAGGTATTAAAAGCTGCTTCTATCATATTATTCCACTCTTATAAAAGTTATTATCTTTGAAAGATTATAACACTATAGCCAAGAATATAAATACAAGACAATCATTCTGAATTATCCTGCTTAATTATTTTCATATTTGCATCTTCTTATATATAATTTTCCAGCATAATTCAAAATAAATATCAAAACATTTATACAAATATATGGAAGGATTCAAGGTATTTCTAATAGTCCAAAATTCAGAAGAAGGAATGAGAATTATCAGACGTAAATCATATTTAGACTTAAAATGTGAAGAAGCAAACCAGAATCCAGCCTTTTTGTCTTTTACAAATAAATATTTCACATTAGATGTAAATATTTATGCCAAGCTATACACAGACGAGGAAGAATTGACACAGCCATACGCTATAATTTTACTAGACTCTGAGCTTTTAAAAGAATGGCATAATAAAAATACACAAAAAATCGAAAACTCTGAATGCAGCTTGCTGATATCAAATGGGGAGAATGAAGACCTTGAAAATTGGGCTATAGAAAATGAACTATTTTTCATAATTTTTTACCTAAATTTTTTATGAGCCTAAAATAGCATATTTAAATATATCGCCTAATACAGAAAATGAAATTGAGTACGTTTATGACAATTTAGACAGTTTTGAAGGCTTTAAAAAAGAGGACGGAGAAAACATAGGACTTGGAAGAGTCAGAGAAGCAATAGAATGTGCAGCAGCCCCTTATGCAAAAACAGAAAAACCTTCAGAAGTTAAACAAGAAGAAAGAGAGCCGACAGAAGAGGAAATTGAGAACGACCTTGATACCTTTGAATATTTTTTAAATAAAATTAGAGAAGTCAGAGAAATGGCTCCAAATAGCACTGAAGAAGAAAGAAAAGAAAGAGCAGAAAACACGATTAAAGAATTAATGGAAAAATTTAAGCTTGATGACTAAAATGATTATGATTTTTAATAATAAATATTTTATTGAAGAAACCCGTTTACTGACAGGTCTTTAAGCTTTAGCTATATTCACAATTTTTTGTTTATGAAATTAACTTGTTATATACCATCTTAGAAGCCCAATAAATTTCTTTATATTCCATAATTTAAATTTATTTCTAGTATAGCTCATGCACCTTAATAGATCTCTATACCCCAGCAGAATACCGACCAGAAAATATGGTATAGGGCACCTGCCTTATACAGTATAAGTCTGATTAGGCACCTTAAAACCATAAAAGGAGATTTGTCATTTTAGTTTTTACTTTTCAAAAAAGCTGACAAGGGCAAATGAATTTTGAAAATTAAAATGGATGGCCAATAATGATCTAAAATAGTTCAGGGCTATATAAGCTGTTCTTTTAATATATAAAAAGAAACCATAAAAATGTCTAAATTCCATTATCATGGTAAAAGTGAAAAACTTGCTTTCAATGAAGTTTTCTTAATAATGGCATTAATTACATTTAAGCTAAATCAGTTTAAAAATAATTTGCTTTTATCTATAAAATATTAAATCGAATTTTCGTGAAAATTTATTAAAATATACACACTCCTTATAAACTTTTAAAACAATTATTTATTTTATCATTTTTTTAAAAATATTTATCCAGAGTGTATTTTGTGGATAATATATGGGCTGCTCAATACCAAAAAAAGCGCGCATCCGAGCCACAGCCACAGCATCCATAGAGAACCAGCGAATAAGTGATGCTGGCAGCGTCATTGTAAACGCTGGAACCTTTGTATTAGAAAATCGGCTTGATTTTTTAGACGTTTATAGAATGGGAAATTATATAGGCCATGGCGCATATGGAGAAGTGAGGATTTGCTTCCACAGAGAAACCTCAGCCAAAAGAGCAGTTAAAATTTTTCGTAAAGATATTATTAGAAATGAATTATCTAGATCTCGTATAGAGCAAGAAATCAATATTTTAAAGTCCCTTGACCACCCAAACATTGTAAAAGTCCATGAATATTTTATTGATACAAAAAAAATTTATATAGTGATGGAATATTGTAGCGGCGGTGAATTATTTTCTGAGCTTATTAAAAGGAATTTTTTTTCTGAAGCAAAAGCTGCACAAATAATGTATCAAATATTTTCAGCTGTAAGGTATCTCCATGAGAACAATATAATGCATAGAGATTTGAAGCCAGAAAATATTTTGCTGGAAGACAAACATGATATAATGAATATAAAATTAATAGATTTTGGTACTGCAACTGCAAAAGTTCCTTTGAAATATTCTAGATATTTAGAAGGAACAGCTTATTATATGGCCCCAGAAGTCGCTCTTGGAGGCTATAACGAAAAATGTGACTTATGAAGCTGCGGGGTTATAATGTATATTTTATTATCAGGGAGTCCTCCATTTGATGGAAATAATGATAATGAAATTTTATTGAGCTCAGCCAGAGGGTTATATAATATAACAGGAGATCCATGGCCAAAAATTTCTCAAGAAGCCAAAGACCTGCTATCAAAATTACTATGCTCAGCAGACGAAAGATTATCAAGCGCACAAGCATTAGAGCATATATGAATTACATCCAAAACCATGGAAAATACACCTGAGACTGAAGCAGTTGAGCTCGTTATGACGAAATTAAAGCAATTCCATGGTGAAAGCAAGCTAAAAGATGCTGTACATACCTTTATAATTTCTCAATTTTTATCTTTTAAGGACGCTAAGTCTTTAAAACAAGTTTTCAAAAAATTAGATCTTAATGGAGATGGACGGCTCAGTAAAGAAGAGCTATACAAAGAATATCTCCATTCTATGGGACATACAGAAGCTTCAGCATTAGCAGAAAAATTAATGAAAGAAGTGGACACTGACAGCAATGGCTTTATTGACTATTCCGAGTTCCTAAAAGCCACTTTAGACATAAAAAAAATTTTTTCCGCAGAAATTTTAAAGGCTGCTTTTAAGATGTTCGATTATGATGGAAGCGGCAAAATTTCAGCTGAAGAGCTAAAAAGGACCTTGGAGGGCGGAAAATTAATTGACGATTGTGTATGGGATGAAATTATTAAGGAAAATGATTTAAATGGGGATGGAGAAATCGACTTGGAAGAGTTCCAGCAGTCTGTCCTGGCAAAGCTATAAATTTTGTATTTAAATTATTTTTAGTTTCCAGGTTTCTGAATTTTTTATTAATGCGATAATAAAAAATTCTTATATCTATTATAAAATTCTATAATTTTCTCATGGCTTCTAATTTGAGAGTTTTAGCCACAGAGAGCTACCCAAATCTACCTAAAAATTTTACTTGTATTAGCAAAATTTTACCACGAGAACGTTCTTTTTATGTCAGCCTGGGCACTTCCCTCATCCAATCTATGATTCGTATTAAAGGAACTAGCTATGCTAATTTATACTGAAAAGGCTTACAAGATCGCTTCAAAGAAATGCAAATTCACGCTAAAGCCTACAATAATCAAGCCCTCTTCAACATATATATAACTTTGATTGATGTTTTAGCAGACCAAGACCGGTATACTGCTATTTATTGACTGACTTTTTATTTAAGCACAAACCAAGATAATGCAATTGGTGCAATCGAGGTAGGGACAAAGTGCTTAATGTGCGCTTGTCTGAGTTTTAAAACTTGGGAGTTTCCTATAATTTGGTCATCTCAGCCTTATGATCTTACGACTAAAAAGATCTATTTAGAAAATCTGGCAAACTATTTAAGAGTTCATATTTTGGGTCTATTTTTTAATGAAAAAAAGCTCTTTTTTTTCCCTTTTTTCCTAAAATCACCATTTTTTATATAAAATTAAATTTAATTCCCATATTTTGTTAGCAAATGATAACAATTTTCAAATTTTCTGCAGTTCAGATAAAGCTACTGCTCCTTTAATAACTCTTTATTTAGAAAATTATTATGATTATAGCATCTTATACCATTCAGAAGCTTATGCCCTAGATAACAGCCCGGAAAATTTAGATACAAATAAATACCCATATCTTTATAGTCCTAGAATGGCTGATTCTAGGGTAGAATATCCTAAACCTGGAGGAGTAATCGATAGATATATTAGCATAGATTTTTTTTCATGTAAAATTATTTCTATATAAAAGAAAAATCTATTAATTAAAATTATGTAAAAATTGCTCTAAAAATGCGAGTTCTCAAAGCAATTTTTTTAAAAGACAATATGATTCTCCTGTAGAAGATCCAAAAGAAAAAATACCTCCTTTGATCACTGATTTTATCAAAGAAATAACCAAAACACTAACAAAAACAGCAAAAATCCCAAACAAAGATAATTTACTCACTGTTACTGAAAAATTAATAGACAAATTTCCAGAAGATGAAAGCATCCTAAATTTATACTTAACGAGATGAATAATAGAAAAATTTATATTATTAAGTCCTTAATTATTTTTAAAAAAAATAGAATACATCGTGCAATTTCAAAAATTCCTGACTGTAGCCATGAAATTACTTGGTACACCTCAAATTGCACCCAAGAGCATTGCTTAAAATGCTTATACGAAACAATTCAGTCATCTAAATTCAAAACCACAGAAATTCAATGCCCTTGCAATAAAAAAATAAGCTTAAAATGCAAAGATGAAATTATAGAAAAATATGCAGAAAAACCAGCTGCAAAAAAAGATTCTATTAAAAAATCTCCTATAACCTGGGAAAATGAAAATTTATATTCCTATGAAACACAATTCACAAAAACTCCAAAAAATATTAATGTAACTAATGAACCTTTTACTGAAAGAATAAGATCTGCAAGTGCAGGACTCAGTCCTCAACAAAAACTACAAAGGTCCAATATTGATTTTGAAGGCAGTTCAAGGCCTTTTAATATTAAAGCCACTGACGCTTCTCCAAAGCATTTTAATATAAAAAGATCAGAATCTGTTGTCACAAAATCTTGCATTTTAGAACCTGAAAAACCTTTTAATATAAAATTAAACGAACCAATAAAAGAGACTTTCAAAGACTGCGAAAATTGCAAAGAACAAAAAGAAGAAGACGAATTTAATACAGTGGTTTGTAATGGACATGAAATTTGCTCTTATTGCAGAGCAAAATCAAGAAAGGCAAGAGAATGCCCTATTTGTTTTAGAAAATACAGTGATTATGAGCTGAGCTTTATCAACGCTTTGGTTTGCAGCTTCCAAGAAAAAGGGATGCCTTGCTAATTATATAATCTTTTTTATAAAAATATTTTGCTTATAAAATAAACATTTAGGATAGCAAATTAAGGCTTGACTCGGGCGATGTTTTGTTCAAATCCTATCCTCGGCTTTAGTCTACATAATTTTTACAGTTTAATATTCGATTTTTTTCCGAAAACTTGTCTATGATTCAGCTGTGGTACTGGGGTGATGGCTTGTATATAGGCAAAATCTCCGTTTCTAACTTTTAAGTTGCTTTTCGAATTATTCCTTTTAAATAAATTAATTGATTTTTGCTATTTTAATTAAAAAAAAAAATTAATTTAAAAAAAGTATATGTCTTCCTTTGACCGAATAATGCATTTTTCCATCCTCATGCTCAAAATAGGTCGGGCTAACATTTTGTCCTCTATCAATCTCAATTTGTTTTAAGCTTGGGATTTGTCGGCTTTCATTAAAATGCTTGGCCCCATTAAGGACTGGGATTTTTAAATCGCTTTTTTTTTTCTTAATTTCCTGATGTGATAAATTCGGGTATGTTTCTTCATCTCTTCTCAGCCTTAAATTCGGCAAAAAATTAGGCGGGGGAAGCTGATTTCTTTCTATTTCTTGGTCTTTTCCTGGGACAATTTCATCAGATTTTAAATTGATGCTTTTTGCGATGTTTCTTTTTGGGGTCACATCTCTGACTGTCCGTGGGAGGGCTCCAGGCTCAGGGGACGAATGCTCGCTCATTGATTTTTTTAGGCTAAAATTATTTTCGGTATCGTCGTTAAATATTTCTAATAGTTCATGCTCAAATGAAGCTTTAAAAGAAGTCGAAAAATAATCATGCTTTAATATAATTTTATAGTAATTTAGGTGTTAAAAGGAAAAAAATAATAAAAAAATATTTATTTATATAGAAAAGCATAAGTCATCGCAAGTAAACCTAGATTTTGGGTCAAAAACAAAGCAACCTTTTAAAAATGATACAACGTTGCTTGGAAATTCTTTGAATTTTGTTTCAAGAGTGACTATTTTTTTGGGCAAAGGAAGCTATATAAAAAATACCTCAACCCCTTCATATATTGGGTTTGTGCTAAAAGCATTAGACTGCTTATCTGACAAATTTCCGCCAATTATAGAAAGAATGTGTCGCAATGTATCAAAATCTGAATCCCCAGGAAAAATCGGAAGGCCAGTAAGCAGCTCTGCACAAATGCAGCCAATTGATCAGACATCTACCTCTTTTCCATACTCATTATACAGATTTATAGCGAAATCTATTTAATTAAGGAATAATGGCCTAAATATAAATTTATTATAAAAAGATATATCCCCTACAAGCAGCTCTGGAGCTCTATATCAGCGTGTGGACACATAGTCTGTGTATTTTCCGTTGAGGGTTGCCAGAACTCTGGCAAAGCCAAAATCGCAGAGCTTTAAAATTCCGTTTTGGGTTAATAGTAAATTTTCGGGCTTTATGTCTCGGTGAACAATATTGTGGGAGTGGCAATATTTTATAGCTGATACCATAAGTTAATTTAAGAAGTTTTTAATTGCATGACGAAGTCATGCAGAATAGCTTTATCCTATAATTTCATGATTCGCTGGATCTTTTGGGACCTTAAACAGGTCTAATGATTCCAGCCAGTCGCCTATTGCCTAGTCAGAATAACTGGCAGGTTGGGATCATAGATTAGCTTACTGGTCCCAAAGAAGGCCCAACGGATCATAATAAAAAATATATAAGTTCATAGGCACCCCCTTCTTAGCATTATCTTCTTTTTTTTTAAAAAAAAGCTGATACCAACTGATACATGATTTTTTTGACTTGAGTCTGACTTAAACCATTTTGATTTGTTTCGAGTTCCGACAAAATTGTGTTTTCAACATACTCGAATACCAAGTATAAGTGTTTATTTCTTCGAAAAACCTCAAAAAGAGTAACGACATTATGGTGGCTTAGAGATTTCAAAATTCGGATTTCACGCATGGCGATCTTCCTGATGGCTTGGTCTTCGTCACTTTCCTTGAATTTTTTTATAGCGTAATAAACTCCAGTTTCTTTATGCCTTGCCTTGAATACTGTTCCATAGGTTCTGTATAAGAAATACCCTTCTCCTATGATCTCGATAGTTTCATACTTATCCATCTTAAAAATTAATCTGTAATGAATCAAATTTGGATTAGAAGGAGCTTGGACTAAGATTTTTACGAAAATATATAATAGATTGGACAATTTTCTATGAGAGAGGAAATCTAAAAGTCTTTGAATACCAGAAATTGGTAGATTACATATGGATTTTTAATAAATTATATATTTTGATGCTGATTACTTAAAATTCTAATGGAAAAATATATGCTTAAAAATAATCATTTTTATTATAAGCAGAGTACTGAGCGACAGAATAAATATTTTTTTTATGGCTTGGATATTAAAATTGGCCGATTTTTAGAAATTTTCAATCTAAAATTTATTTTAAACAGGCCATAAGTTTCAATAAATTTCACTTCAAGCCAGCAAAAGCTATTTTAAGTCCACAAATAATAAACAATTTATGCTTTGTTATTTTTATAACTAATTAAACTTAGCCTAGAGAACTTATACTTAGTTTCCTTGATCTATAATAATTTATTTCTAAAAGCCAATTTCTACCATTCAAAGCAATTTTCTATAATTTTTTGACATTTATAGTGGCTTATAATAAATATGAGGGACAAGTGGAGGAAGAAAAGGATGAGACGTCTCAAAAGAAAGCGCCGAAAGATGAGACAAAAGGCTAAATAAGCCCTTAACTAATTTCACAGACTTTCCAGCCTAATATTCTAGCATTCTAAGCTTCTAATTGTTTCACCTGGACTTGCTCCAGCACCTAAAAAATCTTAAGTTTTCCTTTTAATATAAAGCTGCGGCTGGTGCCTTGTCTGCATCCCTTAATTTTCTTATTCATCCATATCAGTTATTGTTTAAAAATGTCACTAGACCCTTCAAGAACAGACCAAAGCCCTCTCAAACCAAAAGGAGGCGAAGAAGATTTCGAATCACGAGACTTCCAAGAGCTTGAAAGTGAATTCCAAGCTGTTTTGCGCGAAATTGGAGGCGATAAGCAGCTTGAACATTTCAGACGAGAATATGAAAAACTTCATCGAGCACTTAAAAATTCGCACGAAAATGAGAAAAAATTGATTAAAAAATGCCAAGAACTGAACAGGGGAATTTTTTATTTTTTTTTATTTAAAATTATTAAAAAAAATAAAAAAATTATTTTAGCATAACTGAACCAACAAATCACAGAAAGCACCCTAAAAGTACAGCTAGCCCTAAAATTGAGCCAAGAAGAAAACGAAAATATTAGAGCTTTTCAGGCCGATTTAGATCGAGCTGTAAAAACATTGGAAGCTTTTAGGGAAAAAGAAGAAAAAGCTAAAAAAACTATACAAGATTTAAGGGAACATATAGAGCACTTACTCCCCCCCCCATCCTTGATCGAACGATGGCGAGTCGTTCGATCAAGGATGGGGGTTAAAAAAAAAATTTTCGGGAAAAAAAAAATATATATAGATATTTTTTTTTATTTACTTTTTAAATAAGGGTTAAGATATTTAATAATTATTTTTACAGCAAAAAATTTTAAAGAATCTCTCTTTTATTAGATTATTGAGTTTTTAAGCATATGTTAATGACTAAATCACTTCGGATGGTTGATTCCGCAGCTTTCTGTCGTCTCAAAGCCTCTGAAAGCAACTTCATTATGTAGATCTTCCCAAGCTTTTGATAAATAATATATTTTTATATATATAAATATTTTGCATGATATGAAAATCGTTCGATCAAGGATGGGGATTAATTCCCCAATTTTTAGGATTTTTACAGTCAATCGTTCGATCAAGGATGGGGGGGAGTTAGGACAAATCGTGGAACAAGGGTCAGGACTTGCAGTAGGACAAGACAGCACTGTAAACGAGCTGCTAAGAGCTAAGGACGAGCTGAAAAGAGAAGTGGATATCGGAAACGACCAAATTTCCACTGCCCAAAAAGAGCATGCAGAATTATATTATTTTTTATCAAAAATCCTTAAAAATTACTAACCAATATCTATTTTTCAAATATTTTAATACCAAAATTATCATTTTCCTGCAAGTTCATTATACTCACCATACTTGATAAACTCCAAAAACTCGAAATTTCCCGACAAACCTACAAAGACGAAATTGCTGCTTGTAACACCCAAATTGCCGAAATCAAAGAACTAATGCAAGCTGAAAACAAAAAAAAACTCGACACAGAAACCGCCTTAAATGAAGAAAAAGGTGTTTTTGATGGCATTTTAGAAAGAATCCAGCAAAAAGACAACCAATTAAAAGCCCTTGTAGAAGAAAAAAGCAACATTCAGAAAGAAATCAAAAAAGTTGAAGACCAGCTACAAGAAAAAGGCTACGGGCTCCAACAAGCCCAAAAAGAACTTAGCGCGGCTGAGGAGAAAAAAGTCCACCAAGAAATTGTCAGAGAAAACATATTAACTCCCCCCCCCCCCTCCGTGAGCGAACAAAACCATTTAAAAAATCGCCATTTTTTGACCAAAAACCCACCCTCCGTGAGTGAACAAAAATTTTTTTAATAGAAAAAAATTTTAATGGAAAAAAATTTTGATATATAAGTGATAATTAGTATAATGAAATCTAGAGCTAATTCTGTTTAATTTTAAACAAATTGCGTTTTAAAACATAAATTTTGCAAATTAAATTAATATTTGCTTCCCAATTTTTGCAAATTAGGATTTTTTTAAATTTCGAAAAAAATATTTTTTATAAAATTTATATATAAATTTTTTTTAAAAAAAAAAAATTAACCCCCCTCCGTGAGCGAACAAAATTTTTTTGTTCGCTCACGGAGGGGGGGGGGGAGTAAGAGGAAATTCTCAGCTAGAAGAAGACGTAGAACAGGCCAGAAAAGATGCAGAAATCTTACAAGACGAGCAGGAAAAGCTGAAAAGGGAGCTTATTTCGCAGAATAAAAGGCATGAAAGCTTGTTTACAGAACGAAAAGAAGCAGAGCTGCTTAAAGACAAAGCAAGAGAGTATATGCACGAGCTTATAAAGGAAAGTGACGCACTCAGGAAAGCGACTGAGGCTGACCAAAATTTAATAATCTTTTTTTCCCTATAATTAATTTTTTTTTTTTTTTTAAAAAATTATTTTTATTTCTTATAGAAAAGTATAGAAAACTTAAAAAGAGAAAGAGACATGATCATGAAAACCATTATGAGGGCTCGAGATAATATCAGAATGCAAGAAGATACAGCAATTACTATGGATAATAATAGGAAAAAGGTAGAAAATGAAATTAAAAAATATTCAAAAGACATTAAAAAGCTTAAAGATAAAGTTTGGCAGCTACAAAAAGAACAAGAAAGATATGGAATTGAGAAGTCGCAAGCCTATGCTAAATATTCTCAATGTCTTGAAGAAGTAAAACTCTGTAATTCAGTCATTGCAGAGCTCCAAAAGAAAAATGTGGAAGCTGAAGCCAAGCTAAAACAGCAGCAAAATTTATATGAAGCTGTCAGATCTGATAGAAATTTATATTCTAAAAATCTCATAGAAAGCCATGAAGAAATTGAAGAGCTCGATAAAAAGAAAAAAATCATGCTTCACCAAATAAACCAGCTTAAAGAAGAAATTGCTGTCAAAGACACTGAATTAATCCAAGAAAATAAACGTGTCGGGACCTTAGAAAAATCCATGCACGAAGCCGAGGAGAAAAAAAATGAGCTGATTGCTACACAAGATAAGCTTGAAGAGGTCATAAGGGAATGTGAAAGAGAAATCCAAAGGCTTAAATACGTGATTACTGAAGTAGAACAAGAAAAATTAAAACAGCAAAAAGAGCTAGAACTGGTCACAAATGAAAGGGATATTTTAGGGACTCAGCTGATAAGGAGAAAAGAAGAGCTTGAACTTTTGTATGAAAAAATAAAAATTTTTACATCAACATTGAAAAAAGGGGAAGAGCAGTACAAGCAGAGGCTGGGGGATATTGATATATTAAAGATAAGGATTGCAGAATTAAAACAAAAATTATCGTCTACTAAAAAAGAAGCCGCCGCTGTTTTTGATCTTAAAAAAGAAAATTATACTATTTTATGAAAATATTTACTCCCCCCCTCCGTGAGTGAACAAAAAAATTTTGTTCACTCACGGAGGGGGGTTAATTTTTTTTTTTTTAAACAAATTTATATATAAATTTTATAAAAAATATTTTTTTTTCGAAATTTAAAAAAATCCTAATTCGCAAAAATGGAAAGCAAATGTTAATTTAATTTATAAAATTTATGTTTTAAAAAGCAATTCGTTTAAAAATTAAACAGAATTAGTTTTAGATTTCATTATACTAATTATCATTTATATATCAAATTTTTTTTTCCATAAAAAATTTTTCTATTAAAAAAATTTTTGTTCACTCACGGAGGGTGGGTTTTTGGGCAAAAAATGGCGATTTTTCTAATGGTTTTGTTCACTCACGGAGGGGGGGGGAGTTAGAAAATAAAATTTAAATAAAAAAAATTTTTTTAATATAAAAAATGGTATATTTAGAAAGAGAGCTATTAGAAGAAAAAGTCAAAGTAAAAGCCCTCAGTGAAGAAGTCGAAAATACCATGAATGTCCATAGGTGGCGAAAACTTGAAGGCACTGAACCAGAAGTCTATGAGCTTATCACAAAAATCCAAACCCTCCAAAGGAGGCTGATTTCCAAAACTGAAGAAGTCGTTATAAAAAATTCCAACCTTGACAAGCTAGAAAAAGAATACGAAAAATTAAAAGCGTCCTTAGCCAGACACCCAGGCCCAGAAAGCGCTGAAAAAATCCAGGAATGTAGGAATATCCTTGAAGAAAAGAAAAGCCAAATGGACAGTATGGAGCAAGAACTTGGGCTATATCAAGCACAGTCTAATCAGTATAAATATGAAATTGATAGATTGACCAGAGAGCTGCAAGAAGTCAAGAAAAATTATTTTACGACGAAAAAGAGGGAACAGCTGATTAAGGAGAGACAGCTGAAAGATGAAGGAAAGGATAAGCCTGTCATTGTAAGAAATCCTCCTCCGCAGAGATTTACAGGTGGAGGATTTAATTTAGCAATTTAAATAACAGTTTTAATATAAAGGTAGCTGTTTATTTTATTAATTTAATTAAAAAGGAATTTTTTATACATTTTGAATAAAATGGCGCTGCTTTGCAGCGCCCAAGCTGTGATTTGCTTAATTCAGCCAAATTCAGTATAGTATGTTACTGGCTTCCACAACTTAAAAATTTTCATATTATTTATAATGAATTCAACTCAACCAAATCCAACCCAACGGAAAACGGTTCTTCTCCGTCCTAAAACAGCCCTCCCCAAAAAGAACTCTCTTGGTGAAGCCAGCCCAGACTACAACACTGTCTTTAACTTATCTAAAGACGAAGAAGAACTCATCGGGTTCAAAAAATGAAGCCAAGATTATTATCTAAATCCTAAAGAAAACAAAGGCAGCTTTAAAAGCAGCACCCTCGGTAGCCTAAATACCTACCCCATAATAAACCCCACTATGAAAGATCTCCGTCCTCAAATCACTATAAACGCTTATTCGTTATTTAATGCAATCGCTCAGTCTGATATTTCAGATAATAAGACACATCACAAAACAAATTCTAACACAGAAAAAGAATTGCGATTAATTATATCTATTTATAGTAAATATAGGACTATGAGGATTGCTTTTTTTAAAAATGGCTGTTTATCTATATAAAAATAGGAAAACAGACCAATAAAATGCTTATTTATTGTAAATAGATACACAAAAAATAAATCCCCAGACTCTATATATAGACTGACCACCGAGTCATTACTTGCCTATAAATTCCAAAATCCTGATAAAAAAATCACTATCCCACCTAGACCTAAAACAGCCAGTAGGGTGCCTAAACAGCCTGAATTTGTAGAGTTTTATGAAGAAGACCATGAGAAATCCTGAGAAGACACTGTAAAAACCATTGTTCAGGCATCAAAAGAAGAACTTTTGAAACGGAAAAATTCGCAGCCTGAAAGTATGACGACCAATACAGAGCTGTCGACTAGAAGAATGGAACAAATTTACGAAAAAACTGAGCCGAGAATTGGAGGAAAAAGAGTTATTATGTCAATTTCTAAAGAAAACCATCATATAGAGCCTGAAGAGCCTAGAAGAATGTCCCAAACAGCCTCTCAGCCTGCAATTTCAGCAAAAAAAGACATATCCCCTATGACGAGGTTCACTTGTATAAAAAATGGGAATAAATTTTTGTGTGCTTATGAGCCTCCTGCCATTGAGCCAAAACCTGCAATTAGGCCTTTTTCTGCTTATAAGAAAAGGTCACAGTCTAATAAAGAGCTGCCAAAACAGAATATAAAAGCTTCACAAGGGGCTGCGTTTTGGTACTCATCGACATTAACTGCTCCATTCGGACAGCCTATAAGAGGTAAAAAAATGAAGGACACTTCAGATTTTGGGGTCATGTTCAGGCCTGATTTTTTAAAAACTGGGCAAGTTTCAAGGCTTCAAGAGAAGTTTAAAGAAATTTCATAATGGGGTGTTCTGATAGGGTAGTTTCCTTATTTTGGAGTGAAGGGGAATTTCAGTTTGCCTGAGATATCGCCGGGACTGTTTCTTTGGGAGGTGGGTATAAGTTCTAACGGTCGTGTAGCTGCCGATCCATTCTCACAGCAGGTCTTATACCACCTAAAAGGCATCACAAAACAAAAGACGAGCTATTATGAGTTATCTTACTAGCTAAAAGAAATTTCGACAGCTTCTCTAAAAAGGATAAGATTTTTGAAAGCTGGCTTGCATAAATAACTTATTCCCGCTAAATTAATAAAATATGGACAACCCCAAACCCGCGCAAGGCAATCATCAAAAATATCTCACCCATCTTCCTCTATTCTATGAAGATCCTGTCGACGAAGTCGACATAATCGAGCTTGAAGAAATCACAAGGAAAAGAGTTGATTTACTTAAAAAAGTTGAGCTAAATATGCTTGAGAAAATGAATCTGAAATACATAAGCATTGACCCACTTTTCACAGAGAAATATAATGATAGAGAGAAAGAATTCAGGGATAAGGCTTCTCATTTTATGCTAAAATTGGCTTATTGTAGTCATGCTGAAGAAGGGAAATGGTGGGTCAATATGGAGACTGCGCTATTCAAAATGAGACTCAATAATATGACTAATCCAAGTGAAGTCTTAAGGCAGGCAAATATCTTAAACTTAAACTTAAACTTATAGGGAGGCGTCTGCCATATTGGTTACGCAGTCACCAAAGACCTACCCATACGGGTGGTTCATCCGCTTTGCGCCGTCTTCAGCTTCGCCTTGATCGAATTGGGGCAATGATTCGCTGGGCAAGTGTTCAGCTCTGACACCACCTTTCTTCTTCTTCTTCAGCGCCTGATGCCATGGCACTTCTGAAGTGTAGTTCTGCTTCGGAAGTCTCCTCCTTCCCTTTCGGGTCCAGTGTTGAGTGGGCGGACTATGGACTTCTGCGGCTGCTGCATGTGTCACGAGGTTGACCATCCAAAAATTCCAAAAAATGGAATTTCTGTTCGGCTTTCGGCAAAAAGGAAAATCTGGATCCCGGGACGTAACGCCCGGTTTCACGCTAGCCAGTTGCCCGATTGGTCTGGGTATTACCTGCAGACTCCGCTGGGCTTGCCCTTTCCAAATCCAAACCCTCCTTACCCTCGAGGTAAAACCCAACCTTGAAATCGGACTGAGGGCTAGGCTCTGTACATTACCAGAATTGCTTACCTAGCATTGCTGTCCATTTCTGGATTGGTAAAACCTTGCCGGATATAATTAAAATATGTGTCGAGGCTGCATGGCCGGGAGGCCATGCCCAGACGAAGACGCCATATTTTAATTAGGCAGGCAAATATCAGTTTTGAAATTAAAACTTCTGCAGATATTGAGTGCCCGTTACCAGAAGATAAAGAAGCTATAGGGAACGGGATAAGATACAAGGTCCCTCTCAGTTTAAGCGCCTGCATATTAAAACTTGGCTATTTTCCTATAAAAGGCTTTTGTTATGTCACTAGAGAACACATAATTGATGTTATTGCTGATTTATTTAGACAAGGATGTGATTTAGCTTTAAAAGAAGCTTCCAAAAACATTATTACAGATGAAAGACTGAAATCTATTATCAATAGAATTACAAACCCAGATGCTGATAATGTGTATGAAAATAAAGCACCTAAAGAAAAATTTGTGACCTTAGAAAACCTTGATATGATGGCCCATAACCATTTTCCACCCTGCATGAAAAGGCTTTTCAGCAATATAAAAACTAATCATCACTTAAAGCATTTTGGAAGGCTTCAGTTTGGACTTTTCTTAAAAGGGGTCGGATTAAGCTTAGACGACTCTTTGAAGTTTTGGAGGACTGAATTTTGTAATAAAATGACAGTGGAGAAGTTTTCAAAAGAATACGAGTATAGCATTAAGCATTCATATGGAAAAGCTGGAAAAATGGCTGATTATACACCTTGGGGCTGCAGGAAGATTATACACTTCCCTAATCCAAGTGATGGAGAATTCCATGGGTGTCCTTTCAGACATGCTGCTAGAGGGGAGCTGCTGAGGATTCTAAACTCTTATGGGATCAATGAAGAGACAAAAGCATCAATCATGCAGAAGTTCCCTAATGAGCCTGAAAGGTCCTGCATCAGTCTTTTTAAAGCTACCCATGATAACACTCCTCCAGACCTTCTCGAGCATGTAGGCCGACACCCCAATTCCTACTTTGACGCGTCAATCAAGTATCATAACTTAGCCGGAAGGTAAATATTTATTAATTAACATGGTAAAATTTTTTATAATAACTCACAGAAACTGAATAAGTAATTTAAATGGAAGAAGAACCCAAAATAAACTCATTTGACATGATAAAAGAACTCCACGAAGAGCACAAATCTCCTTTCGAAAACTCAGAAATCGAAGAAATGCAGAAAAAGCTTAAAATCTCCAGAAAAAAGCAAGAAGACTTTAAATATAAAAGCGTGCTAAGCCAAGAGCTTATGCAAGAACTTAAGCAAAAGTTCCAAAACTCGTTGAACAAGCTGAACAGCATAGACACTCGTGATGTGGCTACCAGAGAAGTTCGGCTTTTAATTGAGAGAAACAGTTCAATGGAAGCATTAAAAATTTATATAGGCTGCTTAAGTGAACACAGAAAAGCCAAAAGTCCTTTGGCAAGAGAACAAGAAGTACTATTGCTAGGGTATATAAGCCAGGTATATGAAGATAGGCTTATTGAGGACAAAAACAGCCCTTTGAGGATACTGGTTAGGCTTGCTGAGATAATTCAGATGTATTTTAAAGATTTAAATAGAAAAGTCCATGAAGCTGCAGCTATTTCTATGTGTATGATATATACAAAGCCATATAAATTTTCATTATAAATATAATAAAATTAATGATTATCAATTAATTTTAAAAATAATACAAATTTTCCCTCCCCAAAAATTCACAACAAATAGTGTTTACCTTCATGTTTGAGCCTTTAAATAGCATTTTATTATCAGGAATTGACGTCCAAGCTCAGCAAGCAGCAGCTTTAGTGATTTTTAAATGGGCCGAATTATTAGTTCAAGAAAAAGATATAGAAATTTTATATGAACTTTTACAGAGGACTATTGGGCTATTTCTGAAACTAAGAGCTGATTTTGCAGATTTAGTCAGTGCTATAGGACTTATGATAGAAACTATAGGTTTTCAGGCTATAACAGAAAGTATAATACTACTGCTAAGCAAGCTGATACAGTATTTAAAATGTACAAGCAATTATGGACATTTATTGAAAATTGAAGCCTGCCGCTTATTGTACTTCATTTCTGTATATTTAAGAGAAAATGGCGGATTTGAGCTAGAACAAGTCTTTTTTGACGTAATAAATGCCCTAAAAGATGTCAGGACTGACAAATTGCCATTAGTCCAAACTTCTGCGAGAGAAGCTTTAAAGGGCTGAGAACTCCTAATTTCTGAGCCCAAAATTTTAAAAAAATCAGATCTAAAAGACAGCATTGAATTGCCACAAATAAAGCAGCAACCAAAATCAATTTTTCCGAACCATTTCAAAAATATTCGAAATTTAGTAAAAATCCAAAAAGAAAAATCCCAAAAAGCAAATTTTCCTATAGTTGAAAAAGGCCAAAAATGAGGAATTTCAAAGCATGGGTTTCTTAAAAGAGGGTCAGGACAATTTTCATATATTGAGTCTGAAGGGGTAGTCGATATAAATAGAGCCTTAGATAAAAGGCCAAGCGTAAAAGAATATTTACAAAAAAGGATAAATTCAGCCCCGCCAAGAGAAAGTGTTGAAATTTTATTTAAAAAAGACCATCAGTTAAGTGTGTATAAAAGACATGAAGCTATCCAGGAAGAAAACATGGACTTATTTGTGGAGGAAAAAATAGCTGGCGATGAAAGAGTAGCTCCATGGAAAAAAGAAGAAGAAAATAAATTCGAAAAACCGATAGAATCGGGAAATAATTTAAAAAATAGTGGAGAATTTATTATAAGGAAAAAAACTGTGCCTAAAGTACCGGCTACGTTAACTGGGGAAGAAAATCCAAAGGAGCCACAAGAGGTTTATTTTTTGCATGAAAGGCAAGAGTCTCAGTTTGTGAGCCCTGATGGGTATCAAAAAATGAAGTCACAAAATTCAATTTCAGAATTCAAGCCAACTCCAAGCTCCTTGTTAACACATTCAGTTGAGCTGAAAAGCAGTTTAGATGGAGACAGCAAGCTAAAAAATCCTCAAGTTACTCCAGATAGTTCTATTTCATATAGTAAATCTGATATAAAAGAAAAAATTGACAGCAGATCAGCTAAAGAAAGCAGTCAAGAACTAGAAAAAAAACCATTAAAAAATGAAATAAATGTAAAAGAAAGCCTAAGTTCTCCTAGATCAGTGAACCTAGAATCTATTAAAAAAGCAAATCCTGATACAGGCTTGAGAGCTATTAAGTTTGAAGATCCACCTATGCATTAGCATTAACATTAGACTTAGGTATTTAAAGTGTTTGCCCTCTTCAGCAGGATGATATAGGCATCGCCCACCCTTTTTAACTCCAAACTGGTGACGTCACCAGTCTGGCCCAGAAGGTACCGCACTGGTCGCGCTGATCTCGCTCATAACTTGACTCCTGCGCGTGTTCCGCCTAAGGGTCACCGTCCTCGGGTGTGTCAAGCAGTAAAACCATATGTCCCTTAAATATCCTGGACCAAGAGGAAATACCCTATGCGATACTCCATATTGGTGTTGCGGATAAAAGCTCACGTGGAAAACTGAACCCTATAATAATAAAAGCGAGGGAAGGAAGAGTTCTCGAAGAGAGAACTCATTCCGCACTGAGCCATTTTATTATTATGAAGATCCACCTATACAAAATGAAGAAATTGGCTCACAAATCTCTAGAGATAATCAATTGCCAATAGAAAAAGCCAAAATAAATGCAGGACTAATATGAAAAGCTTCAGGCAATCAAAATTCATCAGAAAAAATTCAGCAAATCGAGTATTTTAAACCTGCACCCAAAGCAAAAAAACTGGAAATACAGCAGCAAAGCCAAATATTTAATTATATTCCTAAAAAACAGGAAAATAAGCAAAAAGATAATAGGCAAGCTGCTGATGGTCTAAAAAACTCAAAAATAAAAGAAAATATAGAATTTTCCCAACAATTTATTGACTCTTTAGAAAATATTGAAAAATTTGAGCTGAAAAAATCTTTTATCCACCCTGCTCAATCCGATAATGAAAATATAACTAATTTTAATGAAGCTTTTAAAAAAAGCTGCTATGAGCTCCAAGGCCAAATGGAACAAGATTTCGATCTTATGGCTAATAAACTTGGCCAAATTGAAGGAAGAATCGATTCAGCTCAAGAAGCCCTTTATCTTTTATCAGCTTATAATGAATTATCTAGCAAAGAAGAAGAAATTATCGAAAAAACAAGCCCAAAAGCTATGTGGACCCAAACGTTAATAAGCACAGAAATCCAGACCTCTTTTATAAATCATTATAAAGAAGAAAACAAGGCAAAAATTTCTCACAAAAATTCTTTAAGTAGTCAAAATTCAAATAAATCTATACAAGTAGAACCTACAGAATTTTCTATAGAAAATAAAAACCCTCAAGATATTTTAGCCCGCACATGAAGCAGCACTATTAAGAATTTAGATGCTAAAAATGTGAATACAGCTTATAAGTCGATTTTAGACACAGGAGACGATATTTATTTATTGCGGCTTATGCATAAAACAGGCCCATGTTTGCGAAAATTTTCAGAAAATACTGCAAGGGCTGTATTAAAAAGACTTGGTCTGATACTAAATTCCAATTTTATTGAAAATATTGGCCTTAACTGGATTCTTGAAAGCATTGAGCTTGGGCATATTAAAAGCATCTCTTCTGATGAAAAGGCACAGCTTGTAGAAGCTTTAGACAAAATGAGCTGTATAAATGATGAAGAAGGCCAAATGGCAAGTGAGCTATCTACCTATATCCAAGCTGATATTTAAAGAAATTTTGCAATTAATAATTTAATTAATTTATGAAATAATTGCGAAAAATGTTTATATGTAATTTAATATAATGGATTTTTATTTTCACTATAGAAATCATGAAATTAATGCTTCCATATAGAGTATAGTATATAACAAACTAGAAATAAATACAAAAAGTATTATAATTATAAATAAATACATATATATTACATACCTGTGCCTTTCCTCCTATGCAAATTCTTAATACCCAAAATATTTAATTTCCCAAAAATCTATCAAAACCTTAAAAATACTTATCTAAATGTGGTTAACTTATTGCTTTGGCTCTTCCAGCTTAATATTAGGAAGCTCTGCAAGATCGAGTGCTTTCAGCAATTCCAGAGTTGCAGCATCCACCCTCAATTCTCTAGTGCTAACTACAGATCTCTCAGGAATATAGTCAAGTTTCTTTTCCCTTTCCTCTTCTTGTATTTTCAATGAAATTCCTCTGACTGGGCCTTTTTGAATTCTTTTCATGAGATGTGTGGCGTAGCCTGCAATTTTGTTTCGTAAACGTTTGGTTTGGATTACAGCGACTTCATCACAGATTCTCTTGTTGATGTGGAAATCAGCAGTCATTCTGGCGTAGAATTTTTCAACGATGGCTCTTGCTGCTTTTTTCACTGTTTTTGTTCTAACTCGACCCATCTTGATCCACTAATTATAGCCATTTTATGGGATTTAGAAATTTGAGAGGAAGGTGGAGCTAGGGATTTTGATGGGGTTTTGAAAAGAAAGGTGACAGGGAAAATAAGGCAGATTTATTATTAGAATATGATTAGATATTTTGGGGCTGGAATAGAAAAGGTTAAGCATTTAGCTCTGCAATTGGGTTTATATTGAGAAATTATTATTTATTTACTTCAAAAGAAATATATTAAAAATGCTTAAACAAATTCATAAGCTTCCCTTACAAAATCCAAGCTCAAGTACCCAACTCTTTCATATTTTTCAAAAAGCTCCCTTACTTCTTCAGTCGGCGGCTCCATATACTGCTTATAGTCCTCAGCCAACTTGATTATTTCTTCATTCATCCCCGCTAATTTCGCACATTCTAACCCAAAGGACCATGACATCGGTGCAGGAATAATTTTATAAAGCATCAGAATATTTCCTTGAGAAATCTTTATATCAGTATGCAAATTTTTTATTTTAGGATGTTGCAAGCTTGATAACTCTGAAAAATGTGTCGCGAATAGGGTAATGCAGCCAATTTCGGCCAATTCTTGTACGAAGCCCCAAGCCAAGCCTAATCCTTCATTCGTAGACGTTCCTCTCCCTAACTCATCTATAAGGACTAGTGATTTCTTTGTAACAGTTTCAAATAGTTTGGCCATATCTTTCATTTCTGCCATAAAGGTAGAAATCCCCATAAGGCAGTTGTCTTCAGCTCCTATTCGTGTAATAATTCTATCAAAAATAGGAATATGGGCTGAGGAGCATGGGACAAAGCAGCCACAATGGGCCATTATGCAGCATAAGCCGATTTGTTTTAGATATGTCGTTTTGCCGCCCATATTTGGTCCTGTGATGATGGCGATACTTTGATTAGAAATTTCAAAATCAGCGTCGTTAGGAATACAGGTTGTCATCCTTTCCAAGCTTGGGTGTCTGGAATCTTTTAATGATGATATACCATTTTTAATGATTTTTATTTTTTTTTAATTATAATTGCATCATATACAAATTTAGAAAAATTGAGATAAATACCCAGAATCATTCAAAATTGGCCTTGTATATTGTTCTGGTGCTTTTAAAGCTACATATGCGAAGGACAATATTGCATCAAGCTCACTAATAACATCAGCCATATCAACTAAAACTGGTAAATAGCTTGACACAAATTCAATAATTTTATCTACCAGCTGCACCTGCTTTATTTGAAATTCTTCACTTAAGCTTTCTTTTCTTTGGCAGCATTTTTTCAGGTCAATGCATGTAAGTGTAACTGTATTCTGCTTATGAGAAACAATTATATATCTATCATCAGGATTTTCTCTTATCCTAACTAATATATTTTTTTTTTTAAAATAATTATTTTAAATAATTTTTTTTTATTAAATTAATAAGGGAAGTTAATGATATATGAATTTCTTTTTTATTCCCTTCAAGAAGCCACATTGACGTCTGAGATGGGACAAGCTTAAGTTCTTTGCTTAATCCAAGGTCTTTTGTGGCTTTAATTCTGCAGTTTTCTATGTCTTTTTCTACTGCTTTAATTTCTTCATGAATTTCTTTAAGCTCTGGGCTGAAATTAGGGTTGACCCTATAGTCTTGGTCCATGCTGCTGTGCTCTAAGTCAATCCCTTTTTCTACAAGCTCTATTAGGTTAGAAAATTGTTCTTTTCCAGCTGCAAAATTTTCTTTATAATATAAAGAATGCTGCAGGATAAGGTTCGCAATTGCCATGAAGTCTTGGGCGAAATGATAAAATCGGACGCAATCTTCAAGATTGGCGCCCTTTTTGCCTTGGCAGAATTTATTAAATTTGCTGATAAGGGAATCGAGATCTGGGACTTTTTTTAAGGCTATTTGTAAGTCAGTAAGGAGGGCTTGGGAATTATAGAAAAATTCGACTTTATCGAGCCTTTGAGATATTAAGGGTATATCGATTAAAGGGTTTTCAACCCACTGATGGAGGAGTTTGGAGCCTTTTGGAGTTTTGCAGCAGTCTAGCAATTTAATTAGAGAAATTTCTTCTTGGGTAAACAAATTCAAAGCAGTTTTGCAGTCTGAAATATCAAGTGCTTCTGCAGAGCTCATTTTTATATATATTTTTGATTTAATAGTGGGTTTGACTGACTCCACTTTAAATTAGAACAAAAAATATTCCCAATTTAAAGGGCGTCATTTTTTTTACAAATTAAAAAAAATATAAATTGATCCCGATATTTTTAAGATGAATTAATTCAAAATATTAATTAATCCAATGTGATAGCTGTTTAAATAATATTCTACTGAATTTTCCAGTTAAATTAGGTCAAAACTAATTTTATATAAGTAGTAGTATTTTTACCTATAAAAATTTCTTATTGAAAAAAATTGTTCTAAATTTAAGTGTTTAAAGTACATAAAATGGATGCTTTGTTCAATTTAAAGGGGGAGTGAGAAAAATTGAAAATTAATTAAATATTTTTAATTCCTGGATCATTTTCAAGTTTCTATATTAAACTTCACGAAAAAAAATTGATTAATAAAATAAACTTTAGGGCAAAGTCTCTGTTTCATTTTTGCTCTAATTTGCTGCTCTATTTATTTTTACACTTTAGCTAATTATGTCTGATAGGGGCGATTTATCTTTAAATTTCAAAGAGTCTGAAAATCAATTTGACGAAGAAACAATAATTCTGTACAACAAATTTCTAAGAAGTCCTCAATCTTTAAGCACCCTAGAAAGGAATTATTTACTTGCAGGATTACTAGAAAACTATGGAGATCTTAAATTAATTAAAACTCTATGCTGCTACACAATTGGTGACAACAATCTAAGAGCTTTTATATGAAAACGATTTTTAAAATATATGCCTTTTGATAACCAAAGATCTGAAGAAATTTCAGAAATTCGGAAAATGCTTTATAACAGCTATGTCAAAGATATTTATTTGGAAAGTCCTTTGAAAGAAGACGTTATCAGATGCATAGAGCTGGATATCCCAAGAACTATTAATTTCCCTTTGATAAATAATCAAAATGCAAAGGAGGCTTTCAAAAGACTTTTATACATTTTATGTATGAAACACAAAAACGCTGACCCTCCTTTAAATTTAACAAAAATTCTGCCCTACAATAAAGGGTGGTTAGTTTTTTTTAAATAAAAAATAAATGTTTAATTTTTTTCATGAAGGATTAATTTAAAAATTTAATCAATTCAGTATGAAAATGGTTTAAATAATATTTTATTTGCACTTCTTCCATTAAATTAGGAAAAGATTGATATATAAATTAGTCTTTACTCATTTAAAATTCAAAATATTGTTTCTATATAATGATGCTATGGACCAATAAATGGAAATTTTACCAATATTCTGTTCAAATTTTAAGAGGAGTGAGTATCAATCTGGATTTACCTTTTTATGTGTGCCATTATTTGTAGCTTATTTATCAAGCTATGATGCAAACCAGCAGAACCTATCAGATGATATTATATTTCAATTAGAAGTGGATGTATTTTATTCACTTATTGCATTAATCAAAAAAGGATATTTTTAATTAACTTTATTCTAGTAATTTAGTACTATTATTAATAACTAATAAATTATTTTACTAAAAAAATTCACATTTTTTGCTAAATGAGTTAGCGAAATTTTTAAAGAAAACCCATGAATTTCTAGTAATAATTTTCTCCAACAAGAACTTGACGAATTCAGTTCATATATCAAATTATACGACCAAGATCTAGATGAGCATTTATCTTCAAACGAAATCCAAGCCAATTTCTACGCATATAGATGGCTAAAATGCTTATTTACTCTCGATTTCCCAGTTCAATTTATTCTAAAAGTCTGGGACGTTCTCATAAGTTGTGACGAAGGTTTCAGATTTTCCATAAAAATCGCAGCCGCAGTCCTACTAAAATTCAGAGAAAATCTTCTTTCCAGCCCAGACATGGCCCAAATTTTGACATCAATTTCCAATATAAAAAATTACAATTGGACTGACAATGAAATCGAAATGGTAATTAGCCACGCGTTTATGCTTAATTAGTTATTAAAATTATTCCATACTAGTTACCCAGCTAATATTTGTTTGTTTTTCTGTATTCGCCCTCACAATATCATGAGCAGCATCATTCAGACTTACAAGCACTGGTTTATATATAGGATTCATCATAATATCATATGATGGGATTCCATGCTCTTTAATTTCTTGATAATTTTCTTTATAAGTCCCTTGGTCTTCTCTTATTTGTTCATCTCCAATTTGGGCTATTGTCGTTTTGAATTTTGAGATTTCATTTATGGTTGCATGCTTTTTTGGCGAGATATTGCCCTTGTAAGATATTTGACCGAAAATTGAGGGGTTTTCTGCTAACAAGAAAAAATATTTATACAAAAATTTCCTGAAAAAAATGTCTCATAAGCAAAAATTTCCAATCAAATAGCATGGAGACTTTATTTATCACTATTAAAGATACTAAAACAATGACAACTAAAGAAATTAATGTCATATTTAATATCCCAGAATTCATAGAAATTCTTTCGCCTAGAGAATTATGGTCAGGATTAAGCTCGCCTGAGCTATTTATATAGACAGTGTCAGGGAAAATTTCATCAGCTCCATACATATAGAGAGAAAACGCACAGTGTAGTAATATTGCATATGGCATGCAGCTTTAAAAGAAAAATATGAGCCAAAGATGGAAATAGCTCGGCCGATCCACTTTTTTTGATTAATTTTTCGACACAGGTGAGATTTTTGCTCCTTAGCCGAGAAGCTTTTCCTCCTGCTAAGCTATCGGGTCAATGGACCTTAATCTTCTGTGATAGGATGGCGATATGAATTTGCATCAAGGAGTATTGGACTAAGACTAAGTAATGTAGGCTACCCAAGTCTCTGCGCGATTTAAAATCAGCAGAGAGGTGAATCGTCAAAGGTAAGATGGAAGCAAGTCCGCCTTCGTCGGACCCAATAGAGAGATGCAAGTTAATTGAGTGTAATCGCATTGAGGACAGTGCTCAGATGAAAAAACTGGTATTAGATATGAAGATAAACTTGATTCCGCCATGGTCTTAAAACATTTAAATGTAAAGGCTAAGACTAAGGCATGTAGCTTTGGAATTTGTTATTAATTTGGTTAGAATATAGCGGTGGCGCCCTATAATATCTCAAAATAAGGAATTTATCAGTCCAATAAGCAAAAAATAAAGTAAAAAAACAAATGATATTTAATAGAGGAATTCCTCCAGAATATAAAAAACAGGTAAAAATGGTATTTAAAATCTGAGCGACCCTTACAGAAAGCTGGAATTCGGGGCCTGCATAAAGGCTGTTCAGCTCATGCTGCATTTTGTAAAATTTATAAAAGTATCTTCTTTTTATGATATTTATAGGGTATAAAATAAATAATGTCACAAAATGAGGAGACGCCACCCCAATGAACATTGTTATTAATATAGTCGACCCCACCTTTGTGTACCAGTCCCTAGAAAAATCTGAATAATCCCCATTAAATAAATAATCCTTGAATGCTAAATCTTTTACAAATACGAGGTCTTTGAAATTTGCGTTTACCATTAGAGTAATTATTGAGGTATTGAAAAATAATACAAAAAATAGTTTGTTCATAATAGAAAGTTGCTCTTTACTCCTCCTTTGAATTTGATATGATGTTTTTGCTCCAATTTTAATGGAAATTAATTTTTTCCAAAAACAAATTATACTTTATCGGCTCAAATTCAAAATTAAAATAAATTATAGGTAAATTTTCGATTTTTGTCACATTAAATTAGGTATCAAAGGTATTTTAATATAAATTACTATTTGTATATATAAAAAAAATTGTTTTTGAAATTTAAATGGGTAATTTACTCAAAAAATAGAAATTTCACCAATATTTTGTTTCAATTTAAAGGGGAGAGATAGTCCAAGTCGAAGCTCTTTCGTACTTGGAAAGCCAGCTTAAAGTCCATTTGAGTATATAATTAATAGCAATAATCCCTAGACTTGCAAAAACTCTTACAGTTGTAGCGACTCTGAATTGTGAAATGTAGTCACTGCAATAGTCATTATATTCAGAGTCGTCCAATAATTTAGAAAATTTTTGCTGCATATCCCTCATTGCCTTTTTTTAGACATCTTAGATTCTAAAGAAAAGCAGCTTTAAATATGGTATTTTTCTGTCTTAAAAGTAAAAATTTGTAAAAGAATTTGTTAATTTTCTTTTTTTTTACCAAAAAATATTGTTTTTTTAGCCATTTTTCATTTTGATGTCATATATAATTTATTAGAAAAAGAAATATAAAAAGCTCTCAGAAAAATATCAATTTATAATCAGAAGAAAAAAGGAATTTATTTATGAGAAAGCTCCAGGGATAATAAATCTTGATATTTTTCCCAAAATAATCCATATGAGGGCCTGTTCTATACACCAACAATAAACTTGTGTATCACTCTTATAATTTTTTTCTGCATACTCTAACGTCGCTTCAACATCAATTTTTTTCGCACAAGTTTGATCACTTGGCAATAAATTTTCTTCAGCTTGTATCACACAAATTAATATGATAGATCCAATCATGATTCCTATAGCAATTGCTATAATAATTGCTCTTCGAATTTGCCTATTCCAATGACTGTATTCTAAATTTTCCCATTTAATATTAGATGGCTCAACTGTCGGTTTTACTACCAATGTATGGAAACCTCTAAATTTAAGCTCTTTTGGCTGCAGATTTTTTCTGCAGAGCTTAAGCTTATTGCTGTATGCTTTTAGACACTTTTTCCTTGAATTTACGTCATTGAATACTAAATAAGCTCTATCAACGATCAAGTCTTCATTGGTTGCTTGAGCTTCTTTCCGTTTTATCTGTAAATTTTCGTCGAAATTTTTGATTTTTTCTTGAATTTCTTTAAGTTTTATTTCTTGGGATGGGTCTTTTTTTGACATTAATTTGTAGTAGCCTTCTTGAAAGCTCAGTTTGGCTCTAGCTTTATAGCTTCCTAGGTAGCCATTATATTTTCTAGCTAGATAAACCTCTACGACTTCTCCAAAGCTCTGGAAATGTGCGATTATTTCTTTTTCATCTATATCTTCTTCAGGAAGCCCTTTAATTTCTATAGCATAATCCCCAGCAGTTACATTATCTTTGAAATTATTTAATACCACTTTTTTGGCACTTATTTTGTAGTACACTAAAAATACAATAAATACCAATGTATATCTTATTAATTAAATTTATTATAAAAAAATAATAATTTTTACATAAAAATTATGATATTTAATAAAGAATATATAAGAAATCAGCCACTGCAACTCTTGATTGATTAATTTCGTAATCATCAACGTGGTCTTGTTCATCTTCTAAAGCTTCAGTTTGGCTAGTTGTAATAGTTTTATAATGAAATCCTCCATTATTCGCAAGGGTAATTGTATCATATGAATTTTTCTTTGCCCCAGTTTCCAGGCCGTCTCCACTAGAATTTTCTAAGATCGGCCAAATTGAGATAAGACCTATAATTAAGAATAAAAAAGCAAGCTGCTTGAGGGTGGTAAAATAAAGCTCTAAACCTACTCCATATTCTCCTAGAACATGAGGACTTGTGCGGAGGATTGGGTATTCTAAAAATCGCCCATCGTCGGTTCAGTCTCTGACAGTGTTTCTTTCTCGAAATGCTTTGGCTTTTTCTAAATCTGCAAATTGGACTGTGTCGGCTAGGTCTTCAGCGTTTTGTTCACGTTCTAGCCCTGATGCCCCTTGGATTGCTATTCTATTTTATAAAAAATAGGGTTAAAGACTGGTAGTTATTTTTTAAAAAATTATTTTAACTGAAATAATTTAGCAAGAGCTTTTTTCTTATTGAGTATATACTTTGTGGTTCAATTCCGATGGCATTTGCAATTTGATTTGTTAAGCCATCTATCATTTTGATTATTGACAGTTATGAAAACATATGAATTGCTATAAAGAATTATGATTATGCACTAAGATTATGTTTTACAAGCGAAACTTATCTCACTCTGTTAGCGAAAAAAAATTTTACTGGCTTTTTTTTAAAAAAAAATTATATATAAATTTTATAGTAAATTTTTTTATTTCGAAATTTAAAAATTGGAAAAAATTAATATAATTTATAAAATTTATGTTCTATAATGCAAGCTATTTAAAAATCGAAAGAACCAGCAAGAGATTTCATTAAAAATATATATATATATTATTAAAATTTTTTTATTCGCTTATGGAAGATGGTTTTTACACAAAAAAAAGGGATTTTTCTCATGGTTTATTCGCTCACGGAACTATTTTTTTTTGTCTATTTTGCTCTTAGCCTGCTTTTTACCTATTTTTTCGGCCTTTTTTTGACTAATTATTTTTGCACTTTTTTTGGTCCAATTGCTTTGGAAATGATCCACATTGGATATTTCGAATTGATTTTCAATCAATGCTAGTTTATTATTTTTGACAGAAGTTATGTAAAACAGGCCAAAAAATAGGACAAAAAAATAGGCCAAAAAAATAGGCCACAAAAATTGGTTAAAAAACAGGAATTTTTCCAATGATTTTGTCAGCCCAGGAATGGGGAGTTAATATTCTAGTATATAAAGCCAATATAATTTTATAGGTTTTGTCTAGTAAAACTAACGAGAAAATTAGCAAGACGCTAAAACTAGATTTATTTATTTCTGGGCAGAGCCTTAAGAAATTATGAGAATAACCTTATTAATTAGATTACACACTAAAAATTATATATATTATTACCCTTATTAAATGAAATAATATAGATGAAGTTTCTTTCAACTATTAGCTTGATCAAAATTATTCAAAAAATGCTATTGTATAAAAATTAAAATTTTATCTGAATAAACATTAATTTATTTATATAAAATTACGAAAAAATTGATTACGATTATTATAAGTTTTTAAATCTAAACATATTATGAGATGTCTTAAGCATCCTTTTCGAATTTTTTGACGAAGATCTATCTGTACTATTTCCGGAGTAAAATTGGCTTAGTGAAAGATGCGAAGAATGGCGGCTTAGCCCTAAATTATTGAAATAAAATCTTTTATTAGACTGAGCAGATGCCAATTGTTCTCTTAAAATTGTCGTATGAAAATTAATAGGCAGCTCCATACTTGATCGTCTACTATGAGATTTAGATGGAGACAGCCCCGTTGATATAAATTGATTTCTTGATATTTCAGCACGTACAGCCGGAATCCTTCTAGCTGGGCTATAAACTCGGCCAGGAGACATAGACTCTCGCCTCACAAGCTCTTTTTCCACGATTTTTAAAGTGTGCACATTTTTACAGATGTGAGGGACATCAGAGTATTTTTTTCTCGGCTTCAAAATGTCAGGGATTTTTGTTTTTATTATAGGTTTTTCAATTGGAATTTCTCATTTTACCTCAATTCCCAGCTTTCTTTGTTCTACAGAACTAATTGAGTCTGTTAGCTGGCTCCTCATTTCCCCTTTCATTCGGATTCTTTCAGTAAGCGCATTTGTCATTTCTTCATTTTTTATTATTTTCCTCATAAAAAGATCTTTAGAAATCGATAATAAAATTCCGCTATCAGATTTACATTTGCAGGTAAAAGTCCGCAAATGGTCGTTAGATATGTCTTCTTCTCCTATCAGCTCTCCTGGGCCGACTAATGCAATTTCTGCTTCTCTATTTTTGCTTTTTTTACTGCTTAAGTCAATTTTTAATTTTTTTGAAATTAAAAATTCGCCACTTCTGACAATAAAAACATCATTGGCTTCTTCGCCTTCTTTGAAAACTATTTGTTTTTGTTTGTATTCTTTTTCTGTAAAGAAATAGTACAATTTCTGTAGATTTTTCTCTGTAAGGGCTTCAAGACCAGGAATTCCTTGCAAAAACCTGATAACTTCATTGGTTTTTAGCTGTTTGGCTTTATCGATAATATTTTTATAGGCAGAAATTTCTATAATCGCGCAGTGACAATCTGTCAAACATTTAAGTGGCTTTATTTTCTGTGAAGGTTTTTCACCAAAGGAGTCTCCTTTATGGAATTCGTAAGAGATTTCATTTTCGTTGTGCCTTGCTACAGCTCCATCTATTAATACGTAAAATTGGCTTATCGAGTCTCCTTTTTTATATATAAAAGAGCCGGCTTCAAAGAATCCATAACTCATAGTCTGGCATAAGGCTATTAAAGAGTCAGTTCCTTGTAGCAGCTCAAAGGTTTTGAAGAATGATAGGTCACGTAAAAATTTGAGGACTTTATTAATAGCTCGAGCTGTCCTATCGTTGGAATCTTTTATAACTCTCCCTGCTTTAAAAGCGGCAAAACAATTGCAAAAATTTATCCCTTTTAACACAATTTTAATATATTATTTTTATAAATTATTTTTAAATATTTATGACAGCAAGGTCTCAAGCTTATTTAGACAGTCTGCACTCTAAACTAAAATTTTATAAATTATAATTTTTTTTTTATATATATTTTCTTTATAAAAATTCCCCTAAGAGAGAAAGATATGGCTAGTATTGAAAGGGAAGAGTAAGTAAATTTCGAATAGCAAGAATTGGGCTATTAGAGTCAATGTGTAGCATAATCATTGGCCGAAAAAAATTTAATAGGCTTATGGGGATTCTTTTTCTTTCAGGGTGTTCGTTTACAGTTTCAAGGCTAGGAGCACTCGTGGATTTTAAATTTTTTGGATCATTTTTCATAGTTATATACAATTCTTAAAATTTATTATTTTTTCTCCTTGATTATAGCCATGTAAATCAAGCAGCTGGTAATTTAAATCTTTATTTATAAATATACCGATTTATTGAATTTTTACTATAATCCCAAAAGTTTAATATAATGTTAATTATTGAATTTCGGAAATATCGTATGTGTTCTATTACAATTTATATCAAAATAATCATAAATTATTAGCTCATTTTGAGTCCCTTTATATTTCATTCGCAGCAATATATAGCCATAATACTTCACAATGATTCATCTAATATGCAGGCATAAATCATTTATAAACTTTCACATGTAATATGATGCATAACCCATCCTTGAAGCTAGGGGTATAAGCTCAAAGCTGCTGCTTTGTGACCTAATTGGATGGACAGTCACTTGAGTTTTTTTTTTTGCCAGCAGTTCCTAATCCAAGGGTGTCTGAAATAAGTAAAGCAATTTGTCTATTGTTGTGACCAGCCCCAAATCATATAGATTTATGAGTATTTTCTCAGAGATGATCTGAAAAAAGGGAAGCAGATTAGACAATAAAAGTCAGCCTCTTCAGTGAATTTCCCCGATAAGAGGGAAACGGCTAGGGTTATTCATAAGATGAATAATTAGATGGTGGAAGGTTATTTTTTGGAAATGGTGCTACTTGGCAATCGTTGCAGAACCAAGGTTTCAGACTGGGCTCAGAATTACTGAGTTGGAAGCCACCTACATTGCTTGTGCCACCACAGAGTGTCTTAAAACATGTACAGAGTACTCTTTATGGGAGAGATATAGCTAAGTCTAATTCTGAAAATCATTAAACTTTCATTATATTTCATCTATATTTACGCACTTTCTTCTAAATCATCTACCTAATTCCCCATTCTGCAATAATTTTTACTGGAAAATTTATGTATCTTTAAATTTTAATAACTCTTACCTCCCATAAGCAATCAAAATGATTAGAAAATCCCTTTTTGTGTAAAAAAGAAGCAAAAATATTTTAATATAAAAGTTTCTCATAAAAATATTTATAATAATGAATCTCATGCTAATTTTATTAATTTTTTTATTAGAGGGCATTCTTAAACCTTAATTTTATGAATTAATCTCAAAATTTTGAGGATAGTTTGTGAATTTAAAAAAAATCAACCCCAAAATTTGCTGGAGGGGTAATTAAAAATTATGACCAAAAAATTTTCCCAAAAATCATCAATAGCTTTTCCTTTCCTCACGTTAAAATTTCTGCTATTCTAAACCATCATTAAAATCTTACTTGTATTTAATCATCAATAAATAAATGAAAGAGATTGGAGTGCAAACTCAATCAGAAGATAGCGCAGGACCTCGAGTTCTCTCTAAAATTCCGATTCCTGAGTTTGAATTTCCTCAAATCCTATACTCTTCTCATACTGTTCTGTGACTCCTAGCAGCTACTGGCATACTTGGCTACCTCACTTTTGTGCGAGATGATTCAGATTCGTCGTTAAACCAACGACAAGGTCTGCTCGGGCTTTTATTAGTCTTTATCTTTACCTGTGGCGTTCAACTCCCAGATTCGGGCTTCTTATTCCGTCCTCACCCAGCTTTCTGGAGGATGCTTCAAGGCCTCGCCCTTTGCTATTTCACGATTTTAGTTTACTTTTTGTTGGGTAAACATGAATTTACCGCTATGAGATAAATTACAGTAATTTTTGCTATAAAAATGATTGTAAATTACATTTTTATATTGTGGTTTTATATGAGATTTTAAAGGTCATTTTTAATATAATTTACATAATTTTTTTCTTTTTGTTCCAAAACCTAGACGATTCCAGACAAATTTTGGCATTTTTAGACCCTAAACTAGGCAAACCTTTACCAGAAAAAAATTATGCGGCAGACTGCAGAATTTACACCCCAGAAAATCCTGAGTCGATGTTTTACAATATAAAAGACTGTCTTTTTGATGTTTATATACCAACACACGCAATTGGTTGGTTCTTTAAGATGATTATTATAAGAGATATGAAGCTTTGCTGGTTCTTAAGCGGAAAAAATAAATTGCAAATTTGTTTTATAAAATTACTCGTTTAACAATGGGAAAAATTTACAGTCATTTTATAAAAATTACTGCAATTTTTGGCTTTTTAAATAATTCCTATTCTTAAGCGTCTTATTTGAATTTTTAGAAATTACATTGAAATTTCAGCTGCCGAATTTTGCAGAGTGCTGGTGGGATTCTTTATTTTTCGACGTTATTTTGTGCAATGGCGGTGGAATTTATCTCGGATATCTTGTATGCAGATATTTCCAAATGAAAGAATTTTATTGGGGAATTGGAGAAGATAAGAGGAATAAGACTGGAAGATTTTCGGCGTTGTCGAGGTCTGCTTTACAGCTAACTCCTCACTCTTGGCTGACTTTTAATTGGGAGATGTTTGGGTCTTGCAAGAACTTTATAACGACAATATGGTATATTGCTTTATATTGAATTTTCTTAAAAATTTCTTAATATAATCTAATATACAATTTTAAGGCAAATTTTATATACATTTTATATTAAATTTTCATCAAAAAATATATTTAAAATTAACAATGAGCTAATAGGCAATTTTAATGATAATTTTATATACATTTTTAATTGAATTCTCTATTATAAATTATTTTTTTTAAAAAAATAGATAATTTTAAGAAAAATTGTATATATCATTTTTGTCAATCTGGTCGACCTCAGCAATTTTTACCTGAAATTCATCTTGTGGGTCCCATCATCTCATTGGGTGCTTATTATTAGAGTCTTTTTTGTAGCGTTTTATGCAATAGTCTCCACAGCTGAGTACTTTGAATATGTTTCTTCAGGGTTCAAGACAAGACTTGGCGCAAATTGTTGGCTGGCACATATGATTGTGTTCACTGAGTGGATGATTATCCTTAAGCATTCTCAAGGAATGTTCCTAGACCCGATGCCTTATTGGCTACAAATTGTATGGACAGGAATCGGGTGCTTTGTGGTGTCAAGCGCTTTGTGCTTGTTTTATTCAGATATCAGCAAGAAAAACTCTAATAAAATTAAATCAGTTCAGTAGTTTTAATTTTATGAGAAGAATAAGTACATTTTTAGCTTAAATCTTGATAAATTTAAAATTTTGGAATTAAAATAGTGAAATTTATTTTAAGAAACCGCCTGCCAAATTTCTTTATATACACTTATAATAATAAAATGAGTTTCCAAACAACTGATTCCAAAAAAGAAGAATTCAGAAAATATTTAGAGAAAAGTGGCGTTATTGACCAACTCACCCGAGTCCTTGTTGGACTTTATGAAGAGCCTGAAAAGCCATCAAATGCAATTGAGTAAATTTCATTTAGCTTTATAAAGCGTTATTTGGGAACACCTTCAGATATTGACACGGAAACTTTGAGAGCTGAGTATGAAGCTTTAAAGGAAAGAAATGCTCAGCTTGAAAGAGAAGTTGAAGAGCTTCGGCAAGAACTTGAAAACTTAAGACCAAGTGATTAAGCAGTTTATCAATAATCAATTTCGCTTATTTTTATTTAAAATCGAATTTCTTAGGATACAAAGAATTAATTTATCAATGAATAAACTGATATATTATAAAAAACTTTTGTTGAGTCTGAAAATTCTTAAATAATTATTTACATATTCATTTCATTTTTTATGAAGCTTAATTAGAAATACTAATTAATCTTCGTTGCTTGAATGAAATAATAGCAAATTATTAATAAGCGAATTTTTCTATAGATAAATATATCTAAGAAAAATTAATCTCTATTAGTTCATTTTTTATTAAATTTAATTTTACCTATCCTTATTAGGTTTAAGATTAATCTGTTTTCGAACTATAAACATTTGCATCAAATTTATCGCACTTCAACTAATCAGTAGAGACTCACGTCTATTTATCGATATTTTCATACACATTGGCTTAGCTTTTTTAATAAAACCTAAATTAAGGAAATAGTATTAAAATTTCAGCAAATAATTTATAAATTACTCATCTACATTGAGAGAAAAATAGACGGAGAAGGAGTCCCAGTGATATTTTCTTGATTACTTTGAAAGTAAATTTGGTTCCACATCGCAACTCCATCTCTATACCCAGGAGGCAATTCCCTAAACCCAAACATTTTCATTTGTGGGCTTAATGTTGCTTGTCCTGGCATTCTGTCACTCATCATAGATGGTGACATTTTCAAGGATGGTGACATCCTCATAGACGGTGACATCCTTATAGACGGTGACATCCTCATACGTTTTGCTTCGTTGTTTTCTGTTTGCTTATAAACTAAACTTACAGGGTCAGACCCTGGTGACAATTTTTCAGATTTTTTTACAAGGCTTTTCCATCGGTTTTTTACACTGTTTTCTGTTCTCCCTGACAGTCCTCTAGCGATTTCACTTCATTTGTTGCCGATGATTCTTTGCTGCTCGAGGATATAAATATCTTCTTCCGAGGTTCATTCACCTTTGCGTAAGCTGGGATCGACATGGTTGTACCAATGCTCGCGACATTGCCGACCATTTCTAACTTCAACTTTTTGGTGCATGACGGAATTGAGCTCTTTTGCTATTGATTTCCATCCTGATTTTATAATAATAGCGATACTTCCATTCCTTCTATGAGAAGAGAGATGGGAAGGCTATATCTATGAACTGTATAAGCATGCATATTAAGCCTAATATCGAGGCAATACAGAGCACGACTTAGTCGTGCTTAATCTAAATTAAGCCAAATATTCCATCCTTTGAGCCCTCGAGCCTCAACTATACGGTAAAGGACAATATCTTCGTTAAGAGACCATGTACTTGTTTTTAAACTGTCATATCGAGTTTCTGCTGGAGCTATCGGTTGAAGTAAAGGTCGAAAATCTTGACCATTTGTACTTAAAATGCATGGTACGTAAAATACATCTCCTTCTATGTGCAGCAATAGTGGAGTAGACTTTTGGGAGGAGTTAGGCATCTCGGTGTTCTCCATTTAAATAATATTATAGATAATAAATTTTAATTGCTATGAGTTTAAAAAAAAGTGATTTTATTAACACACTCATCAAGTTAAGGAAAATTAATTTAAATTTTAATTATGATATTGATTCTTATTTATGTTATTTACAATTAAAACCTTTGCCTTCGCAAAAATAAAAACCGTATATCCTATTGATAAGATAGTTTATAGGCAATAATCAAAGAGAAGTGATAAATTTGATTAAACTGATTAGCTTAAGGCAAAGTGCTTTATTTTAACTTAAATTATTATGGAGTGGCTTCTGGCCAGCCATAATTTGCGTTTAATGTCCTTTATTTCGCTCCCCGCTTGCTTGAAAGTTAGCAGAACCTTTCACTGCTTTGTTCTTCCTGGGGGAGGGCATAGACTCTTAACCTTGCTAAGTCACCATGCCGGGTGTAACAGGTTATATTTCCCAAAACTCGAAAAGATTTTCTGGTTAAACTATCTACCGAGATAAACTTGCTGTCTAGGGTACAATTCCTGGTATTTTTCTGAAAAATTGCCTGATTCGCCAAGCGAATACCCTCTGGCCTTGCTGGGCTATTCCTTTCCAACTTCTAAGCTCTATCCTCCCTCGGGGTAAAACCTTGCCCCGGATGTGAGCCGACAGCCGGTCTGTCTAAAACTTTATCCATAAGACCAAGTAAAAACCTGCCTGACACTCTTACTGCGCCCTACTCTTCATCTACAAGGTTGCCAGACTTCCATCTGGTTAAAGGTGCTAAAAGGGTATGCTGGCTCTCCATACCGTCTTTACGAGAGTGCTTTCTTAATTTTTGGAGAGAGAGGCTTTAATTAAGTATAAAATTCAATAGCCGAGAAGATGGCATTAAGTATAAACGTCTGTTTTTTATTTCAAAGAAAACACAATAATCCAAAATATATAAAAAATAACTAGAAATAAGCCACATAAGCAGGCTAAATTTAAAATTTTTAAGAAGATTTTAAGTGCATTAGCTTGAAAAGAGACTATAAATTAATATTGATCAATTCGTAGAAATTATCAAATCAAGGTTTTTAATATAAATTTTACTACAGAAATTATATTTATAGTGATATATATTTGATGAAAAATGTTTATCTGGTGAGCTTGAATCCCTAAAAATTATATGAAACTTCTAGCAATAGTTATTTCAATTATTAATTTAAATTTAGCACAGGTGTCTGAAATTATTTGATTCAGAAAATTAAAATTGACTTTTTAGATGTTTGGATAGTAAAAATGTGCTTCTAGATCTGTTTAAAATCTTTGATATACTAAAAATATGATTTTGAAAGAATAATAATGAGGCTAATGCAGATAATCTTTTTAAGGTTTTGCATTTTCTTACTCTTTTGAATTGAAACAAAAGATTCCGCTCAAATTTAAAGGGGCTTCATATGAAATTTTATTTTCATTAAAAATTAATTTATATAGCATATCTGTTAAAATGTGCTAAGTCTGCCTAATAGCATTCTTTTTGCACTGCCAAATTTAAAATAAAAAAATTATAGGTATTTTTAGTTTTTTTGACATTAAAATGTGTATTAAAGATTTACATGTAAATTATTATTTTTTTCATAAAAAAAATTTTTTATAATTTATTGGGTTAATTTCTCTTTCTTTATTTGTCCCCACGCTAATAATCAAGGGCGGTATCTTCTAAATATAAGTTGTATTCATTTTATAAATTCGATAAAACTTATTATTATTTTTGTTTTCTATTTATACAATTTTTACGTAATTGCCTGCAGCCTCCATCTAATGACTTTTGTGCTTACTTATAAAAGGTAATTTCCTCTTTGTCCATATTTTTATGTTTTTCTTTCTAATCATTATACAAAATATTTTCAATTTAGCTTGTTTTCTGATATGATATAATCAGTTGCTCTAATTTCTGATCGGCTTCCACGAGCAAGAGATGGATTTCACACGTGAAAATCCAGAAATTTCACGTGGAAACCCATTTTTTGGTTCTGGGAGCCGATCAGAAATAACTGCAAAAGATCATAGAAGATTATAGTCTGGCCAAAAAATCAAACCGATTAATGTGTAGTAATTTTATATGACAAAATAATGAGCGAAGGAATACAGATGTTATATTTAAAATAAATAGGAAAGAAATTATCGAAAAACGAAATTGAAAGCTTTTAAAACTAAATTAATTGTGATTAGAGATTACTAAGACTTAAAAGATAGAATTACAAAAGAAACAAAGAATTTTTAAACCATTTATTGCTTATAAAATCTATTAAAATTAAGAAATTAATATTGGAGTAACTTTGCCAAGAAAGAAACATGTAAATAATCTCATAGGAGCTATAAAAGAAAACAAAGAAATTTAGGATTTCTAACTCCCCCCCTCTCTATGAGTGAACAAAACCATTGGATAATCCCTATTTTTTGACCCTCCGTTAGTGAACAAAAAAAATTTTTATGAAAAAAAATTGATATATAAGTGATAATTAGTATAATAAAAATTTAGAGCTAATTATGTTTAATTTTAAACAAATTTTGTTTTTAAACCATAGATTTATAAATTAAATTAATATTTGCTTGCCAATTTTTACAAATTAGATTTTTTTTTAAAAATTTTTTCTATTAAAATTTATATATAAATTTTAAAAAAAAAAAAATTTACCCCTTCCATGAGTGAACAGAATTTTTTTGTTCACTCACGGAGAGGTGGGAGTAAAAACTTTAAGGAGAAGAAAATTATTTGTGACATATCTTACTGTACACTAAAATAAAATTAAAAAGCAGATCTAGGCTTATTATTATTAAAATATTTACAAATTTTTAAGATTAATTTATTCATCAAAAGCTTTACTAATTTGATGCTATATGAGCTCGCCTTCTCACTTAACCCTTTTGCTTATATTTGGTGCTGCTTTGTGTAGGGATAAATAAATTCTTTAGTTAGTTTTGCTTATAATTGTGTTTTTTATGAAAAATTTAATTTTTTTCCCCATGATTATTTCTTACTATTTTACAATTAAAATTAGCCTATTTTTAATTTTACAATTTAAAGGGTGAATTTAATAAAAAAACCTATTTATCATTTCTTTCAATAATTATTGCCTTAAATAAAATTCTGTTGAATAATTAATTTTTAAGCCATAACTGCTTGCAATTTTTTGGTATTTATTCACAATCACCTTGATAAAATAGCTGCTTTCAATAAAAAGCTCAGTTTATTTTATCAGAAAGCGAGCTTCTATTTAATAAAATAGCCAAAATTTATCTAAAATTTTTAGCTTTCTTCAATCAAAATTACTCTTATATAAATTCCTACTTTGTTATTCTAAACGTTTCAGTTCTAATCTAGTCTGTTCTTAATAAAAATATGGCTGACGAAGAAACCTTATCTTTAGAATCTTACATCCTCTCCAGCGACAAGGCCTCTGCCCTGAACTCCTTTTCTCCTTCTTCCACTTTTGGAGTCTTCCTTCGCCTCAACAACCTTCTTAGAGACGGTCAATTTAATACCCCAGAATTTGCCTCAGTCCTAGAAGACCTCAAAAAAATGGACTCTTCTCTCTATAATAAAATTCAGATCAGAAAAACCTTGCTCTCCTCTCCTCTATGGGCAAACAAAACCATCGTAAAAATCTCTATTTTTTTGGTAAAAAATCAACTATAACATATTTTTTTTTTATGAAAAATATTTGGAGGGAAGTTAAAGGAATTAGAAACAACTGAAGACGAAGATAAAAGAAATAAAATCATTAATGAGCTTAATAATGAACACTTTAGATATAGATTCGACTATAATGCTCCTCAGTCGTCAGAAATTAAGCAAGAATATGAATACAGTTCCAAGCTTAGTGAAAATTTATTCCCAAAAGATTTTGAGGAGGCCCACAAGTTAACTAAGACCTTTGGCTTGCTAAGCCCACAAGGAAAGATGAAACTTGATGCAGCCAAAATGACGAATGAGATTTTAACTCTCCGTTAAAAAATTTTTATTTTTGGAAAAATCAGCAAAATATTATTTTTCTATAAAACATTCGCACATTTCGATTGCCGAGCAAAATAAATATCTTTTCTAGCTAAGATGTAAGTTCTTCTTACTCCCCCCCTCCGTGATCAGCAAAAGATTTTGTTAGCTCACGGAGGGGGGTAATTTTTTAAAAAAAAATTGAAAAGTAAGCACAATTTGTTTAAAATTAAATAGAACTAGCTCATTATATTAATTATCACTTATATATCAAAATTTATTTTTCATAAAAAAATTTTTTTTTCACGGAGGGTGGGCTTTAGGTCAAAAAATCGAGATTTTTTCTAAGGGGCAGGGGGAGTTAGAAATGAAAGAAATACATTGTATTAGTGGAGTCCCACAGAAAATAGCAGAGCTGCTTAAGAGTAATAATTTCCATGAGCCAGAATGTTTTAAAAATTTAAGCATTGATCAACTTTATGAGATTTTAAGCTTGCATGAGCCAGTTCGTCAGAAGCCTGAATTTATTAAGGCACTGATAAATAAAAAGTATCTTCATTTGATAGGCTCTGACGACTTCGAGAATTATGAAATATATAAAAAGGTTTGGTTTGAGATCTCTGATTATCCAGAAAATTTAAATTCCTTAAAATCAACAATTCTTCTGAATTTGCTCACTCTGGGCAGGAATTTTGGGATTTATGATGAAAAAATATTCCAAGAATACTTAAAAGCGCCTCGGCCAAGTAAAATTTTCTTTATAATTATCAAGGATTTTGAACAAAAATTAAGAAATTTTTCAGAATTCTTGAGGGGTGATTGTCCTAGTGACCAAGAACTTGTAGAAGAGTATTTATTCGAAATTTTAAAAAATAAAGAAGATACAAGCGAATATGCTGGAGTGTCATAAAAAACTAAAAAGAATAAATTTTAAATTTTCTAATAAAATTAAAAGCATTATCTCATAGGTATTGTCACTTAAAATTAATTTTATGGAGAAAAATGCTTTAATAAACCCGAATATGACAGATTTTTTGAAGAAAAATTCCTAAGAAGGACTTTCGCTTATATAAAAGTGCTTAACGGAGCTTCTCCTTCGCAGTTTGAAGACGTTTTTTCACATAAATATATAGAAGAAACAGCCAATAATATATCATTGGAGCCTTGTAGAGAAAACCCTCCATATTTCCAGAGAAATCAGCCAGTTCAATTTTCAGTCAAAGTTAAAAATGTCCAAAAACTTCTCGTCAAAGTCTTAGAGCTAAATACAAAGGCTTATTATTTAAAGCATAACTCACAGATTACCACTGATATTAATCTAGATGGGCTAGTAGCCAAATACGAAAGGACTTATGAATACAATGAATCCCCACTAGTTATCGCCAAAAGGACTCTAGACTTCCCAGAGCTTGCAGATAAAGCTGGGCTTTTTGTTATAGAATTAATCGGAAATGGCCGCCATTGCCGCGTTATTATTAAAAAAGGCTCCTTAAAATACGTCTCCAAGCTAACAGCTGCTGGGCACTTAATTTTAATTTTAAACGAAAATAACGAAATTTGTAAAGGCCCAGGGTCAGGTGTTACCATTGATGGCCGCTTTTATTCGACTGAAAATGATAAAGGGGTCGCATTTCTCCCATTCGCTAACACCCCAGCGACTAAAAATTTGATTTTAACTGATGGGATTATTACAGATTTAGTTGAAGGATTTTCCCATGCTGTTGAAAACTACCAATTAAAAACCGCCTTTTTGGTCCATGAAGAACAATTACTAATGGGAAACCGAGCCACTATTTCTATAAAGCCACGATTATACGTAAATGGCACCAAAGCTAACGATTCTTTAATAAAAGACTGCAAAGCAGCTATAACTACAACTGACGTTGAAGGGATCACAGCCAGCAGAATTTACCCTAATCTTTTTATTCCAGCTGGAAATTCATTAATAAATCTTGATATAGAAATCCCTCCAAGGCTAAGAAGCATGAATATTTCATTTACTGGTGAAGTCGAAAGTGTGACTAAAAAAGACCAAAAAAATTCTTTAAATTCTACATATACAATTTCTGTCAATGAAAATCTTGGGAATACAATTATATATGGAGCTTATCTGAAATATGGAAACCAAGGGTACCAAGTAGAGCTGAGAGGCAGAGGTGGCGAACCATTGCCAAGACAGCAGATTCAGGTAACTTTATATCATGAAGACTGGAAAAAAGAAAATAAAGAAACCCTTATGACTGATGAAAATGGAAATATTTATTTAGGATCCCTAAAAAATATTACCAACGTCAGAATATCGACTAATGTCCATCAGCAGGCCCAAAACTTTGAATGGAGCCTTGGGACCTTTAAAAGCAGAATTCAGTACCCATCAGTCCTTAATCTGTGTGAAGGCGACGAGTTTGGAATCCCCGTCAATTTTGAAACCCCAGAAATCAATTTTAGAGAGGTAAATCTGCTTTCTATTAAAAATGGAAATTTTATTGACAGTTTTAATAAAAAGCTGAAATATGACCATGAGACGTCTATTTTGCTGCTTAAAGATTTAGAAAAAGGAGAATACAGCTTGAAAATCGGCAGCCAAAATATTACGATTTTTGTCAGAGATGGGGTGCATTGGGGTGATAACCAATTTATTTTATCAGAAAATGTGGTGGTCCCTACATCAGGGCAATATAGGTCATTATCTATAAAATCAGCTGAAACTGAGGAAAATAAGCTAAAAGTTGACCTTGCAGGGGACTATGATAATGCAGTAATTCATGCGCTTTATTTCAATTATTTGAATAATAAAGTCCTGGAAGAGTTTTCTCAGCTTTATTCTTTATATGTAGAGCCTGACCAAACTGCGTTTATTTTTGCTAAACAAAAATCGCATTATTTGCCAAGCAGAAAACTTGATGAGGAATACCAATATACGCTGGAAAGGAAATATTTGGCCAAACACCCTGGAAACACCCTTGCGAAGCCACAGTTGTTGCTGAAAAGGCTGTTTATAAATGATACAACGACTGAAACTCAGCAAGCCCGAGCTGGAGATAGTATAAGAAGAGCAGAAATGGACAAGTGCTATAGATCTTCAGCAATGGCGAGGAATTACCAAAGCGATTTGCTTGGTGAGCCTATAGGAGTTTCAGGCCAAGGCCAAATGCTTGATTTCTTAGAAAACCCTGCAAAATGGCTATATAATTTAGAAGTAGACGATGGAAAAGTGGAAATTCCAGTGGAAGATTTGAATTATTCACATGTTTTGATATTAGCTACAAATGGAGAAGGATTATCGTCAAAATTAGTGAATTTTGAAGCCTCTAATATAAAAATAAGGCAGCTTGGCTTAGCGAAATCGCTGGATAAGGAAATAGCGTATTCAGAGCAAATGAAGTCGAAAGGGATTTTTTCAGGTGAAAATTTCACTATTGGAGATATTTCTAGCACCACTTATGAAATTATTGATTCTGTTGATAAATTGTATAGGCTTCAAAAAGAGCTGATAAAAACTAATGGGAGCAGGGTAGCCTATGATCCTTGGGATTTCTTACCCCCTAATGATTTTTTGGTGAAAATATAATTTATTATTTTTAAAAAAAAAAAATATTTATTTGCTAAAAAGAGTTAGGAAGATGGCATACGTTGCCTTATGCCAAAAAACTTGAACTCTATGACAAATATATGTCCCATGAGCTGAATTTATTTATCTATAAAAAAGATCCTACCTTCTTTTCTGAAGTAATTTATCCATTTTTATCCTCAAAAATGGAAAAAGATATTGTGGATTTATACCTTCTGTCTCAGCCTCTAGATGAATATGCTAGTTTAAATAATTTTTTGAAGCTTAACACCCTTGAAAAAATTCTGCTCATAGAAAGAACTGCAGAAACCAACCCAGATTTCTCAAGAGAAGCTGCTAAAACCTTGAAAGACGAAACAGACGCAAAGGCAAGAAATTATCAATTGAGAAATAGAAGAATTGAAACTGTGCTGAGATTTAATTTAATTAGTGGAGAGCCACAGCAGCCTAGATTGGCAATGGCACCACCTCCAATGGCAATGGCGGCTTCACCCCCAGCAATGTTTGGAGGAATGGAATGCTCAATGAGCATTGGAAACTTCATGCAAGCGAGCTGTGAAAGCAAAAGTATGGTTAGGTCAGCACCGAAAATGAAGATGGCTAGGGGGAGAATGGAAAAGAGTGCTGTAAAAATGGAAGAATCAGAGGATCCATTTTCTTTAATGGATGAAGATCAAAGTGATGAATATGTTGAAAGTACAAGAAATGCCATGCCGACTTATTATCAAAAAATGGATTCAACTAAGGAATTTGCTGAAACCTTTTATTACGATATAAAAAATCTTACCCAAAACAGCAGCTTAGTGCCAAATAAACGCTTTTGGTCAGAGCTCGCAAATGCAGTTGCAAATAAGCATTCTTATATATTATCAGAAGATATTTTAGAAACCACAGACACTCTTACAGAGCTTGTCTGCTCTTTAGCATTTTCGGATCTACCTTTTACAGCTGAAAAGCACGCTTATTCCTTAGAAGGAAGGTCAATTACCTATACAGCAGGAAGCAATTTCTTAGTTTTCTTTAAAGAACTCGCTGAAACTTCTTCAGAAATAAATACCCAGGTCCTTGTAGCCCAGCGATATTTTGATCCAAATGACCGTTATATACAAGACCAAGAAGGCACCAAAGATAAAACCATTACCCAGTTCATAAAACAGAAAATTTATGCTTGCCAAGTTGTGATTACTAATACAGCAGGCTCTCAAATAAATGTTAGCGTTTTAACTGAAGTTCCACAAGGCAGTATCCCTGTAAGTCCTCCTAAATATACGTCAAATCAAATTATGACACTACCTAATTTCCATACCCAGACCTTCGAATATCAGTTTTACTTTCCTAATTCTGGGGTATTCACCCATTATCCAGCTAATATTACTTATAATGAAAAAGTCATTGCAAAGGCTGATTCTAAAGATTTAGAAGTAAATGATGTTATTAGGGTGGGATAAATTTTTTTATTTTTTTATTTTTTTTTAAAAAATTAAAAAAATTTTATTATTTTTTTTTTCAGGGTGGATAAATTTGAAACTTTTAAAGATTTGGTGCTCAGTGGAAGAAAAGACTTGGTTTTGGAATTTTTGACTAATGAAAATTTATTTAGCAAGGCAAAAGAGTTCGATGTTTACAATTTTTGCTGGATGTTAAAGGATAAGATATTCTGGGAAAAAGTCATAAAAATTTTAAAGGCAAGAAATTATTACTTTGATGTAGTCTGGAGCTTTGGGATTTTCCATAAAAATTTAGAAATTCTGAAAGACATTATAGCGACTAAGCCTGAATTTGTCAATAAAATTGGGAATTTCTTCAAATCAGAACTAATCACAACTGGAAAAGGAGACCACCGACATTTAGAATTCGACCCATTAGTAAATGCAAGAGCTCATAGGCTTGGAAATCAGCCAAGAATTACTAATAACAGGTTCAAAAAAGTTTATAAAGAATTTTTAGAATATTTACTCCCCCCCCCCCCTTCCGTGAGCGAACAAAAAAATTTTGTTCGCTCACGGAGGGGGGTTTATTTTTTTTTTTTTAAAAAAAATTTATATATAAATTTTATAAAAAATATTTTTTTCGAAATTTAAAAAAAATCCTAATTTGCAAAAATTGGGAAGCAAATATTAATTTAATTTGCAAAATTTATGTTTTAAAACGCAATTTGTTTAAAATTAAACAGAATTAGCTCTAGATTTCATTATACTAATTATCACTTATATATCAAAATTTTTTTTCCATTAAAATTTTTTCTATTAAAAAAAATTTTTGTTCACTCACGGAGGGTGGGGTTTTTGGTCAAAAAATGGCGATTTTTCTAATGGTTTTGTTCGCTCACGGAGGGGGGGGGGGGGAGTTAGCAGAAAAAGAAAGCCTTGATGTAGAAGACCAGCTGGGGCTTGCCCAATACTATATTCTTCAAGACCGCTACCAAGAAGCTACTGATATTTATAAATCCATCCCACTTAAGGCATCCCAAGATAAATCAGGAGCTTCTTATCTCCAAATCCAATACGATTACCTATCCTGCTACCTTGACATTAATTTAGCTGGCCCTGTCTCTGCTTTATACGAAAATTACCCAGTTAATACTTGGAAAAAATTATTTAATGAGGTCATTAAATTAGTCAGAGAAATCAGTGCCCAAGAAGTTCTTGTTAAGGCTGAAGCCAAAGAAAACGAGCCAAGCTTGATGTTTACTGTTGAAGGCGGAGAAATTAAGCTAAATTACCAATTTGTAAAGCACTGCAAGGTCAGGCTTTACAAGATTGACTTAGAAGTCCTTTTCTCTAAAAATCCATTTTTAATCGAAAATACCCAAGATTTCGGATTTGTCAAGCCAAATATAGAAATTGAGGTAGACCTGCCTGAAAATGGGGAAGGTATAGTAAAAATCCCTGAAGAGTTTGAAGGGCAAAATATCGTGATTGAAGTCGATTATGGAACTTATACGGTCTCTAAGTCCCATTTCGCTACAAGCTTAAAGATTAATTTGATTGAAAGATATGGAGTTATTAAAGTTATGAACAGCAATTTAATGCCAAGACCAGCAGCTTATGTAAAAGCATTCGTTAAAAGAAGCAATGGAAACGTAGAGTTTTATAAGGACGGGTACACTGATGTCAGAGGAAAATTCGATTACGTGTCCTTAAATACAGACACTTTGTCTACCATTCAGAAATTCGCTTTACTTGTGGTCGATGATGAATTTGGGTCACTCGTTCATGAAGCTAATCCACCTCCCCAATAACGATTAATTAATTAATTTAAAAAAAATATTAAATTTTTAAAAAACTTGACAATTTATCAGAAAGCAATTTTCTTTCTCTGCTGATTTCTTCGCACTCGCTCAGAATTTTCATTTGCCGCTTTTTGTATTCTTCAGCGAAATTCATTTTTAAAGACTCAAAATTGGCATCGTCAACAGAGTCATACTCAAAGCTGCCATTAGATTCGTGGCCTGGGCTTTTTAATGTCTCTTTAGGGAGTTCTTGAATTTCTTCTTTTTCGTCCTCTTTATAGATTTCTTCTTGAACAGACTCAAAATTCTCTAAATTGACTGACCCAAACTGTCCTAAATTTTCAGAAACTTGGAAATGCAGAGACTCGAAATTTTGTTTATCTGGGTCATTGAGGCTCATATAGTTCTCAAAAGTTTCTTTATACCCATTTTTTGGAGTATCCAAGGAGTGGATACTTTCAAATCTGGTCGCCATATCATTCCATTCTGTAATGTATTTTTTCTTATTTTTTGATAATCTTTCTTCTGCATCCTGCAGCTCTGCAAATCTGGCTGTTAAAAATTCTTCTTGTCTATGCAATTCTTCAAACTGCGAATTAAAATCTGTTTGCTTCTTCAAAAATTGCTCTTTTTGGCTTGCCAAGCTTTCTTCAAGAGAATTTAATTTTTCCATGCGGAAATTAAACTCTTCTTCATGCTTTTGTTCCCTTTGGGCAAGCTCAATTTCTTTTAAATTTATTTTTTCTAGTTCTTCTTCTAGCTGTTTTAGCTTAGAATTGTTTACAATTTCTGCCTCGTTTTCTTCGTCTGATTTTGATGTGACCAAATTAGCGATTTCTTCTTCTTTCATCCTTACTCCCCCCCCCCCCTCCGTGAGCGAACAAAACCATTAGAAAAATCACCATTTTTTGACCAAAAACCCACCCTCCGTGAGTGAACAAAAATTTTTTTAATAGAAAAAATTTTAATGGAAAAAAATTTTGATATATAAGTGATAATTAGTATAAATGAAATCTAGAGCTAATTCTGTTTAATTTTAAACAAATTGCGTTTTTAAAACATAAAATTTTGCAAATTAAATTAATATTTGCTTCCCAATTTTTGCAAATTAGGATTTTTTTAAATTTCGAAAAAATATTTTTTTATAAAATTTATATATAAATTTTTTTTTTAAAAAAAAAAATTAACCCCCCTCCGTGAGTGAACAAAATTTTTTTTGTTCGCTCACGGGAGGGGGGGGGGGGGGAGTTAGGCTTAATTTTAGCTGCTCGTTTTCTTGAATCATTTGTTTTTTTGAAATTTCAAATTCAAGCTCTTTTGCTTTGGATTTTTTTGAAAAATCGTCGAACTGTTTTTCTAAGTCTTTTAGAGCGATTTCAGCAATAATTTCTTTAAGAATCCCTTGGCAGATGTCATTTCTTGATTTATCGTCAACTTCAGGCTTTACGCCAGCATGAAAAGCCATGTTTTTCTCTTTGATTTTAAGTCTTCTTTCTTTTTCTGTTAAATACTCATCTTTTTCTATCAATTCTTTCTCTTTTCTAATGATTTCAAGAATTCTTTTTTCTAATTCTAATGCAGTTACTTTAAGCTGGCATTCAAATTTTTCAAGCTCTTCTTTTTGGTCTCTATAGAAGCTTTTATTTTCATTCCCTTTATTAAAATATGCAATTTCTTTTTCCCTCTTCACAATTTCTTGTTCTTTTAAATCAAGCTCTGTGAATTTTTTTACCAAAAAATTTTCCATATTCCTTATTTTTAATAAATTTTGGCTTTCCCTATACTTAATCTCGTTTTCCAGCTCTCTTTCTCTTATATTTAAAGTCTGTTTTCTTTTATCTAAATCAAATTCGATTTCTCTGAGACTTTCCAATTTAGTTTCCATTTCTCTTATATTTTTATAAATAAATGATTATTTTTTTAAAAAATAATTTTAATTAAAATAAATTCAGCTTACTAAGGATAATAATTAAGATTAAGATTAAGATTAAGATTACGCTGGGTATTTAAGGTCCCTACTACGTCCGAGGTCGCATGCCACGGTTTCCCGTGTGGTGGCAGAGCGTTCACCAAGCCCGGGCCGAAACCCTCGGTTTCTCGGTAGAGGTATTGTCAAGGGCCGTCTCATACCGGCTTTGCTGACCACCTCCATTTTCAACTTGGATCGTCGCCTAAGTTTACGCCAACTCCGCTTCGTCGTCCGCCAGATCTGCCCATTGAAGGGCACCTTTTCAACTGGAGAGACCCCCGTTTTGGTGTCTAACTCGCCTCCCCTCTTTTCCGTCATCCCGAGAAAGAACTCAACAGCTTTCGCCATTCGGGGCGAGCCATTAAAGCAGCTTAGGCAGGTAATTCACCCTGCCTCATTTCGGGCACTCACTGGGCTGAGCGCTGCTGGCAAAAAGAAGTCACGAATAACTGCCCATGGGTCTGGTCGCAAAAACAGCGGCTCTCGCGCTTAGGCCTCTCGCTTCGAGGTCCCAGACGTTGTTGGGCTAATTCCTGGCTCCAAAAACCATGCCCGGATATACATGGGTAACCACCACTGAGAGGGGTGGGTCGGTCGCCATACGCCATTTTATGTATATTAAGGATAATAATAAATTTACTTTGGCATTCATATAGGGGTCATTTTCTGACTTTTTAGGGGTTATATAGCTTTTTTCTGATCTTCTATGTATATGCAGTCTGTCTGTGCCTCATGGGATTGGAGAGGAAGATAGATTTTTGGAGCGGCTGGGCAATGGAGATTCAGATCTATTTTGGCTTTCTTCATGGATAACGTCAACTTTTGTTTTAATTGAGCTTAGTTTATTGTCAAGCTCTTTTAAGGAAGCGTTTAAGTTTACAATTTCAGCTTCTTCAGGCTCTGGGATTTTCACTAAATTTTCTTGGTAACTGAGTTGACGTTTTTTAATGCTTGATGTAGGCTTGTTTCTATTGATAAAGGCTGAGAGTCGCATACGCTGCTGCTCATCGACTTTGATGGTTTTGTAGCCTCCTGTTTCTTCGTTTTGTGAATTATTTCGACTCATTAAGATGTTTTTATACTTTTGATAAATTATCGTTAATCAAAATTATCCTATATGGATTTAAATTCAGACATTTTTTATTTTATTTACGCATATTTTATTATAATGATATTTAATATGTTTGCTTATATTAAAATTTATGATTTATTGGAGAACTTATTTCATAAAAGGTTACTAAAATTGTTACACTAATCATTTAAAAAATAATTAATAAATTTCTCATGTTATATAAATAATTTTTATTAACTTTGGAGTTTCTTTTAGCTGTAATAAGTAATATTTGCTATTTTTTCTCTAAGAAAGATTAGACTAGATTTAATTTTAATGCAATTAGCCGGCTGTTTCAGGGGCATGTCCAAGTAACTTCCTTTTTTCATTCTTTTCAGTCTAATAAATGAGCTTTTATAGCGCCAAAACTTTCAAGTCTTTTTCTATTTCTTGAATTGTCATATTTACTGCTCTCTTTTCCCCTTGAATTTTGTCGTCAAATATTTTTAAATTATCAATAAAGAATAAACTAAATGCTAATTAATTTTTTAAATGAATATTAAATATTTTATCAAATTTATCCCTTATAAAAACTCTGATTTCCTTTATTTTAATTACGTATTTCATTTTAAACTAAATAAATTAAATCAAGATTATTCTCTATTAGATGAATACTTGCCTATTATGCCAAGATATTTGCTGCCCAGAACACTGCTGTAATTGAGACGAATGCACTTGTGGCGACTGCGATATGTGCACTCCTCATTCTGAAACTCAGCCTACACAAACTCAAGCAGAGACCCAGATTCCAGCCCAATACAATGATAATGCAAAGATCATTCTTATAGGCAAAAACAAAGAATCTGAGCCAGTCAAAGAAAAAACTCGGACTTCAAGCGAGCTTGGTTTCGCATCTTTGCAGAATAAAGAAGAATACGTGTTTAAGGCTGAAGAAACAAAAGAAGAGAGAAAATCATTACCTAATAAATTGGTTGAGGAAGAAAAAAGCGAGATAGAAGATATGTATGATATCGATTTAATAAGAAAGGCAGCAGGTGGTGGAATTCATGGCATTCGATATTTAAAAAAGAAATTGTCATCTTAAGGGAGCATGAATAAGCATATTTTTTAAGTTAATTTATTTAAAATAATTATTGGGTGTTTAGATTGATTTTCTAACTCCCGCATTAAAAGTGAAGAAAATTATTTGGAAATCTTGCAAAATTTGTTGGCATGGCATAATTTTTAGGAACCAAATTTAAAAATGGTGAATAAAAAATGCTCTTGGTGGGTTTTAGTGATGAACATGGATAATCAATAATTGTTATAACAAGATTTTTAGCTAATTCTATTAATAATTAACACAGCTTGTATTTTTAAATATAAATTTTTATAAATAAAATTACTTTAAAATCTAAACAAAATGTTTTTATATAAAATTTTCATATAATTTGTTGTTAAAAAGATTAACCCTCCTTTAAGAATTACAAAAATTTCTTGCTCACTCTTAAAGCAGACGAGTATAGATTATCAATATAATTTAATATAAAGGCCTTATAGATTTCTTTATCAATACTTATAAGAAAAATTTAGTAGATATATATAAAAAATGTAACTCTACCAATAAAAGTAGTGAATTTATCTCTGAATTTCTCTGTTTATCATTTCATCAATTATTTGATTATTGTTTATTTATACAAAATTAACTAATTATTATTCAAAACACATAAAGCTTAAATATAAATTATGATTATAAAAGACATTTCTAATTTAATTGCCTATAAACTCTTTTATCTTTTAATTAGTATCTTCTAAAATATCATTTATATTTCTTTATAATGAAAATTGGTTAGCCTCAGCTTGATTTAGTAAAAATTAATCCTCAAGATCCTGCGGTATTTAATATTCATAATCAATTCAGCCCCTATAATCTTATTTAAATTTTTACGGAATATATGGATTAAGATGCTTTCAATTTTTAACTCCTTTTAATATTATTGTATCTTTTTATATATATATAAGATATCTTATATAATAAATTTATGGCTTAATGAATTTTATGTGGACATTTTTATGCTCTGAAAATTTAATTATTTTTAATTCAGAAAGGCGATCATAAATGTAATCCAGGCCTATGAATTTATATTGTAATTATGACTCCAATCCTGATTTTATGGCAGATACTAAAAGAGAAATCTGATTTTTATAAGAATTGTATAAATCTTGATGGTTGTGGTGCTAAAACTCGGAAATGGCATCTGTAAGAGCTCTTGCAGTACTGAAACTGTGGGCTTAATTGAGGAGATTAAACTTGCTTTCCAGGTTGTTTGGACTCTATGCTGGGAGATGGGAATGGCGATGAAGTTTGTGATAGCTTAGATTGCGATCTAGACAATCATGATTATGGGCAATGTGTAAGTGGGTACTTTGCAACAGTGCTAGACAATTGAATTTGCAATTATGAATGCAATAATGAAATTTGCCTATATGATTAAAGACTGCCAATGCACATATAATTTCTTATGGACTGATTATGCAAATTGGAGAAAAAATGTTTAATTTAAATGTATAACTTTTTTAAAAAATTAATATAAGAAATAGATATAAATTTAAGAAATTGATGGTAATTTTTTATTTTTATGAAGAATTTAATATTAAAAAACTGCTCACTTTTATCTTTTATTTTAAAATTGATTAATTCTTGCTTTATTTAGCAAAAATAAATCGTTAAGTATTCTGCTTTCTTTAATAATAATTATCATTTTGTTTAGCTTTCATCTAATTTTATTTATATTTTTATCGAAATATAAGGGCTAATATGTTTTTTATTTTTACCTGCTTTGAATATTAAATTAAATGAATGGCTTAATGATTTTTGTCTGGACATGGCTCGCTGAAACTAAAGACCTCACATGCAGCTTATCCGCATGTCCTGATATTATAGTAATTTTTAACTTAGAAAGGCGATCATAAATGCGATCCAGGCTGTATGAGTTTATATTGCAACTATGATTCCAATCCTAATTTTGATGGGCAGCTAATAAAAGAAAACTCTGATTGCTATGAAAATTGTATAAATCTTGACGGCTGCGATTCTAATAACCTCGGAAATGGTATCTGTGAGAGCTCTTGCAATACTGAAAACTGTGGGCTTGATTGGGGAGACTGTACTTGCTCTCCAGGATGTTTGGACTCTATGCTTGGAGATGGAAATTGTGATGAAGTTTGCGATAACTGAGATTGCGATCTAGACAATCACGATTGTGGGCAATGTGCAAGTGGATGCTTTACTACTATGCTAGGGAATGGAATTTGCGATTATGAATGTAATAATGAAGATTGCCTATATGATTACAAAGACTGCCAATGCTCAGAAAATTGTTTATGGACTGATTATGGAACCTGCAAGCCAGAATGCATGGTATTAGAATGTAACTATGATAAATTAACCCAATATGCAAATAATTGATGCCAAAATATCTCCTTGCTCCCCCCTCCATGAGTGAACAAAAAAATTTATATATATAATATAGAAAAAAATTTTTTCCGAAAATTTAAAAAAATCCTAATTTGCAAAAATTGGGAAGCAAATGTTAATTTAATTTATAAAATTTATGTTTTTAAAAACGCAATTTGTTTAAATTAAACAGAATTCGCGAGAGCTTTCATTATAATAATTATCACTTATATATCAAGTTTTTTTTTCATAAAAAATATTTTCTATTAAAAAAATTTTTGTTCACTCATAAAATAGGGATTTTCCAATGGTTTTGTTCACTCACGGAAAAGGAGGGAGCTAGCTATTTTTTCTTCTTACCAGCAGATTATTCGTAAAAATTTTTCATACATTGTACATCTTGAAGACTGTTATGAAGCCTCAAATCATGAATGCACACTAGAAAAGGCATTAAATTTTTCAATTTGCTATCAAGAATGCAATATCACCGAATGCAACTTTGCCAATGGAAATTGTTTTTATAATCCTACTCCCTTATTATGCGGTCGCTATTACGATTTTTCATATAATTTTTGTTTATCCTGCTTAAATTATACATTTAATGTTTGATCTGATGGGGATTGTATTCAGAGTACTGACAGTTCCTTAACTCTTCCAGATGGCTCAAGTGCAATAATTCCAATAAAAGACAGTTCATCTCCAAGCAACCCCCACATTTACTTCGTCCGATCAGACATAAATTCTAACATTACTGCTGGTGATGGGACTTATTTTTCTCCTTATACCAATTTTATTAATGCGCTTTACCATATTCAGCATCGCTACTCAACAGTTATTTTATTAGAAGGAGATAATTATTACCTTACTGTCTATAATACTCCTACCGTTTTTTTATCCCCAATCGTATTTCTGAGAGGCTTGGCTGACAAATATATAAAAGTGACAACATTGAACCATTCAATAGCCAATTTTAGGAGGGTTAAAGATGATGACAGTAATGGTTCTCATGATACATTTAATTTTGATTTGCAGAATATTCCAAGTTTTGAGATAAATAATGTGGTTTTTAACTGGGAAGACACGATATCTGATTGTAGTAATAGCAGCTATTGTGATTATTGCCCTTATGTTGTGTATGATTCTAATTCAAGCTCGTATTATAATGACAGAGGAGAACCTATAACTGAATTTTTGCCATATTCATGATGCAAACAAGACCGAAGAACAAATTTTTTTTCCCTTACAGAAACAAATTTAATGCTTAAAAATGTATTTTTTATTAATTTTCGAAACGGTTTTAATTCTCTGGTATCTATTAATGGTTGGAGCAATGTGACTTTATTTAATGTGACATTTGATAATATCAGGATTTATAATGAAGACTCTTCATCAGGAATTATTTTTCGAGATGATATTTTGCACAACTCAGGAAATTTAGAGTTTACCAATGGGGTGGTTAGCAGGGTTAATAATGGCTATGAGCTGTGAGATATCATCAACACAAGAGGATTTTTATATGCGACAAGCATAAATTCAGTCGTTTTCAGGAATGTGGATTTTAGTAATAATGTGGTTTTCAAGCAAACTTTACCTGGAATTAATGAGGCTGCTCTGATTACTTTGAATATGTTTCAAGCATTGCGGATAGATAAATGCAATTTTACATATAACTATTGCGATTTGGGGATATTAAATATCAAAGGAGACTATTTAAATTTTTCAGCTGAAATTAATGATAATTCGACAGTTATTTACTCGACAATTAATAATATTTATATTTCAAATTCAAGATTTGTGTCAAATTATGGAAAGCAGGGCGGAATATTATATGCACTGTATAGCTCTGAAGTGCAAAATTTGCTTATTGAAAACTGCTTATTCAGTTTGAATGGCGTTGAAGAGCAGCCTTTAATATATTTTGAAGGTCCATCTGTAAGTGAGAATTATGTAAGTGACAGCGAAGTGAATTTAGTCTTGCCCAATGGCAGTATAGCTAAGGGGAAATATTTAGCTAAATGATGAAAATTATATAATTCAAGCTTTATTGAGAATTATTCTGGGAGTAGCGGAATGATTGAGATTAATAATATGGTTAATATCAATTGAAAATATATCAATATAACAAGAAATGGTGAGATTTCTACTGAAATTATGAATATAAATTCTATTTTTACAAAATATTATACTGATAATCCAAAAGTCTATGCAAAATTAAACGTATCTGATCCTCCAGACTTGAATTGTGAGTCACTATCAGCATTGTCTAATTCCATCAATTTAAATCTTGAGCAAGTAAACATAACCAATAATATCTGCAAATTTTCATCCCCCAACATAATTATATCAAATACCACTAATATCTCCATAAACTATTCTCATTTCGCAAATAATTATGGCACTGGAGCTGATGGGGTTTGCTTATCTCTTGACGATAAAAGTGCAGCAATTATTGGATATTCTGAATTTATTTCAAATAAAAATTATGATTCACGTAGATCAGGAACAATAAGCAGCTATTGTAAACTCTCGCTAGAAAACTGCACATTTTATAATAACACAGGTGCGCTTTATTTTGAAGGACAAAGTCTTGAAATAATATCATCTATATTTGACTCTAACAATTCTACTGGGTCTCATGGAGGCAGTATTTATTTTTCTATTTCATCATATGACATTAATTTTTCATTACTATCTGTCTATAACAGTACTTTTGAAAATAATTTTTGTTCAGTTTATGGAGGAGCTATTTTTATTGATAAAAAAACTCCACTAAAAAATATTCTAACTATGAGAATTGAAAATAGTTCTTTTTACAAAAACAAAGCTATAGATGGCTCCTGCTTTTATATAGACGAAAACGTAGAACTTTCTACTGATTCAGCAGCTATTAATTGCAAATTTCATGGTAATAACGCCATTTCTTCAGGGGCTATATTACTTGCATACACGCATGGAGTGATTCTATTTGAAAAATGCAGCTTTGTTGGGAGCATTGGAGCTTACAGTTCAGTTTTTGATATCTCAATAGGTGAAGATGAAAAGCTGAGCCCTTCAAAAATAATTTTAAATTTATGCATTTTTCAGTGGAATTATGGAGAGAATACTATTTCACTTGGAAATTCAAAAAGAAATTCGACGCTAGAAACGAATGATTGCAATTTTGAATATAATACTGGATTAATATTTTCTTTTGATAGTGGCTATGCTTTTGATAAAAATTCAAAAATCCGGCACAATTATTCAAAGTTGTCTGGAGGTTCGTTGAATCTAAAGAACTCAGCAGTATTTTTATCTGTAAATGCTACACATTTTAACTGCACCAGCAATCTTAATGGCGGGGCAGTGTCAATTAGCTTAGGATCTCAATATTTTTGTTCATTTTGCATTTTTGAAAACAATCATGCAGATTTTTCTGGAGGTGCTATATATGCTGATTCAGATGCAAGTTTTTATATCGAACAATCAGTACTTAATGGCAATTCATGTAAAACTAAAGGTTCAGCAATATCTATTTCAAGTTCATCTGCAAACTCTACGATAACTAAATCAGAGATTTATGGAAATTACGCATACAATGACGGAACAATTTTTGTTTTATCATCGATACTATCAATATTTTCATCAAAAATTCATAATAACTCAGCAGGAGGAATAAATCCTGGCTTATATGCTGATGATTCTACAATTGCAATAAGTGATGCAGATTTTGCTTTCCAAAATGGGGATCAAGGCTGCTTTATTTTTATGAACGCTTGCTCTGCTAAAATAAATGGCACAGTATTTTCTGGAGGATACTCAATTAGTTCTGGGACTGCCATACACTCTACATCTAGTGAAATGGAAATAGGTTTTTCAACTTTTTCAGGACTTTCCTCGAATGAGACTGGAGGTGCAATTTATTTTTATGAGGGCAGCTCTCTTTATATTAAAAATTCAAAATTTCTAAACCTGAATTCTTCAATTGATTCATATTTAAGCTCGATTTCTATAACAGACACAGTTTTCAGTAGCAGCTCAAGCGTTGCTATCCTAGGAATAAAAATCACTGAATTACTCATCTCATTTTCTGAATTTTTAAATAATTTAGGAAGCGATGGGGGTGCAATTTATTGTTCCCAATGCAATAAAATTTTAATTGCTGAATCTTTATTTGAAGATAATTTTGCAGAAAAAGGAGGGGCAATTTTTATTGAAAACCAGGCAGATAATCCCACTATATGCAGCATTATATTATGCACATTTCAGTCGAATAATGCTAGTAGTGGAGGTGCAATTTTTGCAAACAATATAAATTTGAATGTGTCTTTTTCGAATTTTATTGAAAATTATGCAAAATCCTCTCGAGCTGAGTCTTTGCTAAATATTGTAGATGGTATTGGAGGTGCAATAAAAATAGATTATGAGGATTATAAGGCATCTAATTATTTTAATATTTCAGGAAATCGCTTTAGCTATAACAGAGCAACTTATAGGGGAGGTGCTATATCCTGAGATAATTCAAATTCTATACTTGAAAATAATATTTTTCACAATAATTCTGCATTCTATGGGGATGATTTTGCTTCCTACCCTACTATGATCATTTATTTAAATCAGAGTAATAGTAGATATTTGAAAAGTCAAGTTCTATCAACAAATGTAGAAAACCTAGCATTAAGCAATGTGGCTTCAGGTCAGAATAATAACCCGTCGCTGATATTTGCGATAGTAGATGAATTTTATCAAATAATTACCACTGATATATATAGCCAGGCTCAATTGATGGCTAGTGATAATGATACTGTCATATCAGGAGTATCAGTTGCTTATGCTTTAAATGGAATTTATTATTTTGAAAATTACGTAATTTCAGCTAAGCCAGGCTCATCAGTTCAAGCTTATATTTCTTCCTCCGCAATAGATACAAAAGCAGAGAAATTAAAAAATTCCCAAAATTTTTATATAAATGCTAGCATGAGATTATGCGAAATAGGAGAAGCTGTAGTTGGGCTTAATTGCGAAGTTTGCCCAGAATTTTATTATAATATCGATAGTTCCAGCGGCAAATGTTCTAATTGTCCATCCTCAGCAGTTTGTTATGGAAATTATACAATTGTGCCAAAACCAGGATATTGAAGAGATAATAATCTCACTGATATTTTTTGAAAATGCCCTTATCCTCCTTCTTGTTTAGGCTCTCCAGATTCTAATAATATATCTTTTGTAGGTATTTGTGAAAAGGGATATGAAAGTAATATGTGTAATTCATGCCAAAAAGGATATGCAAGATTATATAGCAATCAATGCCAAAAATGTCCAGATACTACTGGCAATATATTTAGATGACTTGGATTTTTTTGGTTATTTTGTTTTATAGTAATGATTATAAATAAGGTAGGAAAAATCTTAATTGAGCCTTGGGTATTTTTGCAAATATACATAAAAATCTTTTGAGATTATTTACAATTTACGATTATCATCGCTACTTTTAATTTAAATTGGCCATATAAAATAACTTGATTGTTTTATATAGACAACTGTGTTGATTATATTAATGCTCAGCTCTTCTCCTTCGACTGTTTTTTGCAGTCTTCATACTCAAAAAGCGAAATCTATTTTTACAAAATCCTCTTTACAAGCCTAACTCCATTTTACATTGCAATTATTTTTTTATTTTGATGAATCATAGTCTATAAGGTTAAAAGGAAACGTTTAAAAGATTTAAAAGATGGCTATATACCATCACTTATAATAATATATTTTTTAATATACCCAAGCGTTGCAAAATCGATGCTTAATACTATGAGCTGCAAGGAAATAAACCTTGGAGAATTTTGGCTCAATGAAGATCTAGGAATTAGATGCTGAGATCAACGCCATTTTCAATTGGCATTCCTATTGGCGTTGCCTGCATTAATTATATGAGTTATTGCAGTTCCTGGCTTTTGCCTTTGTTTTTTTAAAAAAAATAAGAAGAAGTTAACAGAAACTTGAATGAAGCTACGATTTGGATTTTTATGTAATGGATATAAATCAAAGTTTTACTATTGGGAGTTTTTGATGCTTTATTGCAAGACAATCTTAATTTTATGCTCAGTATTTTTACCATATATTTCGCAAAATATTCAAGTCCTTATAACCTTTCTCTTACTTGCCTTGCTTTTCCACATCCACAACAAAAATAAGCCATTTATATTGCAAAATCTGAACCAAAGTGAAAGTTTTGCTATATCCATATCTCTATTAACAATTTTAGCTGGTTTTCTCTTTATAGCAAATGCTCTAAATGAAGAGTTACTTACCTTTTCAGTCTTATTTTTGCTAATTATTCATTGTTTATTTATACTTTACATTGCACTCAAATCTTTATCACTGATCCAAGCACTTAGTTCTCTTATTATAATAATAAAAAGAAGTTTGCGTCTTAAATCAAAATATTCTATCGAAGAAAATTCTAAGAATGATCATGAGGAAATGGTTCGAGATTATAAAATACTGCCTTTACAAGATGAAAAATTATCGACTACAATTGTCCCTTTTGATTACATAAAAACTTTTCAAAATATTTCATCTATGGAAAACGTAAGTCTTTCGGTTGAATTAGATCCTTTTACTTCAGAAAAAAGCTTACCAGCTGATAATTAATATAAGTTTATAAATCATCATAACCGTTTTTATTAAGGTTTTCGTCATAGAGCACCCAAGGAAGGTAATGTCAGGAGCACGCGTAGGATCTATTTAGTTAAAAGGGCGAGCTGCAGCTATTTTAAAAACTAAGTTAGGAAATTAAGACCAATTTTTTAAATATTTTCTCAGAATTTTATCACTCAATGGAGAAATATTGAATTATATTAAAAAATTTTATTTATATAAAAATAATTTTATAACAATGTGACTACAAGTAATCGTTCTTCTTGCTTCAGCTAGTGGAATAAACATTGCATGCAATCCAAACGACTGTCCTCCTATATCTGTAAATTTTAATCAGAGAGGTGACACTTCATGTAATCTAAACTGCATGACTTCATACTGCGATTTTGATTCACAAGAACTTAAAAATAGTCCAAACAATTATTTAAATTCAGACTGCACAAAGGCATGCCTTGCATCTACTTCTTGAAAATGCAAAACGGCAAAACTTGGAAATGGCGTCTGCGATAATTCCTGCAATACCCCAGCATGTGGTTATGATTTTGGTGACTGCGGATATTGTGCGCCTTCATGTAACTTATATTTAGGTTTCCAACAGCAATTAGGAGGATCTTGTGACCTTGAGTGCAATACAACATCCTGCTATTATGATTATGGAGCCTGTCTAGATTGTGCTATTGGGTGTAATTCTACAGTTTTAGGTGACGGAACTTGTAATCAAGAATGCAATAATAAAAAATGTGGCTTTGACAATGGAGACTGCTTAAACACCTCTTGTGCGCCTAACTGCTTTTTTTGAATGATAAATAATTCTATCTGTGATGAAGCCTGCCACGTCCAGGAATGCAATTATGATGGAACTGATTGTGACTGCTCTCCTGGCTGCTTTTCAGAATTATTAGAAAATGATGAGTGTGATGAAATTTGTAATAATTCTTTGTGTGAATGAGATGGAGGGGATTGTGGATATTGCGCAAGCGGCTGCTTTTTAGATATGCTGATAAATAATGTATGTGATGCCGCTTGCAACAATTTTGCTTGTAAATATGACTATTATGTGTGCAAATGCAATGATGGTTGTCTAGCTGAAGATTATGGAAAATGCAAGCCAGAATGCCTGACTGTTGATTGTATCTATGATCAAGTAAGCCCTGATCCTAGCAAAAGATGCAATAATAAAGATTTGGTCTTATACACCCTTTACCAGCAAGCAATTTATAATGATCCTAGACATTTACTCCTTATGAGCGTGAAAAATAAAATAATTTTATAAATAATATAACAAATCTCTAATTAATTTTAACAAATTTTAGGATAAATTTCAATTTAAATTGCATTTTACAGTGTTTTTATTTTTTAATTTTATGCTAAATTTTTCAGGGAAAGTTAGTATATTTTGATAACTGCTCATCAGTCTCATCTAATAAATGCTCACTACAAATGTCTATCAACCAAACTAAATGCTACAGCGAATGCAATTTTCTGGAGTGTAACTACGGCCTATGCAACCTAACTTCTAATTGCTATTCCATGCCTACTGATGCTTGAAGTTTATGTCATATATGACGTTCTTCAGGGTGATATTTTGAAAATAAGTCCAATTCTCTAATTTCTAATATATATTTTCTTGGCCAAGTTTTATCCTATGATAGTGAATATAAAAAGTCCAATCTCCCCGACTTTTGAATTTTTTATGCCACTTCAACTCAAGCAGGCATTTCTCCATCAGGAGAGGGAAGCTATTTTTTACCATTTGAAACCCTTGATTATGCATTTTCATCAATTCTTAATTTGCAAGCAGAAGTAAATGTGCTGATACTTGCAAACGATGGAAATTATACATTAACTCAAAATTGGGATTGGCAGAGGTATAATATTAAAAAATTCACTTTGATGCCGCTTGAAAAAGATAAAGTAATAATAAGAATTAATGGGTGGACACAATTGTCACTGGAGGTGGGTGCAAATTCAACGTTTAAAAACATATATAAAAAGGATATGGCGGATTTTGGTTCCTATCTCCGATATATCCAAGAGTATTGCAGCCTCAAAGAAGGCTGGCACTGATGAAAAGTACCAAGTGGAGTAGGTAAAATAGCAAAACTGAGGTGATCTGCCTAATTTAATTCAAATACAAGCTTTTCCTCATAGGAGAATAGAGCTGAGAGTTGCAAAGAGATCCCAGAAGCATTAGACGATAATTCCTTGGCTAATCGAGAATAATTCCTCGAGAAATCGACTGGACAAGCACGGCTTCAAGCTTCTTTTTTACCGAAAGGGCATACTATATTGATATGGAAGAAAGTATATCCTTATTGGCTGCGATCAACAGGGTAAATAATTTTCTTTTCTTAATGCAGGCTCTCTCCTCCATAGAGAACCTTTGCTATTTAGTGAAATACTACTGAAAAGCAGGCGGAGAATTGGTAGGGAAAGAGCTAAGGCTTCGATACCATCAAAACAAATTTCCTACAAGTATAAACAAATCTTGACATTTAAAAACTTGATTTTTGATGGATCTGGGCAATTTAACAACTGCAATGATTCGGTCTATTGTGAATATTGTTCATATAGCACCTATAATGAAACTGATGGATTCTATTATAGTGATAGGAATCAGCCAATTTCCCAAAATTTACCAGTTGATATTTGTAGCAAACAAGATTCTAGTCTCAGTCTCTTTAGCCTTAATGGTCAAGCATTTATATTGAAAAACGTGGAAATAAAGAATTTTCGATTTAATTATGATTCTATCATAGCTGGAAATGGCATTTTGAAGCTATATAATGTTAATTTCGACAATATAAGATTAAGCGGAAAGGAAAAAAGCGCTGTTATATATGCACAATCCCAATATGATTTCGAAATCTCTTATATTGGAGGCTCTCTAACAAGACTAAACAACGGGTATGAATTTGGAGATTCTCTTGATTTTTCTGGGTTTCTCTATGTAGAAACTGAAGCATCAATTTTAATCAAAAACGTAAAATTCAAATACAACTTGGTATATACTTTGAGAGTAGCTATAGCCCTCCCTCCACCTCCTGAACTTTTCATTTTAAATTAAATAATAGCAAGTCCATCATTATGGATTCGACATGCCAAATCGACTGAAAAGTTTTATATTAACAGAAACAGTCAGGGGTCAAGCTATAACTGCTATTGTGCTATATACAAAAAATCTAAAATTTCATTGTCAAGTGGATCATTAATATATATTGATTTGATAAAACAAATTGAAATAGAAAATTGTACGTTTATGTATAATTATTGCGAAAATGGATTATTTTATATAAATCTTGATATTTCTGAGTATACTGCTGATTATAATGAAACTCTTTACTTAAAGACTCTACTTCTGAATAATATATATATTCATGATTCACAATTTACGTCAAATTATGGGAATTTTGGTCTTGTTTATATTAGTTTTTTAGGTATGCTTCTGAATATTTATTTAGACAATTTGACTTTCGAATCAAATGGAGCTGACAATGGATCATTAATTTACATTTATAATGCACAAATTTTAGACGAGTATAAGGCTGAAACTGTTAGAACTATAGATATCTCATCAACTAAAACAGTTTCGGTTATTTTATCACCAAGATGATGTATTGCAATTTCCTGTGGATGGCACAGCTTTGGCCTTGATTTTCCGACTGGAAAAATTTTTTGGTTCGACCAGACCATATGGGCCAAACTATAAATTTTCCCAGTGGGAAAATCAAGGCCAAAATAGCGCCATCATGGGAAAACACTATAATATTTTTAATATCTATTTTAAAAATAATTATGCAACGGGAATGCTCAACACAATTAATTTGGTATATTTTTACTTAATCTCTTCCTTAAAATTGATACAAAATTAGAATTATTTATATGAATTTTATAGAAATAGTTTGAACTAATTTGATGGATAAAGTGCAATTTAATACTGTTTAAATAGCCAGCACAGTGTAATATTACATTTTTTTAATCAATTATTTATAAAAATAAACTCAATTTAAATTTTTTAAAACAATTAATCCAATTTAAATTTGACTAGGATTTTGTATTCTAATCTAAAGAGAGTTATATAATTTGACTATAGATTCAAGCGGGTCTCCAAATAACGATAAAAATATCAAAACCTTACTGCTAGATTATTTCATTGAAAATCGCCAAATTGAAGATTTATATATAAGCAGGCCAAAAATGCACCCAAAAATTCTTGATTGCGATTTTATGGTATCTTTAACAGACTCATATAATTTCAGTATCTATAACTTGTCATTATCAAATAATGTATGTAGAAACTCATCTCCAAATTTTCAGATCTACAATTCTGGAATAAATGAAATCACTAAAATCAGCTGCTTTAACAATACTGGAAACGGACCATTACCTATATGTTTATATATAGCAGGAAATTTAGACAGAAACCTGTCAAATTCAATTTTTATTAAAAACACAAATTATTTTGTATCAGGATATGGGGCAGTACAGATAAAAAGCGAAAATAATTTTCATGTTAAGAATTGCTCGTTTGAGGAAAATTCAGCTAGTTTAGCACCTGCAATTTATGCTATGTGCCAAAATATTTATATTTTAAATTCCACATTTGAATCAAATGAATCAAAACAAGGCAATGGAGGGACTTTACATTTTATTTCTGCAACTTCAACAATTAGACGGTCAGTTACTATTGAATCAAGCAGCTTCTGAAATAATTATGCATATGCAAATGGAGGGGGAGTGTATTTAGAAGAAAAATCTGCAATAACTGGAGGAATTGAACTTAAAATTATAGGGGCAAGCTTCGTTGGGAATTCTGCAACATATGGTTCAGGTTTATTTATTGACCAATCTGCAGCTTTGTCCCAGGATTCGATAATATCTTCTTCTATATTTCAAGAAAATTCTTCCAGCAAATCAGGCGCTATATTTTTGCAATATTATAGAGGCATTATTTTGATACAAAACAGTGAATTTGTAGAAAATACTTCAGTTTTGTCAGCAGTTTTACATATTGATATTGCAGAGGATACAGAAAATCTTAATTCAAAAGTAAAAATTGAGTTTTCTACTTTTAGGGGGAATAAAGGAAAATCAATTATATATGGGGACAATCAGAACAGAAATTCATCAATTGAAACTAAAAACTGTTTATTTGAGTATAATAAAGGCATAGTCGTTTATTTAGATTTTGACTATTTTTCTGAAACTGGATCAATTTTTCAGTACAATTCCGCCCCTATTGCATCTTGCTTCTATCTCCAAAACTCAGCCGTACTATATGCAAGCTCAATTTTTTTGAATAACACAAGTGAGAAATACGGAGGTGTTATCTCTATCACTTTTAAATCCATTTTTTACTGTGATCATTGCACATTTACAAAAAATCAAGCTTTAAAAGCCAAAGGAGGAGTCCTTGTCTCTGAGCAGGATTCTCAATTTTCAATATCAAATTCTCAATTTATTCAAAATTCCTGTGGAACTGATGGCTCAGCTATTTTTGTATTTAATTGCAACTCAACTGCATCCTCAATTGCACATATAGACTTTCTAAATAATCATGCATATGGCTCAGGTTTAATTTCTCTGATTAGTTCTCAAATATCTATATCATCAATAAATATATCAAGTAATTCAGCTGAAATTCAAACATCTGGGATTAAATTGGCACATTCTATTGTAAATATATATGACTCGGTCTTTGAGAACCAAGCTAGCATTTCTGGTAATTTTATATATGCAATTGCTGGAAGCTATGGTTTTATAAAAAATACAACTTTTTATAAAGGAAATTCATCAGAAAATGGAGGGGCAATTTATTCAAGTTCTAGCACCCTTTTAATAGAGTCATCATCTTTTAGCCAACTTTTTTCTCGAATAGGAGGTGCAATTTATTGTGCCTTTGGCAGCAGTGCATCAATAAGTAATTGTGATTTTTTTGAATTAGAAAATTCAACGGATCTTGGGATAATAAATGCAAACCAAGCTACTTTGTCAGTCCAAAATTCTAGAATTCACCAATTTTCTGCAACAGCAATATACGGAAACCAATTAAAAAAATTAGAAATAGAAAATTCAGTTTTCAGCAATGGGTTAGGATCAAACGGCGGGGCTGTCTGATGTGAATCTTGCAGTAAAGTTAGTATCAGGTCATCAGTTTTTGAAAATAACACAGCTGCCACATATGGAGGTGCCTTATATTTTACCACAACCAGCAGAGTTAAAGCAGTCCATGAGATTTCTACAAGTACATTTAAAAGCAATACTGCTCAAAATGGAGGGGCTATATATTCAGATGATATTGATTTAGACGTTCTCTTGTCATTATTTATACTAAATAAAGCTATTTCAAGCCAAGATTCAGATAGCAACATCGAATTTGGAAAAGGTGGAGGGATTCTTGTAAGCTGCTCCACATATCAGTCATGCAAATTGAATATCAAATCTAATAATTTTACTGAAAATACTGCGAAATACAATGGTGGCGCTATTAGTTGGGATTATAAACTGCCAAATTTTGCTAACAACTCGTATTTAAATAATTCTGCTGAGTATGGGGATGAAATTGCATCTTTTCCTGCTAACTCCCCCCCCCCTCCGTGAGCGAACAAAACCATTAGAAAAATCGCCATTTTTTGACCAAAAACCCACCCTCCGTGAGTGAACAAAAATTTTTTTAATAGAAAAAATTTTAATGGAAAAAATTTTGATATATAAGTGATAATTAGTATAATGAAATCTAGAGCTAATTCTGTTTAATTTTAAACAAATTGCGTTTTAAAACATAAATTTTGCAAATTAAATTAATATTTGCTTCCCAATTTTTGCAAATTAGGATTTTTTTAAATTTCGAAAAAAATATTTTTTATAAAATTTATATATAAAATTTTTTTTAAAAAAAAAAATTAACCCCCCTCCGTGAGCGAACAAAATTTTTTTGTTCGCTCACGGGAGGGGGGGGGGGAGTAAGCTGATGCGAATAAATATAGATGGGATTTTAGAAGGCTATAAAAATAATACAGGATCAGCTGATCCTATCTCTATATCAAATTTAACAGAAATTGCACCAGGGCAGAACATCAAAAGTCCATTGTTAATCGCTCTAGTTGACCAGTCAAATAGTATCATACAAACTGATAACTGAAGCACGGCTGAGCTGATCGCTATTAATTCCACAACCCAAATTTCAGGTAAAATCAAAGTGACATCAGTTAAAGGAATATTTAATTTTTCTGAATTCTCTATTTCAGAAGAGCCAGGGTCTGATATTCAAATTATGGTCACTTCTATAGCAATAGATACAGACAAGCTGAAAAACTCAGGAGAAGATTTTTTTAGTAAAAATTTGGTTTTTAATGGAAATATAAGGAAATGCGAAATCGGAGAAATAAAAACTGGAAAAAATTGTGAAATATGCCCTGAAGGATTTTACAGCTTAAACCCAAGCCTAATGGCATGTAATGCTTGTCCAGAGACTGCTATATGCTATGGAAATTGAACAATGGTTCCTAGGCCAGGATATTGGAGAGACAATAAGTATACTTAACTTATTTGTTCAGTGATTTATAAGTTGGATTCTTCCTTACTCCCCCCCCCCTCCGTGAGCGAACAAAACCATTAGAAAAATCGCCATTTTTTGACCAAAACCCACCCTCCGTGAGTGAACAAAAATTTTTTTAATAGAAAAAATTTTAATGGAAAAAAAATTTTGATATATAAGTGATAATTAGTATAATGAAATCTAGAGCTAATTCTGTTTAATTTTAAACAAAATTGCGTTTTTAAAACATAAATTTTGCAAATTAAATTAATATTTGCTTCCCAATTTTTGCAAATTAGGATTTTTTTTAAATTTCGAAAAAAAATATTTTTTATAAAATTTATATATAAATTTTTTTTAAAAAAAAAAATTAACCCCCCTCCGTGAGCGAACAAAATTGTTTTGTTCGCTCACGGAGGGGGGGGGGGGGAGTTAGGGTGATTTTATCATGCTTGGGTCAGCCCTTTTAACTCCAACTTATAAAGCCGCGGGCTCTCCTACAAACCAAAATGGAGGAGGCAATCGGAAATTTTTGCATTACCAAAGCTGGCCAGATAGCCCTGCACGGGACTCGTTGGCCTCACCCTTAACTTGACTCCAGCACGTGTTCCACCCAAAGTCAGCCTTCTTTGGTATGCCTAGTTATTAAAACCCCATGCTTCCTTAGAATATATAATAAGTAATGTTTTGGCATAATGGATAAAGGTTCACTAGATAAACCAAACCTTCTTAATAAAGCTAAAAAGGAGGTGGGGATCTCAGAAGCCATTTTATTATTATGACAATCATTATACAGAAAAATTTTGGGAATGCCCGTATCCTTCTGCTTGCTTAGGCTCACCTAATAAAACCCATATCTCTTATACAGGAGAATGCAGCAAAGGTTATAAGGGTAATAAGTGCCAATCATGCAAAAAGGGATACACTCACACATTTATAATAAGTGTAAAAAGTGTCCAAGCTCAGCAATCAATATACTGATATTATATCTAAGGTCTGTTTTTAGCTTGCCTTGGGTTAAAACTGCTGCATACATTGGCATGAGATATCTCACTCCGACAGATTTTAGCCCAGAATAAGCTAAAAGCAGTTAAAGACTATAGGACTAATTGGAGCAGGGCTTTTATTTCTTCTATTTATTATTGTAAAAGAAACAAGAAAATCTGCTTTTAAGCCTAAATCACATATGTCAATCTATATGAAAATCTTATTAAATTATTTGCAATTGATCATTCCAATGTAAATATTAATATGACCTCTTGGCCACGCAGCTTTACTAGGCTTCTCCTTCCAACTCCAAGCCTCAATTTCCCACAGGGTAAAATCCAATCTTAAAAAAGGGACTTAGGCTAGACTCCGCACACTCCCAGAATTACTTGACTAGTATCACTGTCATTTCTGGGCAAGCAAGATAATATTAAATATGTGTCGAGCCTTTTGGCCATCCGGGCAACTCTTTAGCGTGAAGGAGCTACAAATCTTTTCTTTTTACCAAGAGTTCCAGATTTCTATGAAGGGAAACCATTTTCAAGTCAGATGGCAGGAAAGACAGCCATCGAGATCCGAAGGCAGAAGCCGAGGTGAAGCACCCTGTATTGGACGTTAAACGAGAACCTTAAACTAATTAATCGATGATCACTCCAATATCTGCTTTTAAGCTAAATTGGTCATCAGAAGTTTTGGCCCTTTTTGAATTCCAAAGCAACACAGATTATATACAGCCCCAAATTTACTCAGTTCAATGCCTTTTGCAAAAATATAGCTCCCAACAATCCACTTATTTTGAGACTCTTTTTATAACTGCTCTAATCCCATTTGTACTGATTATTTTATTGATAATATTTTGAATGATTTTGAAGCTGGTGAAATCTTCATTTCCAACGTTTTGAGATGATTTTATATCGACGTGCATTATTTTATTATTTTTACTACACTCAAGTATTGTTAAAAAAATGTTTGCGTCGATGAATTGCACTGAGATTAATAATGGGGAATATTGACTTGAAGAAGACCTTGATATAAAATGCTGAAATTATGAACAAACTTACTTATTTAAGTACATATAACTCTTAGCACACACACTAAGAGGTTGCGTTCCTTTATAAAATGTCTCTAGCACTGGTTACCAGGGGGACGCTTAGAGATGATGCTACCGACTTTGACGGCTCATGAGTGAGCGATATCTCTTTTCCTTGATCCTATATGGTAACTAAAGACTTATTTGCTGCCTCAAATTGAAGTAGAAAAACCAAAATCCTTTCAGATTTCCTAATAATGGGTAGATGGTGCCAAATTGTTTTGCCACTCATATTAAGGATAGAATTCCCATAAAAAAACCCCTCATAGTCATAAAATGCCAAATGAGTGGCCAAATAGCCAATTACCACCTTACTTATACCGCCATTTTATTACGCTGAAGTTATGAGCATTATTTTTACGTAATGACTATATCTTTGCCAACTATCATTATATGAGGAATTATTTTACCTACAGTTTGTTTAATAGCTCTCATTAGAGACAAAGAGAATCTTAAATCAATAAATATTCGTGTGAGATATGGGTTTATTTTTAATGGTTACAAGGAAAGTAAATTCTATTGGGAATTTATCATTTTATATAGCAAAATCGTCTTAATATGCTGCTCAATATTTTATCAAAGAATTTCCTTAAAACTCCAAGCCGTTTCTGCTACAATTTTATATACAATTTATTTTCGCCTGCAATACTCAAATAATCCTTATAGTGAAAATGATTTAAATCGGACTGAATTGCGCTCTAAATTCGCCTGTTTATTTACTATTTACTGCGGACTTTTTTATTTGATGGGATCATTAAATGAAGGAGTCAGCTATTTTTTATTTAGTCTCATTGCTTTGATAAATCTCTATTTTTTATGTTTTATGTGTTTTTGCATTGCAAAGACAATTTTTAACAAAAAATAAACATTTTTTAAAGATTAAATGGCGAATTATTTATAGATTTCCAGTAAATATTTCTTTTAATGGAATTCATGCCTGATTGGTTCTTTTAGTGTATGATAGAGCAGCTCAATTGAGAAGATATGTAGATGTGAATTATATTATAATGGCTATTTTCCGATGATGGCGATCTATGAGCTATAGCTATAAGTAGAGATTTAAATGAACTTTTAGCCCAGAGCGGCCTTACTTGCCACAGAATTTTTGCCATAAGAAATAGTTTTTATGCTAAAAGGAGATATAATAAAGCATTAAAACATTAATATGATGAGCCAAGTACAAATAAATATTATATTGCAGTAGTTAATGCCCTTTATAAGCAAGAAAAATGAAAGCAATCGCTTTGGCGCTATAGTGAGACTATTAGAACAAAGTTGCTTTATGATACATATTATTGGTATAAAGGAAACGCTCTCAGTGAATTAGGTAAAAGAGAAATAGTTATTGAGTGTTTTCATGAAGCCTGCAGAATAAATTGCAGAGATGCTCAATATCTTAGCACCCGCCTCCCTAGAATAGAATAAGCTACTACTTATTGAAATCAATATTTAATTAAAATAAATCATTATAATAACTTAATTATTATTTCTTCCTGCTCAAAAAAAATGATTTTCTTTTATTTTCAAGCCAATAGCATGCAACTTGATTTTTTTAAAAATTATTTCTCCTGGATAATGTAATTCTGGTGCTAGCTATAGAAAGGTTGCAATAGTTGAATTTTTTTCCTGATTCGCTTTATGTTTCAAAATCCTTTAGCAATTGTTAGATCTTTTATTTTAAGTTTATTAAGCCTAATTTATCTAAAGAACATCAGCATTAATTTTCTGTGCTTCTAAAATTGCTTATTAAATCCAAAGCAATCCTTTGATTCTATAGTTAAAATATAAAAATATCTATCCTTAATAAATTTCATAAAAGAATTTATTCTAGCCTATCTAGGTTTTGCTTTATTTCTATTCCATATTTTAATTTTACACACATTTATGAGAAACTATTTAAGTTTAAGGCTTTCCTTACCTCGAAGAAAATTGGACAGTGAAGTATCTTCCAATCATATAAAGTGTCTCCACCACAAACACCTGCACCAAAATTCCATAAAGGAAAGAAATAGCCCAATATCCGCTCCATTCGAAGCAGAAATCAATATTTAGCAGCACAATCCCAATAATTGATCCAATAAGCACCGAAATCCCTACAATAACTGCTGCAATTGACCACATAGGCGCTTTGCTTCTATCAATAGCGAATGCTGAAATCATGAAAAGTTCTATTGGGGTCGCTATAAGTAGAGCTAAAATTGTGTAGCCAAAGTACACTGCTTCATAGTCATTAAACAAGGTCTCAGTTGACGCTGATTTGCCTTTGCTGATATTTTCGAATCCATATATAAGTAGCCCTTCTAGCAATAATTCGAAAACAATGACTGTAATCAATATAAACAGCCTAATAGCCCTTGGGAAGTGATTTCTGAAATAAATGAGCCCAAATAGTAAATGGCCTTCTAATAATGATTGCAACTCAGTTTCTGCAAACTCCTCTTTATTTACCTCTTCTTCATCAGGCTGAGCTTTACTCAAAACAGGGTCTGATGACTGGAATTCTGTGAAAACTCCTCCTTTAGTCGGTACTCCTTTTACGTCATTAGGAGTCTTCGGGGTTGACGGGCCATCCTCTTTTTCTACCAGAACACTCACATTTGGAGGATTAGGTATTGGCTCAATAATCTGCTCATCTTGAATGCTCTCTAATGCCAAACTTCCTGCAGGATTATTTGGAGCCTTTACATTTTCTTCATTTTTATTTTCAGTATCCACATATTCTTGCTTCTTTAAGAAATGTGCAGGAGATTCTGGATGGAATGAGATATCGTGTAGGACAGGTTTGACCTTCTTAGCTTGATGTTTGCTATCAATAAAGCTCAGAATAGGGGCAAAAATTATAGAAACAAACAGAGTGACTACCAATATATAAATTGGAGCATAATTATCATCACATGAGCTACTTGAAGGCTTGTTAGGAATGACAACTTCAGTTTGGGTCAGCTTAAACATAGATTGTATTAGATTAAGTTTGGATGAGAAATAGACGCCATTTGTTTGTGGGTGTTAATCGCTAACTCCATCTACCGCCAGTAATCAAAAAATGGTGAAGCAGAATTGTCTAACGGAGCACTGACCCTGTTGACTATTTGTCTCCTCCTGCGCAATAGTCTTCATTTGCAGATGGGGTGGTACCATAGATGATTGGCTGGTCTCCTTCTTCCCTGTGTTTCTAGCTAAAGTTTTAGTTAATCCTTTGCATGAAGATGTGCGGCAAGACATTGTGTCTTTCAGTTGGGTGTGATCTGATGCCTAGCTACAATGGATTCTATTTGCATGAGCCTGAATGAACTAGTAGGGCACCTATCACAATCACCATTTAATTAAGTATTTTAAAACATAGAGAAATGATAAACCTCAAATACAATGCTATTGTTTTTAATCTCAGAGATCTCACATCCGTCTTCTACCCAAGTTTTACTAGTCTCATTATAAAACAAGCAGCCCCAGGCGTAGTGTCTGCCGAGGTCTTTATTGATAGGCAGCTCCAACACAAATGGGTAGTCACTTGTAGAGAATGGCACATAAGTCTCAGTTGACGTCTGGAGCTCATAATTGACATAACTGCCTGAATTAGCAAAACTCATCATAACGATATCGCTGCTCTCGTCTGATAAGTTATAATAATGCAGCTTGATGTTCATAACGTCAGTATCTGCATAGCTGAGGTTTGTTGGAATCGAAAAGGTTTGATTTGTCCCTATCCTTGCTGTATGGTTTACCATTGAGCTCGGGAAATCTCTATATTTGAAGACTTTGGTCATGTCTGTATTTTGAGACCCGTCCATTGCAGATTGTGTTACTAAATCGTCAAGAGTCGCAGCTATTTCCCATTCAGTCAAAAACTTGTCTGCATTTATAATATAGTCTTCTAAGGACATGCCTACATAGTTGGTATTGTAGCCATATGACAAATAATTATTGACTAATGCGACAACTGTCACCATGTTTTCTTGACTTGGGACTAATGATGGATTATTTACAATAACCCCTGCAAGCCAAGTTGCCATTGTTGTAAACATTTCAGCACTCATCTGCTCAGTTTGGGTCGTCATAGAGTATGCAGCTCCTAGTGCATTTTGCAGTCTATCGTTGTCAACCGTGGTACTTGCAACATAGCTTTGTAAGTCGCTCCACATTTTAGCAAAGAGCTCACTGTCAATAGTTGCAGAGCCGCAGAATAAACTGATACTTGCTGGGACATTATCAGAGTCTATAGTGCTTTCTAAATAAGCTTCCATAAGTGAAGAAGATTCTAGTCTTCTGCTGCTGGCTGCACTAATAGTAAGGGTAATTGAATAATCAGAGCAGGTTACTAAGCTATCACAGACACGAATGGTGACTGCATTTTCATTAGGGAACAAATAGGTCGATAAGTAATTAACCTCAGTCGTGTAACCTAAAGTATAAGTTTTGCCACCAGTGACATCAAGGTAACGGTAGGTTAATGGATAATCTTCTTCATCTTTATCATAGCAGCCATCTACGCTCAGCTTAAAAGAGGTTGTTAATGCATTGCCAGTGGTCGGGTCAGATGCAGCTGTTCCTGTACAAGTCGCTCCTAGGTTAGCGTTAATTGGTAAATGAACTGTAAAGGACTTGCCTTGAGCTGATATAGATAAAGTAAATGTATAGGAGTTCCCTTCAGTCAATGTCCCAGAAGGCAAAGAAACAGTCGACAAATAATTAGGAGAAATTGCTATATCTTGTCCTGAGGTGACTGACCATTGTAAAGTAGGGGAATAGCTCGATGTAACTGAGGCTGAAAACTTGTTAGTCCCTTGTGGGTTGAATTTTTCTGAGCTTAGCACAATTTCTGCTTTGGCTGTTGCAGTGGTGCTGAGAACGGTTAAGGTTACAGTTGCGCTGGCAGTCCTGGTATCTTTAGAAATTGTACATTTGATATCCCATTGGGCGCCTTTTACTAGTCTTGTTGCCGGTATCTTCAAATTTACACTGGCTTCGCTGTCTAAAAGGGTCTTTCCGTCACCTCCTACACATGTGCTAGCGTCAGCTGTATTTGTGCAAGTCCATAAGTAAGTTAAACTTACAGTCGAATCATCAGGATCTTTGCTGCCGCTTGCATCTATCGTATAATCAGAGTCAGGGGATACGTCTCCGCTTGTCTTACTCATTTCCTTTAAATTGGAACAAAAAATCCTGCTCCAATTAGTAGGGTTAATTTGTTTTAAAAAAAATTAATATAAAATTAAAAAATAAAAATTCAATAATTTTATGAATTAAATTAAATATATTAATCAATTCAATTTAAGGTGTTTAAATAGATCCTACTTGAAGCATTCCATTAAATTAACCCAAAACTATTTATCTAAAAATTAATAATTTTATTTAAAGGGCTAAAGTGAAATTTGTTTATGTTTTTTTTTTCATTTTAAAAGGGGGAGTTAGATAACTGTATTGATAAAGGTGAAGAAGTGACTGTAATTGATATAGTAGAATTTCCAGAAATAGAGGCACCGTTATAGGTTTGGGAAGCAATAGCCATAAAGACATATGGGGTATCAGTTTTAGCTGCTAAAGCATTTTTCTTGATTGTCAGTTTGTCGTTGTTAGCGTTTTGGAGGATGGAGGTAGAGTCAATGGTAGGGCCAGAATAGTATTTCCAGGTCCATGAGAAGCTACTGCTGGCAGAATTAGAACAGAGAGTACTGAGTTTTGCCTTTATAGTAGAAGAAGAGCTAGCCTTCATAGAAATACTGTTCCCTTGGTCAAATATGACTGATAGACTGCTTTCTCCAGTCACTGTAGTGACAAGCCAAGCTGAGCTTTTTAGCCCAAAATAGTTAGTTACCTGGAGCGTAAGATTTAGGGTCGTGGTGGTTGAGATATCGAAATAAGACTTAGCGATACTGATAGAAGATGTTTTTTGGGACTTTATGTAGTCGCTTAGCTTGCTGTTTGTAGGAGAAATTGTAGAGGACCAAGCATAGGACATAGAGCCTATTGACATCGTTGATTTTTCACCTGAGTATTTCAATGGTTCTGAAGAAGACCCACAAGATAAAGAAGCACTTGAAGGACCAGTCAAAGCAGCAGTTGGAGAAGGACTTACAGAGGTGGTAGGGACCACAGAAAGTGGCTGATAAGTCAATGAGCAAGAATCGCTTGAGTCTTTTACTAAATATGTCCCATCCAAATACATAGTCTGGCCTCTAAGTGTAAATAAGCTCCCAAGAGCCACTTTAAGCGTCTTTTGGTCAAGCCAGCTACAAACAGGCCCAGTTCCCAGTAGTCCTAGTGTCGTCGAATTAAACACCTTAGAGCAGGTTGGATCTAGCTTGGTATCAACTTTTGCATTGAAATATATATTTATTGAAGTCCACGTCGTGCTGAAACTTGCTGATTTTACATCAGTCGATGCCAAGTATTTCTTACACCCTATGCATTTGTTAAACATCAAGGTATAGCCACTATTACAGACACAAGTCTTACTCCCCTCCATGACTGAGCAAAAAAACTCGCTCATTCACGCAGAGGGGCTGATTTTTTTTTTAATTTAAAATCCAATTAATTTAATTTGCAAAATTTAAGTCAAGCTCTTAAAATTTCAACAGAATTTGTTTAAGATCCCATTATAATAATTTTCTGGAGGGTTTAAGTTTAAGTTTAATGAATTACTCTAGCATATTGCCATCAGTCTTCTTTTACTTGAGGGTCCAAGCTATATTAACAGCTCTGAACGACGGTAGATGGACCGGCCTAACCGTCGAACCGTTAAGTTAATCAGCCTCAATGCTGACCTCTTCTCTTCAAGCCGAGACTCTCAAGAAGCTTAACTTCTCTCACTAAGACCCTTACCTGGTTAACAGGAGTTAGGACCTATCCCTAACTGACATTTTTAATATTGTAACTTTCAATTAATATATTTTTATATTAAGTTATTTTAATGATTTAAATCGTGCACGGACGGGGAGTTAGAATTGGAATCAAATGAAGAATTGGCAGTACAAGCACATTTTGACCCTGTTAGTTCTGCATTAGTGACACATTTAGTGCATTTATTTCCATCGTCAGTATTGCATTCAGTGCAAAGAGAGTTGCAGTTAGCGGCACAATAGCCGGTGATGGAGCTGCTAGTTAGAGTATATCCTGAATCGCAGCTGCAGAGCTTGGTGGAAGCATCAAGGGTGGCATGGGCTCGACAAGAGGAACAGACGGATTCGCTTGAACAAACTTTGCATGGAGCTTTGCAGAGCTCACAGTCGGTAGAGGATTTGTAATAGCCAGATTTGCAGGTGCAAGTAAAGGCTGTTTTATCATAAGTCGCGAGTTCAGTACATGAAGTACATTTTGTTGCTGTGGTATGGCTTGGGAATGCTATTAGAGTACTCTTAATAAAAAATCTTATCATTAATAAAGAGCACTTTTTATAAAATTTATATCAAATTTTTAAAATTTAATTTTTTATTTTAAAAATTTTTTTAAAATTATAAACAATAAAAGTATTTATTTCTTTATAAGTGAAATTAATATAATATTTTATAATGAACCTAAATATTTAGAAAGAGCTTTTTAAATTTATACTAAAAATAAAATTAAATAGGGCAAATACATTCAAATTTATTTTATTTCAGCTTTTAAAATAAAACCTAAAACTTCTAATTACAGACACTCTAGCAGCAAGCCTAGCCTATACAAGTTGCACAAGGCTTGGTACAAGCATGACAACTACCTCCTTGATAATAAAATCCATCAGGACAGCAGCTTCCAGTTGGGTTAAACACTGTAGTCTTCACAGAAAACTGTTCATCACATTTCATACAATCCCCTGTCCCATCAACACACTCAAAGCAATAACTTTGACATGCCTTGCAAGTAGTATCCCAATATTTCCCTGAAGCACAACAAGAAGTCGGCTTAATTCCTGCTTTTGCTCTAAATGAGAATTTTTTGCTGCAAATGCACAGTCCAGTCACATCTTCACAGCTTGTAACGATGACCCCCCCTTCAATCTTCATGTCTATTGCAACAAAAATTCAATTTTTTAATATAAAATTTTATATAAAAAAAATAATAATTTTCATGTCTCTTGATACAAATTATATACATTAAATGGCGACGCGTGTCAATCTGCCCTCTTGGCGCAGAAGTCCAGACCTTATGGCTACAGCGAACTGGACGGACTCCGAGCCAAGAATCAGACGCAGGCTCAAGAAGTGTGTATCCGGGTAGGTTTTGGCTGCTTTCCTGTGATTGGAAATGGAGGTGCTCAACAACGTCCTTGGATCCAAGTACCAATGGGTATTCCTCTAACGAGAAATTGGGGTTTCAGCCCAGGCCACAGGGGAACAGTCTTTTCCCGGTAGCTGTCGAAGGAAGGCACTTTGATACCCAATAGACTCCAAGAGCTGATCTTTGGAATCAAGTTACTCCAATCGCCCTTAGCAGGGCCGCAGAAATCCATAAGCCGCCCACTCAAGACTGAACTCCCAAGGCAAGGAGGAGACAGAAGGTACCGGAAGGGCACTCAGAAGAGGGATAGATCCTCTGGACTGGAGTCGAAAAGCAGTAGAACTTTCCGTACGGGAGGTCTTTAATGACTGCGTCATCAATATGGCTAGCGTCTGTCTGTAATAATCTTAATCATAATCCTCTTGCAACAAATTTTCGATGCGCATTTTAAATTTTTCCGTACTTTTTAGCTAGTTAGGTTTAATAAAATGGCGAGCGATGGCAATAGCCGTCCAAATCTCGATGAGAAGGTCATTGAACGCCTACAGTAGCGCTGTTTTATGGTTTTTTTGAGAAACTCACCTAGAGAAAAATGCATTAATTTTTTTATAAAATGCTGTATTGCAGTAGGCATGAAGATTTTTTTCAAAAAATCTTTGTTGCAGTAGACATGAAGATTGAGGGGGGGGGGTCATCGTTACAAGATGCTGCGCAGGATTCGCACTTTTTGGTTGTATCATTCCAGAATTTTCCAGCCGCACAACAACTGGTCTTTTTGGCTGAAGCTTTAGCACTAAATTTAAATTTATTTGAGCATTGTAAACAGTCAGCTGAGACGTCCTCACATATATCACAGTTAGTAGCACAGTTGAGGCATTTTTTCTGGGAATTGTTGTAGTATTGGTTGGTGGCTGAACAACAGCTGGGAACTTTTTTAACCCCTGCTACGGCGTGTATTTTAACCTTTTTGGAGCATGCAAAGCAGTTTCCAGTGATATTTTCGCAGGTGTCACAATTTTGGTCAGGGCAAGGCTGGCACTGTAATGCTTGGCTCTTATAGTATTTGCCTGCAGCACAGCAAGTACCGACATTGACTCTTAAGGAGTGTCCTTTGAAGTATTTTTCACAGTTAATACAGTCTCCTGAGACATCTTGACACATAAGACAGTGGGTTCCTGGACAGACATCGCATTGATTATTACTGGTCCAATATTTATTATCGTCTGCGCAGCATGATGTCTTTTTAAGCTTGGCCTTTACGCCTCTTATTTTCATCAAATTAGAGCATTGTATGCAGGAGCCATCACCATCGTTACAATAGTCGCAGTTTGTTGGGCAATTAATGCAGGAGGACCCAGAAGTGGGCCAATATTTCCCATCTATACAACAGCTTGGCTGCTTTTTCACTTTAGCAACGACTCTTGGGAATTTAACTTTTGTGGAGCATGCTAAACAGTTTCCTGTAATATTTTCGCAGAAATCACAATTTGTGTCAGGGCATGCCGAACAGCCAACGCTCGCCTTGTAGTAATTGCCTGGATCACAACAAGTACCCACATTGACTTTTAATGAGCTTCCTTTGAAGTATTTTTCACAATTAATACAGTCTCCTGAGACATCTTGGCACATAAGACAATGACTGCTGCAAGTGTCGCATTGATTATTACTGGTCCAATATTTATTATCGTCTGCGCAACATGATGTCTTTTTCACCTTGACTTTTATGTTTCTGAATTTCATTAAATCAGAGCATTGTATGCAGGAGCCATCTCCATCATTACAATAATCGCAATTTGTTGGGCAAGAAGTGCAGGAACTTCCACCAGTTGGCCAATATTTCCCATCTATACAACAGCTTGGCTGCTTTTTCACTTTAGCAACAACTTGAGGGAATTTAACTTTTTTGGAGCATTCTATGCATTTTCCTGTAATATTTTCGCATAAATCACAATTATTGACAGGACATGTCTGGCAACCAGCACCACTGCTCTGGTAGTATTTGCCTGGATCACAGCAAGTACCCACATTGACTTTTAATGAGCTTCCTTTGAAGTATTTTTCACAATTAATACAGTCTCCTGAGACATCTTGGCACATAAGACAATGGCTGCTGCAAGTGTCGCATTGATTATTACTGGTCCAATATTTATTATCGTCTGCGCAACATGATGTCTTTTTCACCTTGACTTTTATGTTTCTGAATTTCATTAAATCAGAGCATTGTATGCAGGAGCCACCACCATCATTACAATAATCGCAATTTGTTGGGCAAGAAGTGCAGGAACTTCCACCAGTGGGCCAATATTTCCCATCTATACAACAGCTTGGCTGCTTTTTCACTTTAGCAACAACTTGAGGGAATTTAACTTTTTTGGAGCATTCTATGCATTTTCCTGTAATATTTTCGCATAAATCACAATTATTGACAGGACATGTCTGGCAACCAGCACCACTGCTCTGGTAGTATTTGCCTGGATCACAACAAGTACCCACATTGACTTTTAATGAGCTTCCTTTGAAGTATTTTTCACAATTAATACAGTCTCCTGAGACATCTTGGCACATAAGACAATGGCTGCTGCAAGTGTCGCATTGATTATTACTGGTCCAATATTTATTATCGTCTGCGCAACATGATGTCTTTTTCACCTTGACTTTTATGTTTCTGAATTTCATTAAATCAGAGCATTGTATGCAGGAGCCACCACCATCATTACAATAATCGCAATTTGTTGGGCAAGAAGTGCAGGAACTTCCACCAGTGGGCCAATATTTCCCATCTATACAACAGCTTGGCTGCTTTTTCACTTTAGCAACAACTTGAGGGAATTTAACTTTTTTGGAGCATTCTAACTCATAAATCGACAATATGCATTATATAATGAAATTACAGGAATATTTGGTTTTTTAAAATTAATTCTTGGTAATTTTTTTAATTAGACTATAATTCATTATTTAAAAAATAATATATATAAAATCCAGAAAATAAATCAATTATATAGTCTTATAAACATTTAGGCATTTTCTGAGAGTGAGGAGTATGCATTTCCCTGTAATATTTTCGCATAAATCACAATTATTGACAGGACATGTCTTGCAACCATCAGCGCCGCTCTTGTAGTATTCGCCTGGATCACAACAAGTACCCACATTGACTTTTAATGAGCTTCCTTTGAAGTATTTTTCACATTTCATACAGTCTCCTGAGACATCTTGGCACATAAGACAATGACTGCTGCAAGTGTCGCATTGATTATTACTGGCCCAATATTTATTATCGTCTGCGCAACATGATGTCTTTTTCACCTTGACTTTTATATTTCTGAATTTCATTAAACCAGAGCATTGTATGCAGGAGCCACCACCATCATTACAATAATCGCAATTTGTTGGGCAAGAAGTGCAGGAACTTCCACCAGTGGGCCAATATTCCGCATCATTGATACAGCAGCTTGGCTGCGTTTTTATTTTAGCAACAACTTGTGGTAATTTTACTTTTTTGGAACATTCTATGCATTTCCCTGTAATATTTTCGCATAAATCACAATTATTGACAGGACATGTCTTGCAACCATCAGCGCCGCTCTTGTAGTATTCGCCTGGATCACAACAAGTACCGATATTAACTTTTGGGGCGATTCCTTTGAATGTTTTTTCACATTTCATACAGTCTCCTGAGACATCTTGGCACATAAGACAATGGCTGTTGCAAGAATCGCATTGATTATTACTGGTCCAATATTTATTATCGTCTGAACAACATGATGTCTTTTTCACCTTGACTTTTATGTTTCTGAATTTCATTAAACCAGAGCATTGTATGCAGGAGCCATCTCCATCATTACAATAATCGCAGTTTGTTGGGCAAGAAATGCAGGAACTTCCACCAGTGGGCCTATATTCCGCATCATTGATACAACAACTTGGCTGCGTTTTCACTTTAGCAACAACTTGTGGCAATTTTACTTTTTTGGAACATTCTATGCATAGTCCTGTAATATTTTCGCATAAATCACAATTATTGACAGGACATGCCTGGCAGCTGCCGCTCTTGTAGTATTTGCCTGGATCACAACAAGTACCGATATTAATTCTTGGGGCACTTCCTTTGAAGTCTTTTTCACATTTTATACAGTCTCCTGAGACATCTTGGCACATAAGACAATGGCTGTTGCAAGGATTGCATTGGCCTGCGTTCCAATATTTATTATCGTCTGCACAGCATGATGTCTTTTTTAGCTTGACTTTTGCGCCTCTGAATTTCACAAGATTAGAGCATTTTATGCAAGACCCATCGCCATCTGCACAATCATTGCAATTATCTGCGCAGGTAGTACAAGCACCTGATCCGCTTGGTTTATATTTGTTATCAAGACAACAACTTGGCATTTTTTTATGGCCAACAGTGATTGCTGGGAATTTTACTTTTTTGCTGCAAGTAAGACAGTTTCCAGTCACATTTTGACAGTCATCACAGTTTGTATCAGGACATGTGACACAGGCGGGTGGAACAGCAGTTAAACTATAATAGGTATTTCCAGAACAGCATGTGCTTACGTCCACTATTGTAGCACCCTTGACTTTCTTTGAGCAAGAAATACAATCCCCTGTCACATCTTTGCACTCCAAACAATTATCAGAACAGTTCACACAAGAACTGCCAGTTCTGTGTTTTCCTGAGTCACAACAGCTGGTTTTCTTAAGTTTTACCTTCACACCTGCCATTTTGACTGTATTTTTGCATTGGATACAGGCAGTTCCATCTCCTCCGTCTTGGCAGCTTGCACAATTAGTATCAGGACATGGCTTGCATTGGTTGTCTGGCGTTTTCCAAAATTCATTAGAATTTGAGCAACAACTGGTTTTTTTGACGTGTACAACTAAATTTGAAGGCAGTTTTAACTTTTTCTTGCATTCAAGACAAGTGGCACCATTGGTGGCGCCGTCACTGCAGATATTACAATTGGTATCTTGGCAATTCATGCAAGTGTTTCCAGCAGTTCCTCCGTTAAATTGTCCATCAAGGCAACATGAAGTCTTTTTGATCTTAATAATGGCTCGACCTTTTAACTTTTGTGAGCATTTAATACAGTTACCAGTAGTATCAGCACAGGAATCACAATTGGCACCACAGTCTTGACACAATTGATTTGAATTGTAGTATTTTTTGTCTGCACAACAAGATGGGGACTCCTTGGCCTTGATTTTGGTCTTCATTTTCATTTTTTGAGTAGTGGCACAGGAAGTGCATAAAGATTGGGTTGCATCATAAAATTCGCCTTGGTTAGGACAGTTTTGGCAAGTACTTCCATCGAACCAATCTGCATCAGTGGCACACTGGCAAGTAGTTCCGCTTAAAGTTTGAGAGCCTTTGCATTTGCATTTGTTCATGTCTGCGCCTGTGCCGATTTCCATTCTATTTGGGTCCATACACTGTAAGCATGCCTGGGTAAAGTCGGCACAATAAGCACATAAGTCACCACAAGTGACACAAGTACTTCCATCAGCATTACTAGACTTACCTGGAGGGCAAGAAGCTGGTGTGGTAAGGGCTCTCCAATGAGGGTTTTCAGAAGTAAAAGGAGAAGACTCTGTGGGCTCTTTATATAATCCTTCAGATTTTGGAAGTTGTCAAGGGACTTTACCTTTGTCATTAGAAGGCAGTGAGTCGTGAACTTCCGAAGCTTGAAGCAGCACAACTGATAAAAGACAGCAGAAAAGAAGCTGACTTCGCATATTTATAAACCTTAATTTTTAGTCATGAATTTCTGGATAATAAAAATATGGGATAACATTTTTTTCAGAGGCTTGGAATTAGGAAGACTTAATAGGCAAGCCAAATAAATTTTAAAACTTTTGTATATACAAGGACTAAATAAAAAAAATTATAAGGGACGTTTTGATGTTTAGGAAGTTTTCGGCTGTAGAAATCCAGCAGGTGGCTTGGGAATGCTAGATTTTAGTTTTAGGACAAGTTGGTGGGAAAAGGGAGGTCTTGGGTTGCTTTTGAAATTTTTTCACCTTTGAGAACTTTTTAAAATATTGCATATTGAGCAATTGTCTGGGGTGTCTGGCGAGTAGACCCAACCTCAAGCAAGCAGATTCCATAATTTAAGAAAGTCAGGGTGGGTTTTTGCCAGGTCAGATCTTAGCAGGGGTATTTTTTCTTTGTCCCATGAATGATAAAGAGAAGATGTAAAGTCAGACATACTTCAGGCAAACAATTTTATACCTATTAAGGCAGTAATAAAGAAGGAAGCAGTAGGTGTCCTGAGCACTACAAAGACTAATAGATCCTCTGTCATAGAGCATGGTCAAGCTTAGCCAGGAGATGTTAGGCTTTGCCTTATAAAATTAAAAATCTAATTGTTTATGGAAAGAAGAAGGATAGGTCTTATATTTACCTGGCTTTAAAGAAGTAATAATAAATTGCATAGAATTTAATAAATCTAATCATAATTGTATCGAGTTTAATCGAATTCTACTCATAGGCTTAGTTTTGAATATCAGAGAGCTGGTGAATTTTAGGCAAAACCCTTATGTGTTGACCTTTTAAGTTAAGCAAAGGATAAAGGATAAAGAATTAAAATTAAAATATATTTTTACTCTGAAGAAAAGCTGTCGATATAGATTAAATAATTATTAGAAATTGATTGCATTTTTAGATTGAATCAGTTACGCTTCTAAAAAAAAATTGAAAAATTTTTAGGCTATGTGATTGATTTTGATTCCAAAATCATAAAATTTATATTATCTAATTCAATAAATGCTTTTTTGTTTGCCATCTAAGTTTTATATGCATGATTTACTTTATATTAGAAATTGTTAAAAATAGTATTTTACGCCGAAAAATTGTTAACAGTTTTCATATTTGCTTAAAGCCGAACTTCCGATATTGAGGGAAATATTTTCTATAGCTTATATAGTGGAAGTTCTAGTTAATTGAATAAAAAAAAACAAACAATAAGCCTCATAACCTTATTTAATTCTTTTAAAGCTTACTAAGAAAGCTTTTTTATCATTTCTTGACAAGAAAAATTCATTGAAAAATTAGTGAATTCCTTTAACCAAAATTATTTCAATCTTAGACAAAATTCACAACTTCAGCGAGAATTTTTCAATCAGAAAAGATGACAGACGACCACCTTAAACAGCCTTAAAGCAGCTGAAAATGCCAGAAAATTGTTCTGAATAAAATTACTTCAGTAGATTTTAGAATCATAAGTTGAAAGAAAATTGGCGAAACTCTAGACTGCCTGAATAAAAATTTTCTGTTTTATTCCAAATTTGCCTTGAAGAAAATAATAAAAATATAAATAGAGCATGATCTGGTTGTTTAAAAATAAAAAATCAGCAAAGAAATAGATAAAACTAATAAAAAATAATCGATAGCAACTAAAATTTAGTGAATATAAAGAATTACTCGAAGAAATTCAATTAAGAAATATCAATAAAATAGGAAATATTTTATAACTAGCAAGAAATAATAAAATTTCATTTTAAGAAACCTTATTAGGCCAGTTGATCTTACTATTTACCACCAATTACTCCTATTCACTACTAATTTCATAAGTATAACTCTCTTCAAAATTATTTTCCGGAGTCTTGAAATCAAAAAACCCTTTAACACGGCCTAAAATTTCACTTATCCCATTTACACTTTCATTAATACAATTCATTCTCATCCATACAGGGCGCTTATAAAATGTATGCCTTTCGTCCACCAATAAAATTACAGCATAATCATTTGCATGCCTAATTGCTCTTCCTATTGACTGATTTATAGTTTTATGACAATTCGTCTCATAGAAAACTCTTCCATTAAATCCAGTATTTTTTGAGTCTAAAAAATTAATTCTTTCTTTAACTTCTATATCAAAACAATTTAAATAAGGTAACCCAACCATTATAATGCACCTGCCCAGCTCATCACTAAAGTTAATTCCTTCACTTAATTTACCTCTCGCGACTGCAAAAAGTATGGCACCTTCTCCTTGGGCGCAGCTTGAATACTGGTCTAAAATATTCTCATTTCTCTTATCGTAAAATATTTTTTTATATTTTTGGATTTTTTTAGCACAATCACTATTTATATAGTTCTGCAATTTTCCTAAAAAACTGAAAGAGGGCAGGAAAACAACGATTCCATTAGGAACCACCTGACTTACGTCAGTTATCAGCTCACAAAGGTCAGTCATCATTATAAGATCGTCTCGTTTCTCAAATACAAATTTAAAAGGTCTGCCACTTTTCCCTTTAGGCACTATAGAAACTAATAAATTTTCTGGAGGAATCACATGGCCGCATGAAAAAAAAGCCATTTCTGAGCGAGGGATGTCTTCAAAAAGATCTATAAATTCTTCTTGAGGCTCAATTGTGCCTCCGATTAGGATAATGCATCGTACTGCTTTTAAAATAGATCTGAAGGGAATTATTGGATTTAGCAGCAAATATTTTATTTTAGGATCAGCTCCTTCACACCTATCATAAATTATGCAGGAATCTGTAGGGTCGTTTATAAAGCACTCTAAAAACTCAATAAAATAGTAAAAATACGTCTTATCGTGTGAAGAAAGATTACCAAATCCCATAACTTTTCTAGCTAAATCGTCTTTTTCTATAAATTTAAGAATTTCATCATATCTGCCTCTCCCAAAGCTATATTTCTTAATAAAATCGTTTACTGGGATCGAAAGGCCTTTTTTTGTAGGGTCCTTCATGGCTCAACTAATAAATCCATCTAATTTTCTTATAAACTGTAAAATATAGTTAACACGGCTTGCTTTTTCAGAACTCCAGCCACTTCAGTAATGATAATAATATTCGCTTAAAGTCTTTTTGCATTGCTTTATTTGGCTATTTGTCAAAGAAGCTGAGTATGCGTCGATTGTTGATTCTATCAAATTATGAGCTTCGTCTATGATAAGAATAGAGTTTTGTAAATTTATTTTGGAGCGATTACGTATTCTTTTGTTAAGAATTGATAAATAGGGGGCTATAATAACTTCTGCTTCTTCAATAGCAAGCCTTGAGCCATAATATGGGCAGCCATGCTCTCTTCTGCCAGCTATTAATAGATCTTCAATATCACGTATTTCATTGATTATGTGCTCACATATGCGTTTGGCTCCGCTAAAATATGAACAATGAATTTCTCTTTGTTTTGGCTTTTTATTTTTTATATTTTTATTCTCTAATTCTTCATTTTCTTCTTCCTTATATTCAATTTCGGCTTCTACCATCATTTTTTCTTCTTCCGGGTCTTTTTTAGCTTCTTCTAATTGCATTTTCTCATTTAATTCGCCTTCTTCTTTATCTGTGTCTTCATCTGTGTCGTCATAATACGCTTCTCCTATCATTTCTTTGCATTTATGATCAATTTCATATGAATTTTTGAATTCTTCAAGCTCTGGGTTGATACAAAATTGCTTTCTTGATCCGACTCTGACAGCCCGAATTTTGTCTTCTCCTTGACCTCAAATTGTTTTTTTAATTTCAGAAATAAATTGGTCTAACTGTAAATGAGTTCTACTTGTGTATACAATTTTTGGAAAATATTGACTTATTGCGTGCTTTTTTTTGCGATAATTCTTGCTAGGCCGAGGATAGTTCTGATCACGAAGCCACTTGAAGGATGAGCTAATTATGCTTAGCGATTTTCCTGTTCCTGTTGGGCTTTCAAAAATTCCAACCTTTTTAGTGTCAAGGGTTCTATAAAGCTCATTCATGAGATCAAGCTGAACATCGTAAGGCTTATAAGGAAAATTAAAAGTTTGCTCCATTTAAATATAAGAAAAATCAATGAAGTGCTTCAGTCAAGTCGCTTATGAAGTTCAATAATAAACAGTTATATTTACTTGTACGGGAAATCAAAATAAATAATCAGGTTTTTCCCAAAAAACAATATAAAGGAGTGAAATCATTAAATGGGTGGATGCTATAAATACTATTTTGCAGCTGTAACTCTGCATTACAATAGAATATAATCATTTGGTTGATAAGTTTCTTTCAATCCCAAAATAAATAGCTTCATTGATTCGTTATTTTCGTATCATCTAGATTTTTTAAGTTAAATGAGTAATCGAAAAATAATAAATAGTAGAAATATGGATAAAAAACGATGCTTTGGACCATGCTGTAGACTCAATGTCGAATATGCATGCAAATGTACTTCTCCTGAAACTTATTTATGCGAGGAGCACTTAACAGAGCATTGCAAGAAAACTCAAGTAACTCATCCCTTTTATCATTTATCTGTAAACACTTTTGAAGGAACTATAAAAGCAATTCTTGACTTTTTTGAGGGGGAGTTGGCTGAAAAAACCAAAATTAAAAGCAAGTTAATAGTTTGCCTTGGTCAAACCATTTCTGGCTTGGAAAATACCCTCAAAATGCTTTTAAAAGAGATTGACTCTGATTTCGACAAATTAAACATGTATATTGAAAATCCTTCTAATTTTCATCACTTTTCTTATAATGGCCTAGAAACAGTTGAGAAAGTTCGAGAATGATGTGCGAGCATCTTAACCCCTACCGAGGTTTTTCATTCATATGGCGAAATGGCAAAGAAAATTGATAAGATGATAAGAAACTTAAATAAAACAATAGTTGATTGTATTCAAAATAGAGGAACTTCAAAATCAAAGAAAATTGAACAAAATGATGAAATTAGTGCTGAGGCAGAACCTGGTTTAATTCAAATAGAACAAATTGAAGAAAATGATAAAAATAATAGAAATTTACATGATGAGGTGGTCCCATATAGCCAAAACAGAGAAGCGGCTCAGGTTAATTCAAATGAAGATGTCTCATACAATGAAATAGGAAATATTTTATATAATGAATATGCATATGAGGACGCAATAAAAAGCTATAATGAGGCAATTAAAATTGATCAAAACAAGTTTTAAATTAGTTTATATTATTATTGAATAACTCTTGAATAGTCATGTTGGCTTCATCACTCTATCGCTTTTCAGCCTGAGCACCAATATTATTGCGTTCCTTTTCTCAGGCAAGGGCTTGCGCTCTCAACTTGAGATTTAGGAGAATAGGTTATTATGTTGAGTGCCAGCATGGCTATCTTTTCATGAAATTAAAAGAGCGAATTTTCTGGTTAGGTCGCCGAAAAAGATGAAGCACGTCCTCCAGGCCCAATTCCAGGCATCTTTGAGATGCTCGCTTTTCTTTACTTCAAAGTTCCGTCTCCCTACAAGTAAAAAGCTGATTGGATATGAGCTCTGGGTCAGTCATCTCAGCACTGCTGCTCCACTGAAAACAAGTAAATCAGGCTGGACACCAATTAAACTCTGCTCTCCTTTCCACAAGGTCCTACAGATGTTAAAAAGGGGAAGGTTAATTCTCCATGCCATTTTTTATGTGTGGTCAAAACAATTCAGTTTATTATATAAACAAAGCGAAGGCTCTAACTCCCGCATTTTTAAATTGGAACAAAATATCTGCGAAATTTTCCCCCTTAAATTGAAAAAAAAGTTTCTTCTTCATATTAATTTTTATAAATTAATTTAACAGAAAAAAACACAAATAGAATGTCATTAGCAGCTTTCTTACTGAATCTATTAAATTTTTGAAATTTATGTTTAATTTATAACTTCTCCTTAATTAGAGCTGGATTGTTCTAATTTTAAAGGTGAGGATTAAATAAGCTAGGCAAAAAAGAAGAAGCCTTAGGGTCTTTTAGTCAAGCTGCTAAAATTGATCCAGATAACGAGGAGCTCATAAAGCCTTATAATAAAGCTACCCTAGTTGAACAAATTAATGATTTGGAATGCATAGATATCGGAAATACTTTCTATGGCAGAAAAAAATATGAAGAAGCTTTAAAATATTATAACATTGCCATAAAAATTAACCCAAATAATGGCAATCTTTATAAATACAAAGGAGATGCTTTAAAGGGTTTAAATAGAAACAAAGAAGCTATAAACTACTATAATCAAGCTATTTGAATCAATCCAAAAGATCATAATGCTTATAATGGGATCGGAATTATTTACTCTGCTGAAAAGAAATATCAAGAGGCCATAAAATACTATAGCGATGCCATTAGGATAAACCAAAATAACGAAGTCTATTATTTCAATAAAGGAGATGCTCTAATGGAGTTAGGAAGAAACCAAGAAGCCAAGGAATTCCTCAACAAAGCTATTAGCATTTGTCCAAGATATGATAAAGCATATAATAGCTTGGCAAATATCTTTAAAAGAGAAAAGCAATATCCAGAAGCTATAGGATATTATAATAAAGCAATTGAAATTAACCCGAATTGTGCAGCCTATTTTTTAAATAAAGGAATAGCTCTTAGTGAAATTAAAAGAAACGAGGAAGCTATTGAGTGCCTAAAGCAAGCTCTTAGACTCTATCCAAATTATAAAGAAGCATATAATAACTTAGTCCCCCTCCGTGAGCGAAGAAAAACTATGGAAAAGTCTCTATTTTTTACCCTCCATGAGCGGACAAAATTTTTTTGAAAAAAATATTTGATATATGAATTATAATTAGAATAATGAAATCTCTAGCTAATTTGTTTAATTTTAAACAGCTCACATTTTAAAACATAAAAAATAAATTAATATAATTTTTACTTTTTCAATTTTTTCCATTTTATAATTTTTTTCAAATTTTTAAAAAAAATTACCATAAAATTATACATAATGCTTTTTTTAAAAAAAAAAACTTACCCTCCCATGAAAGAACAACAGTTTTTTGTTTCCTCATGGGGGAATTAGGGAAATATATTTTATCAAGAAAAAAAATATCAAGAAGCTGTAGTAAACTACAGTGAAGCAATTAGAATAGAGCCAAATATTTCAATTTATCACTTGAATAAAGGAAATGCTCTAATTAAGCTATCGAGAAGCAAAGAGGCAGCAAAATGCTTTAATGAAGCTATCAGAATTGACCCAAATGATGCTGAAATATGCAATATAATAGGAAACAATTTCTATGATGAAAAAAAATATGAAGAAGCATTAGATTTTTATTCCAGAGCTATCGGAATAAATCCTAGCAATGCAAAATATCATAAAAATAAAGGAGATGCGTTCGAAAAATTAGAAAGGAATGACGAAGCTATAGATAGCTATCATCAGGCTATTAAATGTGACTCAAACTATGCTATGGCATATAATCTTATTGGAAATCTGCTTTATTATAACTACCAATATGAAGAGGCAATAGCATACTACAATAATGCTATTAGAATCAGCCCCGAGTATTCAATTTACTATCGTAATAAAGGGGATACTTTACGTGCATTAGGCCGAAATAGAGATGCTATAGATTTATATAATCAAGCTCTTCTAATTGATCCTAATAGCAGCATGGCATATCTTGGCCTTGGAAATGTCTTTTGTAACGCAAAAAGGCATAAAGAAGCACTGAGCTATTTTAATGAAGCGATCCGTATCGATCCTAACAATCCTGCTTTCTATACACACAAAGGAACAGCCCTTAGCGAACTAGGTAGAAAAGATGAAGCTATGGAGTGCTTTAACGAAGCAATTAGAATTAATCCGAATTATGCTAAAGCATATAGTAGCATCGGATTAATGTATCATAACGATAAGAGGTATAAAGAAGCTATAATACAATTTAATAATGCAATTAGAGCCAATAAAAAAGATCCGCAGCTCTATTTAGAAAAAGGAAACACTCTAAAGGAGCTAGGACAAAAAGATGAAATGATGGGTTGCTATTATGAAGCTATTAGAATTAACCCAAATTTTGATACAGCATACAATAACATAGGATATATATTTGGTGAGGAAGGAAATTATGAAGAAGCAATAAAATATTACGATCAAGCTATTAGACTTAACCAAAGAGTGGCAGCTTATTATAGAAATAAAGGAATTGCTTTAAGAAAGCTCAATAGAGCGGAAGAAGCAATTGAGTGTGATAATGCAGCTAATAGTATAGAAAGTGAGTCCAGAATAACTATCTAAATAATAAGCAGAGATAAAAAAGCATTTGTTAAATCTTGCTCTATGGCAAAAATTAGAGATAATTAAAACTTTTTATATTCTAAAATGGCAATACCTAAAAGCTACATATTTATCGGCCAGAATCCTCACTTTCAATTTTGGCTATAAGGATTGGTTTTGCATTGGAGTTCTATCATACTGAGGCTTGTAAGCAATTTTATTGGAAGGGCCTTACCTTGAACAGTCTTTAAAAAAGTAAAATAATTAATTTTTTCACCTAGCTGCATCATCAGAACTTTAGTGATCAAGAAACTGGAATAAGTCAGTTGTGAATTTTCGAAGATTACAATATTATTCTAGAGCATACGCTGGTGAAGCAAGGAGACTATGCCTGAGCTTTGTGGGCGCCGGGCGCAGAAGAATGACTAGGAATTCTAAGATAGCCTGCGAGGGACATAAAGCGAATAATTTAAGTTAGAAGTCAAAAATATAAATTAATTAGAATGCTTCAGATGATTTATGAGGATTAATTGTAATAGTTTTTTTACTTTTCCATAAATAAAATATTTTTAGTAGAGGTAATAGGTAGCTTCATTCGATTACAAATAACTCAATCTTATTTATCAGAAATATAATTTTTATAAATTCCCCAAGTTGAATTTTGCATATTTAACAGTAATTATTTAATCTTTATATAATGTTGACCCTTGCTAATCACCAGTATATGATCTAAAAAATTATTAAATGCATTTAAAATCGATAGTTTAATAGAAAATACTCTTATCACAAAGCAAATATATTACAAATCATCCAAACAATGCCATTATTCAAAGCATAAAATTCATTAAAATACACCTGTTTATTGAGTTCGTGATCTATTGAAGTGCCTAAAACTAATGATGCTAACTACATTTAGCATTAATATTGTATAATTTTAGAAAATTCGTAGAATAATAGAAAATGAGCACCATGAAATGCTTTAAGCCAGAATGCAAGCAAGAAGTAGAATATGTATGCAGATGCACTTCTCCTGAGATATACTCCTGCAAAAAACACTTAGCAGAGCATTGCAAATCGACAAACAAAATTCACTTTTCTGACGCTATCGTTTTGACGCTTGTTGAAGGATCGAAAAAAGCAGTTCTTGAGCTTCTTGAACAAGAAAAGGTTATAATAGGTGCCACAAAAACCCAATTAATAGCTACCGTTGGCGAAACTTTATCAAATATAGGAAATCGCTTTAAAGAGCTTCTTAAAGAGCTGGACTCTGGCTTATCAAAAGTAGAGGATTTCTACGAAAATATAATTTCAGCAAAAAGAATAACGAAAGTGGACCCAGTTTTAAGCTTGCTAGCTTTAGATCCTGGTTCTGCTATTGAAAAAATTAAAGAAATGATACCAGAGAGATCAAGTTCCATCGATTGTGCTAGAGATTTTTGTGCCGTGAGTAACGAAATTGATAAGATGCTACAAAATTTCAAAAAGAAAGTACCTAATGTTTCTCAAGAACCCAAAAAATTCAAAAAAATTCAAAATACTCCACTCTCCATAGAACCAAATAGCAAGTCTCTATATCCTTGTGAAAATCATGCAATTCCAGATGACCCAAATGAAGATGCAACCCAAAATGCAATAGGAATTACTTTATGTGAGGATAAAAGGTATACTGAGGCAATTCCAGCTTTCGATAAGGCAATAAAAATTAACCCAAATTGCGCAGTTTATTACATTAACAAAGGAGATGCCCTATTGGAACTAAAGAAACTAGGAGAAGCTAAAACCTGCTATGATTTAGCTACTAGGCTTAATCAAGACCAATACAAGGATAAATTATACAATGGCATAGGAACTATCTGCTATAAAGAAAAGAAATATGAAGAAGCTCTAAATCACTTTAACAATGCAATAACAATAAATCCGCACTGCTCACTTTATTATAGAAATTTAGCAAACTCTCTAAAAGAGTTAAATAGAACAGATGAAGCGAAAGGCTGGTACCATGAAGCCATTATTACTAATCAAAACGATGACGAAGCATACTATGAATTAGGAAATATTTTATATTTAGAAAAGAAATATGAAGAAGCTCTTTCTAATTATACCAATGCTATTAGGATCAACAAAAATAATGCTAACTATTATAAACAAAAAGGACACGTCCTGAAAGAGCTAAATAGAGCAGCTGAAGCAAAGGACTGCTATAATAATGCAATAAGAATAAACTCAAATGATGATGAAGTATATAATCGCCTAGGAATTATTTTGAAAGATGAAAAAAAGCTTGATGAAGCATTAAAAACTTACGACAATGCTATTAGAATTAATCCAAAATGAGAGTATTATAGAAACAAAGGAAATGTTTATGAAGAATTGGGCAAGTTAGAAGATGCTAAAGGATGTTATAATACAGCTCTTGAAAAAAATCAATATGACGATTTTTCATATAATGCTATTGGAAATATCTTAAAAAGCTCTGGTCAATATGATCAAGCAATACTTTGATATGATAGTGCTATCACGTGTGACCCAACTTGCACTTTATATTATAGAAATAAAGGGAATCTCCTAGCTTTATTAAGAAGAAAAGATGAGGCTTTTGAATGTTTATACAAAGCACTAGAAATTGATCCGCGTGCAGATGCAGTGTGCAACGACATAGGGAATATTTATTATAATGACAAAAAATATAGAGAAGCTTTAGAATATTATGAATACTCTATAAATCTCAACCCAGAAAATGCAGCTTATTATAGAAATAAAGGAAAAGCTCTTGTTGAGTTAAAAAATAGAGCAAATGCTATTGAATGTTTTAACAGTGCCATTGAAATTAACCCAAATTTTGATACAGTTTACGATGAATTAGGGTTGATTCATAAAGATAATGAGAATTATCTAGAAGCTTTGAGATGTTTTAGCAAAGCAATTGAAATAAATCCCAGGTGTGCACTTTATTACAGAGATAAAGGATATACTATGAAATGTTTGGGGAAAATAGATGATGCTAAAGCGTGCTTTAGAAAAGTTATTGAAATTGATTCAAACGGTGATGCAGCATATAATGAAATGGGAAATATATTTTGAAATGAAAAAAATTTTAACGAGGCATATAAATATTACAGTTGAGCTGTAAAGATAAATCCAAATTCTGCGCTTTATTGAAGAAATGCAGGAGATACTTTAAATAAGCTAAATAGATACAATGAATCAAAGGAGTGCATAAAAAGAGCTAAAGCATTGGAAAAAAGTTCTAAGACTTAGTTGGTTTGATGGCTATTTGAAAATTAAATAAATTACCCTTTTTACTTATAAAACTTTAAAATATGTAGTTTAGGAAAATATTAATTTTTAAAAAATGCTAAAAAGTCGACAAAAAGACCGATAAATATTGAATTGCATGATGAATTTGACATAATAGTTAATTATTTTTGCTGTTGATAGCTGATGGGAAAAAATATCATCTTGCTGCAGTTGAATAGCAAAGAAAAATTAGAATTATTGATAATATACGCACTATATTAGCTCTAAATCAGAGATAACTTATAAATTATAATATTATCATAAAGCAGTTTCTTTATAAATTAAATAGCGATTATAGAGATATGGATATCAAAAAATGCTTTGAGCCTGCATGCCAGCAAGAAACAGAATACTTATGCAGATGCACTTCTCATGAGACATACTGATGCCAAATACACTTAGAAAAGCATTGTAAAATGACCAACATAATTCATCCTTTCGACACTATCGCTTTAGAGCTCGTTGACAGATCGAAAACAGCCGTTCTTGAGCTCCTTGAACAAGAAAAATCTGTAAGAGGCGAAACGAGAAATAAATTAATCGTTGCCTATAACCATGATAAGAGGCTTCAAGAATCGTTAAATTATTTTAACAAAGCAATTGAAATAAATCCAAACTGTGCACTTTATTATAAAAATATGGGATTTGCTATGAAAGAATTAGGTAGGCTTGAAGATGCTAAAAGGTGTTTTGCGAATGCTATTAAAGCTGGCTCAAGGTATGATTCAGCATATAATGGAATGGGGGATATCCTGTGAAATGAAAAAAGATACGAAGAGGCTTATAATTATTATAACTGGGCAGCAAGCATAAATCCAAATTCCTCACTTTATTGAAGAAACGCTGGGGATGCTTTAAAACAGTTAAACAGGAAACAAGAGTCTAAGCAATACATAAATCGAGCTATAAGCATAGAAAAAGCTAGGAAAAAATAATTATTTGAAATTATTAAATAATATTCTTTATGTAAAATATGAAGAAAAAAAGACATACTATTGGCCTGATGATAAAATTAGTGATAAATAGCTAAAATTTCACTTTTTATAATCAGAGGAAACTAGACTTTAGAAAAGATTAAAGATGCATACTTCATTATTTAATGCAATGTCTATGTTGAATTATGAGACTCTTTCAACTGTAGGCGAATTAATAGGTGATCCACCTTATAGATAGCTATCCTTTGCCTCTGTTACTTGTACTGCCCTGAAACTTTTCTTATATATAAGGGGCTGATGCTGGGAAAAGGATTTTCTAAAAGCTTTCAAAAGATGAGCTCTTAATTTGTGAATCATGGAGAAAACGCTAATTCGATTGCCTAGCTCCGTTTTGTCGTTCATCTGCTTATACTGCAGTAAATATTCTTAAATTTCGAGGATCCTATGGTATAGGCATTTACTTGCATTTCTGAATTTTAGAGAAAATTATAATCCAAACAGCACTTTCCTAAATATTAACAAGCTTATGCAAGTTATTTATTAAATTAAAGATTTAAATATCACAAAAAATTAATTTACGTTAAAATGATTTATAGGCTCTTAAAATCTTTAATTTATTGATTATGAATCAAGTTTTTGATTAAAGCTGCAAAAGTGAGGCTATTATTTTGCTATAATCTCTCTAAATTCTTTGAGTATTTAAGGAAATATAAATATTGGCATGAAGTGCTGCTTTGAGCTATTCCGCCAACAAGAAATATATTATGGATGTAAATTTTATCCCCTGAGACATAATCATGCAGTAATCACTATCCTCGAGTAAAAATTACTTTGCTGATTGAGTTTTTAAGAAAAAAAATTTTGTTTTCAATATGAAATTTAACTTAAATTTTTTTCTTTAATGGCAAGCCTCTCTAAATTAATAGGTGAGGCTGAAGGATTTGTATAAAAAAGTTAATTAAAAGTTTTAACACAATTGGTGCAAATTAAGTAACAAAATTGATCCTTTTGACACCATTTCTTTAAGGCTTGTTGAAGGATCAAGCAATTGCATAGATTGAATATTTCTTAGTATTAGACCATGGTCACTGCGCCAAGAGAGGTAGTTTAAACTAATGGCATTGCTGAGCTCCCCAGGAAGGGAATTTACAATTGCATAGATTGAAGTATTTTAAATGCTGTTGAATTTAATTTTGCAAATAGTCCTTTAAGTTATATTATAAGTTTGCATGTCGGGACAACCCTCCAAAAATAATGTAACCGCTTTAAAGCATTTATTTATACCTGATTTAATTATAAAATATAAAATTTAATTAAATTCAGCTTCCTGGAGCTAGGGAAATAATACTGGCTATATTTGTAGGAGGATTATTTTCTAGCCATTAATTTGTTTTCTATCTCTCCCCCATGGTTAGGGTGCATGATCTTATTAGTCTGATAATGGGAGTATTTTATAGGGTCTAAAATAAAGAACTAGGCATAATATTTGATAATTTAATTAATAAAATTAATATTTTAGGATGTAAACTGTTTAAAATTTAATAGATTTTACGATTATAATAAATAAAATATTTTATGCAAACATAATTTCTAATAAAAAAAACAAATTTTGGAAGCTTAATTTTCTTGTAAAGTAGGGTTTTTGATATTTCGTTCTCAAAAACGTAGGAGTAAGTTAAACTTGTAGTAGCTTCTATGAATTCCAGTGCATCCAATATAGCTTAGCTGCTTTTATGGCATAATATTGAGCAAAATATGACTTAAAATTTATGCTTCTTATATTTGTTAGTAATGATTAGCAAAATTAATGGCAGCTGACAATGATTTAAGCAATAAAACCATGATTAGTTACTTATATTTCAAAATGCCATCTTTTATTTAAGAAGTGTTAAAATCTGAAACACTGAAAATAAAGATCTATTAATAATAAGATATAAGTTAAATTTTGAATAGGTATTATTGGGTTAAAAGCCCTTCCAGCTTTAATTTTTAAAGCCATATACAAAATTAAAGATGGCAGATTTTTTAAAAATGTTAAATCCGATCTGGAAAATTAAGATCTAACAATAATAAGATTAAAATATAAATTTTGATCAAAAACGTATTATTGGTCGTGATGCTAAAAAGAATTTCTATTAATTAAAATATATATGCTTAAATTGCTATATTTTTATGTTTTTAGACTCTTAGGGGTATAATTTAATTATTTATTTCATTAGTTCTATATAGAATTATTAATTATCTAAATTTTATTAACTAAGAGTATTCATAATGATGGATAAATGAGAATTTACCAGATACTGGTAAAATCAAGTCCGTTAAAAAAATTTCCCCACACATTGCATAATATTACAATTCTCCTAATATAAGAAGCAGCAGACATATAGATTTCTCCTTTATTATATGAGTAATATGCTTGAGCTGCGCTATAATTGATTACCGAGCTTGCTATTCGTTTCCATTTATATTCATCTCCAATATCACTTTCAAAAATCCTCCCATAACACTCAATCAAGTACAATTTCTCTAAATTTACAAATATTTTTCTGGTGTTCTCTTCAAAATTGTAAGGAATTGTTGAAAAAGAGTCAATATCAGGAGAATAAATAAAAATATTCTTACTTTCATGCCCAGAAACCAAAATATTACCATTAAATATTGTGCTATTACATAAATAATCTGGATTCGGCATTGGCATTAGCTTTATTCAACGATTTCTTTCTAAGTTCCCCCTCTCTTTAAATTCGAACAATTTTTTTAAAAAAATTAAATTAAATTTTTCTCAACAAAAAAATTTATAAAGTTGAAAATAAATTTAGCCTGCATTTTTGAATTTTAAAATAATTTATAAAGAATTAATTCAAAAAATAATCAATCTGGTTTTAAAACTCTTTAACTAGTATTCTAACTTTGTTTTTTCTTTAAATGATTAATAAAATATAATATTTTGTTATTCCTATTGAAAAATTAATTTAATCTAATTTAAAGGGTTGGAGCACCCAACTTAAAAGGGGAAATAAATCAAATTAGCTGATAAGGGTAAATTTCCATTATAATTTGTTCCTCCAAAGCAATAAACGCCTTTATTAAAATAAATATATCTTTTAGCTTAGCATCTGCGGTATGAAATATATACTGAAATTTTGACTAATTAATTAAGAAAGTGTAGCTGATGATCCATAACAATAGGCTCCAAATGGCAGATTCCGAATTTTACAATTTTTACTAACTATTAATGCAAGTCCAGAAGTCGGTTCACGTTTCCCAAAGCAGAATAATTCGCCATTTGGAAGCTGAGCTATGCATGTCCCACTGTTTAACGACTGAGGAGTCTCCAAAATTTTTACGTTTTCTCTTTCATTTTCAGTGTCATAAACAGTCAAATAAGTATTTTTTTCGTTGCATTGGCTAGTAAGATAAAGCGAAGTGATTTGGCTATAAGAGTCTTTATATTCTTGGTATGCTTGGCTTATTGATTGATGCAATGACAAATTTTCATACAATGAGCAAGTTTTCCTAAACTCTAGCTCTATTTCTGGGCTATTATTTAGTCTATTGAGAATTTCGGAGCTTTTAGCTACTAGCTCTTGATTAATTCGTGATAGGTCAGGCAGATTTTGCTCCTGAAAGCTTTGGCTTATAGCGATATCATCTATTTTTTTGTTGAGATCTTTTAAAGTTGAATTAATTTGCGAACTAAATGAATTTATTTGACTTTCAAATTTAAGCTCTACTTCTTCCCTCCCCCTCCAGTCTTTAAACTTTATCTTACTCCTGCCTTTCTTAATGAGTAAAATTGTTTTTACTTACTTAATATTTTTTTTTAAATAAAATGCTAATAATTTATGAATTTATGCTAATATTGCAAATTTAATAGGATGGCTAATAATATATAATTTTTTTGCATAAAATTTAATAGAATCGCTATAATAATATATAAATTTTTTTATATAAAGCAATAGATTTAAAAAATTGCTCTAATATAAAGGAAGAAGATTTAAGGTTTTTGATTTCATTTTCTAGCTTTGAAATAGAAAAATTCACTTCTGCAAATTTTTCATTAATTGCTTTATCATTTTCTTCTAATCTTTTTTCTATGTTTAAGAGTCTTTTGCCCAGAAAAGTTTCCAATTTTTCTTCAATAGAGTATTCAATCTTCCTTTGCATTTCTTCGATTGATTCGAGCATTGTTAAATATGGGTATTTACTAGATGGCTGACTAAAAGTAAACATATGGTAAAATATGATTTTATGCATAATTTTAAAAGATCTTCTCAATAGATTTATTTCAGACTGACTATTATGCTGATTAATGCTTTGATATGGCTGACTAATGCTTTGATATAAAGGCATTTCCTCAGGATATTTGGTTGGAAATATTTTATTATGAGATCTTTGCTCTGAAAAGTGTAAATAAATTGTCTTAACTCCCCCCCCTCCGTGAGTGAACAAAACCATTAGAAAAATCGCTATTTTGTGCCCAAAAACCCACCCTCCGTGAGTGAACAAAAATTTTTTTAATAGAAAAATTTTTTATGGAAAAAAATTTGATATATAAGTGATAACTATTATAATGAAATCTAGAGCTAATTCTGTTTAATTTTTAACAAATTGCATTTTAAAATATAAAAATTTTATAAATTAAATTAATATTTGCTTTCCAATTTTTGCAAATTAGGATTTTTTTTAAAATTCGAAGAAAAAAAAAATCCTATAAAATTTATATATAAATCTTTTTAAAAAAAAAAAATTAACCCCCCTCCGTGAGTGAACAAAATTTTTTTGTTCACTCACGGAGGGGGGGGAGTAAGAGGAAAAGCGTCTCAATCAAAAAAATGCATCGAATATTATTATTATGCAAAGCAGTAAGGATTTAATACATTTAATAGCACAATAGAGCGATATCATTATGAAAATATCATCTTGAGTGCCTTAGAAAAGCGTCAATAACTTTAAAACTGGATCTTCTTTTGCTTATTGAGAAATCTTTTAAGATCATTTACTTATTTATCTGATTTTTATATAGCAAAATTAAATTTACAAATTCTTTAATTATTCATTAAAACTTGCTAGTAAATTATATTAAAATCAAATTGCGCACATATTAATTGATTAATTAAGTGTTTTAAACTATTTAAACCAACGTAAAACTCGCTCACAGAGATTTTAAACTAGAAAACATTTTTCTGATATCGAGAAATAATGAGCTAGACTTCAAATTAATTGACTTTGGACTTTCTCGAGAAGTAAAAAAAGTGCTTATATAAAGATGTGGGTGCTGTTGTGCCAGAAAAATTAAAAGGATTTATTCAGCATAGGGTGTGTTATATATATTTAGCTTTTCGGAAAATGCCATTTTTTGGGAGTAAACTAAAAGAAATATTTCTTACTTACTCCCCCCCCCCCCCCTCCGTGAGCGAACAAAACCATTAGAAAAATCGCCATTTTTTGACCAAAAAAACCCACCTTCGTGAGTGAACAAAAATTTTTTTAATAGAAAAAATTTTAATGGAAAAAAATTTTGATATATAAGTGATAATTAGTATAATGAAATCTAGAGCTAATTCTGTTTAATTTTAAACAAATTGCGTTTTAAAACATAAATTTTGCAAATTAAATTAATATTTGCTTCCCAATTTTGCAAATTAGGATTTTTTTAAATTTCGAAAAAAAAAAAATTTTTTATAAAATTTATATATAAATTTTTTTTAAAAAAAAAAATTAACCCCCCTCCGTGAGCGAACAAAATTTTTTTGTTCGCTCACGGAGGGGGGGGGGGGAGTTAATAATAAAATGGAATCATCTATTTGCAAGGAAAAGTGTAGAATAATATATCAAGGAATGCACTAAATTTTATTGTTATGCTAATAAATCCAAGCCCAGCAGAAAGAATTAGTACAAATGATGCTTTGAAGCATTTTTGATTTAAAAATGCAAGGAGAGCTTCAAATGATAGCTCGCTTTGCTATAATAGAAATAAATAAATAATTTTATTTCATTATGGATAAGTTGTACTCCCCCCCTCCGTGAGTGAACAAAACCATTAGAAAAATCGCTATTTTAGTCCAGTGAATAAAAATTTTTTAATAGAAAAATTTTTTATGGGAAAAAATTTTGATATATAAGTGATAACTATTATCATGAAATCTCGAGCTAATTCTGTTTAATTTTAAACAAATTGCGTTTTTAAAACATAAATTTACAAATTAAATTAATATTTGCTTTCCAATTTTCGAGAAGTGGGATTTTTTTAAAATTTTGAAGAAAATCTTTCTATAAAATTTATAAATAAATTTTTTAAAACAAAAAATTAACCCCCCCTCCGTGAGTGAACAAAATTTTTTTGTTCACTCACGGAGGGGGGGGAGTAAGTCTATTTAAGATTATTAAATATAAAATACCAGAATTCGAAAAAGTTTTTATCATTACTTTGCAAAGAAATGCAAAAATTGTTTAATTATGATAAATTTTGATAAAAATTGTATTTTTCTTATGATGTCATCATAGCTTCCATTACGCAGAAAAATTGGTGAAAATATAATTCAAAATGGACAATCTATTAAGTTCACCAAAGACTAAAGAGAGCTCCAACACTCTAAAGCTAGCCATTTTCGGATCATTAATTGGCTTAGTTTACATTGCTGGGGTATTCATGGTGTTCTCCGGCCCAAAAGTTTCAAGCTCTGCCATGTCTCAGTTTGAAGTCGAGGAGCAAGAGTTCAAGAACTACATCAATAGATATAGCAAATCTTACAATCTTGACCAATACCTTGAGAGATTCAGAGTTTTCAGAGACAACCTTGGATTCATTAGATCTCAAAACTCCTTACTCACTTTCTTTTAAATTGGGACAAAAATATCCATGATTTTTCATAAAATATTTTTATAATTAATTAATTAAAAGGGTTTATTAAAATAATCATAGCTAAATTTTTGATTTTGGTAGCATTAAATTCGAAATCAATATGTTTTATTTTCAGAGATTAATCAAAAAACGGAATTTGTCCAATATTTTGCTTCAGGTGGGTCAGGAAACACCTGGGTTCTTGGAGTTAACCAATTCACTGATTTAACACCTCAAGAATTCAAGGCCAAATACCTTCAACCCAAAATCCAAGTCCCAGCTGCCAACTTACAAGCAGCAGAAATTCCTTTTGTTGGTACAGTTCCAGCCGCTATTGATTGGAGAGCTCAAGGAGCAGTCACCCCAGTTGGTACCGAAGGAAACTGCTCTTGTGACTACGCCTTCGCTGCTGTGGGAGCTGTTGAAGGAATTTGGAAAATTTCTGGAAATACCTTGACTGTCCTTTCAGTGCAAGAAATCATAGACTGCTCCACTGGCTTTTATAGCAATATAGGCTGTAGTGGAGGATATGTTGACTACGTCTATCAATTTATTCAAATGAAAGGAATCACCTCAGCCTAGATCTACCCATATATCGAAAATGAAGGAAATTGCAATGAGGATGCTGCAGGAAGAGAAATTCTTACAATCAGTGGATTCAACCTAGTAGCATCAAGTAATCCAACAAATCTCCTATTTCAAGTCGCAACTCAGCCTGTTTCAGTCTATGTAGAGGCAAATAATTATGTCTGGCAATATTACAAAGGAGGAGTCATCACTAAATCCTTAATAAATAATCAATTTTTTTATTATAAAAAATCAATTAAATCTTTATATAAAAATTATAGAACTGCGGAAGTGAACTTAATCACGCGGTTTTAATTGTAGGCTACAACAATACTGCGTCGCCAAGCTACTGGATTGTCAAAAATTCTTGGGGGCCGGCCTGGGGAGAAAACGGATACGTAAGAATTGCAAATAAGGATGGATCAGGAGTCTGCGGAATTAACATGGCCCCATCATACCCTACCCTTTAAGATTAATTTCTTTAAGAAAATCTAAATTATTGGTTTCTATTTATTTAATGATATTTTTCGTTGTAAAATAATATGTTTAGATCACCTTGCTATCTAATTTTAATCACAGCCGATTTCTCCATAGGATGATTCTGATTCCTAAAGCAAGATTCTTCAACATATAACTCAATAAAAAGCAAAATCGCCAAGAAAGAGATGAAACCTTAGATGAAATTAAAATAAAAATAAATATAATACAGGATAATTTTATGCAGCGCTGGGTTTTAGTATTTGCTATTTTATACTATTTTAAGCATTTTTTGATTTTTTTAGCAAATTATAGGCAAATGGTATCAAAAATAATCAAATTATGCTAAAAATAAAATATAAACCACAGCCACTATTTACAATTCATGTTGAAAGCTCCTCCTAAAGAAGCTCCTGAACATACTATAAAAATAATAGAAGAAGTCAACATTGATGGATCAAGGGAAATGTTTAACTCCAAAAATGAAATGCTACTGACTCCAACTTAAGAGGAAAATATATAGTCAAATATCTCGGCTTTATCAGAAGCCCTAACATTTGTCCAATTTCTTTACAAAAATCGTTACCTGCTATTTATCTAATTATTATAATGATAATCTACTATAACTAATTTTTTATTCTTATTTCTGCATTTTTTGGAGTAGTTCAATACGGTCTCGACCTAATACATCATTAATAAAATTGATATCTTTTTCAGAAAGTTTTCATTCATTCCCAGTGAAAGCGCAACCTTCTTGATTTTCTTGCATCAAATTATAAGCCCTATTAAAGTCCTGCAAAGCTGCTGCTTCTTGTCTGAGTTTAATAAATACTCTAGCTCGGTTGCATAAATGCAAAGGATTATTGGATTCAAGCTTTATTGCCTCATCATAGCATTGCATTGCTTCTTGATATCTCTCTAAAACATAAAGAGTATTGCTTTTATCATTATAATACTTGGCATTATTTGGATTGATTTTGATTGCTTTGTCATAGCTTTCTAATGCATCTGGATATCTTCCTAATTCATTTAAAGCACATCCTTTATTATGGTAGAAACGTTCATCGTTTGAAAAAAGTTTAATTGATTCATCATAGCATTCTACTGCTTCGGAATCTCTTCCTAATTTTTGAAGAGAAATTCCTTTATAATAGTAAAAATCAGCATTGCTTGGATTGAGCTTGATTGCTTCGTCATAACATTCGATTACATCTAGATATTTTTTTAATTCGTAAAAAGCATTGCCTTTTTTACTGTAAAAATCAACATTGTTTGGACTGAGTTTGATTGCTTCATCATAGCATTCGATTGAATCTAAATATCTTTTTAATTCGTAAAAAGCATTGCCTTTTTTATTGTAAAACAAAGCATTATTTGGGATGAGCTTGATTGCTTTGTCATAGCATTCGATTGCATCTAGATATCTTCCTAAATAATAAAAAGCGTTGCCTTTTTTATTGTAAAAAAAGACATTTTTTGGGTTGAGTTTGATTGCTTGGTCATAGCATTCGATTGCATCTAGATATCTTTCTAAATCATAAAAAGAGTTGCCTTTTTTATTGTAAAACAATGCGTTATTTGGATTGATTTTGATTGCTTCGTCATAGCATTGGATTGCTTCTAGATATCTTCCTAAATAATAAAAAGCGTTGCCTTTTTTATTGTAAAAAAAGACATTTTTTGGGTTGAGTTTGATTGCTTGGTCATAGCATTCGATTGCATCTAGATATCTTTCTAAATCATAAAAAGAGTTGCCTTTTTTATTGTAAAACAATGCGTTATTTGGATTGATTTTGATTGCTTCGTCATAGCATTGGATTGCTTCTAGATATCTTCCTAAATGATAAAAAGCATCGCCTTTGTTTTCATAAAAACCAGCATTCTTTGGATTGATTTTGATTGATTCGTTACAGCATTCGATTGCTTCTAGATTTTCTCCTAAAGCCTTTAGAGTATTGCCTGTTAGACTTCATTCATCTAAATAATAAGGTTCGAGCTTAAAACTCTGGTTATTGCATTTTCTTGCTTCAATTGTTTTACCTGCTCTTCTAAGTCAGACATGCTTATTACAGTAAGTAACATCAATAATGACTTTTTGATCTAAATTAAAAAAATAATATTCTCTGCTCGATTTAGAAACAGTTGAGATGTATATTCCTCCTTTATTATATGAACAATAAACTTGAAGAGGATTGCAATTAATTGTTGATTTTCCTACTCGTCACCAATTCATGCAACTTCCAATATCGCTTTCATAGATTGATCCATAAGGACATTCAATCAAATATAATCTATCTGCATTTATCAGGATCTTTCTTTTACCATATACAAATTCATAAGGAATCGTCGAGAAAGAGTCAATATCAATTGAGTATAACCAAAGATTTCTATTTTTAATTCCAGAAATCAAAATGTTTCCATTAAATACTATAGTATGGCATTCAGAGTCAGCTTGCGGCATCGGAGTTAATTGAATTCATCGATTTCGATCCAAATCAAATCTACTAGATAGAGTTAAATAACCTTGATTATATCCTCCAAAGCAATAGATGCTGCTGTTGGAATAAATACATGATGAGTATAAGCAAGGAGTTCCAGATGGTAGCCAATCGATTCCACCATCCGAATCAATCAGCACTGTAATTCCAGAAGGTGGAAAATAATCACTTCCGCCAAAACAGAATAGCTTGCCATTTGGAAGTTGAGTTATGCAAGTGCTCGAGTCTAGTGGTCTCACAGTCTCCAAGTTTTTGACTTCTTCTTGGGTTTCAGTGTTATAAATAATTAAATTAATTTTGTTGTATTTATCTTTTGTAATCGCATAAAGAGATGCTTTTTGTTGATAAGCTTTAAGATAGTCTTGGTAAGCTTGCATTAGTGGTGAATCATAAAGACTAGAATTGATCTGATATGCTAAACAATGAGTTACCAGGAAGACTGTCCATATCATACTGCATCTTGCTCTCATGCATTATTCAGCTTGCGTGTGATATGTCTAAAAGTCAGCCTCCTCGGATGGATTGAGCAAATAAACCCTAAGCCTTCAAAATGCCTTGGATCAGGTTAGGAGGCTATTCACTCCTTCTCATTGCATGTCTGATGTTCCTGGATAAAGATTTTCTAGGAAACTGAACCTTAGGGGAGGAAATATTGCTCTCTAAATTTAATATGCGTGCCGCTTTACTATTTTCAAATTTTTGATGGGACTCTTTTACGATTCTACACCTTATTGAATAGGAGTCTATCAGATACATTTGAAGCATTTTTTAAAAGAAATCCAATTTGCTATAATTTTATTCAGACAATAGAAAGAAGATTACCCGAAGTATCAACTGATCTTAAAAATATTCTTTTTGTTAAAAAAAAGAGTCTAAAATAAAAGAATCTATTTGTAAAGGCGAATATAAATTAATTTCCAGCTTTAATGATAAGCAAGTCTTATGCTTATTTGATGAACAGTGGTATGATTGCAACAGCAAAGAAGCAAAACAACTACTAAAAGGACAGTTGAATTTCGTTTGCCCAACAACTTTGGTTTATTTGAGACTGAAAAAATCTTTGATGGATCACGATATTAAAATAACATCTGAGAAAAGCCAAAGAGTACAAAAATTGCTATCTGATAATAGAGTAAAAGAACTTTACAGCAGAAACGCTTCAGCAGAGCGTACAGCTCCCTCTTCTAAAAATTGGTTTAAATCTCCTGATCCATTTCCAAGTGCGTTCAATCATAAAGCGTCTGGTACAGAATCAAAAATATTAGAAAGTGATGAATATATATATGTACTTACTACTCATTCAATAAGCCCTTTTAAATCAAATATAATTCCCAAAATTTTAATAAGTGCAGAATATTAATTTTTATTATAGAGTTTTAATGCATTTCTCTATTTTATATAGAGGAGTTAAATAAATTAGAATTTATTATTTTACTACGAATATGCAAATTCATGCGAAATAATATATAATAGCGAAAATCACAAAGAAATATAGTAGATTAAAATATTCGGAGATCCAAACCTTATCAAAAATGGCTAACGATTTTTAATAACTTGAAACAGCAAATAAATCATATGTAGGAATAGGTTTTTAAAATATCCAATGCGCTATATAGCTTATGCTTTCTTATTGCATTCAATTGACCTTACTTAACTTATTTTATTACAATTTCGGCTGCAGCTTTATTGGTATTAGAGTTACCAAGGGTTCATCCGCTCACTAGGGAGAATTTGAATGAACTGGGGCAATGAATTCGTTTGGGAACTTAGCTCAACACCATCTTGCTTCTAGTTCAATTCCTGATGCTATAGCCATCTATAGTTAGTTCTGTGTCGCCGTCTCCTTGGCTAGGGGCTCTAATAATGAGTAGGCTGACTATGGACTTCTTTAGTTTGCTGCTGGGCAGAACGAAGGCTATTAACAATAAAATCTCAAAAAATGGAATTTCTAGTTCTCTTGGCAGAAAGGAAATGCCTGATACCCTAAGCATAACTCTCCATTTCATACTAAAATAGTCCCGATTGGCTTAGGAATTGTCTGTAAGCTTGGTGGGCCATTCTTTTCCTCCAGGTAAAATCCACTCTGAAAGAAAACTAGGGATAAGCTCTCTTCGTTGCCAGTGCTGCTTACCAGTATAGCTGTCTATTTGTAGGTTGGAAAAACTTTTGCCTGGTATAATTAAATATGAGTCTTGCCCAGGGATGGTCTCCCTGATGCAGCTTCGAGTATATATTTAATTATATATTCAATTAGCCAATTATTTAAATCTTAATTGGATTTAATTGGCAAGATATTCATGCTTTCAATAATTTTATAAATAAAAAAATCAAAAAATTTCCATATAATATTAGAAATAATTGAAAATACTTTCTTGTTTTTATAAAAGTTATCTTGTAGAATGATATATATACGCTCTTGCTATAAAAGGAGAGATTAAGTCGATAGGAAATCAGTTTGACAAAAATACTGGATGTGACACTGAAAAAGACGATTTGAAGATAAAAATATTAATTGAAAAGTCCTTAGCTGACGTAGAGGCAAGATTAAGAAAAGAATTTGAAAGGAAACTCCAGAAAAATTTAGAAATATATAGCCATGAAGAGTCTTTAAGATATCAGCAAGCCAATAAAGCCAAAGAAGATTTATTAAACTTTATAGATCCCGAGGCAATTATTGAGAAAGCAAGAAAAAGAGCATATGGCGATCTAGTATCAATTAATAATCAAAGCTATGAACAGTTTTATAATGTGTATATAAAACCATTGGATGAAAAATTCAAAAATTTTGATTCTAAATTAAAACAATTTGATATCACAAAGAATAATATAGATCCAGAGGCAATTATCGAGGAAGCAAGAAAAAGAGCACATGACGACCTAGTATCAACTATTGATCAAAATTATAAACAATTATATAATTTGTATATATGGTTTAAGCTAATATCATGATAGAGTGCTTTCTTTAATTGGAATATTATTTTCCAGCAATGACTGGTTGAAAGTAAATTTTATGTTTTAAAGCGCAAGCTTTTTAAAATTAAACTAAATTAACTAGAGATTTATATACTACTTATCGTTATATAAAAAATATTTTATAATAAATTTTTAGATTAAATAATTTTTATCAATCACGTGGAGTTTATCTGAAAAAATAACCGTTTTTCAATGGTTTTGTTTACTCAAAATGGGAGGAACAGAAAAATATTAGAAGAAGAAACAAATTGTTTGTCGGCAAAGTTTACTAAAACCTGAGGTCCCATTTCTAATGATAAAGGTGCCTTTTTCACATCTCAAGAAAGGAGCTGACACGCTTTATAGAGAGTAGGCCTCGGAGTCCAGCTTCCGATGAATATAGTCATGCCTAAGATATATCAAGAAATAAAATCAAGTTCTGCAATTGATTTAAAAATACTGCAAGAGTCTAACCAAAATACTGAATGCAAGCTTGCTGAATTGGAAAATTATTTGAAACCTAAAATTGGTATGCTTAATCTTAAATATGACAATTTGGATTCTTCTTTCACAAGCAAACTGGAACAAATTAACCAGAAATTTATAAATATTCCAAGTAAGCAACAAATCGATGAGACTTTAGCGGGTCTCCAAACTAAAATTGAGAGCTGAAATAAAGAAACAGAAAAAAAACTAAAGGATTGGGAAGCCTTATCATCAGCTGACAAAAAATTCAATAAAGAGAAAATTGATAGCTTTGAAAATAAGATACAGCAATTAGAACATAAAAAAAATGCCAAAATTACAGTCGAATTCGACTATTCTCAAATTGTGCCTAGTAACCAACCTATAATATCTCCTCAGCCAAAGATCCTTCCTCTAAATTTGGTTAAAGATCTCTTAAATGATCCAGAAATTCAAGCCGAAGCCCCATGTATTAGTAGCCAACAAGAAGCTCCAAGGTTAAAAGCGGATCACAGCAAAGCTTTCAGCAAATCTGGGTTGCCTAATATGTGAAATACTAGCTATATGAATTCTCTTATTCAAATCTTAGCAAGCGCTACTGAATTTGCGGAGTTTATAAAGAATTGCTCCTCTGATAAATTACTGACTCCCCCTCCGTGAGTGAACAAAACCATTAGAAAAATGGCTATTTTTTGCTCAAAAACCTACCCTCCGTGAGCGAACAAAAATTTTTTTAACAGAAAAATTTTTTATGGAAAAAAATATATATAAGTGATAATTAGTATAATGAAATCTATAGCTAATTCTGTTTAATTTTAAACGAATTGCTTTTTAAAACATAAATTTTATAAATTAAACTAATATTTGTTTCCAATTTTTATAGAAGCGATTTTTTTTTTTTAATTTCGAAAAAAATTATTTTTATAAAATTTATAGATAAAAATTTTTTTTAAAAAAAAAATTAACCACTCTCCGAGAGTGAACAATTTTTTTGTTCACTCACGAGGAGGGGGGAGTGAGAAGTTTGACACAAGTTATACAATTAATACAATCTAATTCTCCAGAGCATCAAATAAGACCCCATATAAAAGAAATCAAAGATATCATCCCAGAAGAATACTCGATAGTAAATTTTAACGGGTTTTATAAAAACGATCCTAAAGATTTATTTATAATTATTTCAGGTAAAGTTGGGAACCCTGAGCTCTTTTCTATCATCAAAAAACAATCATTTACTTGCCAATTTAACCATAAAGAAGAAAAAGAAGACAATCAAAATTTTATAAATATTCCAGAAAATCAGCAAAATGACATAGAAAGCTTCTTAAATTGGCTAAAAGATTGGAAAAAATTTTCAGGGCAAAATCAATTACATTGTGCAAATTGTGGAGGAATGAGAGATATTGTAATGAAAACTGAAAGCATTCAATGGCCACGCATTTTAGCAATTTATATGCCTAGTCAGTTATCACAAGAAATCCCAAGTTCTTTGCAGGTTGAAAATAATTTTTACAATCTTTTCGGAGTCATATACAAACATAATTAAATAGGCTATTTTGCCATTCTATTTTTAGATTAAATAGAATTTTCTATTTATTGTAATAAGCTTTATGCTGATATGAGAAAAATTTTATTGCATTTACGAAAAATGATGAAAATGAATGGGAGAAGTATAATGATTCTGATGTGAGCAAAGCAGATCCTGATTGGAATAGGCTTTACCTGCATTTTATAAGAAAAATAATTAATTCTATTCTCTTTCGTTTGAACATGATTAAGCTTATTGACTTAAAAGACTATAGCTCATGAACCTTTATGGATAGACCTCATTGAAAATGCAACCCGTTCTAATGGATTTCATATCTTGTATACCTAGACCAGACCCCTCACTATTTAGAGAAACATTAAGATTATAATAAAAATCTCTAATTTTAAACTAGTTCAATATAGTTTTTATATAATTGTTTTTTTAATAATTTTTTGAAAAATTTCTAATAATTCGCTTAAGGTTAGACAAAATGGAGCCAAGGCATATTTTACGTTTAAAATAACTCTTCTCTCTTTATGTTTAAAAATGGAAATTTGGCGGTAAAATAGTTTAGCCCAAATTTGAGAATTAAAATGGCAAGTGTGTGGAGCATTTAATTAAACGAGCCAAATTTTTAAAAATGGCTTAATATAAAAATTAATTTTTAATTTAAGATACTTTTTAAATTAAAAATTTCTGAACAAAAAAATCAAAAAATAAACTTGTGCTCTTGTCAAGAAAGCGGTAATGAAGCTACCAGCATCCTTTATAACCACCTAAAATATCAAGGTATGAATGAAACCGCGTGAGGTGAATTAAGAAATTAATTTTTAATATGGCTTAGAAACCCAAAGATCGCGATATAACGAACAAAAAATTCTCTAAAAATGGGTCTGTGCTCGAGTCCAGAAACGGAAAATAAAAGGTATCAAATAGCTTAATGTATACTTTTAAATATCAAATTCTGGATGAAACCGCGTCAGGTGGGTTAAGAATTTTAATTTTTAATATAGCTTATAAAACCAAGATGACGATATATAATGAACAAAAAAAATTTTAAAATGAATTTGTGCGCTTGTCCAGAAAGCGAAAAATAAAGGTATCAAATAGCTTAATATACTTTAAATATCAAGTTCTGGAAATAACAAAAAATAAGATAAGTATGAAAAAATTTATTAGCTATTTTAATTTAAACTATATTATGAGCTAACATAATTTTTTGAGGATCCTCGCTCATCAGTTCATTTTCCCTCATAATCCAAATTCCATATCGTGAGCCACTAAAGTGTGGAAACTCCACATGCGAGATCTGGGTTCCACACGTGGGAAAATGGCCCGACGTTTGCAGACCCTCCGAAAATTATGCCAACGTATAATAAAAGATTAAAAAGAATCATATACTATGGTTTAAAATAATGTTATGACTATATATTTAATGCTTTAAATTTTCCTTTATCTTTTTTAAGATTCCATCAATTCTTTCACATAAAGCAAAGCTATTAAATAGAGAAACTTATAATAATAATAATAATAATAATTAATAATTAATTCGATATAACCTGTGGAATAATGTGTCAACTTTTTCTTTTCACAATTTATTCTTCTTGCCAAATAATTCAATAATTCAACGAACAAAATTTTAATATTTCAGCTGTCTTGTTTCAATCTTAACAAAGCAGATAACTTATACTAAGTTATTTAATTTCTTATTTAATATCAGCTCTTAATTTATGCTATTTTTGATTTATTGTTTAAAATGATAATCTCAGCCTTAGCCTGATTTAATAAGCTATGCCCTATCTATTCAACAGAATTTTATAATAGTTAATTATCAATATTTTATAGCCTGAGATAAAGTTAGTTTAGGCGAAATCCATATTTTCATATTAGATTTGTAGAATTCAATAAATATGAGCACTTCTAATTTAAGAACTGTGTGCTACGTAATAGCTGCAATCAACAATAGCAGTACTCTCAATAATCTCAACTTCCAAATTTATGAAAAAGAAATGAGTGAAACTATAGCTAAAGCTTTCAGAATCCAAATTCGAGAGAGCAATCTTAAAAGGTTCTACAACTTATTAGGCAAAAGCCTTTCAGATACATTTGAAGCAATTTTTCAAAGAAACCCAACTTGAAGCAGATATATAACTCTGAAAATAGAAGTTCAAGCTTACCAGAAGTATCAACTAATCTAAAAGATGTTCTTTTTGTTTATAAATGAACGTCTAAAATAAATGCATATATTTACGAAGGCGAATATAAGCTAATTTCCAGTTTTAATGAAAGGCAAGCCTTTTGCTTATATAATGAGCAGTGGTATGATTGCAACAATAATAGAGAATTATTAATAAAAGGATCACCTGATTTCACTTTTCCAACAACTTTGGTTTATATAAGAGTTAAAAAACCTTTGATAGTAAACAACGTTGAAATAGCATCTGAGCAAAACCGAAGAGCACAACAATTAGCATTTGAGATTAAATCAAATGGAATTGCTAAAAGAAATACTTTAGCAGAGTCTGCTTCTGTTTCCAGAAATCTTTCCAGCTCTCCTAAATCATTATCTCAAGAAAAAGACTATCAAAAGCCTATTTTTATATCAGAACCTCCAGAAAAAGCAAGATATAATAAAGAAGAGTCAAAAGAAATAGCAGAAGACAATAAGTCTAAAGAGAAAGAATGTTGCAAAATTGTTGGTTCTGAAGACAAAGCAATTGATAAGAATATAGAAATATTAAATCAAAGATGCTTAGCTGACCTTGAGGAAAGATTAACAAAAAATTTTGAAGTAAAGCTCAAGAAAAGTTTAAAAGAATACAAAAATGAAGAATCTCAGCAATTCAATAAAGCCACAAAAGATCTACTTATCTCTATTGTTAATTATGATAAAATGAATGAGGAAAAAATAATGAAAATGAAAAATGAGCTAATAAATTTAGAAAAAAAATGCTTTGGTTTATTACAAAATTTGCCGCAGGGATTAAAATCTTTAGATGCCAAATTCAAAGAGCTTGATCTTACATCCATAATCTTTTTGTATTAAAAAAAATTTGTTCACTTATAGAGGGTGGGTTTATGGGCAAAAATAGGGACTTTTATAATTTTTTTGTTCGCTCTCAGAGGCGGTGAGTTAAAAAAAATATTGAAATGCTCAATCTTAAATATGATACTTTATCAAAAGACTTGGAAACTTCTATCATAAGCAAACTGAAACAAATTGACAAGAAATTTATAAATATTCCAAGCAAGCAACAAATCGATGAGACTTTAGCAAGTCTTCAAATTAAAATTGAGAGCTGAAATAAAGAAACAGAAAAAAAACTAAAGGATTTGGAAGCCTTATTATCAGCTGACACAAAATTCAATAAAGAGAAAAATGATAAGCTCGGGAATGGCTTTGAAAATAAGATACAGCAATTAGAACACAAAAAAAATGCCAAAAGTCAAATCGAATTCAGTTATTCTCAAATTGTGCCTAGTAGCCAATTTGTAATATCTCCTCAGCCAAAGATCCTTCCTCTAAATTTAGTTAAAGATCCCTTAAATAATCCGCAAATTCAAGCCGAAGTTCCATGCATAAGTAGCCAGCAAGATCTTCCAAGGCTAAAAACGGATCAAAGCAAAGCTTTCAGCAAATCTGGATTACCTAATATGTGAAATACTAACTATATGAATTCTCTTATTCAAATTTTAGCAAGTGCAACTGAATTTGTGGAGTTTATAAAGAATTGCTCTTCTGATAAATTACTGAGAAGTTTGAGCCAAGTTATTCAATTAATACAATCTAATTCTCCAGATCATCAAATAAGACCCCATATAAAAGAAATTAGAGATATCATCCCAGAAGAATACTCGATGGTAAATTTTAACGGGTTTTATAAAAACGATCCTAAAGATCTATTTAGAATTATTTCAAGTAAAGCTGAGAATCCTGAGCTCTTTTCTATCATCAAAAAACAATCTTTTACTTGCCAATTTGACCATAAAGAAGAAAATGAAGACAGTCAAAATTTTATAAATATTCCAGAAAATCAGCAAAATGACATAGAAAGCTTCTTAAATGGGTTAAAAGAGTGGAAATTTTTTTCAGGGCAAAATCAATTGCATTGTGCAAATTGTGGAGGATTGAGAGATATTGTAATGAAAACTGAAAGCATTCAATGGCCACGCGTTTTAGCAATTTATATGCCTAGTCAGTTATCACAAGAAATCCCAAGCTCTTTGCAGGTTGAAAATAATTTTTACAATCTTTTCGGAGTCATATACAAACATAATTAAATAGGCTATTTTGCCATTGCAATTAATATTCTATTTTTATATTAAATAGAATTTTCTATTTATTGCAATAAGCTTTATGCTGATATGAGACAAATTTTATAGCATTTACGAAAAATGATGAAAATGAATGGGAGAAGTATAATGATTTTGATGTGAGCAAAGCAGATCCTGATTTGAATAGACTTTATCTTGCATTTTATAAGAAAAATAATTAATTCTATTCTCTTTCGTTGGAATATGTTTAAGTTTGTTGACTTAAAAGATTATAGATTATTCATAAAAAATTGCTTAATTAGCATATAAAATGGCTTAATCACTCTTATAGCTGAAATTTAATAGAAGTAAAATTTATAGAATCCAAAATGGAGTCTTCAGTCATCTCTTTCTGTCAGAACTGGTCAATAGTTTCAGCAATTTATATTTTTCAAGCAATTAATATAAATCAGCGTCTCAATCCAGATACAACTACAGGATATAACTTAAAGCAATGACTTGAAGAAGCAGCTCAGTGCCGCCTACCCTCAATTGATTTAAGCAAGTTTAATAGCCCAGTTTCCCAAAGCAGTTTACAAGACAGACTAGATGAGCTTTATTCCCTACTTAAAAATAATGATATCCCCAATCAAAAGCGATCGATAAAATATTTATCAATTTCAAATAAAAAACTCATGGACGATAATCAAATAAATAAAAATACTATTGCTTTTTTCGCAAGGCTTGAAGGATCAGGAAATATTCAAACAAATCTTATGATAAAAAACGTCAATTGAAGGCTTGCTGCAGTCTTTTCAGGGAATCCAAAGATTTGCTTTTGCTATATTGATAATCAATGGAAGAATTTAAGCTGCAAATGTATGAACAATAATTGAAATGGATCTGACACTATTCTTTGCTATACCAAAGACAAAAAACTAGAACCGATAAGTATAAATATCTCGAATCTGCAGAACACAGACTGTTTATTCTGCATGGGAAATAAAAATGCAGTAAAGAATGAAAAGAAAAATGCAGGAAAAGCGATAAATAAAGGCAACTTAACTGCTAATAAAAACAGCCTTAAAGAAGAGAGCAAAATTGAGACTCCTCAAAAGAAGAAGAAAAATAATAATAATTGTATAGAGGGGCAAAAAAAAAAAGGCAGCTCCGGTAACTGTCGTATTTCGATAATAAATAACTCAACAAAACTAAGTGTTTTTTTTACTAACTCCCCCCCTCCGTAAGTGAACAAAACCATTAGAAAAATCGCTATTTTTTGCCCAAAAATCCACCCTCCGTTAGTGAACAAAAATTTTTTTAATAGAAAAATTTTTTATTTAAAAAAATTTTGATATATAAGTGATAACTAGTATAATGAAATCTAGAGCTAATTCTGTCTAATTTTAAACAAATTGCTTTTTAAACCATAAATTTTATAAATTAAAATTAATATTTTGCTTTCAAATTTTTGCGAATTAGGATTTTTTTAAATTTCGAAAAAAAAATTTTCTATATAATTTAATTTTTTAAAAAAACCTCCCTCCTTGGAGTGAACAAAATATTTTTGTTCACTCACGGAGGGGGGACTAAGCCTATTACTTGCGTCGATTTTTTATCTAAAACTAGTGAATCAAATACAAGAGAGTCTGATATATCAGTCCCACAAGATCCTGCATTTCATGACTTCTCATGCCAATATTCACAAGGAGATCTATTCCCTAGCCAAGGTCCTATTTTTCAAGACTTCTCATGTCAATATTCCGAAGAAAATTTGTGCCAGAATCAAAAACAAAGTAATTTCGACAAATGTTTTGACCATCAAAAACAAATTGACAGCTTGAAAAGCAAAATAAAACAGCAAGAAAAAAAAATCGAGGATCTAGAGTTAACTTCTAAAAATGAAGCAAGAAAAGGGGAAAAAAAAGAAATTTTGCTTAATTTAGAGAATAGCAAAAGAGAAATTAATGATTTAAAAGAGACTATTGATGATAAAGAAAGAAAAATTAAAAAATTAGAACAAGAATTAGAATGTGAAAAAAGTAAAAACAAAGATTTTAGCATAAAGGAGATTGACAGTTTAAAAAAACTAAACGAGGAAATGAATAAATCAGATGAGAAAAGCAATAATCCTCCACAAAGTACTCTATGATGCTTTAAAGAATTAAGAAGAAATTTTTTAATAATTGAAAATTCAAAGGAGAGTATCATGATAGCTTCAACTATGAAAAACCCTATTAAAATGACTGAAAGTTGTAAAGAAATCAATAATTATGACCAAATTAAAAATAAAAATGCAATTTTTGAAGAAGAGAAGGCAGTTAAAGAAAACTTAAATATATATTCAGTGCCAATTTTTCAATATAGAAAATGGGGACTGCCTAATATAGGAAACAGCTGCTATATGAATTCTTTATTACAAATTTTAGCTAGTACTAACTGCTTTGTAAAAGCAGTTCAAAATATTTCGAATTGTCCTATGCTTGAAAAAATCTCGATATTAGCAGAACAAATTAGAAACAAGTCAACTAAAATGCAAGCTTTAATATCATCTCTAGAAAACTTTAGATTAGAAATAGGCAAACAATTTCCACACGTAAGTTCTACTTAGATAAGCTCATTTGCACAGCAAGATTGCAAAGAAATTTTTCAAATAATTGCAGCTTCCCTAGACGAAATTATTCCAAATAATAATATTTTTTCTATTTTTGTCAAGCAAAATCAATATTGCTACTCCTGCAAGCGAGAGACTCATTTGCTTGACGAATACCAGAGCTTTTTAATAATCCCAACAACTAGTCAAGGAGATTTGAAAACTGTAGTAAAAGAAAGGGTTACAATGGAAAAAGTTTATGCTAGCTCTCTCCCTATCCTTAATCGAACGACTGACAAAGAATGGGGGCTAAAAGCATTTTGGAAAACAAATTATATAGAACCCAAAATTTGTTTAAATGGAATAGTTCAATCAGAGAGGAGTAAGAAAAATCAATTATTTTGTGAAAATTGTAAAGGAAAAAGAAAAATTAAGATCAAAATGGTAGAACATAAATGGCCTGAAGTCCTTGTTTTGTATTTTCCTGAAGAAAGCAGGCAGGTTAAACTAGATGAAAACTTAGATGTTGGAGAATGTAAATTTTTATTGTATGGAGTAATCAAATATATTGGCTCTGGCATGTTTGGGCACTATACTGCTATGACCAAAGATGGAAAGATTTGGAATATCTACAATGACGATAAGGTTTATAAGACCCAATTTGAAGAAGAGGATAAATATTTAGCATTTTATAAGAGAATAAACATTCATTATTAGAGAGTCAGAAAACACCAATTTTTGACGCTGAAACAAATTTGGTACACCAAAATGGCTAGGTGCTTAAAATAATAGTTCTGCTCTCACCTCTTTTAGCTCCTCTCTCCGTAAGCGAGCAATAACATTGAAAAATCGTTTTTTTTAGCTAAAAGCCTGACCTCTGTGAGAAAAACAAACTTTTTAATATAATAATTTTTTATGAAAATAAATTTTTATATATAAGTGGTAATTCTTATAATGAAGTCTCTTACTATATTTGATTAATTTAAACTCCTTGCATTGTAAACATAAATTTCACAAATTAAATTAAAATTTCTTTTCAAATTGGGATTTTTTAAAAATTTTGAAAAAATAAAATAAAAAAATGCACCCACTTCGTGAACAAAATTTTTTTGTTCGCGCACAAAGGAGGGGTGTAAGGATAATTAATTTCTTTTATTAATATTTATACCAATTTGAGATTTTTTATTATTTTAATAAATTGATCAATGAAGTAAATGAATTTATAAGTGATTGTCATAATTAGGAAAGTATTTGAGCGTTTTTATATTTTTATTTTTAATAATCATCTACCTTCTAACTACCCCCCTCCGTGAGTGAACAAAAACCATTAAAAAATCTCTATTTTTTGCCCAAAAACCCACCCTCCGTGAGTGAACAAAAATTTTTTTAATAGAAAAATTTTTTATTTATGGAAAAAAAAATTTGATATATAAATGATAATTAGTATAATGAAATCTAGAGCTAATTCTGTTTAATCTAAAACGAATTGCTTTTTAAAACATAAATTTTACAAATTGAATTAATATTTGCTTTCCAATTTTTTGGATTAGGATTTTTTTAAATCGAAAAAAAAAAATTTTTTATAAAATTTATATGTAAATTTTTTTTAAAAAAAAAAAATTAACCCCCTCCGATAGTTAACAAATTTTTTTTGTTCACTCACGGACGGGGGGAGTAAGTGATATTATGCAGTATATTGCTCACTTCCTTATATTATCTTAGTTTTACAGTTTATATATGTAATATAAAATGCCAAAGTTCATTAATTTATTTATTTAAATATTGTTTAAATATTAAATTTATATATCTAACGCTAAATAAATATTACCTATTCATAAAATTAGGACTTTTTATTTTTCAAAATACGATACTATATTAATTTCCGAGCTCAAAATGACCTGCAAGCTTTCCTTTCTTATGATGCTTGATTGTTTTCCACATCTAAAAGGGAATATCTATTAAAGCTAAAAGAAAATAATGGCTCTATGTCTTTATACAGGATAAATTCTAATAAAGTCACTAATAGTTCTTGGGCATCTTGCTGGCCCCCATGTATAAATACAGGAAATGCTGCATCAATTTCATATTTTTAACAATCTTACTTACGCATTTTGAGACGTTTAAATAGCAGATGTTTCTAATAAAAGTTCTACTGAGGCTTCATAAATTTATCTTGCATAAGCCATGCAAAGATTTGCCTGGTCTTCATTGTGGACTTCAGGAAGAATACGTGAATTTCTTGGAATTTTCTGACAGCAAGCACGGATAAATGCAAATTGGCAGGGCTGTTTTCTTTTAAATAATCAGTATGCATAAAAGGCTTTAATCCTTAATAGAAATCTCATATGGTCGAAAATCATAATTGAAAAGTTTTCTTCCTTTTTCAACTGTCCCATGTTTTAAATAATAAGGATAATCATCATGCAAAGAGAATCATAATTAATTATTTATTTTTAAGAATTAATTATTATTTGCATAGATATATTAATTTATTTTTATATCTTTCTTTATTAGCTCTTCTTCCTGAAAAGCCTAAAACATTATTATATTTTATATAAATGATATAAATATGATTTTATTTTAAATTGAAAGTCCGATTTATTCTAATTCTTTTTAATCAGCTATTTATTTGTAAAAAGGTTATTTAAAAAATGGCATAAAAGAAAGCAAATTAACTCATATTTATTTCATATTACAGATAGAGAAAATCATAATAAAATATATAAATTGCTGACTAAAAGCTATCTCTTAATAAATTCTGCATTTTCATTCATCCTTTATAAGTGTTCTTATATTTACTAAATTTTAAAATTTAGAATTGATTAATTTAATATGTAATTAATGATTATAATATATTTCAAATATAACTAAATTGCATTATTATCCTAGATATTATAAATAATCTGTAAGAGCTCGCTATTTTTAATTTTAATAATATTTATAAAATAGCTATAGGATTTATGATTAGTTTTTCTTATAAAATGCAAGGAAAAGTCTACCCCAATCAGGATCCTTTTTACTTACTTCAGAGTCATCATACTTCTCCCATTCATTTTCATCATTTCTTACTCCCTTCTCCGTGAGCGAACAAAAAATTTTGTTCGCTTATGGGGGTTAATCTATATATAAATTTTATAGTAAAATTTTTTTTCGAATCCAAATTGGAAAGCAAATATTAATATAATTTGTAAAATATATGTTTTAAAATGAAGCTGTTAAAAATAAAACAGAATCAGCTAGAGATTTTTAATATAATAATTATCACTTATTTATAAAATTTTTTTTTAAATATTTTTCTTTTAAAAACAATTTTTATTGGTGGGTTTTTGGGCAAAAAATAAGGATTTTTTTAATGGTTTTGCTCGCTCATAGAGGGGGTCTTAGTAAATGCTATGAAATGGTATCCATAATAACTGCCCTATAAGAGCAGGACATTGGAGCTGGAAACTCTCCAGTGGCTGGACCAGCTCAGTCTGGTCAAACCAATTGGAGATTTGCAAAAGGACCTCTTGCCAGTTGGTCCAACCACTGCAGAGTTTCCAGCTCCAATATCCTGCCCTTATAGGGCAATACATAGGGTTTGCCTATAACATATAATCCTTGTAAATTTTGCAAATGCACACCACGCACTGAATTTTATTTCACATATGGAGACACCATAGTTATATTCTAAAAAATTTGCATTAAAATTTCACAAAAATGACAATTTCACGCGTAGAGAGTTCCTTTGCAAAATTTGCAAGGAGTTATATTACTCCAAAAATTTGGTAACTATTATTTTCAAGATTCAGCATTTCTGGGATTTCTCCTAAAATCTGCCGATCAGATATATAAATTGTTAAAATTCTCGGCCATTCAATCCTTTCAGTTTTCATTACTATATCCTTCAATTTTCCACATTCCTCACAGCTTAATTGATTTTTCCCTGAAAAACTCTTCTGCTCTTTAATATCATTTAAGAAAGCCTCTATATTATTTTGCCTATTTTTTGGTATTGCTATAAAATTTGTGCTGTCCTCACTTCATGATTTATGCTTAAAGCGAGAATTACAAGTGAATGATTGATTTTTTACAATAGTGAAAAGACTTTTATTCTCAACCTTATTTGAAATAATAATAAATAATTCCTTTGCATCATTTGCAGATCTTCCGCTGTACTAAATAAAATTTACCATTGAGTATTCTCTTGAAATTAATTGCTTAAAGTTTTCGATAAGTGGGATTGTTTTATTTTTTCCATAGTTAGCATTTATTGATAATATAACGGAATTTAAGCTCTGCAGTAAGTCATCGCCAGGAATGCTGTATAAATATTCAGCAAAATCAGCTGAGCTTGCTAATATTTGTATAACTGAATTCATATAACAAGTATTTCCTATGTTTGGTAGGCCAGATTTGCTAAAACGCTGAGGTCTTAAGCTTTGAGTCTGTATGTGGGCGTTTAATAGTTGAGCTTCCCTTTCAGATCTCTCATTCTGAGCGTTTATATGATGGTTTTGTGGGAGTGTCCTTGTTTGGCTATAAAAATCTGGGTTGGATGTGATTTGAGGTTGATTTGATATAGCAAGAGTCTGACTGGGAATTCCAGATTTATATTTTTCTATTTCACTTTTAATACTTTTGATGTCTTCATTAACATAAAATTGCCAATTCTGTATATCCTTATTATAATTCTTTGATTTCTCAATTTCACCAAAAAGACTATCTAGCTTTTCATCAGATTTATTTTTTATTTTCTCAATATCTTTTAATTCTGATTTTATTTTTTCAATAGAAATTTGGTTTTCATTTTCAATACTTTTAATTTTTCTATTTAAATCCTCAAAAAATGAAGAATTTTCGGATAGACCTTCGCTATTGGCTTTGCAGTTTTTTTGCAACTCATTTAATTCAGCTTTAATACCCTGAAGTTGCATATCGGTATATTCTTTGCAGGTATCAATAACAGAATTAGCTTTAGCCGATTAGATTTCCAATTCATCTAATTTGGAAATTATTTCACTATTATTTGCATTTACCGCTGATTTCATATAGTCCAATATCCTATCACCTTTAAGTAATTCTTCTGTGCTGAGACTATTATTTTGTTTTTCTTCATTATCCTTGAAGCATTTTTCCAATTCTTTCACTTTATTTAAAAGCATTTCTTCTCAGTAATTAAAATTGTTTTCTAGCTTGTTCTGCATATCTATAATTTCTCCCTCACTTTTTGCTTCTATATTATTGGCTATTGAACCTATTTTCTCTTGGAATTGCACCAATAATTTCTCTATTATTTCTTTGGATTTAGATTCCAAATCCTTTTCTATTTTTTTAGCTAGTTTTTCTTCTAAATAAGTGAAATAATTTTCAATAGTGGTTGAATTTGATATTATTTGATTATAATTCTGTTTATTTTCTAATATTTTGGGATTAGTGTCAAGAATTTCATATTGATTACTGTAGTCGAAGTTTGACAAATTGCCTCCAAGAGAGTTGAGAGAAGGAGATAGTTCTCTTCCATAATCAGGGCTGTGCTCATAGCTAGGGTTTTGAACAGAAATTTGATCGTTAACCAGAGGGTTTAAGTCCTTTCTTAAATAAAGTACTTATATATATATATGGCGACATTACAGAATTGCTATCTATCTAAATCGCGATAGGTTCTTATTGGCAATAAGTTTGAATTTTAGTTCTTAAATAAACTAAAATTGCTGGGAAAGATGCATTTGAATATTTTGATACTCTAGGCTTATTTCCAGTACAATCATACCAATCCTCGTTAACCTTGCACTTGACTTGAGATATATCGATGTGCAAAATTAGCGAGTATTGACTAATTAAATCTGAATTTTTAATTTCAGCTTTTGTAAAAACAACCAGAACTTCTTTCGGTGGTTTTTTTAAGTAGTATTTTAAATCATTACTTTCTATTGTATTACTAATAAAATTCATACAATTTTTGTTTCTCAAACAAATTTTTTTAAATATTTCTAGAGTATTTTTACATTCCTGGCAACTTGTATTATCCAATTGATTATCATAAATCCCATTTTTAAATGCATTTGCTATAATTTCATGCAACTCTCTGTCCATTAATAGGTCTTCTTGACCCAGATAAGCATGCATGTTGGCGTTAATGGTCGCTATCATCCAGCAGGCCTTCTTCAAATAAGAATTTCTCATATTTTTATTGCTTTCTACAAATTCAAGAAAGCCATGTTTATTTAAATCACTAAAAGCAGTTGCTAATGGTATTTAAGAGCAATAAAACAGAAATTGGGCTATCAGGAGATGGCATAAAGTACTCAAAAGAAAATACAATAAATAAAAATAAATTTTGTTTAATAAGAGTCATGCTTTATCATCTTAAATTTTATAGATTAGTTAGCACAAATCTAGTAGATTTTTAGAATTATTCACAGAAAAAGTAGGTGAAAAATGCTTTTAATTCAAAAATAAGATTATTAAAAGAACTGAATAAAATATATTCTCCCCATGTATTTTACCCAAAAAAAGTTTTACTCAAATATACGCATAATTATCAAAGAGTTAAATACATAAAATAGGATTAACCTAGTTGAAAAAGTGCATCAATAAATAATTTTCTATTAATTAATAGCTTAATTTATTTAAAAAGCAGATCATACAAATAATTAAAATATAAAGAGAATAGAATAGGAAGAATTTAAAAACTGAGTAATCAAACTTTATCTGTCCTAATTTATATCAAATTTATTAAAGCTCTAATTCTCTAGTTTAATATTCAGCTTTTAAAACCCCTGATTTCATTTATTTATTATCCATTTTTAAACTATCAACAGCTCAATTCTACAATTTTGAACAGAAATTTTAGTATTTAATAATTATTAAATACCTACCTGGACGATAATAATAGAAGATAAGGAAGGAAATGGACGCTTAGGTAAGTAGATAGCTTGTGAACTTATGATCGACTTCATGGAGAGCTTTTACAAATGTTTGAACGTCCAAATTCAACACCGACTGTAATTTTTAATAATAAGTATTTAAATTTAGATCAGGTGGACATAGTTTGCAAGAGCTGGTCTTTGGAAAAAAACCTTACAATTAAATTTCTTGAGAAGATGAAAGGATTAAAATTAAGCTAATTTGTTTTAAAATTATGAGTTTTAATATAAAATTAAAGCATTTCGAAAATATGGCCTATCATTGAATTTTCATTAAATATTGGGGTTTGAAAGCAAATAAGAAAGTTAATATGCGTTCTCAAGTCGATTAACAGAATAATTAATTATTTAAAAATGAATAGATTCACCACTTCAATTATTGGCAAAAATGCCGAAATTTAATCTCTCTAGATTTTTATAATATCCTAGATTCGAATTTGCTATGTAGACTTTCCTTGATCTAGCATATGACTAATAAAATCATATGGGAGTAATTTTCAATTAGTCTGAAGAAAAACTCTATCTCTTGAAGTTTCTTGCCACTGGGCTTTGTGCATATATTTTCTCCTAATTAATTATATTAAAAGCATCAAGCCCAGCTTCTGAAAATTGAATCCGCAGGAGTGCAGGGAATATAAGTAAAGCTGCTATAAGATCATATTAATATATGGATAATTAGATTTTTTGCATATAAATTTCAGCAAAATTAAACTTTCTCAAATATATATCTTGCATAAATCAACCTTTAGTTCGCGAAATCAAACTTTATACCTAATTTTACAACTGAAAAGTCCGTAATTTGCTCACCAACATTTGTAGGCACAGCAGAGAAATGGCTTTAAACAAACCTTTAGTATGCTGTGCTATATAAAAGATAAGAAAAATAGACTTAGTTTATAAAAATTTACGTCTAAAAACAATTTTATATTTATAGATTAAATAAAGCACAATTAAGTGAAAAATGTATGCAACTGAAAGATAATTATATAGAATTACCTAATTTTGAATAAAAAAGCATATAAGCATGATCATAGTCAGGAAGATCTTCTGTCACAAAAGCGTCGTTAAACTGATACCATTTTTCATCCTCACAAGTATAAGCAATATAGTGGCTGCATTGCTCAGCTTTATAATAGCATATTACAGCATATAATTTATAGTCACTTTCCTGGAAATTTATTTCTGTCTCAGGCTTTCTATTCTTACTCGATGTATCAGTTACATAAAATACCAAAATTTTTGGCATTTCGAAAGAATCTACCTTGACTGTAAAGCTGTTTATTTCCTGGCAAACTTCACATTGTAAATTTAATTGATCTTCCTTGCTTTTTATGTTTTCTAAACATCTTTTTGCATTTAATTTATTGTTTGGAGGCATAATAAAAAATAATGATTTATCTGGTATTATATTTTTATGGCCTTTCTGGCATGTAAAAGTTTGGTTTTTTGTGATCTGGAATCTTTTTTCCTCATGACTGAATTCTTGTATATATTTATCTATTAAAATATTATAAAGCTCTTTACAGTCATTCTGTGCATAAAGTTCATACTAAATATTGTTTACCATAGGAAATTCTTTATTAAATGTATGCTAACTTGCCATAATAATAATAAAATGGTGTCGTCGAGAGAAGTCTCTTTGAGGAATTTTCTCTCCTTTGCAATTTTATTATTATAGAGGTCAGTTTTCCCAGTGAGACCTTATCCAGCAATATCAGGTAAGCAATAGGAGGAGTGCACAGCCTCCTGGCCTGATCCTTGGATGCTTGGTGGGCGCAGGGTTTTACAGTTTGACACTCCCGAGGAGGGAGACCCAAAGGCTGCACAACGTGGAAGAGTCAAGTTTTGAGCGAGGTAACGCAGCCGTGAGATCTGGCAGCCAATTGGCAGTCACTTGCTTAGGATGGTCCGTCGACCCGATAAAAATGGTGATGTCACCAATTGGTGTCTACTGGGTGAGCCCTTATGGCTTTGCTAAATCACTTGCGGAGCTAGAGAAACACGCTAAATACTCTAAGTAATGTTAATGTTAATGTATGCTAACTTGCCTGGTTTTTACCACTTTTGGGCTTAAACTTGAAAAGCCAATTTTGGCTGAATCAGTTAGCTAATGGTCGTAATGGACAACATTGAAATTTTAATATATTTTAAAAATTGTATAATTCTTGGTTTAAAACTGCTTGATGAGGTACGGGTAAACATAAGATCAAAAATTTTTGATAAATTTATGAATAAAATGGCTTTAGATTTTGATATGAAATCTACAAAACTTGGAGTGCTCGAAAGAACTTGGATCACAGAATTTAAATAGCAGGTATTTCCATAGTTAGGAATTCCGCTCTTCCTAGAGGATTGATTTACAAAAGCCCATTTTTCTAGTTCTTGATAATCTCTAGAGCCCATTAGCTTTTTGTTTTGCTTATTTTTACGCTTTTCCCATCATGCTGCTAGTTTTGGTCTCAAAATAAAAGCGCATATTCCAACTATAGTAGAGCCTATAGCAAAATACTTAAAATAACTATAGCTCATTTATTTTTTATAGAATTTTAGCTCAAATTAAATATTAAATATAAACTCAAGAAGCAGACATATTTTCGCTTTAGGATTTTTAGAGTCCAAATTTAATAAATTAACTCAGATTTTTTATATTATATTATAATATTCAACATATTAATATATAAAAGAAATTATTAATTCAAATTATGAGAAATTAGATTTACTTGATGAGATAAATGATTATGACATCAGAAATTCCAGCACTAAGAGAAGCTGCAGTAGCAAGCAACTCAATATTATATTTTAATTGCATGTGCATTTATATAATAAAAAAACTTTAAGATGAGACTTGTTTCGGAAGCCTCTAAAGAGCTATTTATTATCGCCATAAATTTATTTATGGAAAATTACCAAAATGATATGTTTATAATAAGCAAAAAGCAAGCAAAAAGCAAGCAATAATTTGTGAAAATGGAAACAGGGTATAATTATCTGAATCTATCTTATTTTTAACTATTCAAGATAATAAAATATATAGAATGGCTAAATCAGCGTGTGGAAATAATAATTGCATTGGGAAAATGGGACATTATCAGATTCAAAGATAGAGTATCTTGCGTGTTTTTTCCTCTATATACTTCAAGGTAAATTTTGCCTAAAAGGTGATAAAACCAGCTAATGATTGATAATTCTGTAAATATTGTCATAATTAGTCCATTACTTAAATCTATTTTTATTATGATATAGATATAATCGAAATATAGACATTCAAATAATAAATATTTGTTAAAGATTCGCTTTAATGCATATGTGGAATATTTTTTTATTATTTTGATATTTAATCTAAGTTCTATATTCTTTATTATAGATATTAAACCTTAAATGCAAGAAGCTAATTTTATTCACAATCTGATAAGCTATGATTAGATAAAATCTTATGCTTTCAGATCCCAGGCATTGAATAATTAAAATGTCTAATATAATTCTATAAATTTATTATGTCAGAAGATCTTAAAAAAGCAGCTTATATTCTTGCAACACTTAGTCAACATATAGAATTTCCTTTCAAAAATCAATGATTAAGCAAAATTTTTCAAAATGCATTTACCTCAGGCATTGATGATGAAAGCCTTAGAGTACTTAAAACATGAATAAAATCAAAATGAAGTGGCACATTCCCTTATGTAAAAGAAATTATTAAGTACCAGGAATGAGAAGATATTTTTGCTTGGCCGAACGAATTGCTGCAACCATTTCAAGTAGCTGACATACCTAAAAAAATTGAAAAAGTTGGATTTTTTTTGTGCTGCACTAATAATAATTACATAGAGGAAATAGAAGGCTATATTTTAGTTGTAAAACTTTTTCTACCTGAAGGGATTTTAAAATGTAAATACGGAGAAGAATGAAAGGATTGCTCATCTCAGGAAACTGGCATAAACGATAAGCCTAAAATTTCTAATGCAATTTTTGGCTTTGTCAAAAACTGAGAAGAGCCTCCCAAAAATGAAATAGAAAAGGCTGAAGATCAAGGAACAAGAACAGAAAAAATTAAAGATAACCCTCAATACGTTATAGAAAACGATACTAAAAATATAAATGCTGACCAAATAAATGAAAAATTCAAACAAATAGAAGAAGAATTATCTAAATGCAAACAAATCAATGAATGTCTTAAAGCTGAGCTAACAGACGTAAAAATAGAAAATAAAAAAGCATCCAATGATATAAGTGAAGTAAAAGCAATGATAGAGAACATGAGAAGTTCTTTAAATGAAAAAATAGATGAGACTAGCATAGATATAAAAAAAAGTTTAAATTATTTAAAAGAAGGACTAGATAAAGGTCAATTATTTATGGAAAATGTCCTTGAAAATTGCCAAAGTAATTTAAATCAACTTAAGTCTTACAAAAACCTCTCCACTAGCTCAAAAAGTGTACCATTAAAGAAAAATCAGGATTTTTCTTTTCCTTTTAATGCTGTTTCTGATTATTTTCAATGCATCAATAAAACTGCTCAAGATTGCATTCAAAAATACAATGAACTGGAAATTAAATACAATTCATTAATAGATATAAGCAATAATATGATGATTGAGACTAATAAGATGCACTCAGCATTAGAGGCGAAAATTAATGAAATTGAAGAAAAGACCCAAAAAATTTCAATACCAAATGGAAATGAATTAATTTCAAGCACGAAAAATGCTCTTGACTCAAAAACTATAAATAAAGACAATCCAAAGAGGAAAAAAAGGGGGCTAGCCAACATAGGAAACAGTTGCTATATGAATTCAGTTTTACAGATCTTTGCAAGTATTCCAAGTTTCATCGAAAATATAAAAAACATTGAAAATGACTTATTTTATTGTTTAGGTGGCATAATATCGTCGATAACAGATCCCTATTCTATAAAAACAGACGAAAAATTAAGAAAACTAAGAAACTTGCTGGCTAAAAAATATCCTATGGTAATTTATATTTAGTTTGGTGGAAATACAGAAAATGATAGCAAAGAATTATATGTTATCATAATAAATTTATTTATGGAACTTTGCCAAAGTGAAATGTTTTTAATTAACAAAAACCAAGCGATAATTTTTGAAAGTAACCACAGGTTAAAATTGCCTGAACATCAGCTATTTTTAACTATACCTGATAATGAATTGTCAATTGAAGAATGGCTTAATCAGCTTAAAAATGAAAATAAATTATTTAGTGGAGATAATAATCTATTCTGTGAAACTTGTGGGCAGAGATCTGATTCAGAGATGGTGACAGAAAGCATTGAGCCTCATGAAATTTTAGCATTTTATAATGCTAAAAGTAAAAACCCGATTGAAAATATTCCTGATGTTGTATCCTTAGGGAAAAATCATTATGAAATATTTGGAATAATTTGGTACAATAGAAGCCACTACATAGCTTATACAAGAGAAGAGGGAATTTGAAATGAGTATAATGATAACTATGTCACAACAGATAAGCATCCAAATCCAAAAAATATCTATATGCTTTTTTATAAAAAAGTTATAATTAATTAGTTTTTATCAAATTTTGAGTTTAGTTGTTTAATTTTAAATTTAATTTGCTTCCTTGCATGTGTAGACAGCTGAAGTAATTACAGCTAACTCTTTCTGCTTCCGAACACTTTTATAGCGTACCCATCTAATCCAGTTGCTATGTTCTTTAACAGACTGACTCTTTAGTCTCTAGAATTTCAATTTTGGCCGAAATATATTTTTAGCAGAAACAATAAAAGGAGCAGGGATTTCTTCTTATTGTCAAAGCTCTGTATTTAAGTCAAATCAAGCTTAGCCTTTCATTTCCTAGCTATAAAGTAATTTTATTATAATTAAATACAATTCCAACTTTATCTTGTAAATTTTTATCGATATCTATATAAAATATTTATTTTGATAAATATTGAACTTTTAAATAATATAAATCGAAACGATGTTATTTAAAATACAAGAGAGAATGCTTATTGAGATTTTAATAAATAAATCTCGTTTGCTCATCTATAATTTCTAGACTCTACTAGCTAATTTGAGAAAATTGGTTAGCAAAGCTAGCGATTGGCTTAAAAATGCTCCTTGGGAGCTATTCATATGAACTAGAATAGTTATAACTGTGAAGCAAGCTTAAAAGTTGATTTTATTTCTATAATTAAAATAAAAAATCATAAAAAGCTATTTTTGGAATAATCTTTTTAACTCATTGTTAAGATCTTTCTTAAACAAAATCTATACCCCAAAATCAAAAATTGCCATAATTGCACCAACTTACAATTATTATGTAAACTAATTTGATATAAAAGCAATCCTATGCCAAAATTTTTAAATAAATTTTATCATCTGAGATGAATTATGCATAGCATTGCTCTAGAAGTTGAAAATCAGCATTCTGATAATTTTTTCTAATGATTTAATATTAAAGCTAAATTCTTTATTCTTTGATATAGATATTAAACCTTAAATAAGAGCTAATCAACATTTATTTAAAATTTGATAAAGTTTTGTAACTAATTTGTTTTTTCATATTTATATACTTGAGAAATCTGGCAGGGATTATAAAATGTCTAATATAATTCTATAAATTTATTATGTCAGAAGAGCTTATAAATACAGTTTATATTCTTGCAACAATCAGTCAGCATATAGAATTTCCTTTCCGAAATTCATGATTAAGCAAAATTTTTCAAAATGCTTTTACCTCAGGCATTGATAAAGAAAGCCTTACTCCCCCCTCCATGAGTGAACAAAACCATTAGAAAAATCGCTATTTTTTGCCCAAAGCCCACCCTCCATGAGTGAACAAAAAATTTTTTAATAGAAAAAATTTTTATGGAAAAAAATTTTGATATATAAATGATAATTAGTATAATCAAATCTAGAGCTAATTCTGTTTAATTTTAAACAAATTACGTTTTAAAACATAAATTTTATAAATTAAATTCATATTTGCTTTCCAATTTTTGGGAATTAGGATTTTTTTTTAAATTTCGAAAGAAATATTTTTTATAAAATTTATATATAAATTTTTTTTAAAAAAAAAATTAACCCCCCTTCGTGAGTGAACAAAATTTTTTTGTTCACTCACGGAGGTGGGGGGGAGTTAGAGAACTTGGATATTTAACAGGAAGAAGCTTAAGCGGCACCTTCCATTATGTAAGAGAAATTATTAGATTTCAGAAATGTGAAGATATTTTTGCTTGGCCAAACAAATTGTTGCATCCATTTCAAGTGTCTGACATACCTAAAAATATTGAAAAAGCTGCATTTTTTATTACTTGCACTAATAAGGATTATATAGAGGAAATAGAAGGCTACATTTTAGTTGTAAAACTTTTTCAACCTGAAGGAATTTTAGAATGTAAACACGGAGAAGAATGGAAGAGTTGCTCATCCCAGAAAATGGGTAATTATAAGCCTAAAAACTTTTCTGTGATTTTGGGCTTTGTAAAAAATTGAGAAGATATCAAAATTGAAGAAAAGACAGTAGAAGAAAATAAAGATAATGAGGCAAAAACAAAAAATGTTGAAAAAAGCCCACAAGATTTTGAAGAAAATACTACTAAAAATATAAATGCGGACCAAATAAATGAAAAACTCAGACAAATGGAAGAAGAATTATCTAAATCTAAACTAAGCAATGAATGTCTCCAAGCCGAGCTAATGAGAGAAAAATTAAAAAATAAAAATACAAGCAGCAACATGCATCGGGTAAAAGTAATGATTGAAAATATGAGCAAAAAAATTTATAATACTAGGATAGATTTAGAAAAAAAATTAATATATTTAAAAGAAAGAGCAGAAGAAAGCCAATTATGTATCAAAAATATCCTAGATAATTGCCAAAGTAAATTTAATCAGCTTCAATCTTTCGTAGATGACTCCGCTGGCTCAAAAAATGAGCTAGACAATAAAAAACCCGATTTTTCTATAGCTTTTAATGCTATTTCTGATTATTTTCAATGCAGCAATAAAACTGCTCAAGATTGTCTTCAAAAATTTAAAGAGTTGGGAAATGAATGCTATTCATTAAAAGAGAAGTGCAATGAGATAATAAATGAGATTGATAGCAAACCCTCATCATTAATAGCAAAAAATAATGAAAGAGAAGAAAAAACCAAAAAAATATTCAGAAGTGAGAATTCTTCTGTATCAAGATTTTCACATTTCCCGGCTCTCAAAAGGAAAAAATATGGATTGGTCAATATAGGAAATAGTTGCCATCTGAATTCAGTTTTGCAGATTTTTGCAAGTATTCCAAATTTTATAGAAAAAATAAGAAACATTGAAAGCTAAGTTTTGGTTATTATATTTTAATGGCAATAATAAAATTGCTGTTTGAACTATATTTTTTGTCATGCTGATCTGATATAGTCAGAATAAAGTCTTTAATGAGCTGGCTAAATATCATTAGACTTTATTAGCCCTGGGAAAGCACTTTTGGCATTTTTGGTTCAATATCTGCTTTCGCTCTCTCGATAAAAATGCTTAATTCAAGTAGTAATTTTAATGTCACATTCTAATTCGGTAGCATTTACTTATCAGGGCAACAAAGGTTTTTGATCTATAAACTTAAGCCTTATAAGCACAATATTAATTATAAAACATTGAGAATAACTTATTTTATTCCTTAGGTGAAGTATAGGCATTTCGCCTAAATTGTCCGATATGGGCCGAAAGTTGAGAGCACTTTCTCTCAAGTTGGTTTGACCAACTTAGGTTGGCCAAACCAACAGTAGAGGGAAACTCCTTAACTCTCGGGTTGGTTTGGCTAAACTAACGTGAGAGGAAACGCTCTTAACTTTCAGCCCATATCGGACAATAAAGGCGAAATGCCTATACTATCGTCGATAACAGATCCCTATCCTTTTTTAAATCTGGAAAATTAAGAAAACTAAGAGACTTGCTTGCTAGAGAAGATCCTATGGTAAATTATATTTAGTTTGGCGGAAGCACTTATAATGACTGCAAAAAATTATATGTTATTATCGTAAATTTATTTATGGAACTTACCAAAAATAGCATGTTTTTAATAAACAAAAATGAAGCTGTAGTTTGTGAAAATAACCACAGGAAAGAATTATCTGAGCCTCAAGTGTTTTTAACTATACCTGATAATGAATTAGGCATCAAAGATTGATTAAATCAGCTCGAAAATGACCAAAAATTATATAAAGGAGATGATAATTTATTTTGTGAAGATTGTGGGCATAGATCTGATTCAGATATCGTGACAAAAAGCATTAAAGCTCACGAAATTTTAGCTTTATGTAATGCCAAAAGTAAAAACTCGATTGGAAATATTCCTAATCGTGTTTCCTTAGGCCAAAGTCAGTATGAAATATTTGGAATAATTTCATACAGCGAAAAACACTACATAGCTTATACAAGAGAAGAGGGAATTTGAAATGAGTATAATGATCAGGAAGTCAGAGAAAACAAGTCTCCAAACCCCAAAACTAGCTATATGCTGTTTTATAGAAAAACTTACCATTAATTAGCTTTTTATTTATCAATTTTTTGGAATAAATTATCATTATTTAATTTAAATTATTATTTAGTGTAAGCAAAATTGATAGTAAATAATTTTTTATCGTCAAAATCAATAATTATTATGATTTACAATTCACTGTAAAAAGTCATTTTTGAAGAATCCTAACAGCTAAACTTTTTAATTTTGGCTACTTGCAGAAATTGTGTATCCTCACAGGTCTTCCTGGCCTGGCTCATTAAAGATTCATTAGAATCTTATAGCTAAAATAGTCTAAAAATGTTTTTACATGCATTTTTTATAGAATCAAAAATATAAATAAAATGTCAGACGCTGCCTTATGAAATTTAAAAGCTACTCTATTAATAGTGAGCTCTTTGACAAGATATGTAGACCTTAGGTTTCCTTATTTATTATGGCCATTTGTAGATCAAGTCTTAAATAATTTAGAGGAAGGTCTTGAACAATATAAAAATTTCTTAAATCCTTTATCCAGGAATCTTGAAGAAATTTTAGCTTGAAACAGATGAGCCATCTCTTGCAAAAATATAGATTTAAGTTTAATGAAATTCTCTAGCATATTGAATGCCTTTAAGTCTTCATTCTTGAGGTTCAGCTACGATAACAACTCTGAATAACGGCAGGTGGACCGGCCTAACCGTCGAACTGTAAAAGTTATCAAGCCTGTTCAGGCTTCTCTAGTCTGTGCCAGCCTCAGCACAGACCACATCTCTTAAGCCAAAGCTCTCAAGAAGTTAGACTTCTCTCACTGAGCTCGGTTTATGAACCCGGTCTGGTGGATCAGGACTAGGGACCCATCCCTAACTGCCATTTTAAATATTGTATATAGAGATTATTAAATTTAAAGATACAAGAGAGACTTCCTTGTGGAGAGATATTAATAATAAAAAGTTATTCTCAAAATGTTTCAGCTGTAGTCAAAGAAGCTCAATATACGTATTTTCTTGTATCTGCTCTTTCATGCAATGGCAACATTGTATATATTTGAAAAGATGGAGCTTGGAAACGAGAAAGCTCTGACTCTTCTTATTCTAATAGTTTTTATGAGCTTTACTATTTTTACTATTGCAAAATTACTCCAAAATCTATTTCTAAATTATTGCGATTGGACGATGTTTGCAATACAAATGATAACTTATTTCAAGTAATGATAAAAATATGAAATTTTACTAAAGAAAGCAAAAATATATTTGATTTTGATGAAGAAATAGAGGCTAGAATGAAATATAGCGGAATAATCGAAAAAATTAATAAAGAAAAAGAGGATGCTCAAGCAGAAATAGCAAGATTAGAATCAAATAACAAAAATTTAGAATCAGATATTAAAAAATATAAAGAATATATAGAGGAATATATAGAGGAATATCAAAGAAATGAAAACAATTTAAAAAATTTGAATTACTCTTGGGAAGAAAAGTGCAAATCGCTTGATAATGAGCATCAAAAGCTCACGAAAATGACTAAAGAAAAAGAAGAGAGCAGCAATGAAGCTATCAAGCTACTTAATCAAAAAATTATTGATTTGCAAAATGAAAAAAATATTTTAGAAGCTGAAAATTTTTATCTTAAAAATTCTCTTTCAGAAAAAGAAAATCTCCTACAAAAAGCATCAGATGAGCACCACAAAATCTCTGAAAAATATAATATTTTGCAAGAAAAATGCAAAAATCTTAAAGAAAAACTAAATAAAGCCAATTATTCACAAATACTCTACAACCCAGAAAATGAAATTGTTCAATTACCTCCAAACACAAAGCACGGGCTGCCTAACCTTGGAAATACCTGCTATTTAAATTCTCTTCTGCAGATTTTTGCAAGTACTCCTCTTTTTGTAAGTAAAATTGCCTCTATTGATTCTCCTTTTTGTAATTCTTTGTCATCTCTTTTATCTAATATGCATATTGAAAACAGCTCTAAGACAATCAGCAATTTAACTAGAAATTTCTCAAAAACATCTAATGGAGGCTTATTCAAATGTAAAAATTATTTAGATTAAGGAGTACACTCAGCAAGATGTGAAAGAAGTGTTTAACATGATTTTAAGCAAAATTGAAGAGGAAGGGGGAAGCTTTAATATTTTTTCAATTGTTTTTCATCAGGTTTTCAGCTGCTTGAATCTGCATAAGTCAACTTATGATGATACCCAAACGTTTTTGATCATTCCTCCTCAGCATAAAAATGCACAAGACAATTATCTTAGAAATCAAAGCTACTATTATAGATCAACACAGTCATTATTTTGTAATGACTGCAATAGAAAAATTGATATGAGCATAGAGCTGAAAGGTGTCGATTGGCCAGAATATCTGGTGCTTTATTTCCCAACACCTCCAAATAATATTGTAGAATCCCTCTGAATTAATAATGAGAATAGCTATGAAATTTATGGAGTTATTTGTTATTATCAAAATGAAGGAAGTTTTCATTATACAGCGTTTACAAAAGACGGAAATATATGGAATGAGTATAATGATAAATATGTTGGGACAAAAGCAATAGACCCTCATTTTGTAAATTTGGCATTTTATTCCAAAAAAGTAGTGCTGAGCCAAAATATGATAGCTGAAAAGCCCTATCAGTCGCATTTTTATAATTCTTAAAATAAATATTCGCTATAAGGATTATTATAATTTATTCAATCTAAACTTCAATATTTTAATTAATGCTAAAACACTTTTAATTTATTAAATTGTTATTTGTAGAATCCTAATAATATACCAAAATGCAAGATGATATACAATGAAATCTTAGACACTGCATGAGCTCTTACTAGCTCTCTTTGACAATTTATCGATTTTCCTCCCAGCACTGAGTCTCAGGACATTAATTATAAGCTTAGAGATAAATATTTTATAACAACTAATTACTATTATAAGACAAGAACTTTTTATGAAACTTTGCAAAGTATTAGAAGAAAGTAATTGAATAATTTCTTGTGTTGATGAAAAACTAATAAGTATGAGAGTTCAAGATAAACTTCTTTGTGCTGGAGATGAAATATTAATAATAAAAGGCTCTTCAGAAATAAATATATCAGCAATAGCAAAAGAAGGACTTAATAGCTATTTTCTTGTAGCAGCGCTCTCATGTGATGGAAGGAGCCTTATCTATTGAAAAGATGGAATATGGAACAACGACTTCGAGAGGCACTTACATGAGAAGAAATGAGCTCTATTATTTTTATTATTGCAAGGCGAATCAAGCAAGAATACATGAATATCTAAGAATTAAGTATTATCCGGCTAATATTCCGGACATTACCATGTATTGGAAAATATATGAAAATATAATAGAAGCTGCGAAAGTACATCTGACTACTTCTGCAATAATGGATTGCCAAATAGAGATACCATTAATGAAGAAAATAAAAATACTTTTGCTGTCGAAAGTAATGAGAAATTGAGGGAAGAAAATGAGAAAAATAAGTTCACCATTGCAAGTTTGGAAGCAAAAATAACAGAATTAGAAGGAAAATTAAAAAGCTATCAAAAGCTGCCAAGATCAAATAAACGAATTAGAAAAATCTATAGGGTCTTTAAAATATGATAATGATCTGCTTAAAAATGAAAATCAAGAGCTTAAACTGAAAGCCAATTTACAATGAAAAAGAAAAAAATGAATATAAACAAATACATAAGACGAACATTGAAGCTATTGACCAATTAAAACGAAACCTTAGCGATAAAGAAGATCAAAACAATAAGCTAGAAAAAGACATTAGCATTTCAAATGAAACTCTTACTAATAAAAATATCGAACTTCTATGAAGCCATGGAAACAAACAAACTATTACAGGAAAAGCTCAAAGACCTTGAAGAAAAAAATAAAATCAGTAACTCACAAGCACTCTACGACCCAGAAAATGAAATAATTAAATTGCTTCCAAACAGAAAGCATGGCTTGCCTAACTTTGGAAACACCTGCTATTTAAATTCTCTTTTGCAGATCTTTGCAAGCACTCCTCTTTTAGCAAGAAAAGTTGAATCTATAAATTCTCCTTTTTGCAATTCTTTGTATCTGCTTTTAGACAGCATGTTTAAAGATAACAGCTTAAAAACAATCAGAAATTTAACGCAAGATTTCCGTCAAAATTTAATGGCTACCTATTCAAATGTAAAAAATATTTAGATTGAGGCTTATAATCAGCAAGATGCTAAAGAAGTATTTAACATGATTTTAAGCAAAATTGAAGAAGATGGGGGGAACCTTGACTTATTCTCTATCGGATTTCATCAGGAATTTATTTGCAAGACCATGCTTAAGCATCGATCTGAGTATCATGATATCCAAATATTTCTAATATTCTGCATTGATTGAATGCGATTTTTATTTTTTTTACTTTTAATAATTTTAACTCATTATATGGTTTAAAAATTTATTTTTAGCAGGCATATAGAAGTTTCCTATGTTTGGCGCTGTAAGGCCGATAAATTCTGATCGAAATTTATCGGTTGGTTGCACCAAATCAATGCCTTGGTCGGACCAAAAAGCGATTTGGTCCGACGAACTTGGAAAGCTCCTGGGAAAATGTCTGCGCTTTCAGCGCTATATAGAGGAAACCTCTATAATTCCTCCCTGCCATAAGGATTCGGTTGAAAATTATCTTTATTACTTAGGCACTTATTATAATTCAACGCAAAAGTTAATTTGTAGCGAATGCAAAAGAGAAGTTAATATATTGATCATGGCTTTTCATTCTAAACTCTAATAAGCCAAATTCTTTTTATTAATAAAAACTAAAGCTTTTTATGTGTAAAAAATAATGAGGTTCATTTTACAGTTAAGATAAAAGACCCTTTATTATACAAGCATTCAACTGAAAAAGGTTGATTGGCCAGACTATCTGATACTTTATTTTCCCACTCCTCCTGATAGAATCACAGATAGTATTAGAATTAATTATGAAATTATATATGAAATGTATGGAGCTATTTGTTATTATCAAGATGAAGGCTCTTTTCATTATACAGCATTTACAAGAGATGAAAATGAATGGAATGAATACAATGATGAGCATGTTGAAACAAAAAAAATAGATCCTCACGTTATAAACTTGGCATTTTACTGCAGAAAAACATATTCACGACCAATTTATAGTCGTTAAAATAATCTTAATTCTGAATAAAAATTATTTTAATTCATATCTGGATGCAAATTCGTAATTGAGAATTTCCGTTTATAAATTGGTTAAAGTGGTAATTTTATATATAATTCAGAAATTTATTAAATATATAGGTAAAGGCTTAGTTAAAACCTATAAATAGCAATCTTAGCTAGAGTTAATATAAAAAAGTGCAAAAATTTTCAAAAATAAATCCTTTTATTTTATTTTCTCACGCCAAATTCTTATTATGTAAATAATATACCATAATAACAGATTTATCACTTTCTCATGCAGAGGAGCCTATTTTATAATGTGTTTAAAAAATAAAGAATCAAAACAATAATTTATGCAGGATTGGCAGTAAAAATATTATATAGGTATATAATATACAAAAAATGATCAGTTCATTTTTATTTTGCATTTTTCACAATATAATTGATTATCGCCAAAAAATCCTATGGCTTTTTTAATTCTGCTAAAAATTCTTGTATAGAGTAGAATTTTTTACTGGGAATTGTAATAAAAAGGTTTGCTTCAGGTACTTTTGCAATGTGATTACAAACATGACAATTCAAAGTTTGCTGATATAAGGTTGTAAATAAAGGATCTACATAAGTTAAATCTGATAATTTTCCTATGAGGATGACCATTAATTCTTTAGAGTCCTGCTGAGTAAAATTTCCAAGCTATATAAAGATTACCCAAGGGAATTCTGCATCAAGTTGATATTTAAAAGAACTTACAAGCTTTTGAGTATCATTAGACCTAGGATTTCTAATACTCAATAATAGAGACGATAAAGTAGAAAATAATCCATATTCCAAAGTCTGGATTTTTTCATAAAATTCATTATTGCTTGCAAGTACTTGGAGGAGGGAATTAAGATAGCATGTATTTCCTATATTAGGATCTGATTTTTTCTTGTCAAAAATTAATGGATAGTTTATAACTGGGGGTGGTCTTATTGGTTCAATTTTTTCTATTATAAATTTGATCTGAGATTGAAGATTTTGGTTATCTTGCATTAAGATTTGGATTTCTTGCTTTAGATTTTGAATTTTAGTCTTGTGCTTTTTAGATTTTGCCTGTAGAATTGCATTATCTGCCTGTATAGTTGCATTATATGCTTCTGAAGATTGATATTTATCTATTATCTTATATTCGTTTAATAATTTATCTTTTTCTTCTGCTTTTATAGATACAGATAGAGGCACTGAAATTGGCTTTAATCACTTTTTTGTACCTATTATTGCTTTAAAAGAAAACTTTTCGTTATCATCCTTTTCATTATCAAGGTCATTGATTTTTGTATAAACATAAATCGTTACTTCGCTGGGAATTAGTTTTTTTTTACCGTTTGGGTTTTCACTGAGATTTTTTCATTTATCTTCAAATTTGCAATACAACTTTCTCTGTCCATTGTAGGTTAAAACTGCTGTTAATAAATAAACGATTCTATTGCCTTCAAAATAAGGAAATGGTTTTTCCTTGCTTAATCTTTTGAATGTTTTTTCTTCGCTCCCCCCCTCCGTGAGTGAACAAAAAAATTTTGTTCACTCACGGAGGGAGGTAATTATATTTTTTTTAAAAAAATTTTTTTTCGAAACTTAAAAAATCCTAATTCGCAAAAATTGGAAAGCAAATATTAATTTAATTTATAAAAAATTTATGTTTTAAAGAGCAATTCGTTTAAAATTAAATAGAATTAGCTCGAGATTTCATTATACTAATTATCATTTATATATCAAAAATTTTTTCCATAAAAAATTTTTCTATTAAAAAAAATTTTTGTTCACTCACAGAGGGTGGGTTTTCGGGCAAAAAATAGGGATTTTTCTAATGGTTTTGTTCACTCACGGAGGGGGGGGGGAGTTAGAATTATTTGTTCAAAAAATGATTTTTCTTCGTCTTTTTGAGGAAGATACTTTATGCTGAGAGATCTATATTGGTCTCTTTCGAAGTATTCTAGAATATATTGGTTAGAAATATCCTCAAAAATTTTTGTCATTAAAAATTCATTGGTAAATGACAAAAAATCTTGATTTGATTCATAATTTCTTAAGAAAGTGCCTATTTCTGAATGTGGATCTATGCCTTGACAAGCCTTATTGCACAAAAGGATATTGATAATTGCCTTCTCAGCTAATGAAAGGGGATTTCCTTCCTTAATCGTAGATTTATTATAAATTTGGGCTATTTTTAGATTCCATAAATTATAAAGGTATAGAAATATGAAATTTATATTTCTAAGGCAACTTATCAATTGTTCAGACTTATTACAATGATGAGTTCAAAAATTTATTCACAAATTCCATTATTTTAATTTTAAACATAAATTTATCTTAAAACCCTCCCTTCATCTGCTGTAGCACACGAATAACGCAGTTATTAGTAAATCTTAATTGTTCCAAAGTAGCAGTTCCTTGAGTGACTACACTCAAATACTTATTCCCAAAAATCACACTTAATTCACCACCTCCAAACATTTGCGCAAATTGGTTGTGAAGCTGAGCATAAGTCCACGAGCTGTTTACTTGTATTGTGCGCTGCTGGCCGTTCATATCTTCTACTCTTATTGTCAAGTTCGACATTTTATAATTATAAGAAACTGAGATTTGTGAAAATAATTGTAGAATCTTAATGAAATAAGTACTTTTATAAAGTAAATAAGGAAAAGATAATTATTAAAATGAGAAAACTGCAAATAAGGGCAGCAGTAGAATTATTAAAGAATTAGAACTATATGGATTAATATCTAGTATGCAAATTCGTGATGGGCATTATTTGGAATAAGCACGGAATACTAAAAATTGGACTGAGTATAGTCATAAAGGTGTAGTAAATCTAGTGGCGGCAGAATTGATATAGCAAATGGATATTTTGCCTTTTATATAAGAGCAGGGGATCGCAATAAGGATAATGATTATTAAAGAAAAACAATTTCACAAATATTAATTTTATCTAAGGAGTTATAAATTGAAAAGTAATCCAGAAGATATGCAGAGATAAATTTTATAAATTAATCTAGCTATATCATTTATTTTATTTAGGATTCTATAATAATATTAATATGGTTTTTGGACTCTTAAGAGTTGTAAGCGGTAGGCTCTTGAAAGGTCCAGCTGATAACATCTTGAAACTTGCATACTTCTCTTTGTGATTCTCGCTCACTATAGCCTTAATTGTTTATAAAAAAGCATTTCCAAATTCTAAAAATATAAAACAAAGACAGCAGGACAAAGAAAAATCAATAACATCCAGAATTGTTGATGTATCAAAAAACAATAAATTCTTTGAGGTCTTCAATTTATATCAGATAACCACGTGCGCAAAAATCGCTGAAAATCTTAAAAACGAATCAATAAACAGATTTGAAATCACTTCTTTTTCCCCCATTCTACTGGGAAAGCCTGGAACTAATGCCATAGTAAGGGCAGAAAATAGAAATTGATATGATAAAATAAAAAATGATAAAATTCCAGTCTTTATTGGATGGGAAGTTGAAAAGGAAGCATTAGATTGTTTTAAAACTCAAATTTTATTACGAAATAAGCCAGGAATAATTATTCTATTTTATAAAAACAATGAAGCTGCCATTAAAGAAGAACAAAATTTACTATGGATTACGTCAAATTTAGATTCTGAGTGCAATGATATTGAAATCGAATTCAATAAAATTATTGAAATAGCAATTAATTGGGCAGAAAGTAGGAATTACCAATTGGAGCAAAAATTACTCCAAGGATTGCCTAATATTGGAAATACTTGCTATATGAATTCGTTAATCCAAGTATTCTCAATTATGCCTGAACTTTATGAAATCATTAGCTCCATAAATTTGCCTCTATTTCAGCCTCTCAAAAATATACTCTTAGCATTGAAAATGAGAAATGATAATTTTAATTACAGATATTACCTGGAAAAATTTCAAACCCAAATTATCGAAAACTTTCATATGGTAGGTATCATTTATTTAGTTTACAGCCCATAGTCAGCATGATACTAAAGAGCTATTTAATGTTTTTATAGATTATATAATATCAAAATTTAGAGAGCACCAAGATAAATTTACAATTTTTATCACTAAAAAATTTTATTGTAAAGAAGGCCATCATCATCTTGCAGAGAAAAAGGAAAGTCAGCTGTTTTTAATCATCCCTAAAAATTATCTTGCAGATATTGATAGTTATGTAAAAAGGAATCATTATTTTAATAATGAAAATCAAATTTGGTGCGAAATTTGTGGGAAATGAGAGATATGCAATTAAAAGTTGAAAATGTGGACTATCCTTTGAATCTGACTATTTATGTTCCTGGAAATGGATCGATTGGGAAGCTGGATCATCAAATTAAACTGAATATTGACAATTATAGATTATATGCAATTATTTGTCACGCAGGAAGTATACATACAAGGCATTAATTGCATCAAATAATAATATTTTATATATAATAAAATTAAAACTATAAATTGAGTAATTGATTTAATATTGTATAATTTATTTGGTCACTATTGGGCATATTTACTTATAGATGGCAAATGAATTGAATGTAATGACAGCATTGTACGTGAAAGCCCACCCAATTTATCAAACTGCTATATGCTCTTTTATTCTAAGAATTAATTAAGCCTCACAATTAGCTTTTATTTAAAATTTAAAGTTTTATTAATATATCTTATGACCTATGAGCTTATAAAAAACGCAAGATAGCACGAACTGAAATCTGGCTGCCAAATCTTCGAGTTATTATCTATTCTACATCAAATTAATAAAGCTACTCTGTATTTCTATAATAAACTATGAAATCACCGATATAGATCTTATATTAAAAAGTATAAATATTCTCTCCATGCACATCCATCTTTTGTATATGCGACATATTTCTTCACGTTTTCTATCTGATAAAGACATTTGATTGCTCCATATATTTCATATTTTGATTCCATATAATTAAATTCTTCAGGAAGAATATATTGATTTTCCATTGGCAATTTTAATATTAAAAATGATCCCGCTTCAATGTGTTCTACTGTTCTGCTCACCAATTTAGTTTGATTGCAAATACTGCAAAATTCTTCACATCAAATAGTTGTTTTTATATTTTGATCAATTTCTTCGTGAATTGGTTTATTTGTAAAATTCATAAACTCAATTACATTTATATAGTCATTTTTTATATTTTCATGCCCAACTCCACAATTAACTCTTGTCGTTAATATAATGTATGCTCTCTTTTAGAGAATTCTTATGAAAAATGCCTCAAAAATGATTATTCTATGAAAAAGAATATTTTTGAAATCAAATTTGGTGAATTTTAGCACTATTTCAGTAATTTTTAATAAAGATTAAGATTAAGATTAAGATTACGCTGGGTATTTAAGGTCCCCTACTATGTCCGAGGTCGCATGCCACGGTTTCCCGTGTGGTGGCAGAGCGTTCACCAAGCCCGGGCCGAAACCCCCGGTTTCTCGGTAGAGGTATTGTCAAGGGCCGTCTCATACCGGCTTTGCTGACCACCTCCATTTCCAACTTGGATCGTCGCCTAAGTTTACGCCAACTCCGCTTCGTCGTCCGCCAGATCTGCCCATTGAAGGGCACCTTTTCAACTGGAGAGACCCCCGTTTTGGTGTCTAACTCGCCTTCCCCTCTTTTCCGGTCATCCCGAGAAAGAACTCAACAGCTTTCGCCATTCGGGGCGAGCCACAAAAGCAGCTTAGGCAGGTAAGTCACCCTGCCTCATTTCGGGCACTCACTGGGCTGAGCGCTGCTGGCAAAAAGAAGTCACGAATAACTGCCCATGGATCTGGTCGCAAAAACAGCGGCTCTCGCGCTTAGGCCTCTCGCTTCGAGGTCCCAGATGTTGTTGGGCTAATTCCTGGCTCCAAAAACCATGCCCGGATATACATGGGTAACCACCACTGAGAGGGTGGGTCGGTCGCCATACGCCATTTTATCTATATAGTAATTTTTAATAAAAAATAAAACATTTTAAGCCTTTTTTTGGGGAATTATTTGTCTAACTCACCCCTCTGTGAGTGAACGAAACCATTGGAAAAATCCCTATTTTTGCCCAAAAATCCACCCTCCGTGAGTGAACAAAAATTTTTTTAATAGAAAAAATTTTTTATGAAAAAAAATTTGATATATAAGTGATAAATAGTATAATGAAATCTCGAGCTAATTCTGTTTAATTTTAAATAAATTGCATTTTAAAACATAAATTTTATAAATTAAATTAATATTTGCTTTCCAATTTGTGCAAATTAGGATTTTTTTAAATTTCGAAAATAAAAAAAATTATATATTTAAAAAAAAGAGTGAACAAAATTTTTTTGATCATTCACGGAGAGGGAGTAAAGGATCCAAATAAGGGCTTATGCTATATAGTTGAAAATAATTTTTGATTTGGACAATATTCATGCAGCTTATTTATAAGTCAGTTGATCACATTTTTAGGGTCTTTTTCAAAATTAGCCTATATAAAATTTACATAATAAGAGTTCTGTGCTAAAGTTATGCTAAAATCCGATAGTAAATTATCAACGAAGTTTTGGAAATTTGACCTTTTCATAGCATTAAATAAAATATTTAAGCTCAGTAGCGTTGGGTCCATTGGACTTTTTGATAATTCAACAAATAAAGATGAGCTAGCAAGAATCTGCAATGCTGAGGTGAGGTAGGAATTATCATTTATATCAGAAAATCCATGTTTTTGGCCAGGGAGAAGAAAAATCATTGAGGTAAATAAATCACCATTTCCTACTGTTCGGTAAGCTTGGCTTGAGCTGAGATGCTGATTTTCAGCTTGAAAGGTATGATAATTCCCTGGCTCATAATAAGCACTTCTTGATAAATTTAAATTACTTAGAACAGGCTCCTTATCTATGCTTACTTGGCTTGAATTTTCAATAAGTTGACTGAGTCTTTTTACTTCATTTTTCAAATCAGCCACGTCTATTTCTAAGCTTTTTATTTTCGCTGCAGTATTTTCTCTATTAATTTCTATTGTCCTCTCATTTCCTGGATTTTGCCCGCCCAGCACACAGCTATTGGCAATATCCCCATAATTAATAAACTCACTTATAAAACTTTCTAGCTGTGATTGGACGTCATTAGGATCATTAAGCAGTAGGATTTTTAGCAATGGGTCTTCCTCATTTGTCCTTATTTCTTTCGTTGTCAAAATTTTTCTTATATATTTGTCAATTATTCTGATTCCTAATTCTAGCGAATTTAACCCATTTTTATTGATTTCTTCAAGGTTTTTCATATTTGTAGAAACATATGAGATAAGTTGTGATTTAATATTGTTTATTTTTGATTTTTCTTCTTGAAAAGATCGCAAAATGCTTATCTGGGCTGGGCTTGACAGGCTCACGATATAGGTATTCAAACCTGTGAGTTAAAGGGCTAGAATTGGAATGGGATTTTTTATGTCGTTTGCAAAAAACTAACTTTTCAGCCTGGCAGTCGCAAATGTATTTAGGCTTTTCGTGGCATGATGGGATGCTACAAATATTGTAGTTCATAATTAAAGTTTATTAAGAAATTTTAGTTTTTACCTTAAGCTCTGCTATAAAAAGGGAAAGCGAATATTGTTGACATTTATGATGGCAGTAACATTAGACCTCACCAGTTTAACTTGAAATAAAAATCATTAACTGCACACTCTTATTTAGTGGCTTAATGGATATCATTTAATGCTCTTGTGTATTAACTATATAGCAGATTTTGAATAAAATTTAGCTAGCATTATAATAATTAATGGAGCTTATGCAATGTTTTGAGCGTGGGTGCAAGAACGAGGTTGTATACTTGTGCCCATGCACCTCTCCTGAAACTCTATCCTGCGTACAGCATATTGGGGAGCATGTGATTCTTCCTAATATAGCTCATGTTCCCAACTTGATTTTTGTAGAGCCATGCAAAGTGACAAAAGAAGAAATTCTTAAGTTTCTTAAAAGAAAAAACTCAAAAAATAGCAAGCTGAAGGTGTAGGGTGTTAGGGTGTTAGGGTGTTAGGGGTGTTAGGGTGTTAGGGTGTTAGGGTGTTAGGGTGTTAGGGTGTTAGGGTGTTAGGGTGTTAGGGTGTTAGGGTGTTAGGGTGTTAGGGTGTTAGGGTGTTAGGGTGTTAGGGTGTTAGGGTGTTAGGGTGTTAGGGTGTGTTAGGGTGTTAGGGTGTTAGGGTGTTAGGGGTGTTAGGGTGTTAGGGTGTTAGGGTGTTAGGGTGTTAGGGTGTTAGGGTGTTAGGGTGTTAGGGTGTTAGGGTGTTAGGGTGTTAGGGTGTTAGGGTGTTAGGGTGTTAGGGGGTGTTAGGGTGTTAGGGTGTTAGGGTGTTAGGGTGTTAGGGTGTTAGGGTGTTAGGGTGTTAGGGTGTTAGGGTGTTAGGGGTGTTAGGGTGTTAGGGTGTTAGGGTGTTAGGGTGTTAGGGTGTTAGGGTGTTAGGGTGTTAGGGTGTTAGGGTGTTAGGGTGTTAGGGTGTTAGGGTGTTAGGGTGTTAGGGTGTTAGGGTGTTAGGGTGTTAGGGTGTTAGGGTGTTAGGGTGTTAGGGTGTTAGGGTGTTAGGGTGTTAGGGTGTTAGGGTGTTAGGGTGTTAGGGTGTTAGGGTGTTAGGGTGTTAGGGTGTTAGGGTGTTAGGGTGTTAGGGTGTTAGGGTGTTAGGGTGTTAGGGTGTTAGGGTGTTAGGGTGTTAGGGTGTTAGGGTGTTAGGGTGTTAGGGTGTTAGGGTGTTAGGGTGTTAGGGTGTTAGGGTGTTAGGGTGTTAGGGTGTTAGGGTGTTAGGGTGTTAGGGTGTTAGGGTGTTAGGGTGTTAGGGTGTTAGGGTGTTAGGGTGTTAGGGTGTTAGGGTGTTAGGGTGTTAGGGTGTTAGGGTGTTAGGGTGTTAGGGTGTTAGGGTGTTAGGGTGTTAGGGTGTTAGGGTGTTAGGGTGTTAGGGTGTTAGGGTGTTAGGGTGTTAGGGTGTTAGGGTGTTAGGGTGTTAGGGTGTTAGGGTGTTAGGGTGTTAGGGTGTTAGGGTGTTAGGGTGTTAGGGTGTTAGGGTGTTAGGGTGTTAGGGTGTTAGGGTTAGGGTGTTAGGGTTAGGGTGTTAGGGTGTTAGGGTGTTAGGGTGTTAGGGTGTTAGGGTGTTAGGGTGTTAGGGTGTTAGGGTGTTAGGGTGTTAGGGTGTTAGGGTGTTAGGGTGTTAGGGTGTTAGGGTGTTAGGGTGTTAGGGTGTTAGGGTGTTAGGGTGTTAGGGTGTTAGGGTGTTAGGGTGTTAGGGTGTTAGGGTGTTAGGGTGTTAGGGTGTTAGGGTGTTAGGGTGTTAGGGTGTTAGGGTGTTAGGGTGTTAGGGTGTTAGGGTGTTAGGGTGTTAGGGTGTTAGGGTGTTAGGGTGTTAGGGTGTTAGGGTGTTAGGGTGTTAGGGTGTTAGGGTGTTAGGGTGTTAGGGTGTTAGGGTGTTAGGGTGTTAGGGTGTTAGGGTGTTAGGGTGTTAGGGTGTTAGGGTGTTAGGGTGTTAGGGTGTTAGGGTGTTAGGGTGTTAGGGTGTTAGGGTGTTAGGGTGTTAGGGTGTTAGGGTGTTAGGGTGTTAGGGTGTTAGGGTGTTAGGGTGTTAGGGTGTTAGGGTGTTAGGGTGTTAGGGTGTTAGGGTGTTAGGGTGTTAGGGTGTTAGGGTGTTAGGGTGTTAGGGTGTTAGGGTGTTAGGGTGTTAGGGTGTTAGGGTGTTAGGGTGTTAGGGTGTTAGGGTGTTAGGGTGTTAGGGTGTTAGGGTGTTAGGGTGTTAGGGTGTTAGGGTGTTAGGGTGTTAGGGTGTTAGGGTGTTAGGGTGTTAGGGTGTTAGGGTGTTAGGGTGTTAGGGTGTTAGGGTGTTAGGGTGTTAGGGTGTTAGGGTGTTAGGGTGTTAGGGTGTTAGGGTGTTAGGGTGTTAGGGTGTTAGGGTGTTAGGGTGTTAGGGTGTTAGGGTGTTAGGGTGTTAGGGTGTTAGGGTGTTAGGGTGTTAGGGTGTTAGGGTGTTAGGGTGTTAGGGTGTTAGGGTGTTAGGGTGTTAGGGTGTTAGGGTGTTAGGGTGTTAGGGTGTTAGGGTGTTAGGGTGTTAGGGTGTTAGGGTGTTAGGGTGTTAGGGTGTTAGGGTGTTAGGGTGTTAGGGTGTTAGGGTGTTAGGGTGTTAGGGTGTTAGGGTGTTAGGGTGTTAGGGTGTTAGGGTGTTAGGGTGTTAGGGTGTTAGGGTGTTAGGGTGTTAGGGTGTTAGGGTGTTAGGGTGTTAGGGTGTTAGGGTGTTAGGGTGTTAGGGTGTTAGGGTGTTAGGGTGTTAGGGTGTTAGGGTGTTAGGGTGTTAGGGTGTTAGGGTGTTAGGGTGTTAGGGTGTTAGGGTGTTAGGGTGTTAGGGTGTTAGGGTGTTAGGGTGTTAGGGTGTTAGGGTGTTAGGGTGTTAGGGTGTTAGGGTGTTAGGGTGTTAGGGTGTTAGGGTGTTAGGGTGTTAGGGTGTTAGGGTGTTAGGGTGTTAGGGTGTTAGGGTGTTAGGGTGTTAGGGTGTTAGGGTGTTAGGGTGTTAGGGTGTTAGGGTGTTAGGGTGTTAGGGTGTTAGGGTGTTAGGGTGTTAGGGTGTTAGGGTGTTAGGGTGTTAGGGTGTTAGGGTGTTAGGGTGTTAGGGTGTTAGGGTGTTAGGGTGTTAGGGTGTTAGGGTGTTAGGGTGTTAGGGTGTTAGGGTGTTAGGGTGTTAGGGTGTTAGGGTGTTAGGGTGTTAGGGTGTTAGGGTGTTAGGGTGTTAGGGTGTTAGGGTGTTAGGGTGTTAGGGTGTTAGGGTGTTAGGGTGTTAGGGTGTTAGGGTGTTAGGGTGTTAGGGTGTTAGGGTGTTAGGGTGTTAGGGTGTTAGGGTGTTAGGGTGTTAGGGTGTTAGGGTGTTAGGGTGTTAGGGTGTTAGGGTGTTAGGGTGTTAGGGTGTTAGGGTGTTAGGGTGTTAGGGTGTTAGGGTGTTAGGGTGTTAGGGTGTTAGGGTGTTAGGGTGTTAGGGTGTTAGGGTGTTAGGGTGTTAGGGTGTTAGGGTGTTAGGGTGTTAGGGTGTTAGGGTGTTAGGGTGTTAGGGTGTTAGGGTGTTAGGGTGTTAGGGTGTTAGGGTGTTAGGGTGTTAGGGTGTTAGGGTGTTAGGGTGTTAGGGTGTTAGGGTGTTAGGGTGTTAGGGTGTTAGGGTGTTAGGGTGTTAGGGTGTTAGGGTGTTAGGGTGTTAGGGTGTTAGGGTGTTAGGGTGTTAGGGTGTTAGGGTGTTAGGGTGTTAGGGTGTTAGGGTGTTAGGGTGTTAGGGTGTTAGGGTGTTAGGGTGTTAGGGTGTTAGGGTGTTAGGGTGTTAGGGTGTTAGGGTGTTAGGGTGTTAGGGTGTTAGGGTGTTAGGGTGTTAGGGTGTTAGGGTGTTAGGGTGTTAGGGTGTTAGGGTGTTAGGGTGTTAGGGTGTTAGGGTGTTAGGGTGTTAGGGTGTTA